ACTTTCGCATGGAACATCGCACCGTTCATTTCACAGACTAAGTAAGAACCCCCTTTGGTCTTTCGAACTACAATCATGGGCCCAAGATATCTAGCTTTCATCTTGTTGTCCAATGATTTTTCAATAGCTGTGTTCCTGACCAACACTAAGTCCCCTGGCACAAACTTGTAATCTTTGATCACATGTTTGTACTCGAGTTCGTAGCGTTGAACCATCTTTAATTTGGCGTCGCTGACGCGGCTGCGCATATCTTCTATATGGTCGGCGTGTTTCGCTAGAGCGCGTGCTCTGAGACCAATGAAATCCGCAGAGTCGACGATCCGGTCAGGATATTCGACTAACCACGTAGCTTCGACTATATCCAGAGGGATGGTAGGGTGGGCCCCACATACTGCGAAGTATGGTGAACAACCCAGCCCGCGACGCACTGTAATTCTATCTGCCCACAAGACCTGTGGGAAGAACCAAAACCATTTGGAGGCGTTTCCCCCAGTAGCTTTGTACAGTGACTGTCGAATGTCCCAGTGACCTCTTTCAACAGTGCCATTCGCTTGGGAATTGTAAGGAGATATCCTTATTCCCTTGATACCATATTTCTTCTGCAGCCAATTCAACGCCGCGACAAATTGTCCTGCGTTGTCGGTTACAATCCACTTAGGACACCCCCAGCGACACACTATGTCCTCGAGCAAGAAACGCGCGATTGCCTTGGCGTTGTCAGCCTGCAGCGGTCGCGCTTCCACGTAGCGGGTCAAAGAATCCCTTGCTGCGACGACATATTTGTATCCGTTGGAAGGTGTTCCCATAATCATGACGTCTGTATGTATTTTCTGAAATACACTTGGAGTCATTGTCGGCGTCGGTGGAGTACGGAGGAGAGTTTTCTGGCGGACTTGGCAGCTATGACAAGTCTTTATCCACCAGTCAACGTCTCTTTCCATCTCAGGCCACCAAAACCGAGTTTCCAACAGGCTCTTAGTGCTGAAAAGACCCTTATGACCCAGCGCGTCGTGACACGCCTTCATCATATAAGTCCTGTGGTGCTTGTCCACGACCAGTCTATGAATCCCGTTGGTCGATCTCTTGTACATTTTTCCATTTTTGAGGAAAAACTGTCGCGAGAATTTGAGAAACGATCTGAACCGTTTATCTGTCATTTCAGGCCTTATAGAAGTGTCTTTCAACCACTTCCTAGCCATTACCAACTTATTGTCCTGTTCAATCCCTGTGCCCGTCCGGTGATCCTCAATATAGGGATCCTCAGGATTGTCACGCAGTTCAAGATCAGGCAAAAGCGGTTCTCCGTTTGCCACATCGTTCAGCATGAAGACTGGAACGACGAGTCCTTGAGCGTCATATGCGTCTTTGACACGCCGATTCTCAGCGCGACGAGAGTCGCAAGCTTCGACGAGTTCTTTGGATATGTCGTCGACCGACTCAGCACACCCGACCATAGAGTTAAGGTAGCCACCTCTGGTGTCAATATCCCTTTTGAACTCTTCAAAGTCTAATGGTTGTTCTGTGTCGTAGTCCCAATTCTCGTTGTTCTCTGGTGGTGGCTCGTCGAAGATTTCCTCTTCGTCATTGGGATACTCTTCATCTCCAGGTGCAGGTCGTCGTCGCGACAAGCCATCTGGTGAGAAGGTGATTCCTCTGACATGTTTCAAGGTAAACTGAAACATGAGGATCTCCTCAGCCCAACGGTTGATATTTGCATTTGGCAGGTTACCAACGTTCCTTAGCATGCCTGCCAAGTACAGCGCGTCGGTTTCGACTACCAATTTTCTACAACCAAGAAGCCAGTGAGCCATGGCTTGAAGCACGCGCTTCACACCATAAAGTTCACGCTTCGGTTGAGAAAACCTAGCTTCTCTTTCTGTAAGTGGGATACTCCCAAATTTCGCGTAATAGACCTTCTTTGGATCATCTGGGTCGCGCTGGTAAATTTCGAAACCCGCGGCCATCCAGGATGTGTCTATTGCGACGACAATCTCGGAGTCCCACTCATAGTTCAGAGGCTTAAGCGACGGACAGACTTGTATCGCGTCTTTAAGTCTTTGAAATGCGAGTTTCTGTTTGTCACCCCATTCAAAATGCGCATTCTTGTTCACCAGTCTCTGAATTGGTCGCGCCATTTCAGAAAATCCTCTAATGAACATTCGCATGACCCCAATCGTGCCCATAAATTGTCGAACTTCCGAGACGTCTCTCAAATCTGGCCAACGCATGATTACACCAACTCTGTCCATCTTTTGGAAGACCAACTGCAAACACATGGCTGATTGTTTTTACCAATGAGTCTCTACCCACCCCAGCCATGACCACCTGCCTGCACCCCCGCCTTCACCCCCGCCCCCCCGCCAGCACCCCCGCAACTACCCTGCCACTGATTGACCCCCGCCATCACCCCCGCCACACCGGTGCCTCAGCCCCTGCCATCTCCGAATATGTAATATTATGTAAAGTGACAGCCCGGAACACATCAAGTCAGTAGCCAATCAGGACCTGTATAAACGTCGTACCTAACTATGTTTTGCTCTTCTGAGACTGTTTTTACATATATGCTGCTAAAAACCATCAGAATTATGTCTCCTTATGCTGTTTTTGTTGAATATAATGCCACTTCATGTCCTCTGTCAGCCCGAAATTCGAAACATGGAAACAGCTCATAGTGACTCAATGTTCCTATATAGAGAACACTTCAACATGGTTCACTTTGCATATTGCGCAAAATATATTTTCTGCAAGGGCCCAACTTCACACAACCAAAGGATACACCCTTTGGCAATGCCTGAACAAAATCTGGGGAGTGCTGGACCCTGTAACGATTCAAAAATACGAAATAAATCCAAAGTATAGTGTGATTTATAATGTGGGATACGGGCCAGTTTAAAGAGATGTGAGCCTCTGGTCATCTTGAATATCGTTTCTAACAATGTTTCGGTCCCCTACCTCCTACCAGACAACCTCTGTTCTCACTGGAACGTGCAAAACCCACCCAAGCTTGTAAAATCAATTGTCGCCCAGAAACAAGAGCAGTCGAGTTCCTTTGTTGGAATTGGGTAGAGGTAACCATGAAGTTGCTTGGGCTGCAGTATAAAAGCATGGGAATGTGTTTCTATGTGTGTTCATCTGGTCGCTCCACATTTGATTGGCCAGCAGGGGCTGGCGCACCCCCGCAGTCAACCCCGCCCAATCCCCTGCAAGAATTGTATTCACAAGGTTTCTGCGCAATTCTTTGTCAGGGTTCTGTGTATTAGCACACTCATTACAGTGTCTCAATGTGATGTTCACAGGTTATATTCAATCCAGCAAATGATGCTTGTAACAGCTGTATCAAATATGCTATTAAAGAGAGTGAAACATTGGAGATGCAGTCATCCTTAAAAAGCGGGAGGACCACTTCAGCTGTTCGGAAGGGGAGCAGTAGCCATGACTATTCCTGCTGATCAATGTAGCTGTGACTGGACAACCCCCTTGGGGATTTGCTGAACACATGTAGTTGCGCATTTTTTAATATGTTAGCATCTTTTGAAGCCACAAACTCCACCAAAATGTACTGGCAAAACCATGCTTTAATCTCCTACCCCCCACCGAAACATTGGTAAATCACATGACTTGACCTGGAGACCCAGCCAAAACATGCGGGCAATGTTGTGTATCTTTATCCCCCATTCCCTGCCAAAATAGAGAAAAGTTACGTGATATTCTACAACCCTAGCCAGAGTAGATACATCAAAATTTTGTGTAATCCACCCCTGCCCCTGCTCCCCCACCAGACCCCGCATCAGACCCCGCATCAGACCCCGCACCAGACCCCGCACCAGACCCCGCACTGGGCCCTGCATCAATTGCAATATCCAGTTACACATCTTCACCTTCCCTATTGGCTTTGTCTACCTTGATAAGATATTTCATAAATGTTTGTATTCTTGCCCTGGTGGTCAGCAGCACTACTGCTACGGCTAAAGGAGGTCAAATATAGAATATGCCAGACTGACCCCGCGGCAGACCCCGCCAGATGATGGGATCAAGCGCATCAACAATCCTATTGTGCAGGGTGCATTTGGGGTTTTCTAAGCTCAAATGCATGGTCAATTAGTGTATTTACCTATGGAAATTATACTGGGATGATTTAGAGAGGCTTCCATTTTTTTTTTTGGCGGAAAATCACGTGATTTTGCGCCCACTGTCTGCCACAACATGCAATCTATCAAGCAGCACCTCCAAAATCATGCCAAATGGTGCAAAAAGGGGCCCCCAAAAAGTCACGTGATAATGCGCCCACTGCCCGCTGCAGTGTGCGGGAGGGGCGGTAGCGCCCCCGCCAACGCCCCTGCCAACCCCCGCCATTTTGAAATTTTTCCTGCAGCTCATCACGTGATTTTCCCGCCATCCCGCCCATTTGGTGCATCATGTGATTGATTTTTTTTTCCCGCCCAGCTGCCCGCTCTTATGGACAAGTCACATGGTATGTATGGGCACCCCCGTCCTGACCCCCGTCCTGACCCCCGCCCATCCCCCTGCCCCAAAATGGCCAGCTGCCCCCTGTACCCCCGCGGGGGGGGACCTCCTGGGTACCCATAGAGCTACGTCTAAGGGTACCCAGGAGGTCCCCCGCGGGGTCTATATGGGGGGTTGGCGGTGGTAACTGAGGTGCTCGTCGGCGTATAGCTCGCTCGCGATTTTCGCGTAGTCGTATTCACTGCAATGGTCCACACAGGCCGCGACTCCAGTGGACCACCACAGCAGGATCTTTCCTTCTGGTCCCAACAAGGCTTTCGAGCGCTTGGCGACAAATCCTCCTCCTATGAAATCCATCTGCTCAGAAGAAATGAGCCTCTGAGCGAGTCTAAAGAGTTGGCGTGCGTGTAGCGTTCTAGGCTTGGGCCAAGTTGTTCCTCCGGTGACTGCTTTCGTGAGGTGTTCGATCCATCCGGCTGTAAGCTGTTCGACCATCTTTTCGACGATCGTCGGCGAAAATTGGATGCTTTCTTCAATCAGTTGCATCCGGAATCGAACCTGGAGACGCACTTGTTGTCCCCTACACCCTCAATCTTCAACCTGCTCGTATCGTACGAACACGAGTTCAGCTCCTTCTTCATCTGTGGAACTGGTTGTGGCGGATAAGAGAACAAATAGACGGTATTCCAGGCACACACCGAGAATGTTGTGCTGCACAATCGTTACGACCAACTCCGGATCCGAGGCCAGCATTCGCGTCGTCAGGTGGATATAAGGCAGCGAGTGGCCCCAAGCTGGAGCGAGCAAGGTGAGGATGTGTCGAGAGGGCATGGTACCGTCCTGAGGTGAGATTTGTTTACGAATACTGCATCTTTATGCATGCGAAGGAGTTGTCAGCCATAGCCGCGGAGAGAAGAAGAACTTGGCATGTGTCATTCCTGTATGGAGGCCAGGAACTACATGCTGATAACCGAGACCATTTGACAGTGATCCGTGTTCGGCCATCCAAGTCAAATGTTCTGGACCCCGTACACCACGGCTCTTCGCGCTACGGACCTGAAACTGTGCACTGGCACGCCTACGGAGCGTATGAGCGCGCAGCCGTACGGGGAGAGACACAGGACTAGTCGGAGGTCGAGGGGAGTGAGCTGCGGCTCTGGCTCGCGCAGTATTTGTGTGTGGGATTCTGATCCTAAACAAGGTCAGGCTCGAGGAAAATAGGCTCAACTGAAATGGGCGGGGGCAGCAGTGAGCAACAGGGGGAGCAAAGGTACAATAGAACGGGCGATGGGACGATTATGACGACGGAGGACAGGACGAGAGGACGATAGAACAACGGGGAGATCAATATGTATGTCTGTAGCACGAAATGGGGGTTTGGGGGCGATGTTGGGAAAATAATGCAGAAGCAGGCGCCGAGAAAGCGAGATAGAAAGCACTGGGAGGTCGCTTTAGACTCTAGAGAGTGGGTGAAGAAGATTTCTTGTTTTTCTTGTACTGTACTACAGGTTTTTTATACTAAGTGTGAATTAAGTCCAAGGAGATAAATAAATTGAACCTCCTGTTGATATGGTGACCATTGAGCTCTGTGTTAATTTACTACTTAGTCAGCGCTGAATTTCGCCGAAATGAAGGTGTTAGAGCCACAAAGAGGGAATGAACTCCGAAATTTGATTCCGGCCCGACGCTTGTCATCACGTGCCAGATCAATTGTGGCTGCTTTGTCAGACCAAGCAGCTTGCTACGTCATACCATGTGACATGTGATCAATTGATTGCGGGGCCAGGGTGTATCCACGCTCGTCAGCACCATGACGATTGTACATTATCATAGTGTCTACGTGCTAATAAAATCGTGTATGGGACATTTCTTGGTGTGAGATCGAGTCCTAGCGGAAGTGCAGCTTCAAGCATCCAAGTGGTCACGTGAAAACGGCTTCAGCTTGAAGAAAGTACAGTATCGAGAGCAGTTGTGCTGGTGAGGAAACTCTTTGAATGCTGATCGAATGTTTCCACCTCCAAAAATGCGCTCTTTGATTTCGCTATGCGCCGCGTTAGCACAATGATTAAGACGATAAGAAGAGAACAATTCAGGCTCACGGAGTCGTCATGATCTGTGGATCACTCAGTCGTGTAGGTGAACCTGGTAAATAAATCAACACATGAACATGGCCCAAACACGTGAGAGGACTTGCCTTGAAGATCTGAGAGAAAGACGGTCCCTCCAGATTTCTCATACTGGATGTGTTGCGTAAAGCACAGGAACTCTGCAACTGCATAGTTTACAGTGTTGCGGACAATAAACGGAGTCGGAGCAGCAAGGTTGTTATGGACGAATTTGAGGAATGTTTCGGCCTGGTCTGTTTCTAGGAAAGGGAGATCAGGATAGGGAAATAGCTCAAAAGTGACGATGTACCAGTTGGCGTGATTATTTCCTCGATGATGAAGGATCGGACCAAGGAGGAGGTGTCCTTGACACTATGTCCACGGGCACTCGAATCGTGAACAAGAGCAACGCCAGCTTCGACGAAGCGGATGTCAAATATCGTCAAGTCCGCTGGTGGAGGGCCATTTTTTTCGATGAAGCTTTGAATGAATGAGTAGCAAAAATCGAAGAGTGAGACGGCCCAGAGCATGATATTGGCCTCCCGAATAGTCTGAAGATATTCCTGGGATGGCTTGTATCTCTCCAGACGCGTCTGATCCTCGCTCCACGACTCAAACATCCTCTTTGCAGCAACGTGCTGGTTAGGAACACAACCCAGTATGTTACCCGAAGACAGAACATGCAAATTCAAACGCGCATTGTGAGCGGATTTAAAACTGCCAATGCCGAGAGGCAGATCTGAGGCAACCATAGAGAGAGTGCCGTACTCCACTGCGTCAAGTTTGCAGGAAAAAAAGTCTGGTTGCTCGATCAACTCGTGAAAGGGAACAGATTTGATTCGGAAGAATTCGATTTGTTCAGTCGTGTGGAGGGCTAAGAAGCATAAGATAGGAAAGTGAAAAGACCAGGTAGAATAAACGCACGTGTGTTTCCGGCCTTCTTCAAGGATCCACCAACGGTCAGTGCTTTCTTCACAATACGTTGATCAGGAGAGCGATACTTGGCCGCAGAGCGTTTGCAAACTGTCGGATTTGGCGGCGTGATGGGACGTTCCTAGAGATGTGAGTAACGATCAGGCAGGAAATTCGAAGACGTACCTTCTTGCTCAATGACCAAGAAGCGCCACTCAGAACACCTACAACAGAGGAGGAAGACTCAAGACCAGAGCGCAAAGTGCCCGAGGTGAATGTAATCAGACTAGGAGCGTCGGCAGCTGGAAATTGGAGAGAAGGCTCCTCCGATTGCCTGCTTTGGTTGAGAGAAGGTGTGGCAGCTAATTTAGAGGCGCTACGCGTGATACGCCGATTGGTTTCAAGAGCATCCAAAGTAGAACTCTGAGTATTAGATGATGCGCCGGGGTGGGCATCACTACTTGAAACCTGAATTGTTTCGAGTAAACCGGCTAAGTAATAGAAATTGAACTCAAAAATAGATACCTTGCTCGCTGTCCCTATGGGCCTCTTTGCAGGTTTCTTAGGAGCTTTCTTCACTGGCTGCTCACGAAACTCTTCATCTTCGACGTCTTGAGAAATCTATTGTAAGCATTTTAGATAATAATACAAAGGAAGCGGAGAGCGACATGACATACATGCATTTGATCCATGAACTCCTGCAGACGCATCCACTCCTCATGGTCAATCACAAGCGCAATCCCAATGGGAGCAGGCCGAACAAAAACAAGAAGATGTCGTTCTCTCTCGAGCTTTGTGCGACCAGGCTTGAGACAGCTAGCGTAGTAGTATGGCTGCTCAAGCGGTTGCCCAGCCAAAGAGATCCATGTAGCAACGTCTCGCACAGTGAAGTTTGTAGTTTTGAATTCGAACCTGCAGTCGGTATCTTGATCGATTCTAGCCTTGAGTTTTGGATAGACCTGGTCATACACAGTCTGCATAATCGATCGCGGGGTAGACTTAGCATCAATCATGACGCCCTCGCTGATAGCCTGGCAGAGATTTCAGCGTCAATTTATCAGAAGGTTGAGGCAATATACCCCAAAACTCTCGCCCTTTGGTTTCCCCGGAGCCTCATAGCGAACACTAATGAGGATTGAAATGACCTCTGGTGCAACACCAACATATGCATTCTGAGCCCAACTTGCTCGAGCAGCGCCGTATTGAGCGTGATTGGCAGAGTAACCCTTGCTTGAGAACGACAGGGAACCAGAACCAGATGATCCAGAATTTCCAGCATTTGGAACGGATACGTGGGGGCCTAGCACAGTTCAGTATGATCTGAACGACATAAGATCGAAGGAACACACCAGGAATAAAATCAGGAGGGCCCATGAATCCACGACGCGGAACAGCAGCCAATTGATTAATTGCTTTCGGAACCTTCTCTGCCACCGCAGTCAGAATAGAACATTGAAAAACTGAAAGGGGAGCTTACTTCCTGTACGAGCATCAATGTTTTGACGCTGGATTACAGCCGCATCCTGCAGTACACCAGGAGTTATACGCTCTTGCGTGGAACGGGCATGTGCGGAACGAGCAGACTCGGATTGGGACAATCCTGGCCAAATGGGTTAGTTGAACACGAAATTATAGAAGGTGAAAGACATACGACCATGACTAGAGGAGGACTTTGTTCGATAATGATCGTAGCAAGGTTGACAGACGAGACGGTCTGGGAAGTTGGGATTCTTGTTGAGAATTTTGTGGCGAGGCTCCAAGGGCACGATCCATTGGTTTCCACGGCAGTCGGATTCACTAGCGCAACGAATGGGCGCAGAAGCGCCCTCCTCTGTAAAGGAGGCCATAACGGTCGGATTGGACATGCGCAAAAGGATCAAACAAGTTGCTTTATGGGATGCTGGAGTTCAACAATTGTAAGATCTCTGCCGACACAATTTATATACTATGTACACCGATCCTGGTCGGCTTATTTTTCTGTAAAAAGTCCGAGAGGCTCCATGAGATGATGAAGCAGGACGCCTGCAGGCAGTAAGGCAGGCAGGAGCATTGGATCTGCAGCTGATGCACGTGTCAACTGTGGTTGATCTAAGCTCAATCCCGGTGCCTTGCACTCGCGTAGCGGTTGTTTTTGGCTAAATTTCTCTATCTTAGTGCGATCCCGACCATCAGATGATGAAGTACCACACCTGCAAGCGGCAGGGCAGGCAGGAACATCAGATCTACAGCTGATACACATATCAACCGTGGTTGATCATAGCTTGATCTCAACGCCTCGCGCTCGCGTAGAGGTGTTTTCTGGTCGAGTTTCTCTATCTAAGCTCGATCCCGATGCCTTGCGCTCGCGTACAGGTGTTTTATGGCCGAGTTTCTCTATCTAAGCTTGATCTCAACGCCTTGCGCTCGCGTACAGGTGTTTTATGGCCGAGTTTCTCTATCTAAGCTTGATCTCAACGCCTTGCGCTCGCGTAGAGGTGTTTGATGGCTGAGTTTCTCTATCTAAGCTCGATCCCGATGCCTTGCGCTCGCGTACAGGTGTTTTATGGCCGAGTTTCTCTATCTAAGCTCGATCCCGATGCCTTGCGCTCGCGTAGAGATATTTTATGGTCGATTTTCTCTATCTAAGCTCGATCCCGACACCTCGCGCTCGCATAGAGGTATTTTCTGTGCATTGCATTCATGAATGGCCAACTTCACTGTGAAGGTTGTCGTAGTGCTCTTTGTAATCTCTGTAAGCCTTACAAAGCCGGGATCCAACGCCTATGTATAAAAACTCTCCTTAGAAATCATGAAACTTGGACACTTCACCCCTCCTGCTAGCGATTGAACCCTCATCTTGTTACATCGACTCATGCCAAATCAGCACAAGCAAGTTCGTAAGTCGATTCAAGTCCTATTCCTTATTTATATTTCTTCCAACCTATGTTTCAGCATCTGCCGAGTATCTCCATGAGTACATCGACAAGTACTGGAACATGGGCAAGAACGACCTGGAGATTCTCGAACTCCTCAAGAAGCATCACATTGATCTTAACAAATATGGCCTTGAGTATTTCTCCCACTTTGTCTGTTCGTTCTGTGTACTCACTTATATTTCAGAATTGCAACATTCCGCAAAATTCGCGATGGGCTTGGGTATCGTCGCACTTGGAAGCAAGGCCATACTGTTGATTCAATCCATGCTGCCGTTGTCAAACTTCGTGCCATGTATCCAAAGGCAGGTGGGCGTGAAATGGTCAACTTGCTGAAGTTTGAAGAAAAGATTCATGTATCAAGGTTTGTCTCTATTATTACTTACTATTCCTTCCTCTCGCCGATTACACTTGATGCAGGCCAGTGCTCATGGAGTACTTTCATATCCATGAGCTGATGCAAGTTCGAGAACGTCGACGGGGCCATTTCCGACGCAAGCGGTTCTGGGCTGCGGGTTCAAATGATCTCTGGGCTATGGACCAGCACGATAAATGGAAGTACAAATTCGGCCTCGCGCTTCACACCGGAATCGACCCTTTCATTGGCGTGATCCACTGGATGAAGGTTTGGTGGAACAATAGTAATCCCCGACTCATTCTAAAGTACTATCTCAATGTTATTGAGGCGCTTGGTTGTACGTCTCATTCACAAACTCCGAACCTGTAACTAATCTGTTTTTGTTTCTAGTTATGCCCCTGGTCATGCAGAGTGACCCGGGTAATGAGAACACTGCTGTCGCTAATGGTCACACTCTCATTCGGCAATATCAAGATCCTGATCTGCGCGGCCAGCTACAGCATCGCTGGATGCGAGAGAAGAAGAATATCACTCCAGAGATTGCCTGGAGCCAACTGCGTCGACGGTTTACACCAGGATTTGAGAACCTTCTTGATATCGGTCTTCTGGAGGGGTGATATGATCCCAAGATCCTCCTCGAGGCGTAAGTGTCGATGACTTGTTCAAAAATTGCTTTATTTAATTGAATCATAGGCTGGTATTTCGATGGGTTTTCATTCCCTGGCTTCAGGCCGAACTCGATGCTTACAGGAATCGTGTCAACAACACCCGGAAGCGCCGCGATCGAAACAAAGTTCTCCCAAACGGTGTCCCCATGCACATGTTCGAGTATCCTGAGGACTATGCGATTTTAGACTTCAAAGTACGTCTACACTTAGTCTCAGTTATCTTCTGATGCTCGCTTTCAGATCAAAGTTGATCCTGCAGCCATTGAGATGGTGCGCGAGTTGTACGCTCCCCCTGAACTGCAAATCTTCGAATTGGTGCCACCTGACTTCCACCACATCATCTCCGACTTCTACGTGAAAATTGGCTCCCCTGTGATCGATCGAGGTAGTTGTTGGGACGTCTACCTCCAGCTTCTGTCGAAGTTTCGACAGCTTGACCAGGCTCATGGGGTAGAAGCCAGCGCTGACGAAAAATGGGGCTACACATTGACTCAAGCAGCGGACAACTACGAGGGAGAGGTAGAACTGCTTGCTGGTCTTCAAGAACTGCGTGGTGGAGAAGGTGTAATTGGACAAGATGGTTCATATTACATGGGTGGTGTGAACGGCGGTGACGGCTTAGGTATGTACCCTCCGCTATTGTCTGCAGCATTACTCAATCATGTTTAGACGATATTCACTACAATAGGCTCAATTCTATGATCGATAATATTGAGCCGGATGTGGGTGGGCCTGCAGGTGACGATGAAGAGTTATTTGCCTGGTTCTCAGACGAGGAAAGCCCGGAAGATTTCGAGAACGCGGATCAATGGTAGCTTGTCCGCTAGGACTCGATCTCACACCAAGAAATGTCCCATACACGATTTTATTAGCACATAGACACTATGATAATGTACAATCGTCATGGTGCACAGTTTCAGGTCCGTAGCGCGAAGAGCCATGGTGTACGGGGTCCAGAACATTTGACTTGGATGGCCGAACACGGATCACTGTCAAATGGTCTCGGTTATCAGCATGTAGTTCCTGGCCTCCATATTCCTGGTATGTCACCCCGGTTGTTGCCGCAGGTGCCTGCGCGTTTGGTTTCGTTACCTGGAATTCGTAGCTGCTCTAATAAACGATCGAGCATGGAGAACAAAAATAGGAGCAGCTGCAACCGTTTTCGAGTTTCGATGTACGTGCGCGTTGTATTGCGGGAATTTCTCGGCGAATCAAAATGTCGATATTAGTCAGACTTGGTTGGTGAACCGGAACTTGACAAAACCGTGAACATGCAATGCATGCACAGCTGGGGCTCAAGATCAGCTTCGTAGATGCACACTGCGGCTCCATGGGAAGTTATTGCTTTGTAACGTCTCTGTGTTATAATTATGGAGATGCAAGATAGTTTGTTATGTGCCCGCCCACGTTCTCCCGATCAAAACGAAAGTCCGGAGCGAAAGAGTGTTGTAAGAATGTTCATTTTGCTCTTGCATTCATGAATCTGCCTGCAAAAGGCCCTCATCACTGGTCTGCTCCTGAGTTTGTGAGAGTTTGGATTGTAGGCTACTTGGAACTCACAGTGAAAAGTGCTTCCAGCAGAGTGTATTTGGATAATTGAAATCACCAAGTCGTTCAATGGTGTCTCGGCGGCTGGACAACTCTTGGGGTGTGAGGGAAAGCGAGACGGATCAGGATTTGCTGAGCTGTGGCATTCAAAAATAACCCGACATGCGGTCGAGCAGAGGTCTCCGAAGCACCGCATGAACGCAGTTCGATTACGCGTGATCTTACTTCCCATCCTCATGGCTTGTTTCTCATTCCAAGCGGAACAGCCGGAAACTATGCTCGATGGAACGGGGCGTACGAGTACCGCCAAGTCATGATCACGAGCAAGAAATTGAACCAGTCCCATCATCTCTTTCTACGTCCCAGAGGTCTTTTAGTCGCGGAAAACCAGTGCGCGAATATAGTCTGATGCGTTACACATTGCTATTCACGACACGGAAGTTGTAATTTTTCAACTCATGTCATAGAATTCCCGTGAACAACGATTTGGTGCCACGGCGCTCTTCAAGGCTCTTCCGTTCTCGTGAACACGATTGTTCACCCTCTCATGTCGTGTTACCAATCTGTGCGAGTAGCGATTCTGGTCATGACAGTAGTGAACATCTCATAGCTTGATCGGTGATGGGATCCGAAAGCAACCCTTCCATCTGCACGGACACGTTTTTGATTTGGTCCGGACGGCCGGAAGCAGCACGTACAACTGCGTGAAATCCGCTCGCCGCGACGTAGTCGGCATCGGCAACGCTGGTGACAATGTAATGATTCGTTTCTTCATGGACAACCGTGGACGTGAGTGGCCACTCACCGCCGTGTCTCCTCTGTCCGATGAACTACTGATGGCTGGAAAGCGTGGTCCCTACATTGCCCCATTGACTGACATTTGGAGTTAGGATCTGCCATCGGGCTTGAAGAGGATATACCTGACTGGAAGTCTGAGCTGATTCTACCTTCACAGTGGAACAAGTTGTGTCCCTTCTGTAGCATACTTACAGCATCGGTCGCGTCTCTCACTGTCTGATCGAATGACCATATCTTGACCTATTTTCGTAGTCACTGCGCAGGTAATGGTACCCTATATCTGATTCAAGATGACTGTGAATTTAAAACACAGGACATGCACCGAATTGCAGGGGTAAATGGATTGATCTGATACTTTCTGAAACTAGGCATTCTGCCCGCTAGCAAACTTATCCTGGTAAGCCTGACGACCGGCGGCAATCGCATCGTATTCTGCCAACTTTGCGCGCGTGTTGCCTTGAACTTTGGAGAGTCAGCGACACGGCTCCATCTCACCCAGAGAACACACTCACCATGTGCATTTTGATGCCGCCCAGACATGATAGCAGCCACCTGCTCAACTGACGTCCTGTTCACGAAATCCGCCCTCGGCTTCCGGATGTCCTGCCAGACAGCGAGCCGCGCCGGGACGTCCTCGCGCGTAGTTCCGAGGGGCAACAGGCCCGCGAGAACACCCGCGTCCTCGATGGCCATCGCCGCGCCTTGGGCCAAGAACGGAACCGTCGCGTGAGCCGCGTCACCGAGAATCGCAGTGCGGCCCTTGGACCATGTCGGCAGTGCGGGGACCGTGCGCAGCCGCCAGCGAAGGATCTGGCCGCTATGGCTTTGCAGGTCTAGCAGGCGGTGGAACTTGGCGTGGTAATCGGCGAACTTGGCGCGCACCTGCGCTGCGGTGATCGGTGTGATCGAAGCTTGGTTGCAGATTCAGAATGAGCACTTGGTCGGTGGGGAGGGTTATCGTAACCCACCGTCCATCTCCTCTTCCGTTTCCGTGTAGAAGTGAATCGTGTTGATGAGTTCTCCACTCCTACACGGATAGCAAAGAATCATCCGGAAGGGGAGACCCTGCGAGGGAACAGAGCGAACGCCCGCGATTCCCTCGTCGAACCACTCCAGGCCTGTGAAGCTGCCGTCTCTCGGAGGCGCTTTGTACACCGTGCGCAAACAAGTGATCCCCGTGGGCAACGCTTCTTGTACGTGTCCTAGCACATGCGTGCGGATGAGCGACTGCGATCAGTGAGCACTGATCAAGAGACGCAACCCGACCACGGGCAGCGCACCTTGATGCCGTCTGCTCCGAGAACTAGGTCCGCGTGCACAGTCTCGCCGGACTCGAGCACTACATCGCCCTCTTCCGGCGAGCAGGATACGACCTTGCAACCGAAGCGCAGCGACACGGGTGAGTGGCCGCCCGCCGGATCGAGCGCAGTGCGCTTCAGTTCTTCGTGAATGTCGGTCCGATGACACGCCAGCGACCACTGCGCGTCCGTCATGTCAGCAAGCTCGGTATCCCGAGAGAGAGTAGACCGACCTCGTTCTCTCCACCTTCTCCACTTGGCGCGAAGCTCCTCCCGCTTCCTTCTCCGGTCACATAGTCGAAAGCGACGACCTAAGCGCGTAAGTTCCCGGTCTTCGCACACACGCGAACAGGCAACACACCCCGCGCAAGAGCACGCCTTTCATGTTCTCCTCCTGGACACCAAAATGCTTCAACACTCGCATCGCGTTGGGCTGCAGTCCGAGCGCCGCGCCGACCTCCGGATTGCTGTCAGAGCGCTCAAACACCTGCACGATGTGCCCGATCTGGCGCAAGGCCAAGGCTGCGGTGAGGCCGCCCAGCCCGGCGCCCACGATCGTGATGCGGAGAGGGGTAGGAGCAGAAGTAGTCGAGTCTGAGGGCATACTGTGGATTGAGAGTGATTCTCAGTGCTCAGATGGGCCTGCGCGTTTATACTTTGCGTTGTTCCGGGATTCTGCTAGAGTCCGTTTATCCTGCCGTGTAGAGATTGCTTACGTCCGGCGCGCGTACGTGTCTTTATTTGGCATTGGGGGCCGGTCGAAGAAACGGTCCGTGTCAAAGTTCCAGCCAGAGGAAGTGGAAAGATTCTCGGCTCGATTCGTCTTGATGGCTGCATCAGAGATAACTGCAGTCTCGTGGATTAATCTCCTTGGATTTGGTCGGACGAGTGTCTCGCTGAGACTAGGGGTACTGGGCAATATCGCAGAATGATTCAAGACTGAGCAGCGGCCAAATTGTGTCGGTGGCGGTGTCCAATTTTTCAGACCTGACTCGTGACGCTGACTGATAAAGATAGTGATGGAACCTTGCCCATACTTCACAACAGTATAAGCATAAACCGGCGAGCTTCGCGTCGAAGATGGAGCCTGGCGTTTCGCTGCGCCAACCCCACGCGCGGGGATCGTGTAAGCTCGCTGAAAACACTCGCACCGATTCTCCGACTGACACAGATCACTCGTTCCAATGTTCCGCACCGTCGCAAATTGAATCTTTCACACGCGAACATTTCGGATTTAGCGCTCTGCGTTACCAATGTGCAGAAAAATCTGGCTCAAGCTGCTGACATCTATGGCTGCCACTGCAATCTCAAGTCTGAATGACTCAGCAGGCTGCTGCTTGAGGGATCGAAGACTCGAGATCGCCTGCACGCCGCAATGAGAAGTTGATGTAAAGGGGACGATGGAATGGCCATTTAACCGATCAATTGCCAAAATTTACGTGCAAGACAGTCTAGCCCTTCAACTCAGGCAGGAGGTCGTTGCGTTCATAATATTTGCACTATAGTTTCCATCTTTGTTCCATCACACATTAAAGCGGTAGACCGGCCACACTCTCTCTCCGTACAGCCCCAGGAATGTGTGAGTGGATTCGGGAGCGATTTTCCCTCGGTCTGAAGGGCTCTGCTATCACTATCTTCGTCCTCAATGGTTGTATGTGATTGGGAACATACATCAGATTGAGACCGGTCGTTCGACGTGATTTTGATAGCGACATTAGGGACGACGAATACGATAAGTATGTGAATTTATGTAGATGCACTGACTTGATAAGAGTATCGAGTCGATTCTCAGACTGCGGAACGTGTCTCTACGATACGTTAGAAGCAACATTGTGGAAAGATGCTTGATGAGAGGAATCAATCCGGGAATCGCCCACGGACAGGACGTCGTCTTTCAAACGTGCACTTACGTTCCCCTATCGAGTGAGTCTCTTTCGACGCCCCCTGACAGTGCCGTTTCTCCAGTCTCACATTACTGTGGACTACCCTCGTAGCGAGCCGGCTCTCAACGGGGGGAAATTCATACCATCTCCATGTTCGACCATCTTTGGATCCGCTTTGATGCACGGTTCACAGATAATAGCCATGAAGGCCCAATACGCAATGTAGATAATTTCAACTCTGGTAAGGTATCAACATTGGTCTCAGTGCCAATCCAACAACCATCTTTCTCAACAATCAAATAAACATCTCCGCCTTGGCTTGATCATTGGACGACATTCCGTAAGGATTTGGCCCAGGCCAAACCCCATATATAGATAAAATATGACGCAATTGATGTGATGTGAATCAAGGCTGTGCTCAAATCACAAACGCTCCACAGGCCAAATCAGCATGATTTGGCCTGGTTTGGCCGAGGCTCAAGACCCTCGGCCAAATCCAAAAAAGGCATTTCCATCAGGCCAAATCGTTGCCGACGATCGACGCTTCTCTCTTGCCGCATTGCACGACATGTAAGTATTGTTCTCTCTTCCTAAGCTCTCAAAATGGCCGGCAAGCAACACTCAACGCGTTCTAGCCAAGCTTCTCAACCCTCTCCATCTAATTATGTGCTATTTTGACGGCGCCGGGGTCCGGCACCTACAGCACCATCTGCTTTGCGTGAGCATGGCATAAACCCCTGCAATTCCCAAGGCCAACTCTTCCTCCTTCTCCTCATCCTTCTTCCTCCCATTCTTGAAGTAATTGGTGTGCTCTCGAGGCCATGGTAGCATGTAGAAAGTAGAGATGTACATTATCAATTGTCTATCATATCTGATCCGGCTGGCCTCGATTTCGTCTCCGGTTTCACAGTGAGGCCAAATGTCACGTTACCATTACGTCATTTCTGATTTGGCCCGGGCCAAATCCTTACGGAATGTCGTCCATTATGTAAGGAAATGGTCGGCGACCAGAAAGCGGAGATAAGCACTTGAACAGAAAGGGCGTTGATAAAATTCTCGAGAGCAGCGATCGCTTTGTCAATTGCAATGGTATGAAATAATTTCCAGGCCAGTTTCCAGATGGATAAAAAGTGCTCGTTCTTGTGTATTGGATTCGTTGACTTGGCCTCAACGAAAGAGACGACTGGTTTCCAAAAAAAATTATCTACATTTTACTCTGCTTACATAGGTGAACATATTATGTTCCTCAGAGCTTCGGGACTTTTGTCTTTCTACGGAAAGTCGATGAAGCTGGAAGACATTTGCGATATTTCAATGGATACCGGCTCAGCAGCCGGAAAATTCATTTTCTGTTTGGCCAGGACAATGTGACCAGAGATGAAGTTAACACCGCTCTCTGGAGAGGAACGCCAACGCGACTCTGATTCCTACGCGCTCACATGATTCGGACGTTAGATTAACTCTTCTGCCAGGGTTCCGTATAGCTGGCGACGACGGATACATCCGCCCCTGAATAAATAATAGAATGAGATGTTGGTGCATTCCATGTGCGGCAAACGACGCACCCCGTTCTCGTATACATCTCAGAAGGCCCTCGACATGCTCTCGATGAGCGGGATGTGCGTTGCGCAGGATCAGCTGCCGCACGGCACTCCACCCGACACTCAGATTGGCGTGCACACAGGCCGTGACAACCGGAACGGTATCGCCGGCATCGACTTCGATCGTTGACCAGTTGGCTGGGATGCGGAAGGATGCAGCACCGGCAAGGTTGTAGTCCAGGTACTTTGAGAACGAGAGCGCCTGGAATCGGACAGAGTGGAGGAGGGGGAACATGCTTGCCAGACTCAAAGGGATCGCCGCGTCGTGGAAGGAGCAAGAGTCGATATGGATCTGGCGGATGCCTGACAGCGTCGACAGGCTCCGGGCCAACTGTGCCTGGGACGCAGGTGGAAGACGGGTCCAGTCGAAGTTACGGAGATGGAGAGACTGTGCGCCTGATAGAAGAGCGAAGAGGGGACTGTTCACGAAGGCCAGAAGTGCGTGGGATGAACACGGGAAATCGAGCGCATCAGAATCCGACTCCTCCGGCGACGCGTCGATGCAGAGGGTGAATACAGACGTTGCCAGTGTGCACTGCGGCGAGAGCAACAGCTTTTGGAATGCGACGATGTTCCGCGGAGAGAGCACGAGGCTGGAAAACATGATGTGGCGGCTGCGGGGGTTCCATCCCGGACAGACGAGTCCGCAAGCTCCGAGCGTTCGCGTGTCCGCTGCAGGGGTAAGGGAGTCGAGCACCTGCTCGACGATTTCGACTGGGAGATGCGCAGGCATGGAAGGTGGACGGATAGGTGGATGAGACACTGGCCAGCGCGCGCATATATACATACCAGCTTCATTCATACTCGCGTCCGATGCGCTCATATGATCCACATAGCACGTAAACTCGGGGCGCTGGAGCGCCAGGTGACCTCAGGACATTACTTCGAGTCCACTTCGAGCCTTCACCCGGTCGAGGCTGTCGCTTGGCTCGCCCCAGTGCACGTTCGTCCTGGCTGTTAATAACCAGCACTCACGCCAAGCAAATGTGCTCCATTCGTTCAGAACGGATATGTTCCGCCGCTGCATCGCCTGTGTCTGGACATGTGCAGCTAGCGCGTATTCCTGTAGAGTCATCCGCGTTGCACGCCCAATGCCCTGTCAGCCTTACTTCGGTCACCGACGGCGACACGGAAGGAGAGAAGTGGGAGACATCACGTGTGCAGCTTCCTGAGTCACGTGTCGCGTATATTGTCTCAGTCGAAGTTGCTGTTGAGCTTCTGAGTGTCTGGAGGCCACATGCATACTGCACACCGTCGATTCGCCATTCACCAGTCTCATTACGTGCAATTCGAATCTGGCCCTCGGGGACTCCCTGATTGAATACATCCCAACGAGCTTGATTTGGCTTTTATTTCGGCATTCGTGCCGTTGGCGACGTTTCCAGACCGCAACCGCGACGCACGCTAGCATTCGATGCCCCCTTCCTTCAGCTTCGCACTGGATTCTTAAGTGACAGCACTCGCCGTCGAGCCAGGACCTTAAATAAAGTGGCCGGCCGGGGCCGGAGCTTCCCGGGGCACCCTCGCAGCGCAGCCTCCATCCAGTCTTTCCTTCGCTTCGCTTCGCCCCGCAAGAGGATCGCTGTCGATTCGTTCGCCCTCTCTTTCCTCGCACCTTCTCGCGAAGCGTAGATACCTCGAGCGAATCCCCGCAGCACTATGCAAATCCGCCCTCGGCTCAAGTCTATCTTGAAAGACGTCCTCCGCGTTAGGCTGTTTGGTGCGTGGACATCCCTCGTCTTGCTGCCACCTGCAGAGAATGACGGTGCACGATCCCAGGCGCCTGCTCCCATGAACGAGCGCCAGGAGGGGCCCGGAGACAAGAGCCTTCTGGAATGACCCAATCTCAGGTTACTACCAGAAAACATTCATTTCAGAGGCCGGACTCACCCGACAGGTATGGCTGAGTTTCTCGCGATGGATCTTCCCAGAGCATCGACTAGTTTCTAGGAGACGCAGCTCGATGTGCTCTGGTGGAAGTCGAACGCCGCTGGTTGAGCGCCCGACACGACACCGTAGGGCATCCTCTGTGTCGTTCGTTTCAATTCCTCGTGTGAGTGGTCGCAGTGTCATGACGAGACAGATATTGAGGGTCTCGCTGCAGTGCTCACAGGGCTGAAGTTTTGGAAGTGGGTTTCATGGAGATAGAGGGTGTATAGAAGTCATAGATGGAAACTGTTGCTCGGTTGGTGAACGAACCAAAACGAGCACTGTAGGACTCGAACCTACAACCTTTTGGTAACACGTAGAGCATCGAAGCCAAACACGCTAGCCATTGCGCCAAGCACCCGTGGGAGAAGAATGACAGCGAAAACCTAGATAATGATGAAGGAGCCTGAGAGAGACAATGAATCCGTGGCTGTGTTTACTTCCAATCTCTGTCGCTCACGTCGCTAGCGTACCGTACTTATCCTCTATGGCCGCTCCTCTCACTATCACACCCGTCAATGTTCTTCCAAGCGCAAAAGAGCTTCTCGAAATCAAGAAGGGCTCCGGCACACCGTCTCTCAAGCCGACGGTACGCGCGCACGTCTGGCGTTCCCCTCACGCCTCTTGTAACAGACCTGCCATCGCAGGATCCGTTCAGCGTCCTCGAGATGGTACTAGAGGTTGAAGTCGAGCGCAAGCGTGCCTCCGAGGCCCTGTCCGCGCGCGACGCCGCCATCCAGCGTCTCTCTGAAGCCTACGTTTCACTGCGCCAAAAGATGTGCATCATCGACCGCCTGCAGCAACAGTCATGTCAGGGCAAGGCCGCGCCGAACGAGCAAGTCCTCGCGCTAGAAGCTACCATCAAGAGTCTCCGGGAAGAGCTCGCTGCTGCTGTTAGTAAGGTGAGCGCTGCGACGGAGATTGCGCAGGCCAGTGCCACGCAAGAGGTGCGGCATCGTGACTCGATCTGGGCGACTTGCTTCCAATAACCGATCGAATGCATCAGAATGGGATTGACCACACTGCGCCTGGTGGCGTGCCCCTCTACCGCCCGTTCTCAGCTCTCGATATCAAGACGTCGGACGCCCCCATCTCTCAGCATATACTCTACTCGCCGGATCAATTGAACGGACCTGAAGACCTTATCAAAGCTAGACACGACTTTCTGATGACGATGCCTCTGCCCGCTGAGCCTCCTGACGACACACTCAAGCCCATCATGCTCCCGGCTCCGTTCACGCTGCATGAGTTTCTCGCAAACGCTACTGGAGTACCTATCACTGCTGTCTCTTCAAAGCTCTTCCGCTGACTGAAACTGACTTCTTTGGTGACCCGCAGCCGCTTCGAAGCGTGCAAGTCCCCTTTTCCGTGTTCCGACTGGACCGTCCGCCCGTGCTCACGAAGCCCCCAGACTCAATAACTACCGCGTGTTCCAAGAACCGACGACTTCCTGGTGCCCAGAGCGGGAGGAGCACGGGTATATGCTCATGCCGCTCTTCAAGTGCACGACCAACCCGCGCGTTACCACCGCCCACCGCTGGAATGTAATCGACGTCACGGGGCGCATGAGCAAGCCGACCGGTGAGCCCTCGTCCGTTCCTCTATCGCGTTGGACTCACTAGTCACCGTGCGCACTCGAAGAATGCTTCTACAACAAGGACGGGAACTGGTACTACGCGGGCGTGTACAAGGGCTTCCGCATGGCCGATCTCACGCCGAAAGAGTGGGATGCACTGTCCGCCGAGGTACGTTCCCCTATCCTGCTCCGCCCCCCGCAATGTTGAGCACCCTGGCTGGCAATCCCATTCTCTCTACAGACGACACAAGTGCTTGTCAAGGAGACCGTCGCCGGGCGCAAGAACACATCCCCACAGAACATCTACGAGACGTCGCAACTGTACTCGTGCGGCGCCCTGCGCGTCGCGTGCGTCGGCCTGCAGTGTGTCGGGTTCAACAAGCCTCTGTACCACGCCATTCTCGACCAGGCTGCCAAGTGTGCGTTGGTAGCTGGCAAGTGGAAGAGTGCGGCGACGGCGGGGATGGTTTCCGGTGCCGCCGCAGGGGCGAGCTTGAATGCTGGGTGGAGTGGACCGTGGCCTGCGCTCGGCGACGGAGCCAAGTGAAAATTCTAGATTGGATTGCATTAGACTGGATAGGATTGGATTAGACTGGACGAATGACTGGCACAAGCTATCACGTCACATACAGAATTCAAGGATGCACTAGTCGCTCATCGTCACCTCTCACTATGGCTGTCACTTGTTTCGGAAAGTAAAAGCTTGAAGGATGTTATTTGTCAACTGCATGAACATTGCGAGGGTTGCCCCGCCTTCCATACCCAAGAGAGAGTTCAATACATTGGGAGCCTGGATGCCCCATTTGCTGAATAACATTAACTATTGCGATTAATTTACTGTCTCTTCTTGCCTATGGCTCATACATAACCAGAAACGACGGCCGAATCGCGTCATTGTTGTACACCACCAGCTCGTCGTAGTTCAGACTGCCGCCCTTCTCAGCCAGGACCTGCGGCAGACGAGGCGTGAGCGTCGGAATGAATGCATAAGCGCAAGAGACACGCACGGAATCATACCCGGCCGGAGCAGACGTCAGGCTGGAGTTGTCGTGCGTGAGCTTACACCCCTTGCCAACGATCACGCGATTCAGCAGGATCGCCTTGAGCGCAGAGTTACAGTCGTTTTTCGAATAGTCGTCCGATCTGTTCAATCCGCCGTCAGCGCCGCTCGGAAGCCTATCCCGGCACAACACACAACGCACTTGGACGAGGTCGACGACGTGTAGATCCCTTTCCCGAATCTGCCCCAGCCCGTCTTGGTGCCCCAGAGACTGATGTCGAATGACGACTTGATGATGCAGCACAGCGAGCACGTCGTCGAGCTGCAGAACTGCGGCGAGTGGCCTTTGTCACCCAGGGTGCATTCCCGCCGGGTCCCGTGCCACCGCCGGTTCTCGTTCCCAGCGGACCGTCCGGTGGCCACGAAGTTCCCGGACTTCTCGACTGCGGCTCTGTTTTTCGAAGCAGATATGAGCCTTCGGCGGACAAGGAACGAGCAGGGAGCACGACGCACTGATACGCTTTGTAAGCGGCCATCGAGCTGTGCGGTGCCACGACTTTGTAGATACGTTTCACCGGCGGAACGTGTTTGTTCGAGTGTCTCCAGGACGTCTGCGTGAAACATGAGGGCCTCACCAAGCTCGTTGACAGACACACACACCTTGAACTGATCCGCAACTAACGCCGAGTAACATCAGTTCCACGGAATACGGCAGACACTTCACCCACTCACCACTCTTGAATGTGACATGGCCCAGCGGGACTTCGAGTAGCATCGGGCCGTTCTTCTCAGCATCGTCGGCGCACGTCGGCCCGCAGAAATGCGAGTGCGCCTGCTTCGCCGCCTGCTTGCACATCAAACAGATCGTTTCGCCCAATCTGCACGCGCACGAGTTGACTGACAGACGATCGCCAGAAAAGGGGCAGAAAGCACACGCACGTCTTGTGGGCCAGTGAACAGTAGCTGCCGGAGCCGCCGTTCGCATTCGTGTGCACCGGTTTCTGGCACCCCGGCGCATGGCAGCTCCCCTTCGCGTTTGCCTTGATCTGCGGATTCTGCGCGCTGGCGCCCTTCGAGCAGGCCTTGCTGCAGAACGGATGGGTGCGCTTCCCATCGAAATACTTTGGCCGCACGTTGCAGAACTGTGCGAGCCGCCCGTCAATCACAGCATTGTGATGGATTCCGTGGTGCCACGCACATCACAGTTGGCCGACCTCGGTTGGGAGGCGCTGCTCACGCCCGGCTGCTGGGTCGGCAGCATCGCTTGATTCGCACAGCTTTTGGAGCAGTAGGGGTGGAGCCTAGTCCCGTCATGGTACTTGGCTCGCACTTGACAGTTCTGATGTGCATCGTTTGAGCGGGAAGAATCGGATAGCCACCAAAGCGCACGACGCACCTCGCACATCACAGACTGCGTGTTAGACGCCGGGGGACTGATGCTGGCCAGCGCCGCGCTGCCCGTAGTATTGGCGCGCTGGGGCGCTGGTTTGGCTGGGATGCTGATAGGCGCTGATGGCGCAGGACCGGGTGCAGCATTCTGTCCAGCAGTCTGGCCTGGAGGGTTCGTTGTTGTCGTCGCAGGCACTGAGACGCTGATCGGCGGCGTCCAGAACTGTTTCCCTCCAGGGTACTGGGACGCGAACGATTGGAGAATAGAGAGCGCCGCCGGAAGGTGAGAAGTCATCCCGAGAGAGAGCAGAAGAGTGAAGCGCCTGTGGTGTCCAAAAACACGCGGGGAATCGACATAAATAGGAACCCCATCGATGCGGGGCAGCATCAACGTGGGGTGGGTGTGTCGTCCGGGCGCATCTTCCGTGCCGTTGCAGCATGTTTTTCGACTCTTCAAGCTCCGATGCAGTCTAGACAGTCGAAACAAAACCCAGCACTGCCCAGCATCCCTGCATCAAACTATGCCCTCGATCCTGCACTGGGGAACTCGCCAACAGAAAACCATCTCGGTGGTCCCTGCTATGGATTTGTGCGACGTACGTCCGCATGCTGGGTTCCTATATCGGTGTCCGTCCAATTCACTCACACCCGGGCACTCCAGCAATGTGGCCAGAAGCCCAAATTCCTCGAACTGGGAGGGGCCCAGCACCCATATTGCAGTCGCAGCTGTGCGAAGAAAGCCCAGGCGACGACGCAGCCCGAGAGCAGCAACACCCAGTATCTCACAGCGTGTGTCTTACGTGGCTGCCGTGCCACCGGGAAGTCGGCGTTCGCAAACTTTTGCTCGGATGAACACGGAAAGTGAGTCGAGGGTGAATGAATGAAAGCCACGGCGTGTTTTAAGGTTTGTGTGACCTAGACAGGGTGTGCAGATGGGCCAAGCCGAGGCGTGCGATATGTGCCAGGTCAGCCCACGTGCGATCGGCGACTTGTGTCTCCCCTGCGAACGCAAATACCCCGGGCCACGACTGAGGGAAGTCAGTCCCTCGGCAACGAGCTTCAGGGATGGTGAGTGACTTGATAAACGTTCACTTGCGACTTACCAGAGCAAGCAGTGCGGGCCCAATTCCTGAGCGAGTGGGACAATCCCTCGGGCACAAAACCCAAAGTGGAGAAGGTATACCAGATCTCCGTCCCCCGCGACATCAAGGCTCGACACGAGTCGTTCCGGTAGCGTGGCCCACTCCTCTTCCGAATCGATGATTCTTTGACCCCACATCTCACAAACGCAGCCGCACCCAGCACCCGACGACCGAAATCCGCCTCTTCCACAGCTCGCAATGCATCTGCGACCTCGGCACCAAAGGCCCTGCCCTCTGCAGTTTCCGCTCGTGCGGCATCTGCAGCATCGTCAAGTCGTCCTTCCACGAGTTTGCGTTCGGCGAAAAGGCTAACTGCGGGCGGTGCGGGCACTGTCCTCCATTCCGTGCGGATTTTTATATGACGTGCGGGAAATGACTAGGTTCGGCGACGGGGTATATGCGTTCCGGAACCCGAGCCTCGCAGATGGGCACTCGACGTCCGCGACGAGCACGCCGTATCGAGTGATGATTGCGTGCGACGCGGCTGTGGCTTCGAATGCGGAGGTACGTCGTCCTCACCCCGATTGCGGTGATCGAGATGGATGGTGGGGAAACTCATGCTTGGCAGATCCCCGATGATTTGTCCGTCTTCATTCCGCGGGCAGAGGCGATTCTTCCGGCGTATGTGATCATATACACAGTCTAGTGGCTTGGTTCTCGCTTTAGTATTTATGACTCGTGTGCTGGTCACGGAGAAGAAAGAGAGTGAATAGATGAGATCCTGTTTTGGAAGATCTTGAAGGAAAGAAGGCAAACACCGCTGCCCGTCCACCTATGTTCGTCGTGAGAGACAAGAAGACAAGGACGCTGTCCGAGGGCCTTGATGTCATCAACAGGAATTGCTGATCCGCGATCTTGCCGCAGCCATACAGTTAGCTTTCACCGGCCAGGTATTGTAAATTCAAACTCCCCGGCGGCCTAGTTGGATAAATCGAGCAGCTTGAAGCTCAAAGGAAGATACATAGTTGAATAAATAAAGCATTGCCAGATCACTCAGTGGTCAAACTGGCTGGGCAGATGAGTGCCGCACGCGCTGGGCGCATTGCCATGAACGCCAGCCCAGATACGTCACGCCAATCGCGAATCCAGACCTGCATGATGAACCTTCAGCTTCATTTTCCGCCGCCAATAGACAGCCGCACGCACATTTGCAGGACTGACAGCACAAGCACGGTCTGCAGATGCTGACAGTACACGATCCCTGCGCACACCCCAGCCCGGAATATCACGGCGATGGGTGTCGCACGGTTGAACACGAGCACGCTAGCGAGCCATAATACGCATGTGATGCATGCCCACAGAGTCTGTGCCCCGAGGGAGCAGAGAGCGTATTTGCACCATGAGGGATGCAAGACGAGGATGGTGAGCAGCGCCGAGGTGACGAAAGTCCAGCTCGCGGAGAATCTAGTACATATTCGGTCGGTCACGGATGACTTTGGTATGAGAAAGAGAGGGGCGCACGCAACAAGCCGTAGTGCGGTTTGAACTTTGGGGCTTGGATAATTGTTGAACAAGGAATAGCGAAGGAGCAGCCAACTCGAAAAGGCAATCTAGCGGCCGCTTCATTGGTGATGTCGAAACTCTATCCGTTACTCACCACAATCAGGCTAATGATCACAGTGAACGCGTATGCGACTGAACGGCGTACGCACACTTTGAGCTCCTCAGTTCAAGAATATCGAGAAGTATACTTACCTGGCGCAGAAACCCTTCTGATTCTCGAAATAATCGAAGCAGAGCTCGCCCTCTTCTCGATGGCGACCTCTCTCCGCCTCGAATAATCCCAGGTCAGGATTATAGCCCCAAAATACAGAAATGCAAGGACGGGGATGATGCATGCGAGGATACTCGTGAGGCCGCTGGTGAGATTGGATGCTTTGTCCAGATTGACCGTCGGCGATGGAAGAATAGTTGAAATAGTAGAAGACAACATCGCGAAGAAGGAGAAGAAAGGGCGATGGAGCAGAGGGAGAAGTAAAGGAGCAAGTAGTCGCCTCGTCGATGCACACGAGGATATTAGCCCGTTTTTGATCGCTATCTTGGCACCGTGCCCCCCAGTCCGTTGATCAGACTGAGCGCGATTCGGACACCGGAGATCTTGAACTCGTGCTGGACGCGTGTTTTCAACGCCTTTGAAGGTTCATTCCCTCAAGAAGGCCGGAGATTCTCGCTGCAAGAGTCTTTCTCACTGAGCCCGTGAAGGAGCCACAGAAGAGTGCTAGCTTCTAATGAATGGCTCATGCGAAGCCGATGCTTGGCCCCGGTCGTGCCTAGGAGTCACATGCGATACTCGTTTACAGTTGAGGATGGTCTTGAGAGCGCATCATCTGATAGTCGTGGATTGTGCATGCTGTGATTCTGTGAGGAACGGAGCAAGGCCACCAGGTCAGCGGATTGATCCGTGATCCGATCGCTTTGCCTTAAGGCCGAAGCACATACGAGTGCTGCTTACGTATTCGCGCTTGTGACCACAACCCGGTCATGGAATTAGACTATGGCGCATACAATCTCCCTCTCACTCCGATCCCCGAGCTGCTGCCGCCGGCCCTCTGTCATCAGAAAATGAAGCCCAACTAATCGTTGCTGCCATCGCAGACGCCCAAAAGAAGCTGAACGACCTGGAAGCGCACATCACGGCCCTGCAGCATCAGGGCGCGAAGCTGCGGCACTTCATCTCCCAGCACAACTCCATCCTGGCTCCAATCAGGCGTGTTCCGAACGAGATTCTGACGGAGGTGTTCAGAGTCTGCGTCGACCAGGACGCGCGCAGGGAACGTCGGCGTGTGCCGTGGACGATCACCTGGGTCTGTGCGCGCTGGCGGGCCGTGGCGCTCAACGCCCCGCATCTCTGGCGCTCCGTTTCGATTTTCGTCGGCGGGTACGATCATGCGGCGCCGGGACCCGGCAAGCTCGAGACCCAGCTGGCGCGGGCTGGTGCGGTGCCTCTCTCGGTCCACGTCCACTCCAACGTCGAGATTGGGGAGCTGTACCCGTTCGAACCTATATACGAGACGTGCCGGAGGTGGGAGCTCGCGTCGATCACTGGCGAATCGATTACGGGGTCCATTCTGAATCGTGTTTTCGCGCCGCCCTCAAACTCATTCTCTCTGCTGCGATCACTCCGCATACAAACGACTTCGTGGATGGTGACTGCGCCGACTCGTGCCTCGTTCCCCGCACTCCGTTCGGTGGATTTCGCCATGCGCAAACAGCTTTTCCCGCGCCATTTTATCGTGCCGTGGCACCAGCTGGAGATGGGTCGTTTCGAGCAGATGGATCTCATCGACGTGTTGTGGATATGCAGCCAGGTCTCCCCCATTTTTCTGCTCCATCTGGATAACAGCAAGCTGACCTGGAAGCGCCTTGGCCTCCCCGACCAAGTCACCTGCGCCGCCGGGCGGATCAAACTTACCAATTACCGACGCCTGTTCTTTAGTGAGCTGCTGAGTCGCCTACGGGCGCCGGATTTGACCGAGATGAGTCTCGAATACATCCACGCGCATGCTGGTCAAGGGCGCGAATTCGCGCAGATTCTGGTTGATTTCTTTGCTGTCTCTGGCTGTGCTCTGCGGAAATTGTGCATCGATGGGCCGCTGAAGGAACTGTATCTAGTTAGGATTCTCACGAGCCCGTCGGCGGAAACTGTCGTCGATCTGGACTGCCCCCTTTGTTCTGTCTCAGACCGTGCAGTCGGTCAGATTAGAAATTTGTTACCTCATCTTGTCCGCTTCAGATATAACGCGGTTCCCTCATGATCTCCAGTGGAAGACAAAAGTTTGTAAACAGCGAAGCTATGAAATGATCACTGCATGCGATAGGGGCCAAAAATCCTCGATTTCGAACGTATCTTGAGCGGCCTCAACCACATCTTACCTCAGCAGAAACTGGCTTGTATTTCCAGCTGCGTTCCGACAGCCCTTGATGATCCTCGCCCGCTGAGACATGGTCGTCAGGTTGAAATAGCCACCACTGGCATTACGGACCTTCTGCCACGAAACCAGTCGGGACAGATTTGCTTGAAGCTGTGTGAATCTTCTTGAACCGGTCGGAACCTGGATCTTTTTTCGGGGAATTGATCTGAACGTACAGAGAAAAACAGAAATTCGACTTGGCCGGAGAGATGTCAGTCATTCTCTTGGACCCCCTGGGCAACCCCAAACATCAATATCTCCCACTAGCAGTAGTCTTATTTCGTCCTGGGCTCTAATATCAGTAGCTGCTCATCGAAAAAGAATGCAAAAAAATTATATCAGGTAAATGATGAACACACTTTTGAACGGGAGTAAGAAATGATACTCCTTTCATCTCCTTTTACATTCGGTAAGTAAAATGCATTTTCTTGGAAATCTTTGTATGGGAAAGGTCAGATCCCAAAAAGGTCCATATATCCTATTGAAGGAATATTCCCTGGCTGTTTTGCATGACAACTGAATTTTTGGGTAGATTACATCCGGATTTTGGCTATATTATACTATGATTATTACTTGGATTCTGAGTTGCCGTGACGAAGAGTCATGCCGTGACACTAAAGCCCTTGAGACCGCCCTGTGCTTGCCACTGCTCAAGGATTTTGGCATAGCTAACGATCCCCTCTCCCCATACCGCAGATTTCGCGGCCTTGAGCTGATCAGCTATACTTTTCGGTCGGCCGCCTTCGCCCTCGAGACTGAAGTATCCTGGCGTGCATCCCCCGACTGCCGCGAACCATGTCGCGCGTTTCACGACCTCCGCCGTCCACGCATCCTCGGCGCTCTTCTCCACCTCGATCACCGGCCTCTCGGCGTCACCGACGACGCGGTGTGCCTGGGCGACGATCGCCGCGATGTGCTTAGACGTGGCTTCGAGTGAAAACGTGAAGTTCACAGCGAAACCGAGCTGCGAGAGGCCCGGGAGGAAGAACATGTTGGGGAACCCGCTGGACGCGATGCCATGCAGCGTGCCGCAACCCTCCTCGGTCCATTTGTTGTCCATGTCTCTCCCCTTTGCGCCCGTGACGCGGAACCTCCCCCGGGAGGCGGGGCTGCCCGTGCCTGCTCCGAGGGTCAGTTGGAACCCGGTACTGAGGACGAGCACGTCGATGGGATACTCGGTGCCGTTGGCGACTACGCCGTCCGCGGACAGCGCATTCACACCTTTCCCGTCCGTGTCGACGAGGGTGACGTTCGGGCGGTTGAACGCGGGAAGGTAATCGTCGTGGAACGTCGGCCGCTTGCACCAGACGGGGTACCACGCCTTGAGCTTCGCTGCGGTTTCCGGGTCCCGCACAATCTCGTCGATGCGTGCCCGGACCCGTTCGGCGCGTGGCAAGTCCAAACTATGCAGCTTTGCGATGTGCTCCGGAATCTGCTCAGGCGTCACTATCCCTGGCGCACCAATGATTCCGCAGAACGCAGGGATCTGGCACGACGCGTCGGATACGAGATCCGGGCCTTCTTCGGGTTGATTGGCCAATATGGCGTTGTAGTTGACCGACCGGGCGTGCTGCCATCCCTTGCCAGTCGCAATCTTGTTCTTCCACTCTTCTGGATCAGTGGGATGCTGGTTTCGCACGTCGACGCTGGAGGGTGTGCGCTGGAACACGAAGAGTTCTTTGGCCCACTTGGCGAGCTCAGGGATCACCTGGATCGCAGTGGCGCCGGTGCCGATGATCCCCACGCGCTTGTCCTTGAGCTTGTCCAGATTCGGAGATGCTGGGGATCCGCCTGTGACGGAGTAGTTCCACCGACCAGTGTGGAATGTCGGGCCTTTGAACTCATCGAAACCAGGCAAGGATGGGATCTGCGGCGACATTATCACCCCTGCAGCGAGGCAGACGAACTGCGCGGAGACCGAGAACGAGCGCTCCGGTTCGTCTGGTCCCCGATCTTCGCGCATTTTCACGGTCCAATGCTTGTGTTCGTCGCTCCAGTCTGCACTGTGATAAACTGTTCTCAGCGAAGCTTGCAGCCGGTAGTGCGCTGCGATGCGCTCTGCCTGCTCCCTCAGCTCGTCCCCGTGCGCATACTTGTATTTGGGCATGTAACCTGTCTCTTCGAGCAGTGGCATGTAGACGTAGCTCTCGACGTCGCACATCAGCCCGGGATAGCGATTCCAGTACCAAGTCCCCCCGAATCCACCCGCCGCATCGACCAGGCGGATGTCCGATGCGTCGAAGCCGGCCCCGATCAACCGCGCTGCCAGCACCAAGCCTCCGAACCCGGCGCCGAGAATGAGGAATTTGACGTCGTCACCGTCGCTGAGCACGTGCGCTGCGGCGTTGAGAGCGGCGTGGTCGACCCACGGGTCGGTCGCGAGGTATTTGTACTTGTCCGACGTTGAGAGCTGGACGAATTGGGATGTGCCATCCGGACGCAGGCGTTTGTCGCGCTCCTGAGCGTACCGCTCCGCAACTTCGGGATTGGGAAGAGAGTTCATTTATACTTCTAACGAGACTCGAGTGCGTCTTTATACTGGTGTTTCCGGCGAGTCGACACAATTCACGCGGGTGCGATTGACGCAGCGAGCGGCTAAGCTCCATGCTCGACGCGATGCTCGCCGTTTATGCTTATACTGTCGTGTGTGGACCTGGTGGTGTCGCGAGATGAGTTCAAGCGAGTTCAAGCTGACAGAATTTCAAATCAACCGAGGCTCGTGGGCCATACCTTTGGCTCGGGGCGGCTCCAGGTCAGTACGGAATATGTGCTATAAATTCCAAACGAAACTGGGTTCTCTCACATGAAACAAATACACGTGATTGGAAGGCCGTCACGGCAAGAAGCGGCGGTCATCCGCCGTTTCATCCTGTCACCCTGTCTGCTGGAGCAATTTCGTCGACCCAGCTCAAACGCGCCGACTCATCTGAGCACTGAGAATCATTATCGGTCCCGGGGCACCCTCAGAATGTACTGCTGGTGCTATTACTCTGGGTATCATGCTCGCACTGGCAGGCGTTGGGCCGGGGCATTCAGCCGGGGCTGTACGGCAGATCGGTCGGGCAAATGGTGCGGGTGTTTGAGCGGGTTGACAGCAATGCGAATGTCGGCGTGGGGCTCGGAGCACAGCCTAATAGCCATCCGCGTGTTGAAGCATTTCGGGGTCCAGGAGAGGAGAATACGAAAGGTGTGCTCCTCCATGCGGTGTGTTGCATGTCCGCGTGCGTGCGAAGACCGGAGACTCGCGTGCTCAAGTCGTAGCCTTCAATTATGTGACTGGGGAGGGAAGCGGCGGGAACTCAGCACTAAGCGGAGAAAATGGAGAACAAGGTCCGTCTATTCCCAGTTTCTCCCGTGAATCTGAGCTTCCTGACATGACTGACATGCAGTGGACCTCAGTGTTCGCCCTATAGGCCCTAAATGCACCTCCGGAGGGCTATAGGCCTTATTTAAGGCATAGGCATATAATTATAGGCCTTGTTATAGGCCATAAAATGTGCACGTGATCAAAACATGTGCCCAATCAATACCAAAATGGGGCATTGTATACAAGATTAACTAGAGCTGGAACTCATCTGGAAAGTCAATTTCAATGGCACCGTCATCAGAAATGGCATCTCCCACTTCATGGGGATGTGTTAATTTAATGAATTGATCTATGATGTCACCAATAATCACATGCTTGGACCTCACATGGCCTATAATAGGCCTATAGGATGCTCCGAGTGCCCTACAGGTTTTAAACCTATAGGCAAACAGTGGCAGTGGTTGCTAGTGTGTCACTTGAACTATACTCACAAAGAATTGAAGTGCAACAAGCTTGATCCAACAGAGTCCTGCAGCCCTCTCTTAAGTGTCTGTTTGCCAGAAACCCCGGGTGTGTTTTGGGTTTGGGGTTTTGGGTTTCCTGTCAGGGGATGACATGGCAGCATGATCATGTCACTAGGTACTGATCCGGCAGTGTTCTGGCAGTGTTCTGATGGATAGTAGTCAGCAGTGTCATACCTCTTACATCATTTACTTGTATATATTGGATTTATTGCAATTTGCAAATATGTTGTCCTCTGTGAAAAAAGAAAAAAGTTTCAGAGACCCTTCAGCAGGTCTGTGTGCCTGCACTGTCCACAAAGTGTCTGGGAGCAGGAGCGCTTGATGGCTGCATCAGCTCAGGTGATGCAGATCAGAAGTGGGCGTCCAGCCATACAGCTTCTTTCCTCTGTTTTCTACAACGTGTCTTGCCTCTCACCATGGGTGGCAGCAAACTCGACAGTGCAAAAACTTTTGGAGTCTGTCTCATACAATGTGCAGACTGTGCAGACTACACAAGACAGGATATTACTGACATCTGTGGCTTCTTGACCCGTACACTCACTGTAAGGGCAACTCCTGCCAGCCCAAAGGAAGAGAGCACACAGCACACAACAACCTCACATGAGTCTGAGCACAGAGGGGGATCCTTAGAGACTATCAAATACAAGGGAGGTATACTACTCACCTGAGCACAGAGGGAGATCCTTAGAGAACGGTTCAAGGATCCATGTGCCCAGGTATCACACTATATAGTCAGCTGTGACAAGTGACTGATGATGATGGGATATCACTGCCATGGAACAATGGCAGATGACAAGTAGATGATAACAAACCCAGATAAGATAGTAAGTGGCTCAGAGGGCCCAGTGATGGCTAGCTCCTGAGACACCAACAGTGGAAGGCCACACTGGAGGAGCCCAGTGGCCAGGCCAGTGCTGGGCTGGCCAGTGGAGACATCAGAGGCGAGGACCAATGCCCGACTGGGAAGAGGGGTGGTGCGGATGAGTGCAAGGGCATCTGGTACGAGCCTGTACGGCAGTAGACCACATCCATGGGAAGAAGGCCGAAGTAGAGGGGGAGGAGTGCGTACGGCAGTAGCACTCCCTGGTGCAAGGAATCAGGGTTGGCTAGACCGCTTGCGGGGATTCAAAGGAGATGGCTGGTAGAAGGAGGGAGAGGGCGGGTGTCGGCACAGATGGAGATGAGGATCGGAGGAGGAGGAGGAGGCTGGGTGATTGACAGGTCAGCAGAGAGCATGCACTGGATCATGTGCATGGTCACGTGCCCAAGGAGCGCGGTGTCCCCTGACACTCACTCATGCTTTTACTCAATACAATTGGACCGGCAACACAGATTCTGGCCCAAAAGCCAGAGCGGTTCAAGGATATCCTTGTTTCCTACACATGCTTAACATTGACTATCTCATCTGCCTTTCCTGCTATCAACCGGCGGAGTTCTTGGATAAATACCAGCTTCTTCTTGCAAAGCTCCGGCACTGTCCTGTCCATCTCACCACAATCCACCATGCCTTCTTTCGTGCTAGAATCAATGTAAAGTGCATCCAACACATGGCTTCGGAGCAGAATCTGGTGTTAGAGGGGGATTTCTTGGCCTGTGTCACACACTATTCTGCAGATCACCTTGTAGCTGTGGATGAGTGTCATAGTTCAACCACTTTTTCATCTTATCATCAACAATCTTATCTTATCTTGACACAGGTTATCTTATCATGGATCATGGCATCACACAGTCTGGGTTAGGGGCTCAGGGGGGTTAGTGGCAGTGCTGGACTGCACTGAACCTGTAGGTGCAGTTCATGGTTCAGAAGATTTTGTATTTGCTTGCGCTGCTGTGCACTGGTGTGCACCACAGTCAAAGGCAGTATGCGAGCATTCCTGCACTGCAGTTCATGGGTGATTGTTTCCCTTCACATCAACAACATAATTATTCTGGCACAAGAGAATCAAAGTGAGGGTGACCTCAAGTTTATCACCCTCAGCCTCATGGCTCATTGTCACTAGCCACAGCTACAACAATCATAAGTCACTGTGTTGTGGGTCCAGATAGCCACCCTGGTGATCATGCAGTGCAAGCGACATGCAAGCTCAATGCTAGCCAGGAACAGGGGGGACTAGACTGTGATACATGGTTGGCCAGATGTCTAGCCCATGTGGAGGGACTGAGGCATGGGAGACTTGTTTGATACATATATTAATTGAGTAGCCACTGAGGGGATTACATATGACTAATCATATAGTCATGTCTTGCACAAGTGCTACCCTTTGCATGAATATTCTCCTCATCACAACTATCACTTGCACTATCACTCTTCACAGTTGTCTTCACCCATTCCAAACTGATTGAATGCCTAATGAAAATTTAATATATGACCAGTCTCAACACTTGTTACATCACAAAGTACTCAGTTTGCTCAAAATCTGGGTGATTGGTGATGACATGGGAGCAGATGGGGATCAGACGTGATCCAGTGATGGCTATCCGGCTAGCCCCGGATTGTCGTTAGATAGTCACCTCTAGCCACCACAGTGGCCAAACACCTTTCCCCCTCATGGTGGCTAGGTGAGACTACTTAGGGCTAGTCAGCTTGTCCCCAAAGGTGAGCAGCTGGACCCGGAGCGCAGTGAGACATTGATCTGGAATATTCTACAACACACTCTTATGATCTAATCAAAATCGAACTTGATTCCGACAATCTCCTCTGACAAATCCCACAACTTCGCGGCATTAGCCTGACAGCGTTCATGAGTGAATCGTTCTCTGGAACACGGACGTCATCCAAACACTGACCGGATCTGCAGCATGCCGCGCCAATTTATCGTTTGCGACCTTTGAGTCATCTAAGTATGCACCGGGGTTTGTTTCGAGTCGCGGATCAAAAGCAGCGGCGACGCTCGTAGCTGCGCCTTCGGGAATTGTCTTCCACTGGATGTCCTTGGTGTTCGGTTGGCCGTCCGGCAAGAGCACCTTCATTGCCTTCAAGGGCTCGAGCGCCTCCTCCTTGGTGGTGATGTTCGTCATGATCGCTGGATGGAAAAGTGTTTTCAAGAAAACGTGTGCATGGGATTAGCGAACGAACTTACATCCAGGATGCAGACTATAACTGTGGATTTTACCGCCGGATCTCCGCGAGAGCTCCGCCGCCGTTAGCGCATTGGCAGACTTGGCCTTGAAATGGGCGTCAAACATCTCGTAAGTCTTCGAGTCAGGCTTTCTGAGCGTTTCGAAGTCAACGCCCCGGCACTCTGCATGCCCAGCGCTCGATACAAACACGATCCGCGGTGTGAAATTCTGTGTCTTGGTAGCGAGGAGTCTTGGCGCGATGAGCGCAGTGAATAGGAATGGCCCGAAATGGTCCGTAGCCATCTGATACTCTAATCCGTCAACAGTGAGCTTGAACGGAACGACTGGAGCCGCTGCGTTATTAATAAGGATGTGAATCGGCTCCTCGTATGCTTTCACTTGCGCTGCAGCGGTGCGCACGGCAGCCAGGGACGATAGGTCCAGGATGAGGGTCCGAATGTTCGCGTGCGGTGCATCATTCTTGATTGCATCTTCAGCGAGTTTCAATCTTCCAGGCGCGCTCTGAGTGAAGAACGTTTCTCTCCAACAGTTTGCATGCAGCGCACCTCGACTCGTTGTATCCAGTGATCACAACCAGGTTTGCGTATCTTGCAATAACCCGCGCAGTCTCGAAACCGACTCCGTTGATGGATGTGCCAGTGACAATGACTACACAGGTGTAAGTCCCGAACTGGTTCCTTGAAGACAATTATCTACCCACCGTTCTTCCCCTTTATTTCGCCTGCGAACGTCGTCGCGACTTCCTCGGCGGTGGTGTTGAAATGGAATTCGGGGTAAGACATTGTTGTTGGTGTTCGCTGAGTCTCTGAGGTGATTCTGTCATTTAGATTCGGGTTTGTCCCGTACTTATACCAAAGTCTCGCGCTATTGATTTGATTTCGTAACGAGAGGGGCCGCGCGAGAGGACAGCCACAAATTCCGATGATTGACTCGCGCGGAGTCATTTGAGGGATATCTTCAAACAGAAATTTCCGCATGCATCATCATCAAGCGCGTAGGGTTTCATTCACCCCGCTAGTCCGGATGAAACCAGCGACAGTTCAGATGATCCGACATGGATAGGTGTGATATTGATCCAGTGACGAGGGGCCGACTTCTGCCGGTTTGCTGCGTATGCCGACCCAGCGGCGAAGAACGAGAAATTGATGTGTCAATGCCCGACTTCCAGAGAACCACCCTCGACTATTTTGTGTGTATGCAGACTATATGACAGTGCCGCGGAACATCTGGAGCACCGTAGATTTGCTTTCACACGCCGCAGGTGTCACAATCGAGTGCTGCCAACGGTCTCCGAGGTCGAAATGGTAATTGGTTTGATTTTCCCCGGACGTTCAAATCTTGACGAAAGGTTGAACAGAGAAGCATATGGTTGTCTTGATTGAAAAGTCAGTCATCAAGGATTGGCAGCATATCTCTGCAAATACTTCTCCAAGAACTTCAAGATTCAGTGGATTAATGATCCCAAGGCTGTTTTTTGTCCTCAGAAACCCGAGGACCTCCAAGGGCCTAGCAACATGAATTCCAATCAGAGAAAATTGATCAATCAGACATTTTGTCCACTCGGTCTAACACACATCAAATCATCTATATATGAACGTTTCATTATCACTCTCCAAACTGTGTCCGGAATTATATAAGCACTGAAAACATCATTCAGTGACAACACATTCACCGACAAAAACTGATCTACATCACAGATCAGAAGTGTCATTAAGAAACTCCGATGACAGAAGCCACATGTCCGAAAAATCGGGAAATAATCAAGTCTCACGTCAACTGCAGTCTTGACAAAGCCCATTCTCCGACTAGTCTCAAATGGGCGGAGAAGCGTATGAGTTTCATATCCGGACCGGCGAACTCTGGAAAGAATCGTTACATGCATGACGGACGGGCAGCATAAAAGCAGCGACCTGACCGAGCCACAAAGATCACTTGCATTCCACACAATGCCTTCAGACTCGACGACTACTGCGACTCCTCTCCGAATTACGATCGTTGGCGCTGGCCTGGGTGGTCTTGCGGCTGCCGTGGCCTTACGGCAGATTGGGCACATCGTTCAAGTATTCGAGCGGTCAGAGAACAAGACCGAGGTCGGCGCGGCGCTAGGGATCCAGCCCAACGCGATGCGCGTATTGAAGCACCTCGGCGTCCAAGTGGAAAATTTCAAAGGCGTGTTTGTTACGGGGGTGAGCCGCCATTTCATTTGCACGATACCCCGGCACTTTTGCACTTCCCAGATCATCAGTTTTGACCCTGTCACCGGGGACGGGCAAGAGCACAAGTTCCTGCCGAGCGCGAAACATGGAGAGAGCGACGCGAGTGACATCCCTTCCAAAATCCGAGCTCTGTGACTCAAACTCAACCAGTGGTTGCTCATGTGTCACCGGACCGACATTTATGACGAACTGAAACGCGTAGTGCTCAATACCACAGGCGGGTTTCCACAGGTGTCGATGCGCTTCGGCTGCAAAGTGCTCTCTTGCTCCCCAGAGGAAGGCACTGTGGTTCTTGAGACGGGGGAGACCATCCACGCAGACCTGGTCATTGGAGCAGATGGCATCCAGGTGCGGCGCCCGGCTTGCTTTTCTGTCTTTCCCGTGTCAATCTGAATTGCGGCTCAACGAATTGGTTGCAGTCGCTCATCCGTACGCATGTGCTCGGATATGTGCAGGACGCCACACCCACCGGCATCGCTTGTTGCCGTTCAGTGTTCAACGCGACTCCTACGGATGGCAGCTTCTCGGGTCTGGAGTGGCTCAGCGAAGGAGACCCTGGCGTTCGCTCTGTCGCCTGGAAAGGCCTGCCCTTCCGGATGATCCTCTGTTATCCGTGCAGAAACGGAGAGCTCGTCAATTCGGCTCACTTCTACACGGAAACAGAGAAAGAGAAGCAGGACGGTGAGTGGCATGGCAGCGATTCTCAATGCGGACTAAAGCCTCGTTCCGTATCCTTATTGCAGTCTCGCACCCAGCTTCGACTCCGACGATGTCCCCGGCGCAGGTGCGGGCCAAGTTTGCGGACTACCACCCCAAGTTCCACCGCCTGCTCGACCTGCCGAACCACGCGGGAAAGATCTTCCGCTGGCGGCTCCGTGTGCTTCCTGCGATCCCGACTTGGTGTAAAGGTCGCACTGCACTCCTCGGAGATGCGGCGCATGCCACGCTCCCTTTCTTGGCCCAGGGTGCGGCGATGGCGATCAAGGACGCGGGTGTGCTCGCGTGTATGCTGCCGCTTGGCACCACGCGGGAGGATGTCTCGGCGCGCCTTGCAGTGTGGGAAGACCTCCGCAAGCCAAGAGCAGATTTCGTGAACAAGACAACCATCGAGCAGATGGAATTTATCATCGCTGGGCAACAAGGGACTGCGCTTGGTGAGAGGCTACAGTCGCACGTGGTTTGAATTGCGATTGATTGACATTTCTCCATTCAAGGTGACACGCGGTCCAAGTTGGCAGAATATGATGCAATCGCAGCCGGTCGCCTGGCTTATCAGGAAAAGTTCGAACGCGTTTGAATTGCATAGCATATTATGATTAGATGATCCCTAGAGGCTCCCCGAATTTATTGATTGAATGGGATTGCATGAAAACCTCTGCATCTTGTAGTAACGGGAGCACTGTTCTCTCCCGCGACATTTAAACAACCCAGTTACCTAAGGGTGTTCCAGCCTTGGTCGAACCCAAGGTTGGCCACTCGCCCTACGCAGAAATACACCTTTCAAGTTCTCCTCAGAGACACCGAGGTGCTTCAGCACGCGCATCGCGTTAGCCGCCCAATCCAGCACCAAAACTCGTGACATGGAGAGGAGAAGAGATGGTAGTACCGTCTGAGGGTATCGTGCTGAGTGATGGTACTTGTCGCACATCTCGGTTGCGCACTTATACTGTAGGGATTCTGGCCAAGGGCCGTTTAGCCCGTCGAGTAAGGAGTGCTTATGCTCGGGACGCGTTGATGTTTGTCCCCGTGACGGCTGTTGAGAATAGTTCTCTGCCAAGATTGCGACGAGTAGACGGAACGGTGTAGAGTCGATCGGCGGAGCTCCCATCAAATCTATCCCGATTCGGCTTCGACTCACGTGAGCTTTACTGGATGGATGAATTTATTACTTCTAGCAACCCAAAGGGGAAATTCCCATCAATATCTTCATAACTCATCGCTAATGACGCTCGAGCCTGCGTTCCTGTTCGGGTTGGGGAGGGGGGCTTAGTCAGTCTGGGATCGGAGATGTGGTTGCTCGTATTTCTTGAGTACTACTAGTATTGGCATTCACCGTCGAGTTAACATCGGACGGGACATGAGAGCAAAGAATTCATTGAGGCTTGGATTACACCGTAGCTGATATAGATTGAATAGGCGGGGTGTTTGCTCACACGATGACAGGCGATGGCGTGTTACACTGTTAAGGCACGCGGCCATATTTGGTCTTCGACTTGGTTTAATTGAGGACCATTCGTGAGACACTGCGGGGGGACTTAATTCTTTTCTGTGGAAAATGCGTGACAATCTAGAAGTCCGATTTTCACCGTTATGTTTTCAGACAAAAAATATATACTGAAAATAGACGTCGATTTACAGCTCAATTTTTACCATTAATAGACATCTATTCCTCCCGAAAACAGAACTGAAAATAGATCATCTTTTTTTTGATCGATTCCCACTGGGAATAGACGTCGATTTTCACTGAAAATAGAGACAAAGAAAAGATGATATTTTTTCACTGAAAACAGATTAAAACCACTGGAAGAATCTGTTGATTCCGGCCCCAATTCACATCACCAGTCCTGCAGCATGATTCCAACATGTTGTGAGTAGCATCCAGTAGCCTTTTGCAAGGCTAGGGATGCAAATTGGGGCCAGAATCAACAGATTCTTCTAGTGGTTTTAATCTGTTTTCAGTGAAAAAATATCATCTTTTCTTTGTCTCTATTTTCAGTGAAAATCGACGTCTATTCCCAGTGGGAATCGATCAAAAAAAAGATGATCTATTTTCAGTTCTGTTTTCGGGAGGAATAGATGTCTATTAATGGTAAAAATTGAGCTGTAAATCGACGTCTATTTTCAGTATATATTTTTTGTCTGAAAACATAACGGTGAAAATCGGACTTCTAGATTGTCACGCATTTTCCACAGAAAAAAATTAAGTCCCCCCGCAGTGAGAGGGGCACCCTTGGGGGAGAACAATAAGCTGGCGTAAATAACCAGAAGTCGCTCAATCCGTTCACCTCTAATTGATTGACAGAACATCAACCTGTCTTGGGGCTTCAGACATTTCACATGGTGCGATGAGGCCGATCAAGGCCGTGAAAATCTCGAACTCCCAGGGGCGGAATCATTCCGGCAAACTGAGCGCACGATTAATTGCCGGCATATACGTCATAACAGTGGCATACTGAACTGTACGGTTAGTCAGCTACTGGCAAGTACGAGATTCATGACAGGGGTCATGATTTGCACCCATCCAGTCCAGCTCAGTATCACCCGCCTGTCCGAGAACTCCGAACTGAATTTCAGTTCTGGCTCTGGAAACATTAACCCAGACCTCGGATTGACTCCGGTCAAGTTCTGGTTCGGATCGATCTCCGGATCCAGCCTGTTGATCAGTGCTTCAATGCTAATGGATTCCATTCCGACGGATTGCGACACGGATGAGCCATGCAGCTGTGCACGCTGAAGCCCATGGAGGTGCTGCGCCGCACCAGAATCACCTCCTCATTGGTTGCAGGCCCTTCTCATCGTAAAGAAAGGTGGGCCAGACTCTTTTTTCACCCTCCATGATATTAACTAGCAGTCACACTTCAATCACACTCCTCGCTGACTCTTTATCCCAGATAGTCTGCGCCTCGCAGGTGGAGAAGATGGTGCCCTGGTCTTTCTCACCGGTGTCCGTGCCTGCATCGTTCTTGTTCACTTCCCGCGCTCAAGTTTTACATGATGCCTGAGTACATCGGGATCTTCCCTTGACGGCTTTTCACATGCTTCACTCTCCGCATCCAGTTTCGGTCTCGCTATTCGCTGGTGTTTACCCACTCCATGGTCCGCCCTACCTTGCAGGGATGCGGAATCGCGTCTAGAATCGTGAGACGTGCGAGAACAAGTAAGTTCATAGCGTCCTTAATTCTCGGCGGCAAAGAGCACTCTTCCGACGTAGATTTATCCTATCTACAGTTCCAGGAGGATCCGAGCTCACAACGCACTCCTGGTGCTCGGTGCCCCCAGCTTGTAATTTCCTGGTGCCAATACCATCGTTTCAGCGACGAACCCTGGTTTGTGCCCCAGGACTCCTTCAGCACCCGCCTGATACCGACGAATGTCGCACATGCCCCATTTCCACTTTTGTCGGACCACTAACGGTGGAAAACTCTGATGCCGAAGGATTTACGTCCCCCTCATTGTCGGCGGAACACGTTCTGGGAGTGTTTTTTGAGTGACCAGCGTGGGCAGTCTTTGCCTATCGACCACTCTGATTGTCTTATCGTCCGTCTAGCTGCTTACTGCTCAATCTGACTTATCCCACTCCGAAAACGATTCTTGCAAGCGTTAAATAAATGAATGGAGAATGATCTTGGGGATGAAGACACTTTGTGATCGTTATTATGCTCCTTGTTATATAAATTCTGCAGCGTCCGAGAGACACCCTCGAAGGATATGTGCGCAGTTTCCACGTCATAACTCATTGTGCATGCCATTACATAAACTAGTCATCTCGAGAGATGATTTCGGAAAGCTCGGCGGCAACCCTCTTGCCGCCGGATTCGGTCGCACAAATGAACACACGACCGATAGTCCCGAGCGTCAGATACCCATGGCCGAGAAACATGAACAAGCATTGGATCTTTCCTTTGTCAATCCCTGATCTTCTTACCGTGCCCAACGGGTTCTCTCGTCATTCTCTTAGTAATTCGACAGATTTTACACCCTGAGTCCGATTTTCCATCCGCAATAGCCTATTTGGGGCCTACAGAATTCGCCGCGGGACCCCCGCAGATCTGGCCCAGCGGGACCCCTGAGAAATCCAAGTCCCGCTCTCGACGACGACGGCGCTGTAAGATGTTCCGTCAACACTGGCATAGAGTCTGAAGTAGTAGAAATATATCCCTATGCGTTGCATCATTCGTAGTGTGGACATCGTTGAGGACGACGAGGTCGAAGAGTCGGGTCCCGCGGGAATCTACCTAAAGCGGGACTAAACCCAGCGGGACTCCAGCGGGAATGGAAAATGACCCCGCGGGACTCCAGCGGGAGTGCTTAACCGGTGTGCGGGACTCCAGCGGAGGTCGAGCAGGTCCCGCGGGACTCCAGCGATGGCCCCACTCGACCCCGCGGGACTCCAGCAGTCGTCTCACATGCCCCGCGGGACTTCAGCAGAGGTCCAGCAGAGGTCCAGCAGGTGTGAAGACTGCGGGATCCTCTGCTCACCGTCACAATCCGGGAGTGCTGCTCTTTAAGGTCACTGCCGCACACCGCCGTGCCTATCATCGTTGCACATTAAAGTCACATCATCATCGTGCACGTCGCGTCAATTCCACAGCCACCTCATCATCATCGTGCTCGTCGCACTGCACATCAAACATCACAGCCACATCGCATTCCTGCTCATCGTTCGCAACAACGACGACGATCATGTTGATAATAATAATTTCATATTATTAGTTAGCCTGACAGCTAGACACTAATACAACTTGTCTTTGAATGATTTAAGTCTGGGAGACCGCGCCTTAAATGGGGAAATTCATTCTAAGTAAACCTCAACCTGTGTGCATTCACAACAACAGGTTGTCTAGAATTTACCATGGGACGCCATTGGGCCAACCCAGCGGAGGCCCAGCGGACCTCACTTTTTTTGTTGACAGACCGCCGCTCTCAACAACGATGACAAGTACAGTATGGTGTGTATTTCAATAGGTAGTTACACCTAAGTTGTTCAGTCTAGTGGGATGGTAGTCTATGTGTAACAACAAAATAGTATTCAACAATGTCTAGCGGTGGTCCCCGATCGAGCGGCGGGAGTGCTAGCGGGATCTGTGGCGGTCCCGCGGTGGTGCAAGTTTTGTCCTGCGGGACCCCAGCGGAACTCCAGCGGGACTCCAGCGGGACTCCAGCGGGTCCCAGCGGGTCCCGCGGCTAATTCATGTAGCCCGCCTATTTGCACCCTCAAAAGATTTGAGGTTTGTGAATACCCGGCTAGATGTAAACCGAGCGAGTGGGCGATCAAACTGCAGTGACACGTGTCGAACTCGTCTCCCTTCTTCTCTCATGTGTAGCACAGATAGAATGATTCTCGGGTGGTTAAACGGACTTTCTAGGTCATTCTTCATGACGCCCGGATCCCCGGCCTGTTGAACAGCATATTCGCTCAGAACTTTCGTCAGTCATCTTTTTTACTCGGCGGCCCGCTGAGATTCGCACTGCTTGTTGTAGCTGCAGGGTCAGAAATCTATATAAGCTTTCCTTTCGCGTTCCTCATCCCAAACAGATATCCTCCTGATGATCTACACAGTCGCAGTCCCGATCGCCTGCACCTTCCTCTCCTATGTTGTTTTCCACTGCGCCCGCACGCTGTTCCGCACGTGGACGTCCTCACTGAGATTCATCGATGGACCGCCGTCGCCGAGCTTCGTTTTTGGCCACTCCGTGGTGTACTCTGTAGGGACCCAGCCCATCCTCTGCCTCTTTGCGATTGAAACACTCTCCAGGATGTGCCAGAGACAGGCGACCAGTGGCGGGAACGATATGGCCAGACGTTTATGGCCAAGGGTATTTTCGGGGTAAGTGTATCTTAGCTATTCGTGTGAAAAATGGCCTCTCACGCGCGTGCGCAGGCTGACGACTTGCACACGACCAACGTCAAAGCTGTGGCACATATTCTCAGGCACGGCTCACTGTACCCGAGAACGCCTGAGTTTCTCAGCATCCTCACTCATATCTTTGGTGCCGGGCTCTTATCAGTCGACTTGGATCCTCACAGACGTCAGGTATGCCGCTGCGGTTGCACACAATCCTCGTTTCTGAATCCTTGATTCCTGCAGCGCAAAATTATCGTGAGTTCGCAGATCAAGTATGAATGGTGTCTGAGTACTACCCCAGCATCCTGCGTTCAGTGCTCAACAAATCCGTCTGATGAACGAAGGCTTTTTGGAACAGGCCATTGTGGTATGTTCCTGGTCGCTCGCGTAGCACGCCACTGATTGCGACAGTTGCGAGATTTTTTGGCGGCCGATGTTCGCAAAGCAGGCGGATCCGCAACCGTCAACCTCGGAGAGATGTTTCGTCAAGTGACACTGGATATCATAGGCGAGGCCGGTGTGTGCTCCTCATCTTCAGTCATTGCATCCGAAATCAAGCCAGATCAACCCATCAGGTTTCGGATACAAATTCAATTCGCTCCAGTCAGGCGGCAAAAACGAAGGCGATCTAAGCGAGGCATTCCGGCTGTTGTTCCACGTGCCTAGCGCCAACCTGAATAATGCGGTGCAGATCGCTCAGGGAGCCATCCCCGTCCTCAGGTTCCTGGTGCGTGGCGAGCGGGTCAAATCGCATAAGATTCCTTGCTGATCAATTGTCTGTCAGCCCCTACCTGGCTGGCGCTCTATGCAGTTCGCAAAAAAGACAATGAAGGCGGTGGGAACAAACCTCATGCAAAAGGCCAAAGCCGAGGCGCAGGCACTGGGCGAGAAAGAATTGGGTTCGGGGCGTGATCTTCTCTCCATCCTAGTCAAGGCAAACATGTCCGCGGACATCCCAAACACCCAACGTTTGAGCGACAGTGAGATTATAGCCCGTACGTAATCGCAATGGAGCTGAGGTAGAACTGATAACCAACCACTATAACCTTCCAGAAGTCCCGACTTTTCTCGCTGCGGGGCACGAGACCAGCAGTGCTGCGCTAGGTTGGGCGGTTCATGTGCTGTCGCACCATCCCGCTGTGCAAGATAAGCTGCGCAAAGAGATGCTGTCCATACCGACCGACACTCCGACCATGGACGAGCTGAACGCGTTGCCATTTTTTGAGGCTGTACTGAGGGAGATTCTCCGGCTGTACGCCCCGCTGGCCTTTATTCAGCGTGTGGCGACAAGGGATGATGTGCTGCCGCTGAACAAACCATACGTGGACCAGTTAGGCGTGGCTCACGAGACCCTCCCGTGCATCTCTTTCACTGTGTTTCAAAGTCCTGTTCCACTGACGAACAACAGCATCACTAAAGGACAAATGATCACCATCCCGATCCGGGGCATTAATACCGACAAGGAAATTTGGGGTGAGGATGCTCTCGAGTTCAAGTCCGTGTTTTCTTTGCATTCTGCAACACGATTTGATACTTGGTTTACCTCTTCTTTTACAGACCCGAACGGTGGAATAATCTCCCTGATGCCGTGGGCTCTGTTCCGGCAGTGTGGGGCAATCAGTTGACCTTCCTTGCTGGTGCTCACAGCTGTATCGGTTTTCGATTCTCCTTGGTCGAGTGAGTCCAGTCCCGTCTGTCGCTCTACATGTGCCGGTTTCTCAAAAATCCGCACAGACAAAAGGCGATCCTTTTCAGTCTCCTCCAGGTGTTCGAGTTCCTTCCCGGCACGGAGCCTGTCGGTTCTGTGATCTCAGCTCAGCTGCGACGGCCATCTTCATTTGTTTCCGACGGAAAGGGCGGCCGTGTGTCGATGGGTGGATTGTCTCTTGTAGTTAAGGCCTACCAAGAGTCATCTTAATTTGTAGTAGTTCGATGGTCAAGATTCGCAAATACTTGTGAAGAATGTGCTATGCTTCTGCTTTCAGAACTGCTTTGAGTGAGGATGGCACAGAGTGTACAAGTATGATATACGAAACCATATTTTGATGACCAATTCATAATCTCATCTCCAAATCGTATCCTTGTTGCGGCGTGGGTTTGCCCCCCGGAGCGTGATTCAAATCAAATGCGGCGCTGTGCAATGCGCATCAGATCACTGCTGAGATTAGAGGTGATGTCATGCCATGTACATACTGTCCCATTTCGACCGTAGGTTCATGTCACTGGTCACCGGGGCCTCTGAACTGAACCTATTTGGCACCTGTCACCGGTCATTTGGGCCGTCGAACCTAATGACATTTCAAATTTTTTGGATTGTGTCTAAAAGGCTTATTTTTGAGAATTTTGTACAGACTTGGTTAAGAAACCACCCTAAATAGCAACTTTGCTGGCAAATCCTGTTGATCAAATATCATCTGTCAAGATGGATGTCGTGATACACATCTATGACTCCATCACGTGTCATCTAGAGTCATATCGACTTGTCCCAAATAGACACAAACGGCCCCCTGTATCATATATAAGGAGGGCTCTATTACCCTGTAATACAAGTCTCTTGACTACTCCCGCATAGTGCCCACACTAAGCTCCAACTCACACAGGTGAGCTGCTAGACGCTCTCCCCAGTGCTCAACAGGTTATGGGCCCCGAGAGCTATGTCTGCGCCTCAATGGCCGCGACATTCATTGTATGCACTGTCACTGGCTGCAACAATGAGCAGCGTCTTTAGCCTATCTGTATTCACTTCAGCTGCTGCATAGCACTGGTGAAACCATGCCGGATTGCGATTACATTGCTTGATCCAGAAGCATCAATCTCTGAAGGAGATTATGATCTATGAGGATCTGATCATCTTGATCTTTGCTTTCATCTATGAGATTAGATTGATGTTGATCACTCACACAGATCTAATATGTCCAACTCTCTTCTCTCCTCTGTTGCGATCTTTGATAGCAAGAACTGGACTTCTTGGGAGAGTCTCATGACTTCCTTCTTGGAATCTCAAGGCATTGCCTATGTGATCCTTGAGAAATATCCTACTCGCATCACGAACGACAATGGAGAAGTTACCAATGAATCCAACATTCGCCAATGGAAGACCGATGACCTAAAGGCCAAAGGCAGCATTAAGTTGCGCCTGACCGAGGTTGTTAGGGCTAACATTCCAGAATCAAATGCAACTTCCGCTGCTGGGATCTTGAACTACCTGACTGAACAATATAGCGGCACCAAGTCTGCGGACCTGTTTGCGCTGTTCCAGTCGGCATTGGACGCCAAGTACAACGCCACCCTGCATCCGGATCCTCAGCTGCTGATCCCCGAAACCGCCTTCAAGTGTCTCGATGAGCAGGATTTGAAAATCCCTGAGTTTCTCAAGGCGATGATTATCCTGAACGTCGCCCACATCTCCGCAGTGACCACGCATGTTCTTCAGAATACTCCAAAGGACAAGATGTCAATCAAAGTTGTTCGTGAGGCTCTCTTGAGCTATTACGCTCAGAACCACGGCAACAAGAATCAGGTCACCAAGTTCAATACCAAGCGTAAGCACAACGACCCTTCCTTCTCCAATCAGCAACAGGGCTCCGGCTCTGCACCCGATAAGGGTGATAAGGCAGATGGGAAGAAGAAGAACCGTCGAGGCAAACGCAGTGGGAAGAACCAGGACAAGGGCAAGGGCAAAGCCGATCACAGTCATGTCCATGGCGTCTCCGAGATAGCTGGTGCGATCACCATTGGTTCGATCACTTCCCTCACTCCGTCTCATCCTGCGCCGACGATCTCGCATGTCACGCACATCTCTCGCGATGGACCCAAAATCCGCGTGATTCAAGAGAAGTCTCCCGTTAACAACAATGGGATTATTGACACTGAGTTCCAGAAGCCTACTCGCAAGGTCTTTGAGCTTGCCAGAAGATGGACGTGACGGTGACCGCAGAATGCTTCTGGACTCTTGACAAGATCATCAATGAGAAAGGAATGCTCCACAAGGACGCAATCATGCGTTCTCCATCTCCGGTTGCTTCGGGCTCAAATCAGACTCTGGATGATGGTCCTCTGACCAAGCGCAGTCGCATTGAGGAAATCCCTGATGTCGAGATGGCCACCGGCCAACAGAACGATCTTGATCTTCTGTTTGGAGACAGCGAGTTCGCCCAGGCTGAACCAGTCAACTGGGATGAGGTTGTCAACTTCAACACCCTTCTGGAGGAGATGGACGCTCCTTCCACCGAAAGGCAAGTACCCTGCCTTCTTGGGCATATGCACAATTCTGATTGTTGCTCACAGCCAGAGCACGTAATCACCGCCGCCCCGGGTTCTGTACTTAATTCACTGATGATTCAATCGCATGATTTTGGTACAAATTTATTCTGTGTGCACTCCGATTTTGCTGCCTGCTCAAAGTGTAAGGGGAAACATCATCATCATCATGAATTAGGGCCTCTATGGCTTCTTGATTCTGGTGCATCTCTCCATGTGACATCGGAGATTAGTGATCTGGTCGGATATGAGAAACTCTCAGATCCTATTGTTGCTCAGACTGCTGATAAGAACACACGTGTTGCCCTTATTGGTCGAGGAACAGCCTTCATCGATCATTATGTCACAAGGCATGGAGAAAAGACTATGGTGACTTCTCAGATATATCCAGTGTACCTAGTGCCAGGATTACATGGTTGTCTCATGTCTTTGGGCTCCTTACTCAAAGGAGGATCTCGCGTTCGTGGAGACAAATTGCGGATCAGCTTACATCGAGGGAAGTCCCCACTCTTGATCATGGAGTTTAGAACTCTAGGGAAGGACATTGCCTTGGACTTCCTGTTGTTGAAGCCTAGCACGGCTGAGACAGTGCGATCCATGTCCACTGTTTACAAGGTGGATTATGAGATCATGCACCGGCGATTTGCACATCCGTTGAAAGACGTTTTACGTCAGACAAAAAAGAATACCAAGGGCTTTCCAGAAGACCTAGTATTTCCCGAGGAAACCTGACCGTGTAAAGGATACGCACAAGGGAAAATGCACCAATGTGCCTTCCCGCCTTCCAAAAAACAAGCGGAGAATCCATTTGATTTGATCTACTCGGATCTCAAACAATTTCTCACGGTTTCTTATCACAAGTACTGTTACTTCATGAGCTTCTTTGACAAAGCACTCTCCTATGGCTGGACAGTATGCCTTGCGCAGAAATCCGACGCCAAGCAGGCTATGCGCAATTTCATTGCAATGGTCAAAAACCAGTTCAATGTCACCATCAAAAAGTGGCATATTGACAATGGGGGAGAATTCATGGGGATGGGAATGGAAGAATTTCTTGCAGAAAAAGGAATTCTAGTGGAGAAGGGTACTCCATATGCTCACCAGCAGAATGGGCATGCCGAGCGCTTCAATCGTACAATCATGGATAAGGCAGAAGCCATGCGCTTCACTGCCTGTCTTCCTAATTCATATTGGGAATTCGCGATAAAACATGCGACACGGATCTACAATATGACACCTATCAGGCGTCTAAAATGGAAAACTCCATTTGAAGCCCTTCACAAGGAAAAACCGGATGTTTCCAAACTCCGAGTCTTTGGTTGTGCTGCATATGTCTTTATCCCTGATGAGAAGCGTGCCAATAAGTTATCGCCCAAATCGGAGCTGATGACCTACTTGGGCATTCCTGATGGTGTGAAAGGATTTTTATTCATGTGCACTAACAATTCCACGTTTGTCGCCACCAAGGCACTGTTCGATGAGGAGTTGTTCCCCCGCTGTCCTGACAGCAATCGAACACCCCACGTTCCTGTTGGAGAAGAATTTCCAGAACGTGATGACCCAGTGAATCCACAAGATCCACCACAGGTAGACGGAGAAGATTGGCTACATGGAGATGATCCTTTTCCATTTCCCATGCGATCTGATCTGGCTCCACCACCTCCTGTACAAGGAAATGATGATGGTGACGATGGTCATAATTGTCAGGACCCACCGCCAGAGCGTCGGGATGAACCTCAGAGGACTCGTAGAAGTAGAATTCCACGACCAAGTCGGGAAGCTTCACCAGCTCCCGAGCCTCGAAGGTCTTCACGCCAGCGGAATGTGCCTACACGTCCAGGAAACGTCTATGGGGAAAAGTGTACCCCTATGGATATAGTCCGTGACATCCAGAACAGCAGAGGATGGATGCGGTATGTTGGTGAAGATAAGGGTAGCTCCCAATCTCAACCATCAACCGGTGCTGATGCAGGGGTTCCCGGCCCTAGCTCGCAACCAGATTCCTCAAACGCGGGTGATTCTGATGATCTAGACAAGGATGCACGCATCAAGAAGCTATGCCGGGAAGGGGGAGTAGAGCTCATCACGGCGCTGCTGTCAAAAGCGGTTCCAAATGAGAACCTACCTGATATGTCCAAAATTTGCGATTGGACGTTCCGCGATATCAAGCGGTTGCCTTCTGAACAACAGAAAGGTTGGATTGATGCTTGCCGCGACGAGTTAGAGGCACTTTGTCAGCGCAAGGTCTATTCCCTTGTGGACCGTCCAAAAGGACGGAAGGTTATCAGATGTCGCTGGGTCTTTGACCAAAATCTGATGGCTGAAAACGTGCCCGCCTAGTTGCCAAGGGTTTCAGTCAAGTCGAAGGTGTTGACTATGATGAAATATTCTCGCCTGTTGTCAGGTATGAGACGTTCCAGTTGGTCATGGCGCTTGCAGCGCTCAATGATTGGCATTGGTCTGGACTCAACGTCAGTAAGGCTTTTCTCTATGGAGAGCTTGACGAAGAGGTCTACATGGAACAACCCGAAGGCTTTGTGGCGAGAGGCCAAGAGCGCAAAGTCATGCGCTTGCACAAGGCAATCTACGGACTCAAACAAGCTGCTTTAGCATGGTGGAAAGCACTGACCAAGTCCACGAAAGCCATGGGCTGGATCCGACTGACATCGGACGCCGGCGTGTTCTTCTACAAGGACTCTGATGGCAGCATAGCCGTCATAATGGTCTATGTGGATGAAGCACTGTTCTTCTCCAAGAACAAGAAGCTCCTCGCCTTTCTCAAGGCTGAGTTCAACAAGCAATGGGAATGCCGCAATTCTGAAGATACTCCCGAGTTCTTGCGCGTACGCCTCAGTAGAGTAGGATCTTCGATCAAGATTGATCAGATTCCCTATCTCGACAAGGTGCTAGAGCGCTTTGGAATGCAGAACGCCAAGTTTGCAGCAACCCCTCTACCGGCTGGATATGTTCCAATGCCAAATGAGGATGAAGTCGATCCAGAGCTCAGGAAGAAATTCCAATCAGTCATTGGATCTCTTCTCTTCATCATGCTAGGCACACGTCCTGATATTGCATTTGCTGTGACCAAATTGTCACAATTTGCCGCCAATCCGTCTCAAGACCACCTCCATAAAGCGCTGTATATCTGCCGCTATTTGGCTGGTACTAGGAATTATTCGCTCATTTTCAATAGTGCGACGGATAGAGGGCTAATTGCATTTAGCGATTCAGACTGGGCTGCTGATCCAATCAAGAGGAGGTCTACCACTGGTTTCTTCACGAAACTGGCAGACAAGATTATCTGCTGGCAGTCTAGACTTCAGCGCACTGTTGCGCAGTCTTTGACCAAAGCAGAGTACATGGCAATTTCAGATTGTAGTCGCCAGGTGATGTGGCTGAAGAGCGTCCTTTCAGAACTCCAGTTCAAGCTCACCATCCCAGTACCCATTTGCGGTGACAATCAGGGTGCACTCTTCAGTGGCAGCAATGCCTACCGAGACCGCAGGATGAAACACATAGACATCCACTATCACTACATCCGTGAGCGAGTCGAGGAAGATGAGGTTGAACTGTTCTTTATTCCGGGCAGTGAGAATCCTGCAGATATGTTCACCAAGAACCTAGGACGTGTCAAGTTCGAGAAGTTCAGGTCTCAACTAGGACTTGAGTTTAACTTGTCCTGAAGGAATGGCCGATGAAGATTTCGCTTTCAAACACTATCCTGTGGTTTTCAGCGTGGGGGAGTGGTGATCAAATAATCATCTGTCAAGATGGATGTTGTGATACACATCTATGACTCCATTACGTGTCATCTAGAGTCATATTGACTTGTCCCAAACAGACACAAATGGCCCCCTGTATCATATATAAGGAGGGCTCTATTACCCTTTAATACAAGTCTCTTGACTACTCCCGCATAGTGCCCACACTAAGCTCTCTCTCTCACAGGTGAGCTGCTAGACGCTCTCCCCAGTGCTCAACAATTTCTCTGTTAATAACAGTCTTGCTATACTACTTAGATGGAGTTCGGGGTCTCCAAAAAATGATGTTTGATCATCTGGCATTTGCCGTTTGATGCCAGTGATATCAGCCGCGCGCGTATCAGCATATAGCTCCAGGCCTCCATACTGCACCGATCAACAAGCGGGAAGTTGTACTTTGCTCGCAAGACCCTGGGTCATATTTTGATCACCGGACAAGGTGTGGAGACCATAAAATCTCCTTGTATACATCGAGAATCCCTTAGGTGGGCAAGACCCCAGTCACCTATAGTAGATCTCAATAAGTTGGTCTGTCCCATCAGACTGTTGTGTCCCATTAGGCCCGTAGATCACTGTAATAACCGATAGATTTGAAAGCCTGTGTCATAAAGGCCAACGCCAAAGGATGCGACCGTCACAACGCAGGGCTATATATGACATGTCTAAGTAATTCCGTAGCACTCGGCCGTCTCTCCTCAAGACGAATCAGATCACAAAGCGTGTAGTGAAAATGGGATTGGATTGGAGGCTCCCTTGATGTCTCTGCCTCTAAATTCAGACCTTCCGTCCGCCAGCAAACGTGTCCTGATAAGCCTGTCGGCCAACTGCAATCGCATTGTAGTCGGCCAACTTGGTGCGCGTATCTTCTCGTACTTTCACAATGCCCTTCAACTACGCAGTTCGTGTAAAAAGAATGAGGGACACGCACCATGCGCCTCGTTTTCTTTTCCAGCCATGATAGCATCCACCTGCTGGATCGACATGTTGTTGACGTACTCCGCCCGCGGCTTCCGGATACCCTCCCACACCGCCAGCCGCGCAGGGATGTCCTCGCGCGTAGTGCCGAGGGGGAGCAGGCCCGCGAGGACACCCGCGTCTTCGATCGCCATTGCTGCGCCCTGTGCTAAGAACGGGAGTGTCGCGTGGGCTGCGTCGCCCAGAATCCCAGTGCGACCTTTGCACCACGTCGGGAGCGCGGGGACCGTGCGTAATCGCCAGCGGTATATTTGACCGGTATGGTCAGGGAGGTCCAGCAGGCGGTGGTATTTGGGGTCGTAGTCGGCGAACTTGGCACGCACTTCGGCTGCGGTGATCGTCGGAGTCGAGATTGGGTGCGAGACTGCAGTCAATTTGCAGAATCAGTCGCTTCGTCAGTTTGGGAGAGGGGCCGCCACCCACCGTCCTTCTTCTCCTCTTCCGTTTCCGTGAAAAAGTGGACAGAGTTGATGAGCTCCCCGTTCCTGCACGGATAGCAGAGAATCATACGGAAAGGCAGGCCTTTCCAGGGGATAGATCGAATGCCAACGGTACCCTCCGTGAACCACTCTAGACCTGAGAACCTGACATCCGTTGGCGGTGCTTTGAACACCGCGCGACAGCAAGTGATCCCGATGGGCGGCGCTTCTTGAACGTAACCGAGTACATGCGTCCGGATAAGTGACTGCGATCAATTAGTCAAGCCTTCATTCCGAGTCGATTGAAGACGGAAAACGATCCCGGTGACGCACCTGGATTCCATCTGCCCCGAGAACTAGGTCCGCGTGCACGGTCTCACCGGATTCAAGCACCACATCTCCTGCTTCCGGTGAGCAAGACGACACTTTGCATCCGAAGCGCATAGCCACGGGCGGAAGGCCTAGGTCCGGATGGAGCGCGATGCGTTTGAGTTCTTCGTAGATGTCGGTCCGGTGGCACGCCAAAACCAACTGCGGGATCGTCATTCCAGAGAGCATGGAGCGGAGGCAACGGAAACTTGCCTGGTTCTCTACACGTTCACCGTCTGGCATGAATCTAATCTCGGTCTCTTCTCCAGTCAGAACGTCGAAGCTGATCATCTGCGCGCAGAAGGGTGTCAGAGTCGTGGTCGAACCCAAGGGTTGGCCACTCGCCCCACGCAGATATACGCCTTTCAAGTTCTCCTCCTGAACGCCGAGATGCTTCAGCACGCGCATGGCGCTCGGCTGCAGCAACAGCGCCGCGCCGACCTCCGTCTTGTTCGCCGTTCGCTCGAACACCTGTACAATGTGCCCGATCTGCCGCAGGGCCACGGCAGCAGCAAGACCGCCCAGCCCGGCGCCAACGATCGTAATGCGGAGAGGAGTAGCAGTGGCAGTCGTAGCGTCTGAGGGCATCGTGTCGAATGATACTACTTATCGTGCATATCGATCGCGCACTTATACTACCTGGCAGGGGAGCCGTTTTCCCTGTCGAGTAAGGAGTGCTTATGCCTGACGTGCGTGTATATTTGTGATTGAGAAGGTCGGCGAGAATGGTTCCGTGTCAAAATTCCGGTACACGGACGGAGCGGGGATGAAGAGCGATGGGCTAAAATAAATAGGCACGTGCCCAATGGATGATTAGCGGATGCCATTTATTTTGGTAATAACAGGCGGGCCGAATGATCCGCAGTCATTCCAGGCTTGGGCGACATCAATTTTTGTCAAATTCAGCCGGTCGTAACTTTGAGTAGAGCGTCATAATCGAGCGCACGCATCGCAAAGACCCTCCATAGAAGGCCCTGATATTGAGAACCCGGTTGAAATGTGCTGTTTGTTGAAGAAGATGGATGATACTGACACGTATCTGAATAGACACCGCATGCTCCGAATACTCAACACTGTATTCCCCAGATCATTGAGAAGGATATCCAAATTAATGCTCGGTATTGTCAATTTTCCAGTGTGGTCACTGGGCTAGTTAGAACCCTAAGTATGCGCTCGGAACTTTCAAAAACTCGCTAAGCCCGAGAACTATGGTCTCGGGTGGGAGACCTGATGGTTCTGGCCGGATATACCAAAGATTTCTCTAGGTTGTCATGCCAAACGTAGACTCGATCGATAGAATGGGACCGCTGAGAACACGGCGGCCGACTCTGGAATATCACTGTTGCGCAGCGAAGTTCATGAGCTGCTTCTCGGGTGCGGTGTCAGAAGCAAACACGGCATAAAGATCCAGACATTCAGCCGGAATAGGGTTGATCGCACCGACTCGGAAAATCGGCATCGAGCCGGTCAATTCAGTGTACTAAGACTCTCATTTGTGCGAGTGCCTCTCGGGCTTCGTCGCATCACACAATCTATTGATCCCTGCTTCGGAACTTGATGCTCTATGATATTCCAAGCGCGGGTGCACGCGTGATAACCTTGAATCCATGAACTACTAAATCCATGTCGCATCCCGCGTCAGCTGCTCCTCCCACCGGATACTGTACGGGCGGGAGCGATGCAAGAGAGAATTGAGAATGCTGTTCACGTCGCTGTGTACATGGAGAAAGACATTTCAAGTCCCGGCCAGGTATCATCGACGTGTGACCTGCTACTCGAGCTCGAGACCAGCTGCCCTCGGCTCGAAGCACCAAAAAGGGTAAGCATCCGAGACCTGCTCCGACTGGCCTGGAGTCAATTCAAACTGTGTTACCAGGACTCGGTAAAATATTTGCGGGCGGAATATATCATGAAGGGCTGCAGCTTGGAGATGGTATTTTCAGAAAGGCAGTGTCAATCCTGGATCATTTCTTTGCGAGTAGAATCTGCAGTATCATATTTTCGCTGTCTCAAAACGCAACAAGTTTCGCAATTTCTTCCCCAGGCTGCCCGTCAATTCTCGGCTCCACAAATCAGCAATGCGGATCGCGTTATGCCTGAGCCATTCCCCTCTTGCGTCCTTGTAAGCCATAAAAGTCCGCTCGAATTCGATTCTCGCGTCATCAGCCGTGTCTTTGATCTTGCTAGGTGCATCAGCCAGTTGCACCCAGGTCCGGATCTGCAACAGCCAACTATGGAGCTGAAGAACAGACTCGCTTAGTCCGAGTACCCAACTGCCAGAGCTCCATGCCGATCGGAAGCGGCCCTGTTGAGAGCATGGTCGCGTTGACGGCTTGTTGCGCTCCGACAGGCCAGAAAATGAGGGGGATTCCTTGGCTCAGTGAGCCTGTCAACGAGCTGGGATGAAATCTGAATAATCCTATAAAGTAGGAGGAAAACTTACTTGTAGCCTCCTTGCGTCAGGAACCAGCCAACCATGCTCGTGGTCGTATATCTCCAGTGCTCCGACTATCTTGAACGTGATGGCGCACATCACCGAGAATGACCTCCATCGACCGTCCCGCACGTCTCGGCTTGTCCGGGTAAAATCTCCTGTACGGCCCGGCAAAGTCGTAGTCGCTGACTTGATCAGGGAGCGCGTTGGCTCCGTCAGCACACTGCAGAACGATCTTGGCTTCGGGCCCCGGTAAGGCTCTGGTGTGTGCAGTAGCAAAACTGCCTCCGAAGAAATCGATCTTGAATTAGATCAGCGGCTGGAAACACCAGGATAGCTTTTTACCGCAATTAGCACGTGCATGGACGGTGCACGGCCTGGCCCAAGCGGTCCCTTCAGTGCTGGCGTGGCCAGCGATTGATTTCGCGAGAAACTTAAGCCACCCTCCCGTGAGGTCCTTGAAAGCCTCTTCCAGCGCCGGCGAGAATTTGACTCTGCAGGTAAACATCGATTCATGAGAGATGCCGAATCCATGCCCGAGAAAGTAACAAAGAAAACACACCCTTCCACACCCACGCTTTTGATCCTGAGATGACTCTGATCACTGGTGGAACCGCTGAGCTCTTTCATCACAGCAGGCACTAGACGAGGCTGTCAGAAATGTGCTGGAGATATTTTGCGGGAGTGCATAAATGAAAGTGTGCTGCAAAATCGTCACAACCAGCTCCGGATCCTGCGCCAGCATGGGAGGGCGAGCCAATAGAATTCACTTCAACACGTCAGCTTCGCTCTCGTCCAGTGTGTAGTCCAACTCGGTGTGCGATACGAACTCCCGTTCTCGTGCTCGTTTGAAAGGAGCCGATCACGAGGATGCGAAGCACTCTTTCAGATTGTCACAGCCCAACAGTGACCTGCCTGGTCTTGAGCTGAAAATGGAGTTCTGAGGCTCATTTTAGAGTTTCTCAGCTGCGACCTGGCGGAGTGAATGGTGACATAGCATCTTGCTTCCGGGACCCCATCAATTCTACCGTGCCGTGTGCCCGTATCCAAGCTTGGGAAAGCGACTCTTGTTCCATGACCCATCGGAACCGGACGTCCTCCGAACCCTCCCGTCTGAGTCCATCGCACAATTCTGCCGTCGGGAGCCACATATTATGTAAGTGCTTAAAGGATAACATTAGTAGAAGATGTTTACAAAACTAAGTTACTATGCCGCGCACGACGCAGGTGATGAAGAGAACCTCCTGCCTTGCACGTGGGGAAAAATCGGCAGGGGTTAGGGTCAGACGCTGACACTCAGCGCCACAAGCACGGCCAAATACGATTTAGAATGTACCAACAATCCTCATTGACTTATCACGGAGGACGGGAACGTGATGCTTTGAACCTCGTTGGAACAGAGGGAAGTGCTACCAATCATGAATCCGGAGCATGTATTGAACTGGAAGGCAAAATGAACATTCGCAATCTACCTTCAGATCTAGGCAGCCTCCCCGCCAGCAAACTTGTCCTGATAGGCCTGTCGACCAGCCGCAATTGCATCGTATCCGACCAACTGGTTATGCGTAACACCCCGGACTTTCACGAGTCAACAACCTCGATCGCGGACCCGCCACGAAACACACTCACCGTGCACGTGCCTATGCTGCCCCGCCAGGATAGCATCCACCTGATCCACGGACGTCTTGTTGACGTAGTCCGCCCGCGGCTTGCGGATGTCCTGCCACACCGCCAGCCGCGCAGGGATGTCTTCGCGCGTGGTGCCGAGAGGCAGCAGGCTCGCGAGGACTCCCGCGTCTTCAATCGCCATGGCGGCGCCTTGGGCTAGGAAGGGGAGCGTCGCGTGAGCTGCGTCGCCGAGGATCGCGGTGCGCCCTTTGTACCACGTCGGTAGCGCGGGCACCGTGCGCAGCCGCCAGCGATAGATCCGGCCGGTGTGGTTCGGCAGGTCGAGAAGGCGGTGGAACTTGGGATCATAGTCGGCGAACTTGGCGCGCACCTCTGCTGGGCTGATCGTCGGAGTCGAGACCGGGTGCGAGGCTGAAGCGCAGATGCACAATCAGTCGCCGGGTCAATCGGGAGTACTCGTCACCACCCACCGTCATTCTTCTCGTCCTCTGTCTCTGAATAGAGGTGGGCCGAGTTGATGAGCTCTGCATTTCTGCACGGATAGCAAAGGATCAACCTGAAAGGGAGGCCCTTCGAGTAGACGGCACGGACGCCCACGATGCCCTCGGTGAACCACTCTAGACCCGAGAAACTGTCGTCCTTCGGGGGTGCTTTGAACACCGTGCGGCAGCAAGCGATCCCGGTGGGGTTGGCTTCTTGGACATAGCCCAGCACATGCGTCCGGATGAGCGACTGTGATCCGTTAGCTGAGAGAGCCATATACTCTTCACGGATGGCGAACCTGGATCCCATCTGCTCCGATGACAAGGTCCGCATGCACTGGCTCGCCAGACTCAAGCACCACGTCGCCCTCTTCCGGCGAGCAGGATACGATCCTGCAACCGAAGCGCAGTGATACAGGGGGAACATCGCCTTTCGGCTCGAGCGCGATACGCTTGAATTCTTCGTATATGTCGGTCCTGTGGCACGCGAGCAACCACTGCACGTTTGTCGCGTCATCAGCGCTCTGGTGACGATAGAGGAGAAAGAGACTCGCCTCGTCTTCTCCACGCTCCGCGTTTGGCGCAAGTTCAGTCTCGTTTCCCTCTCCAGTAACATTATCGAAACCAACCAGCTAGTACGCTCAATCATTATCCTACGCTTCCTTCGTGCGCACGGAGAAGCGACTCACTCCCTGGATGTACACGCCTTTCAAGTTCTCCTGCTGGACGCCGAGATGCCTCAGCACGCGCATTGCGTTGGGCTGCAGCCCCAGTCCCGCGCCGACCTCGGTCTTGTTCTCCGACCGCTCGAACACCTGCACGATGTGCCCGATCTGCCGCAGGGCCACGGCAGCAGCGAGGCCACCGAGCCCGGCGCCCACGATCGTGATTCGGAGAGGAGTCGCACCAGTCGCAGAGTGTGAAGGCATAGAGGGCGATGCTCGCTGCTCTGGGGGGCTCGAGCGTTATACCCAGTATCGTGGAGTAATTTCACAGCAGCCGTTTACCCAGCAGAGTAAACAGTGCTTACGCCCGGCGCCCGTGCGTATTTTTGTTTGACATTGGCGGTCGGGCGAAAAATGGTCCGTGGCAACATCGCAGCCCACGGGATCGATTCAAGTAATTCTCGACGATGTGGTTACCCCGGGGATTACTGGACCTGAGTAGCCTAGTAGGCCATCGCCTTTGGTTGATTTAGTATATGATCTGGGGAGAGTACCGACCAACGGATTGAATAGATGAACGAAATTGCATCTCAGTGGTGGAGCAAGATTCTGTCGAACAGTTACAAGTCACTGCTAGAAAGAGATGCATCGTGTCAGAATCTGTGACTTGGTACAAGATAAGGATAAATACGCGAGCTTTGGGCTCTGTTCAACCGCCGAGGCCGGCAGATTGCTGCGTACATTGGACCCTCGTGATCCACAGACTCATCATGGGTACAGTTTTGTTTTCTGTACAACTCCTCTTCTGAACGTCCCGCCAATCTCTGTAGGAATGCTCTTTGATTGAGTGCAAAGCACATGCTGGTGGGACATCCCAACGTTTATCAAACCTAGGGAAACCGATTGAGATTGCTCTGATGAAAACCGAAGATGGCTACTTCATTAAGTACTCGAGGGAAGGAACGAAAAAAGATCAGGAATATTATTGGAATGCGATTCGAGATCAAAGAAGTCGTGTTAGCACCCTCTTTGTTGCCTCTCCGACGCAAGCACCTCTAGTAGATGAAAGAGCGATCTACCGCCGACCTGCTGGATCCACGTGGACATGTCCTGCACGATGCCTAGTGCGATGCACGCAGCCAGCGGCTAGCTTTGATTTTCGAACAGCTAGTCGTTCATCCGTCTCAGCGCAGCACTCGCTTGTTTATCCTTATATCGTCACTCGGAAACAGATCCCATCACGCTCTTTGTCATCCAGGTTTGCGGTCAAACTCATCCGATGATCCGGCAACCTCGCGACTGGAATCTCTTTAGTGCTCAGTACTTCATGCACTGACATCGCAATGGACCACTCAGCAGCGACACTCATCGTCGCGCATATGTGCGGTTCTCTCCAACGCTACCCCATCGCCGGAAATCCATCGATCCGAGACTCGTGCCGGAGTTTTGACACAGACCATCCGTCGACCGGCCGCGAACGTCAAATAAGAATCCACTCACGCGCCGAGCATAAGCACTCGTTACTCGGCAGGGTAAACGGCCCAGTGGCACAATCCCTGCACAATGGGGAGTATAAACGCGGGGGCCCAATGGACCGCAATCATCACTCTGAAGCCGCACAATGCCCTCAAACACAACTACTGCTACTCCTCTCCGCATTTCGATCGTTGGCGCCGGGTTGGGCGGCCTCGCAGCGGCCGTGGCCCTGCGGCAGATTGGGCACATCGTGCAGGTTTTCGAGCGAACGGCGAACAAGACGGAGGTCGGCGCGGCGCTGGGGCTGCAGCCCAACGCGATGCGCGTGCTGAAGCAGCTCGGCGTGCAGGAGGAGAACTTGAAGGGGGTCTTCCTTCGCGGGGTGCGTCGATACTTGGTGTGCGCGAAGATGGGACACTTATGCGCGTAGATCGTGGGTTTCGACCATGTGACGGGGGAAGGACATGAAATGAAATTCGCGCCGAGTGCGGGGCGGCGCGGAGAAGACGAGGCAAGTCTCACCATCTTTTCACTCGGAGCTGACTTATCCGACAAACGCGCAGTGGTTGCTTGTGTGTCATCGGACCGACATTTACGAGGAACTGAAGCGCATCGCGCTCGAATCGACAGGTGGCCTGCCGCCTGTGTCGTTGCGTTTCGGATGCAAAGTCCTGTCTTGTTCGCCGGAGGAAGGCGATGTAGTGCTCGAGTCTGGCGAGACGGTGCACGCAGACCTGGTTATCGGGGCAGATGGCATCCAGGTGTGTAGCCTGTGAACGAATCGCGTTTCCTGACTCAACAACTGCAGTCTCTCATCCGTAAACATGTGCTCGGATATGTCCAAGAAGCCACGCCCACCGGGATCGCTTGCTGTCGGTCGGTGTTCAAGACACCCCCGAAGGACGGCAGCTTCCCAGGTCTGGAGTGGTTCACCGAGGGGATCGAGGGCATCCGTGCCGTCCCCTCAAAAATTATGCCCTTCCGCATGATCCTCTGCTATCCCTGCAGGAACGGAGAGCTCATCAACTCGGCTCACTTCTTCAAGGAAACGGAGGAGGAGGAGAAAGACCGTGGGTGCCAACCCCTCTTCTGGCCTGGCTAGGCGACTGATTCCGCATTTTCCTTCCAGTCTCGCACCCAGTCTCTACCCCGTCCATCTCCCCAGAAGAGGTCCGCGCCAAGTTCACCGACTACGACCCCAAGTTCCACCGCCTGCTCGACCTGCCGAATCACACCGGCCGGATCTTCCGCTGGCGGTTGCGCACGCTCCCTGCGATCCCGACATGGTGCAAAGGTCGTACCGCGCTCCTCGGCGACGCAGCTCATGCGACGCTTCCGTTCCTGGCTCAGGGCGCGGCCATGGCGATCGAAGACGCGGGTGTCCTCGCGGGCCTGCTCCCCCTCGGCACCACGCGCGAGGACATCCCAGCACGGCTCGCGGTGTGGGAAGATCTCCGGAAGCCACGAGCTGACTTCGTAAACAAGACGTCCGTCGACCAGATAGATATCATCATGACCGGGCAACAGAGCACTGCGCTTGGTGAGTGTTCCGTGTCTTGTTATTGAGCCGGGCCGTTGACTCGTGACAGTGCAAGGCGAGCTGCGCGCCAAGCTGGCCGAATATGATGCTATTGCAGTTGGTCGACAGGCTTATCAGGAGAAATTTGCTGGTGTGCACGATGTCTAGATGCAGAAGTAGCAACACAAATTTAGTTAGACTGTCGCATGTGGTGAATACATTGGTGTCGCTATGATCAGAGGTGTCCTAGTCAGGTGTTTGTTACACATCTTTTTACTGGTACTGGAGATACCCACCCAGGCACTGATCATCTGATCAACCTACTTCATAACTCCATGCCTGGCACCAAGGTGGTGTGGTAACTCTCAAAGCAACAACTTATTGGGTGACTTGCAAACCTCCCAAATGACTTGGCAGGCTGGTGAAATCATTGAGGTTCATATAATGCTGCTCTATGAGTATCCATGTCTATAAATAGGCTTTGGGAATGCTGATCATTTTTGGTGCTGTCCTCTAACAAGCTAACGTGGTGAGGAAGAGTTCTCACTAGTGATTTTGAGGTGGTGCTTCTGACTTCTGATGCAGACCAAGCATAGTCTGCTTGGGAGGTGTGGTGGAGAGTAATGGTTGATATGTCTGACTGACTGCCTCCTTGAGCAGACAAGTCTGGGATCTGTATTGTCCTTGGTAGGTAGACAGCAATGTGAGCTTGGAAGTAGAGTAGATTGCTAATGAAACCATCTGCTCACTCTTTCCATAGGAGTGAGCTTCGAGGTTGTCTGCTTGACAACATTGTGGTCTTTTTCCCAGGTGAAGTGTCCATATTGATCCATGATTTCAAATGTTGAGCACTGGGGAGAGCGTCTAGCAACCCACCTGTGTGAGTTGAGAGCTTAGTGTGGGCACTATGCGGGAGTAGTCAAGAGACTTGTATTAAAGGGTAATAGAGCCCTCCTTATATATGATACAGGGGGCCATTTGTGTCTATTTGGGACGAGTCGATATGACTCTAGATGACACGTGATGGAGTCATAGATGTGCATCACAACATCCATCTTGACAGATGATATTTGATCAACACTCCCCCACGCTGAAAACCACAGGATAGTGTTTGAAAGCGAAATCTTCATCGGCCATTCCTTCAGGACGAGTTGAACTCAAGTCCTAGTTGAGATCTGAACTTCTCAAACTTGACGCGTTCTAGGTTCTTGGTGAACATATCTGCAGGATTCTCACTGCCCGGAATAAAGAACAGTTCAACCTCATCTTCCTCGACTCGCTCACGGATGTAGTGATAGCGGATGTCTATGTGTTTCATCCTGCGGTCTCGGTAGGCATTGCTGCCACTGAAGAGTGCACCCTGATTGTCACCGCAAATGGGTACTGGGATGGTGAGCTTGAACTGGAGTTCCGAAAGGACGCTCTTCAGCCACATCACCTGGCGACTACAATCTGAAATTGCCATGTACTCTGCTTTGGTCAAAGACTGCGCAACAGTGCGCTGAAGTCTAGACTGCCAGCAGATAATCTTGTCTGCCAGTTTCGTGAAGAAACCAGTGGTAGACCTCCTCTTGATTGGATCAGCAGCCCAGTCTGAATCGCTAAATGCAATTAGCCCTCTATCCGTCGCACTATTGAAAATGAGCGAATAATTCCTAGTACCAGCCAAATAGCGGCAGATATACAGCGCTTTATGGAGGTGGTCTTGAGACGGATTGGCGGCAAATTGTGACAATTTGGTCACAGCAAATGCAATATCAGGACGTGTGCCTAGCATGATGAAGAGAAGAGATCCAATGACTGATTGGAATTTCTTCCTGAGCTCTGGATCGACTTCATCCTCATTTGGCATTGGAACATATCCAGCCGGTAGAGGGGTTGCTGCAAACTTGGCGTTCTGCATTCCAAAGCGCTCTAGCACCTTGTCGAGATAGGGAATCTGATCAATCTTGATCAAAGATCTGTGACAATCAACCCAAAAACAAAGTCGAAAAGAGAAGTGAATTCGAAGACTGGAGAATACAACCAGGTAGCTACAGTATTTATACCCAAATCCAGTCTGAGTCATATCTACAACTAATGAGTCATAAGACTATGTACCGCATGGAACGCTGGTCATGGGTTGTACTAGAACCTTCCGGAGCATATGTCGCGCAGCCTCGAATCGATAGAGATAACCCCTGGAACCCCTAGCCCGGACCGTCTGATGCCGTGATCCGTGATAAGATAAGTCATGCCAAGATAAGATAAGATCGTCGATGATAAGATGAAAAAGTGGTCGAACTATGACATTACCCCCTCTCTAGGGTCGATGTCCTCATCGACTAGGCCAATGGGCGTGAAGACGTTCTCGTAGGGGTCGAAGAGTTGTCGCTGGGGATATGGGAGGCGCTCATCCCTGGGTTTATAGCGATGAATAAGATAGTCCCAGTGTCCAGCTTCGAGAGTTGGTAGGAGGCGAATGCGTGTGTCTGGGTTGGATTGTTTCCTCTGCCAGTCTCTCAGGACGTCCTTCGCGTGGGTAAGGTGACGTGATGGTTCCCAGGTGTTCTCGCTGTGCGGCCATCCCTTCCATTTGACCAAGTACTGTTTTCCTCGGCCGACTTTTCGTTCTTTCACGATTTCTTCGACTTCCCACTCCTCTGCTCCTCCGATCATCTTGGCTACGGGTCTCTTCTCTCGGCGATGGGGGGGTGGTTCATGATAAGGTGTCAATAGTGACTCGTTGAACACCGGGTGTCTTCGGTCCGTATCCGGCAAATCCAGCTTCCATGCGGCCGCTCCAACCTTCTCCAGTATCTCGTATGGTCCCAATCTCTTGTCGCTCATCTTCTTTGATGGTCTATCTGTCTCGATATTTTCCCCTTCTATGTACACCTTCATCCCAACCTTCAACTCCGGAACTTCTTTTCTTTGTTTATCGTAGTATTTTTTCATTTTTTCTTTTGCTTTTTCCAATGCTGCTTTTGCTTCGTCTTGTATTTCTTTGATTCTTTTTACAAATTCCCCCGCCGACTCGTTCCTTGATTCCATCCTTTGCTCCACTCCCTTCCATGGGTGATATCCGTGATTTGCATAGAACGGCGACATCTTGGTAGACATGTTCATTTTGTCATTGTATGCGAACTCCGCCATTCCCAGCCACTCCGACCAATCCGTCTGATGGTAGTTGACGTAAATGCGGAGATAGTGTTCGATCTCCTGATTCATGCGTTCGGTTTGTCCATCCGTGATCGGGTGATATGCGGTCCCCGGGTTCATTTCCACGCCCAACATCCGATTCGTCTCCTTCATGAAGCCCTTGATATAACGCGAGTCCCTGTCGGTGATGATCTTGCGAGGGATCCCGTGATAACGGAAGACCCGGTCCCTTGTCAGCCGTGCTACTCCTTCGCTGCTGATGTCAGTACTAATGGGTTCGACATGGATCATTTTGGTGAAGGTGTCACACCACACATGGATTGCGTCATACCCGTTACTGACCGGCAAGGGTCCGATTTGATCCATTGAGATGATTTCCCACGGCGCATTTGGAACTGCATGCGGGTGTAGAGTCCCTGTCCTCGCTCTCCTGGTCTTGGTCCGTTGGCACGCCTCGCACGTCTGGATGTATTTCCGAATTTGGTTTCCCATCCTGGGCCACCAGTAGTTCCTTTCCACCATCTCCTGCGTTCGGTTGATTCCAGCGTGTCCGGCCAAGGGTGTGTCATGGTGTAGACCGATGATCTTGTCTCGCAGTTCCTCGTCCCTTGGTACGTAGAGCTTCCCATGGTACGTGATAAGCCCCTCTTCCTTCTTCCATCCGACGAGTGACTTCTCCAAGGCCGCCTTGACGCTTCCATCAATTGATCGAATGGCCTTGATTTCATCGATTAGCTGCTGATCCTGTCCCTCGAATGTGACTTCTTGGGATCGGAAGAACTCGGGCTTCAGTAGCGTGACGTCCTTGTTGTCGTTCTTGCCCTGATCGTGATCCGCTCGTCGAGACAGGAGATCCGCCTTGCGGTTGAGTGCACCGGGTCGGTGTCGTAAGGTGAAATCAAACTCCGCCAGCTCCGTGATCCATCGTGCTTGTCGTCGATTGAGCTTCTGCGGCTTTCGGAAGTACTCGAGATTCTGATGATCAGTGAAGATCTCGAATGTTTCCGTGGCTCCCAGGAGCAGCTGCCTCCATTCATCGAGTGATAACATGATCGCGAGCATTTCCTTGTCGTAGATCTCGTAATTTCGCTCGGTTTCGGTCAATGCGTGTGAAATAAATGCGATTGGGCGCCAAATGCCGTCTTGGTTTTGGCTCAAAACTGCTCCTGTTGCCCCTTCCGAAGCATCGGCTTCCAGACGATATTGGCCAGTGTCATTTGGCAGTGCTAGGACCGCATCCTCTGCAATTCTCTTCTTCAACCCATCAAATGCTGCACGCTCATCTGCACCCCATGCCCATCCTGCCTTCCCTGTCAACCGTGTCAATGGTTTCGCAATCTCCGCATATCCCCGAACAAAGCGTCGATAGAAGTTGGTGAACCCTAGGAAGGCTTGTACTTGTTTGACGCTCTTTGGTTCTGGCCATTCCATCACGCCCTTGATCTTGACTGGGTCCATCCGCATCGAATTGTGTCCAATAATCACACCCAAATATTCGATTTCCGTGCGTTCAAACTCGCACTTTTCGGGTTTCAGGTACAGCTTGTGTTTTTGGAGCAGTTCGAGTACTCGTTTCGTGATCCGCCGATGTTCGTCCAAGTTCTCTGTGAAGATCAGTATATCATCAAGATAGACTACCACGTGGCCCTCGTTGATCAGTTCTCGGAGTATGTCATTCATCATGTTTTGGAAGGTTGCCGGGGAGTTTGTGAGACCGAAGAACATGACCAAGGGCTCGTACAGTCCGCGGTTCGTGCGGAACGCAGCCTTCCACTCATCGCCCTCTTTGATCCGTACGTTATTGTATCCCCACCGGATGTCCAGCTTGGTGAAGAACTTTGCACCGCATAGATTATGGACCAGTTCAGAGATCAGCGGCAGCGGGTACCGATTTCGGATTGTCATTTCGTTCAGCTTCCGATAATCTTGGACGGGGCGTAGCGAGCCATCCTTCTCTTTGACAAAGAAGAACGCTGATGCCATGGGTGATTTGGAGGGCCTGATCCGTCCGCTGGCCAGGTTCTCTTGTAAGAACTCGTCGAGTTTGACCTGTTCGTTTCGTGATAACGGGTACACCTTGCAGTCCACTGCTTTGGAACCAGGTTTGAGCTCGATTGCATGGTCCCATGCCCGTCGGTCTGGCAGCGAGTCGAACGATTCCTTGGCGAATACTTTGACAAATTCCCGATATTGATCCGGAATCTTCCCCTCGGTCATTCTCTCCTTCTCTTTTTCCGCTTCTTCTGCGAATTTCTGCGCCGGCGTTTCCTTCAACCGTAGATCCACCTCCTTCCCAAAGTCGATCAACAGGATTGACTCTCCCTCTTCCAGATCCGGTGCACCTGCGTCCAGGTCAATTGCATCCATGTCGATCATTGCTTGATGCTCCTCGTGACCCCTCATGTGACACCGCTCTGGGCATCGACTGAACCTCATTGTCTGCTCCTGCCAATCCACCTCGGGGTTGTGTTCCGTCAGCCAATCAAGACCGATGAAGATCCGAGCTTTCCCTAAACACGTCAGAAGGAACGTGCGTGTCTCCACGTGAGGACCGATTCTCATCCTTAGGTCGACGTAATGCGTGATCCGACCGCTGATGTTCTCGGTGTTGTCGGCGTTACGAGCCACAATGGGTTGGGGAAGTTCTTGGATATCCAGCTTCTCTGCCCGCGCGTAGTCGGTATCAATGCAGCAGGTGCTACAGCCACTGTCGAGTAGCGCCTTGACTCTGCGCGTCTTTCCTGAGTCCAGGCCCGTGATCTGTACATACACGTCCATCGAATGTCTCTTCCTTTCGGCCTGGTAGTTGCGTAGTTCCTGCGCCAGTCTGCTGGGTTGCGGGCCCTTCTGTCTCTCGGCTGCCCATTTCCTTTGAACGGCATCCGGCACCCTCGTGCGTTTGGGTGCTTCTGGAACCCTGATTTCGGCAGATTCCTTGGGCGCTTCCTCCTTTTTCAAGGATTGAGCCTCCGGAGCGATGCTCCCCTTTTCGGTCTTTGTTGACGTGGTTCCTTCTCCACGAGCCATAAATACGTAGGAGTCCAAAATTAATTTATCCGCAGCTTTCTGATCCTTTTTACTCTGTAAATACTCTCTATTTAAAGCTATTTTCTTTTGACGTTCCTTTTCCATATCAGCAACAAGAAAATCATGAATATTAGTACGTAGGGAGTCTGAGATCGTGTATGCATGAGGAGAATCGTTCATATCTCTAATCGAAACAAGTATAGAAAAACGTCCATAGTCCGGACGCTCCACCTCCTTGGCTAGAGGAGTGGAGCGCTTCAAAAACCCTTCTCGCGCAGCTTCTCAGCGATCTCCTTGAGGAACTCGTTGTCCTTGTCCCCGTTCTCGATCTCTTCCAGCATCGTGGCCCAATTGAAGAATGTGCGCTTCTTCCTTGGCTCCGGACAGTTCCGCGCAATGTGCCCAGGCTGCTGACAGTTGTAGCAGATGATATTGCGGCCGCGGGCGTGGGTGCGATCGATTTCCATCGGAACTGGTTCGTTGGCAGCGGGTCGGGCCGGGGCGGGTGCAGGTGTCATTGGGGCTGTCTGCGGGCGGAATTGGGGAGGCGGTCGTGGTGCGGATTGCGCATGCGATGCTTTGCGCAGCTGATCGCGTAGAGCGTTCGCCTCGATGTTGACACACCAGTTCTTGAAGGCACCATATGCCTTGGGCAGGGGGACACCAGTGTTGTAGAGGCGGCTTGCAATTTCGCTGCTGAGTCCGCGCTCCAGGAACTCGATGAGGATATTGTCCTGTTCCCCCTTCTTGTACTCGCCCTTGCTGTCGGTGGAGGTGACCACGTTGTACCCCGCGTCTGCAGCCAGCATTTCGAAGTCGGAGATGTAGTCCGCAAAGGACCGTCTGCCCTGGCGAAGGGCCATGAGTCGGGCGGCAGCGACTTGCTCTGCGTTAGAATCCCCAAAGGCCCTCTGAAGCTCCTCCAGGAAGCTTGTCGCGGTGACTCCCGCCTTTAGTCCTTGGAAGCCCTCGAAATTGTGCTGCTTCCAGTTCATCGCCCATCTTGAGGCGGCGCAGCTTGTGCCGCTCTCATTGCGGAGGTAGGACAGGACGAAGAGGATTTTCGTCTCGTCCAGCGAGAACTCTGACCGATAGGCACCGATGTAAGTGGTGCACGCATCCACAAAGCCCAGGTACTTGGACTTGTCGCCATCGAAGTAGGGGGGATTGGCGGCAAGGGTGATGCGGTGATGTCCTGACATGGTAGGAGCAGGTGCGGTAGGTGGGGGCGAGGGTGGTTGTTCGGAGGGTAACTCGCCAAGATCGGGGAACTCGTCTTCAGGCGGCGGAAGGGCGAGGTAGGGGTTGGAGGGTCCGGGTTGGTTTTGATGCGCCAGATCGGGCGACGATGGTATGATGGGGGGAGGGGATGGACTCCCAGATGACGATGGGAATTGGTACAAAATGGTGGATTCGTGTGCTGTACAAGCACTCGAGGAAAGGTTCTTTTGCTAGCAAAAAGATCCCGGGCCTAGCTCTTCACGTGCCCGATGATCCCGAGGTGCGTTTTCCCGAAGGTCTCCGCAGCACTCCTTGTAGCTACCGTAAGGCTTGGGTCGGGCTCAACGTTACCCGTGGCCTGGTGCTGTTTGCTTGATATGAACCTTTCACTGCGATCGCAGCGATCGACTAGATGATTCGGTAAAAGGGTGAGTGGGGTGATAATGGTGAAGAGGATATAGCGGGCGTAGCGGTGCAGGGAGCAGGGTAGAAGGTACGAGGTACAAGGGTATGAGGGGAGTCTTCGAATTATGTGACAATCAACCCAAAAACAAAGTCGAAAAGAGAAGTGAATTCGAAGACTGGAGAATACAACCAGGTAGCTACAGTATTTATACCCAAATCCAGTCTGAGTCATATCTACAACTAATGAGTCATAAGACTATGTACCGCATGGAACGCTGGTCATGGGTTGTACTAGAACCTTCCGGAGCATATGTCGCGCAGCCTCGAATCGATAGAGATAACCCCTGGAACCCCTAGCCCGGACCGTCTGATGCCGTGATCCGTGATAAGATAAGTCATGCCAAGATAAGATAAGATCGTCGATGATAAGATGAAAAAGTGGTCGAACTATGACAAGATCCTACTCTACTGAGGTGTACGCGCAAGAACTCTGGAGTATCTTCAGAATTGCGGCATTCCCATCGCTTGTTGAACTCAGCCTTGAGAAAGGCGAGGAGCTTCTTGTTCTTGGAGAAGAACAGTGCTTCATCCACATAGACTATTATGACGGCTATGCTGCCATCAGAGTCCTTGTAGAAGAACACACCGGCATCCGATGTTAGTTGGATCCAGCCCATGGCTTTCGTGGACTTGGTCAGCGCTTTCCACCATGCTAAAGCAGCTTGTTTGAGTCCGTAGATTGCCTTGTGCAAGCGCATGACTTTGCGCTCTTGGCCTCTCGCCACAAAGCCTTCGGGTTGTTCCATGTAGACCTCTTCGTCAAGCTCTCCATAGAGAAAAGCCTTACTGACGTTGAGTCCAGACCAATGCCAATCATTGAGCGCTGCAAGCGCCATGACCAACTGGAACGTCTCATACCTGACAACAGGCAAGAATATTTCATCATGGTCAACACCTTCGACTTGACTGAAACCCTTGGCAACTAGGCGGGCACGTTTTCAGCCATCAGATTTTTGGTCAAAGACCCAGCGACATCTGATAACCTTCCGTCCTTTCGGACGGTCCACAAGGGAATAGACCTTGCGCTGACGAAGTGCCTCTAACTCGTCGCGGCAAGCATCAATCCAACCTTTCTGTTGTTCAGAAGGCAACCGCTTGATATCGCGGAACGTCCAATTGCAAATTTTGGACGTATCAGGTAGGTTCTCATTTGGAACCGCTTTTCACAGCAGTGCCGTGATGAGCTCTACTCCCCCTTCCCGGCATAGCTTTTGCATGCGTGCATCCTCATCTAGATCATCAGAAGCACCCGCGTTTGAGGAATCTGGTTGCAAGCTAGGGCCGGGAACCCCTGCATCAGCACCGGTCGATGGTTGAGATTGGGAGCTACCCTTATCTTCACCAACATACCGCTTCCATCCTCTGCTGTTCTGAATATCACAGACTATGTCCGTAGGGTTATGCCTTTCCCCATAGACGTTTCCTGAACATGTAGGCACATTCCGCTGGCGTGAAGACCTTCGAGGCTCAGGAGCTGGTGAAGCTTCCCGACTTGGTCATGGAATTCTACTCCTACGAGACCTCTGAGGTTCATCCCGACGCTCTGGCGGTGGGTCCTGACGATTATGACCATCGTCACCATCATCATTTCCTTGTACAGGAGGTGGTGGAGCCAGATCAGATCGCATGGGAAATGGAAAAGGATTATCTCCATGTAGCCAATCTTCTCTGTCTACCTGTGGTGGATCTTGTGGATTCACTGGGTCATCACCTTCTGGAAATTCCTCTCCAACAGGAATGTGGGCTGATCGATTGCTGTCAGGACAGCGAGGGAACAACTCCTCATTGAACAATGCCTTGGTGGCGACAAACGTGGAATTGTTTGTGCGCATGAATAAAAATCCTTTCACACCATCAGGAATGCCCAAGTAGGTCATCAGCTCCGATTTGGGCGATAACTTGTTGGCGCGCTTCTCATCAGGGATAAAGACGTATGCAGCACTACCAAAGACTCGGAGTTTGGAAAAATCCGGTTTTTCCTTGTGAAGGGCTTCAAATGGAGTTTTCCATTTTAGACGCCTGATAGGTGTCATGTTGTAGATCCGTGTCGCATGTTATATCCCAAATTCCCAATAAGAATTAGGAAGACAGGCAGTGAAGCGCATGGCTTCTGCCTTATCCATGATCGTACGATTGAAGCGCTCGGGATGCCCATTCTGCTGGTGAGCATATGGAGCACCCTTTTCCACTAGAATTCCTTGTTCCGCAAGAAATTCTTCCATTCCCATCCCCATGAATTCTCCCCCATTGTCAATATGCCACTTTTTGATGGTGACATTGAACTGGTTTTTGACCATCGCAATGAAATTGCGCATAGCCTGCTTGGCGTCGGATTTCTGCGCAAGGCATACTGTCCAGCCATAGGAGAGTGCTTTGTCAAAGAAGCTCATGAAGTAACGGTACTTGTGATAAGACACCGTGGGAAATTGTTTGAGATCCGAGTGGATCAAATCAAACGGATTCTCCGCTCGTTTTTCGGAAGGCAGGAAGGCACGTTGGTGCATTTTCCCTTGCGCGCATCCTTTACATGGTCGGGTTTCCTTGGGAAATACTAGGTCTTCTGGAAAGCCCTTGGTATTCTTTTTTGTCTGACGTAAAACGTCTTTCAACGGATGTGCAAATCGCCGGTGCATGATCTCATAATCCACCTTGTAAACAGTGGACATGGATCGCACTGTCTCAGTCGTGCTAGGCTTCGACATCAGGAAGTACAAGGCAATGTCCTTCCCTAGAGTTCTAAACTCCATGATCGAGAGTGGGGACTTCCCTCAATGTAAGCTGATCCGCAATTTGTCTCCATGAATGCGAGATCCTCCTTTGAGTAAGGAGCCCAAAGACATGAGACAACCATGTAATCCTGGCACTAGGTACACTGGATATATCTGAGAAGTCACCATAGTCTTTTCTCCATGCCTTGTGACATAATGATCGATGAAGGCTGTTCCTTGACCAATAAGGGCAACACGTGTGTTCTTATCAGCGGTCTGAGCAACAGTAGGAACTGAGAGTTTCTCATATCCGACCAGATCACTAATCTCCGATGTCACATGGAGAGATGCACCAGAATCAAGAAGCCATAGAGGCCCTAATTCATGATGATGATGATGTTTCCCCTTACACTTTGAGCAGGCAGCAAAATCGGAGTGCACACAGAATAAATTTGTACAAAAATCATGCGATCGAATCATCAACGAATTAAGTACAGAACCCGGGGCAGCGGTGATTACATGCTCTGGCTGTGAGCAACAATCAGAATTGTGCATATGCCCAAGAAGGCAGGGTACTTGCCTTTCGGCGGAAGGAGCGTCCATCTCCTCCAGAAGGGTGTTGAAGTTGACAACCTCATCCCAGTTGACTGGTTCAGCCTGGGCAAACTTGCTGTCTCCAAACAGAAGATCAAGATCGTTCTGTTGGCCGGTGGCCATCTCGACATCGGGGATTTCCTCGATGCAACTGCGCTTGGTCGGAGGACCATCATCCAGAGTCTGATTCGAGCCCGAAGCAACCGGAGATGGAGAACGCATGATTGCGTCCTCACAGAGCATTCCTTTCTCATTGACAATCTTGTCGAGAGTCCGGAAGCGTTCTGCGGTCACTGTCACGTCCATCTTCTTGGCAAGCTCAAAGACCTTGCGAGTAGGCTTCTGGAACTCGGTGTCAATAATCCCATCGTTGTTAACGGGAGACTTCTCTTGAATCGCGCGGATTTTGGGTCCATCGCGAGAGATGTGCGTGACATGCGAGATTGTCAGCGCAGGATGAGACGGAGTGAGGGAAGTGATCGAACCAATGGTGATCGCACCAGCTATCTCGGAGACGCCATGGACATGACTGTGATCGGCCTTGCCCTTGCCCTTGTCCTGGTTCTTCCCACTGCGTTTGCCTCGACGGTTCTTCTTCTTCCCATCTGCCTTATCACCCTTATCAGGTGCAGAGCCGGAGCCCTGTTGCTGATTGGAGAAGGAAGGGTCGTCGCGCTTACGCTTGGTATTGAACTTGGTGACCTGACTCTTGTTGCCGTGGTTCTGAGCGTAATAGCTCAAGAGAGCCTCACAAACAACTTTGATTGTCATCTTGTCCTTCGGAGTATTCTGAAGAACATGCGTGGTCACTGCGGAGATGTGGGCAACGTTCAGGATGATCATTGCCTTGAGAAACTCAGGGATTTTCAAATCCTGCTCATCGAGACGCTTGAAGGCGGTTTCGGGGATCAGCAGCGGAGGATCCGGATGCAGGGTGGCGTTGTACTTGGCGTCCAATGCCGACTGGAACAGCGCAAACATATTGTTCAGTCAGGTAGTTCCAGATCCCAGCAGCGGAAGTCGCATTCGAATCTAGAATGTTAGCCCTAACAACCTCGGTCAGGCGCAACTTAATGCTGCCTTTGGCCTTTAGGTCATCGGTCTTCCATTGGCGAATGTCAGAGTTGTTGGTAACTTCTCCATCGTCGTTTGTGATGTGAGTAGGACATTTCTCGAGGATCACATAGGCAATGCGTTGAGATTCCAGGAAGGAAGTCATGAGACTCTCCCAAGAAGTCCAGTTCTTGCCATCAAAGATCGCGACAGAGGAGAGAAGAGAGTTGGACATGTTAGATCTTTGTGAGGTATCAGCATCAATCTAATCTGATAGATGAAATCAAAGATCAGGATGATCAGATCCTCATAGATCATAATCTCCTTCAGAGATCAATGCATCTGGATCAAGCGATGTAATCGCGATCCGGCATGGTTTCACCAGTGCTATGCAGCAGCTGAAGTGAATACAGATAGGCTAAAGACGCTGCTCATTGTTGCAGCCAGTGACGGCGCATACAATGAATGTCGCAGCCATTGAGGCGCAGACATAGCTCTCGGGGCCCATAACCTGTTGAGCACTGGGGAGAGCATCTAGCAACCCACCTGTGTGAGTTGAGAGCTTAGTGTGTGCACTATGCGGGAGTAGTCAAGAGACTTGTATTAAAGGGTAATAGAGCCCTCCTTATATCTGATACAGGGGGCCGTTTGTGTCTATTTGGGACAAGTCAATATGACTCTAGATGACATGTGATGGAGTCATAGATGTGCATCACAACATCCATCTTGACAGATGATATTTGATCAACATCAAAACAAAACCAAAACCTGACATGTCCTTTCTCTAGGGCCGTTGGGGCTGCTTATCTACCGAGTCTATCCTAAGCCCATGTCAAGGCAGTATTGTAAGTGAAGAGACTGGTGTTGAAGCTTGGGCCATGAAGGCAGGAACAATGCCACACAACCGCATGGCAACAACCTTGGCACCCAGAGAGCTTTGAAGGAGTGTCTTAAAAAACACACACATGATATCATACCCAAGGCCGATCGATGTCTGCACCGTATCTTTTCATGAGGTGCTTGACCATGGAAAGCAGGTATTTCATGCTATTAGATGTGAGTATAATATCTGTAGAATGGAAATGATAACTCACAGTTCCCAGCTTCTAATCATGTTGCACATGAGAAGCACATGCCTGTGCTGACACACCGTCAGAAATATCTCTGAGACTGCAAAGAGCGCAAACATCTTCTTATGGGCCTCAGGACCAGTGGCCTTCTAACATTCCATGCAAACACTGATACTCTGTTTGAGCTCATGGACATCTGTCTTGTTGAGCTTGTTGATATTGAGCCATGCAACATCTTCATCAGGAAAATCTGTCGCTGTTGGCAGATTTTCTGTTGGTAAGGATTCTTGATCAACAGATGGTGGAAGATCAACAGAGGTTGCACCTGTATCCTCTTTTGTCTTAGAACTACGAGCCTAGAAAAAAGTGAGAATTAGTACATCACCAATCAAATATAGATGAGTGCGCACTTGAGAATTCTTGACTTCATTCTTGAAGACGTCAACTTGTGCAGCTGTAAGCCATTGCCAAGAAGTCAAAACACATGCATTGAAGCATGGATTTCCTGCACGGAAACTGCTGTCAACAAGCTTTAGAGAATTATTCCTATTGACACTTGCAAAGAATGAGTACTGGAGCTTTGGCTCCCCATCTAGGACATAGAGGCATAGTGGGCAGACATTCATCTTTTCCCAGTCCTTGTCCCTCCCTAGTGCCTCTGCAACTTGTGTATCCACTTTCCTCATGATTTCTAGGTAGGCATCATAGGCAGATGTGAGCTGCTCTTTAAGATAGTGTTGTCATGGAACCTATGCTAGTTAGCGCATCTTACAGGGCAGGTCACATATGTTAGCATCACCTCATGTAGATAGTTGAGAGCACGAGCAAGGGAATCAATGGTGAAATGAGGAGTCACTCAATGTATTTGCCTGAAGATTTCAAATGTACAAAAAAAAAATAGAGAAGGCAATTGTAAGCTGTTTGGGAGTTGCACCAATATATCCTCTCATGAGAAGAGCCTTGTTAGGCCCCTGGGCACCAGGAGGATGTGTGAAGTGACATATCTTGGATTCTGGATGAATCAGTTAGTCGTAGGACACTGCTGGTAAGCTGCAAAGGGATGCACCATTGAATCCAAGCACTCGAATGGGCCATCCTTCACTGGCCCCCAATACTCTCTTCATCCCTTGATCCCATTTCTTGCCATTCCAAAAGAGCATCGATGAGTCGTGGCATGTGACAAATCCATGAGTCAAGCATCTGCTGTACCCTTTTGCTGTGCAGGCGAGAGTTGCCACAGCTATAAGTAAGGAGATCATGAGTAAGTCAAAGGGCAATGAGAGCATCATGACGCACTCAGGTCGCATGCCATTGGTGACCATGTTCAAGATGGCCTCCATTCCAGCATAGCTATGCAATGAGCCCTCTTTGCCAGGGGGTAGCATGTGGTAGAGTGGCCCGTCATATACATCCTCCCAGTTGCCTGGAACCTTGCTATCATATGCATCTGGCATATCAATGTCCTCTGTTGCCGAGAGTGCTTGTACAGAGTGCTTGAAGTTGTTTGGTGGTATTATTGCAGGGTATGAGAATGAGGCAAAAACAGTACCAATTGGTTGGCAAACCACCATCTGATCACGTGGACCTATTGGTTTCTATATTAGGGCGGGCTAGGTGCTCCTGCCAGCCCAAAGGAAGAGAGAACACAACACACAACAACCTCACATTAGTCTGAGCACAGAGGGTGATCCTTAGAGACTATCAAATAAAAGGGAGGTACACTACTCACCTGAGCACAGAGAGGGATTCTTAGAGAACAGTTCAAGGATCCATGTGCCCAGGTGTCACACTATATAGTCAGCTGTGACAAGTGACTGATGATGATGGGATATCACTGCCATGGAACAATGGCAGGTGACAAGTAGATGATGACAAACCCAGATAAGACAGTGAGTGGCTCAGAGGGGCCAGTGATGGCTAGCTCCTGAGACACCAACAGTGGAAGGCCACACTGGAGGAGCCTAGTGGCCAGGCCAGTGCCGGGCCAGCCAGTGGAGACATCGGAGGCAAGGACCAATGCCTGATTGGGAAGAGGGGTGGTGCGGATGAGCGCAAGGGCATCTGGTACGAGCCTGTATGGCAGTAGACCACATCCGCGGGGAGAAGGCCAAAGTGAAAGGGGAGGAGTGTGTATGGCAGTAGCACTCCCTGGTACAAGGAATTGGGCTTGGCTAGACCGCTTGCAGGGATTCGAAGGAGATGGCCAGGAGAAGGAGGAAGAGGGCAGACGTTGGCATGGATGGAGATGGGGATTGGAGGAGGGGGAGGAGGCCAGGTGATCAACAGGTGAGCAGGCACGGGTCGGCAGAGAGACAGTGTCCCCTGACAGATGCATACACATTGTGGCCACGGAAAACTGCTCCCAAAGGCAAAAGAAAAGGTGTGTGTACCTACAAACCATTTAAACTGTTTGTGAACCATTTCCATTCAATTTGCAGGCTCCCTCAAACAGTAAATAAAAAATTGGAGCCTTACATCATGCTCACATACCATCCCCTGACATCAACATCTGATCCAAGTCATTTACAGTTTTGCACTTAAGTGGCTTAAGACAGCAAAGAAACCACTATAACTCACAATTTATGAGACAGAATTGTGATGTGACTCCAAAACATGACTGAATATGTAAAATTCAGAGCATGAACCCAAAATATACTTAATACCTGTCACTGGTCACCAAGACTGCTAAACCTATCAATCTTCAAATTAGTGATGTCACTGGTAAACCCACCCACTCAAATGTACTCTGCTGTTGTAATACTCACTTGGAGAAAATAGGTTGAGGGGGGTCAATTAGATAATGGTAGAATAAGTTTGCAATAGCGAGAAGTGTGAATAGAATGCTTGCGGGCAAACAGATGCTCTTTAGACTACATACCAGCCTAGTTATATACTAGTAATGCAAGTAATCTAGAACATTCTATTATTTACCGGTATGTGTCTAAATGCGGTTATTTATTGATCTAGAACATTCCGGGACAGCCGAGCTGCATCCCAAAAATTCTACTTAAATCCAACATACTCATCTAGGCAATATAATCTACAACTTGCTCAAGTGGAATCCTCCCATATGCCATGGTTGACAAGAATGCATGGGTCCTACTGAGCATGCTCAAAACACAGCAGAATTCAAAGGCCCAACCCAAATCAGCAAGGAGCCTTGGAAGCACCATCAGCTGGCTGATCACAGGAGTTTAGATAGAATTTGGCTGTTGTCCACAATATATTGTCTGCTCCAGTTCGGATTCGGGATGAATAGACCAGTTTTGGCCAGAATTCGGTGTGCTAGACTACTGCAAATATATTTGTGCTGAGGTTGATCATTGATGGCACCTTACTAATTTAGGTCAGGCGCCTTTGAATTTCGCTGTGACTGTATGTACAGTCAGAGAGAGGTATGACCAATATCCGGCCAGTGTGAATTTTTGCTCAGCGCCATAAGGATTCCTGTAACTTTCTCCGAAAGGTTGTAACCATCTATGTTAAAGATTGTTTACTCTTATTGGCTCAATCATTGAACTCAGGAGAACCGATCTTGAAAGGGAGCTATATTTGTGTGACATTCCTGGCTGTGCAACAGCCAAATGACGGAGAGATGTGCAAATGGACGGATCACATCAAAGATTCTCGTTGCATACCTACTTCAAGTTCTAGATTTTGGCAACAAACTTAGCCTGATAAGCCTGTGTACCAGCTGCAATCGCATCATATTCGGCCAACTTGGAGCGCATATCTCTTTCGGCTGTGAGAAGGATCAACGACGGAGCCCAAAGAAACATACAGAGATGCACATACCGATCGCGGCCGCCTGCTGGCCAGCCGTAATAACATCCATCTGCTCGATGCTCTTCTTGTTCACGAAGTCCGCCCTCGGCTTTCTGATCTCCTCCCACACCGCAAGTCGAGCAGAAATGTCCTCTCTTCTGGTGCCGATGGGAAGGAGGCAGGCAAGGACAGCCGCGTCTTCGATGGCCATCGCCGCGCCCTGGGCCAAGAAAGGAACCGTCGCGTGGGCCGCGTCTCCCAGGAGCGCAGTACGGCCTTTGTACCATGTTGGGAGCGCAGGGAGCGTCCGCAACCGCCAGCGGAAAATCCTGCCGGTGTGGTTCGGGAGGTCCAACAGACGCTGGAACTTGGGGTGAAAGTCGGCGAATTTGGCCCGCACCTCGGTCGGAGACATTGTCGGGATCGTAACTGCATTTGAGACTGGATTACAGATGCGGAATAAGTCGTTGATGTGGTTGGAAGTGGTTACAACCTACCCTCCTCCTTCTCCTCCTCTGTTTCCATGTACATGAAAACCGCGTTGATCAGTTCCCCGTTCCTACACGGATAGCAAAGCATCATCCGTAAGGGGAGACCCTTTGATGCGACGGAGCGAGCGCCCTCGATACCCTCGGTGAGCCACTCCAGTCCTGGCTGCCTGCCGTCTGCAGGTGGTGCGTGGAATACCGCGCGACAGCAAGCGACTCCGGACGGCGAAGCGTCCTGGACATATCCAAGTACATGCGTGCGGATGAGCGACTGAGATCAATTAGTCGACAGATGCGAAAGGATCGGGTCGCCGGACCTGGATGCCATCCGCTCCAATTACCAGGTCCGCCTGTACGACCTCGCCGGACTCGAGGACTACATCGCCTTCCTCGGGCGAACAAGACAGGACTTTGCAGCCGAAGCGCATAGATACGGGAGGAAGGTCGCCCGCTGGATCGAGTGTGATGCGCTTCAGCTCCTCGTAGATGTCAGTCCGGTGGCACATGAGCAACCACTGTCCGATCGTCACGTTGGGGAAGCTCGCAGGATCAAAGAGACTGAGACTTGCATTGTTCTCTCCTTGTTCCGCACGCGGCGCAAATTTGGCCTGCTTTTCCTCTCCTGTCTCAGGATCGAAACCAATGATCTACGTGGCATTTAGTGCTGTATTTTTTGTATGAATGTGAGTCGTGGACTCACCCCCCGGGTATACACGCCTTTCAAGTTCTTCTCCTCAACGCCGAGCTGCTTCAACACCCGCATCGCATTGGGCTGCAGCCCCAGCGCTGCGCCGACCTCTGTCTTGTTCTCCGTCCGCTCGAACACTTGCACGATGTGTCCGCTCTGTCGAAGGGCCATAGCAGCAGCGAGGCCACCCAGACCGGCGCCGACGATCGTAATGCGGAGAGGAGTAGCAGTCGTTGTAGAGTCCGAAGGCATCGTGCGGAATACCAGTGAGCGTTTCTACTCAGGTAGGCTGAAGCATTTATACTCCGCATCGTGCAGGGTTGCTGCCAAAGGCCGATTAGCCTTCTGCGTAAGAAATGCTGATGCATGGTCCGTGTGCATATCGTTCTTTGTCATTGTGAAGCGTGTCGAGGAATGGTCTATCAAAATTCCGGCCAAGGGGGGATCGAGCCATAGCCCTAGGATTTAGTCAAATCCGTTTGGCTGTAGCCATAGAAATTGCATTCAAATCTATGGCTGTAGCCATAGGGCGTGGCGGTGCTGATGTGAACAACGATCATTATGATCGACAACCTGTGATTGTGATTGACACCCAACAGCTAGGCAGTGGTTTCAGTGAGGATTGAACGGCTGACCTTCTAAAAATGTAAGTTAAACCAATTCATTATCATACTGAGCTAAACCACTGTTAAACATGTGGCAATTTCCCTCAACTTAGGGTAACCCGCAAGCGGCTTACCCTAAGTGGAGGGAAAGCTTTATCCTAGTACTGGTTATACCAACCCCTTATCACCCAATAAACATATTTCTTGCCCCAACCAACCCTAATAGAGCCTCTAACAGGATTTTTTTTTTGCTCCCTTGCCCCAACCCTAACTGACAATAAATATATTTCTTACCCTAACCAACCCTTACAGAGCCTGTAATAGGCTTTTTTTTTGCTACCTTGCCCCAGCCATAACTGAGAAAAAATGACGTCTCTGGGGACTAACCTTTAACCCAAACCCAAACCCTAGCCTGAACCACTAACCTCCGCGCCCAGAGGGGCGCGGCTTGTTGAAGACAGTAAGGCCGATCAACACTTTATGTTGAGGGATCATGGTGGTGCTAATGGCAATGATGATCTTGCACATGCCATGGTGATGCCGAGAAAAGCAACAGGACCAAAGGCCTGCCACGCTATGGCTGTAGCCATAGCAGTATTAGTCAAAGCTATGACTGTATCCATGCTATGGCTACAGCCATAGATTTGAATGCAATTTTTATGGCTACAGCCATAGATTTGACTAAATCCTAGCACTATGGGTGGGGGATCGATTCATTTTATTTCATTTCGACGCTCAGCGATGAGACTATTTGTGCGCAAGCACTGAATGTGGTTTCTGGATGAGCCTATCGTCTGTGGATGGAGTACCAAGTACCTAAATAATTCCAGATGCCTCGATGAGCACCAAGAAATCGTCTCGTCATGTTATCGGTGCCAGACTGTCTCGGACTTTCTGGTGGATCGCATCGTCAGTCAAAGAATCTGTCTGTAATGACGAAATCGAAAACAAACGAGCTTTGAGTCAGAAGCGGATGAACGGCTCGCTCTCGGGACTGTACGGAGCCGCTTGTCCCGCTCTTCATAGCCGCGGGGATCCGTGTGCTCACTCTAATCATTCACACGGAGCTTTCAGAGCGGCGGAAACCATCCCTTTGAAGTCTTGAAGATGTGCGTCGTCGTCATTTTTGAGAATCCACGATATGTTGGGTTTGCATCCTCCGTCTCTGATGCGCAATGAATTCGCACACTTCCTATAACAAGCCTGCTGGTGCTAACGTTCAAAGTTCCTTTTACTCTTCAGGCACCTTGGATACCCCCAAATAAACCTAAAGATGCACTTTCTTGGGGTGACCAGGGGCATGGCAGGAGGGTCATCAGATAGATCACACAGATCGCCTTCGCAGCGCACCGTGCCATGACCTCTTGATATGACCCGCGGATGGTGACTGAACGAATCGGCGGCATGAGTCATCAGCATGACCAAGTAGTGGACAGTGACATTTTTGGCTTGTGATGGGTTTTGGCATGTGAGTGATGCCATCATAAATGCAAGCTGAAAAACCAGCTTGAACACTAGAAAGTGTCGGCGGAGCCGACATCATGCCTTGCTACTCGATTACGGTACGCTACGGTTGATTTCAAATCAAGAGGTAAGAGCGAGAATGTACAAGTAGAATGAACGGAAAGGAGCAGATAGCCAATGCACGTACAAAAGAAACGTCCCTGTATACATAAACCAGCCTTCCCACAGAATGTACTTGACGACGGGGCTTGGAACAACCTACCACGGTGTTGTGCCGGACTCACGCCAAAGAGCGCACAGCGGAAATGAAAGCACGGCGGACGCATGCGTACATACTTACAAGAGTAAGCACAATCAGATCGGATCAGATTCTGGAACAATTACTTGAAGGGGCAGTGTATTTCGCATAGGCACATGATCGGATCAACATACGGAACTATTGCATCTGATTCGTGGAATATAGGGTCTGGAGAGTGCCTTGACAAGCAAGGCAATTTTAGCTTGTGTCCGGTCAAATAAAATAGGATTATCACACTGGGGGATCAAACATAACATGGCCCATAAAGAATAAATCATATTCCACATATTGTGGCCCACAAAATCAGCCAACCTGGTATGTTATATATCAGTGCACAAATGTCCTGATACCACAGATATTGGGTGCTGGGTATGATCCAAGTGCCTGATGTGTATGGAGGCTAGGAACGGTAAACCGATTAGCAAGCAGTTCCATCTTTGATGGCCGCTGGAACAATGGGGTCACATATTTTTCTCAACATTGGTGACTGTTCATAGTGAGGGCCACCAATGACGCACAACTGGTTTTTTTTTTTGAATCGTTTTTACAGGAATGGCATTGATCAGATTGAGCCAGACCTAGACATGGGGCAATCTCATGAAGATGGCAGAGATGGATTGTATGCATGGTTTTCAGATGAGGTAAATGAGGTTCAAGGCAATTGGTAATGATTCTCAATATATACATTTTCAATGAAAAATGTACCAAGAATCTAATCAATTCAAGATGTGGCTGTGACAATTCCTCAGTAACCATGAGTTTGACTCCTTGACAGCCACAGCCACATTGCTGTGCATACTACTCCTCTTGTATTTAAGTAACTACCATTCACCCTGCACAGAACCCTATTCATAAATTTTCCATACTATGAAGTTGAACTTTTGACTCAAATGAGATGGGTGGGGTATCAGCATATAGTTCCGGGCCTCCATAGTCATGAGCACAGATTGAGCTAGTTGTCTACCACATGTCTGCATTATTAAAGTCCTCAGGACTCTCTTCATCTGAAAACCATGCAAACACCTCATTATCGCCCTCAATATCATTTCCTCCCACATCTGGCTCAACATTGTTTATCATGGCATTGAGTTGATCCCGATGTCCATCATCTGAACACGCCAATCAGAGACGGGAATCTATAAGGGCACTGGACACATACCAAGTCCATTCCCGCCATTCATGCCACCCATATAATAGACACCATCCTCTCCAACAACACCATCTCTACCATGAAGCTCCTGGAGACCAGGAAGAAGCTCAACCTCACCCTTGTACTCATCAGCAGCCTGAGTGAGTGAGTATAGCCCCATTTCTTGTGTCCACTTTGGTTGACGTTGTGAATCTGATCAAGCTTGCGGAACTTTGACAGTAGCAGGGGGAAAACATCCGAGCAGCTCTCCTGGTCAACAGAGGGGGGGCCAATGTCAGAATAAAAACTGGAGATGAGGAGAGTCAGAAACTCCTCTCTCATCCACGGATCTCATCCTAAACTCTGACAACTGATAGGGCTCAAGTTTGCTGGACAGCTCAGCATACTCTCCGAGAGCAACTGATGCATCTGTTTGACACATCCGCTCACTTCGAAGATGCTTCAAAAGGCAGAGATGGCAAGGGCAACCATGAGAATGGGCAAGAGCATGATGATGAGATTCCTGAGCTTGTGGACGTGATCTAGGGCTCAATTATCGTTGTAATCAGCTTCAGTGTACCATATGAACTTTTACTCTAAAAGTGTCCCAACTCCATGCAACTGAGTTGACTACGAGCCAACTCGAGTCGGATCTGAGTCACGTGGAGTTGCATCAATCAACTCGACTCAACTTGACTCAAGACCCGACTCACTCTGCCACTCCGAGTTGCGGAGTCAGAGTTTCCGGCAACATTACCAAAAACGTCATCTTTTGGTCAAGTCCAGGTTTGTTTGTATCGCAAAAGGCAAGCAGCAAAGATTTTATTTGGTTAGGGTTAGGGATTAATTGGTTACTTAAGAGGTTTGGGTTGGAATTAAAGAGAGCAGGGAATCAATGTCTCTCTGCTTGGGTATCCAAGTCAGGTATCCTATGTCATGTTGAATATGTAAACATTTACTATACTATGATGGCTAGGTGGCTACGTAGCAGTTCTGATTTTTGTTGTTTTTGGAAGGGTCCCGAGTTCAATTCAGGTCACGTGCTTGGAACAGAATCAACCCGCAGTGGCTCTACCCAGACAGTGAGTACGACGACTAATCGATCAATCACGTTCACTGAGTGGATTCATGGACAAAGGCAATATATTACAGAATAGTCTCCATGCAATCCCATTCAAACAATAAATTTGGAGAGCCTCTAGGGATCATCTAGTTATGATATGCTATGCAATTCAAACGCGTTCAAACTTTTCCCGATAAGCCAGGCGACCGGCTGCAATTGCATCGTATTCTGCCAACTGGGACCGCGTGTCACCTTGAATGGAGAAATGTCAATCAATCGCAATTCAAACCACGTGCGACTGTAGCCTCTCACCAAGCGCAGTCCCTTGTTGCCCAGCGATGATGAATTCCATCTGCTCGATGGTCGTCTTGTTCACAAAGTCTGCTCTCGGCTTGCGGATATCTTCCCACACTGCAAGGCGTGCAGAGACATCCTCGCGCGTGGTGCCAAGCGGCAGCATACACGCGAGCACACCCGCGTCCTCGATCGCCATCGCCGCACCCTGGGCCAAGAAAGGGAGCGTGGCATGCGCCGCATCTCCGAGGAGTGCAGTGCGACCTTTACACCACGTCGGGATCGCAGGAAGCACACGGAGCCGCCAGCGGAAGATCTTTCCCGCGTGGTTCGGCAGGTCGAGCAGGCGGTGGAACTTGGGGTGGTAGTCCGCAAACTTGGCTCGCACCTGCGCCGGGGACATCGTCGGAGTCGAAGCTGGATGCGAGACTGCAATAAGGATACGGAACGAGGCTTTAGTCCGCGTTGAGAATCGCTGCCATGCCACTGACCGTCCTGCTTCTCTTCCTCTGTTTCCGTATAGAAGTGAGCCGAATTGACGAGCTCTCCATTTCTGCACGGATAACAGAGAATCATCCGGAAGGGCAGGCCTTTCCAGGCGACAGAGCGAACGCCAGGGTCTCCTTCGCTGAGCCACTCCAGACCCGAGAAGCTGCCATCCGTAGGAGTCGCGTTGAACACTGAACGGCAACAAGCGATGCCGGTGGGTGTGGCATCCTGCACATATCCGAGCACATGCGTGCGGATGAGCGACTGGAACCAGTTCATTGAGCCGCAATTCAGATTGACACAGGAAAGACAGAAAGGCAAGCCGGGCAACGCACCTGGATGCCATCTGCTCCAATGACCAGGTCCGCGTGGATGGTCTCCCCCGATTCAAGTACCACAGTGCCTTCCTCTGGGGAGCAAGAGAGGACTTTGCAGCCAAAGCGCATCGACACCTGCGGAAACCCGCCTGTGGTATCAAGCGCTACGCGTTTCAGTTCGTCATAAATGTCGGTCCGGTGACACATGAGCAACCACTGGTTGGGTTTGAGTCACAGAGTTCGGATTTTGGAAGGGATATCACTTGCGTCGCTCTCTCCATGTTTCGCGCTCGGCAGGAACTTGTGCTCTTGCCCGTCCCCGGTGACAGGGTCAAAACTGATGATCTGGGAAGTGCAAAAGTGACGGGGTATCGTGCAAATGAAATGGCGGCTCACCCCCGTAACAAACACGCCTTTGAAATTTTCCACCTGGGCGCCGAGGTGCTTCAATACGCGCATCGCATTGGGCTGGATCCCTAGCGCCGCGCCGACCTCGGTCTTGTTCTCCGACCGCTCGAATACTTGAACAATGTGCCCAATCTGCCGTAAGGCCACGGCAGCCGCAAGACCACCCAGGCCAGCGCCTACGATCGTAATTCGGAGAGGAGTCGCAGTAGTCGTCGAGTCTGAAGACATTGTGTGGAATGCAAGTGATCTTTGTGGCTCGGTCAGGTCGGTGCTTTTATGCTGCCCGTCCGTCATGCATGTAACGATTCTTTCCAGAGTTCGCCGGTCCGGATATGAAACTCATACGCTTCTCCGCCCATTTGAGACCAGTCGGAGAATAGGCTCTGTCAAGACTGCAGTTGACGTGAGACTTGATTATTTCCCGATTTCTCGGACATGTGGCTTCATCGGAGTTAATGACACTTATGATCTGTGATGGAGATCCGTTTTTGCCGATGAATGTGGTGTCACTAGTGAGGTTGAAAGGTAGAGCAAGGTGAAGGGTGGAGCAAGGCTCGAGGGTGCAACGATGAATTGTGATCTCATGGGTGTTACTTGTTGGAATGTCAGTGAGCCTTAAGCATACGTAGAGTTGCCTAATCTCGACGACAAGCTTTCTTGCGCTGGTCGTATATTTTACACGGAGTGGACACAATGTTTGACTGGCCGCTTGAGTTTACCAGGCTCAAGGAGCCCATATCATCTTAGGATCTCTACGAACAAGCTGTAGCCTTGAGCCTATCTCATACTTCACTGAACCCCTCAAGTTGTCGGAAAATTATAAGGCAGTGATAAGAACTCAGTTTGGCCTGTATCTCTTCAAATTTTCCTTGCTGCATAAAGCCTCTTTTGCTTCCGAATACAAGCCTAAAATAATAGATCCTTCCTTTTTAGCTCTATTGCTTGCTCTACTGCGATCTGGAGATTTATATATTCTGCGCATTTCAACTAGTGCTTTACAGTACATTTCATTTCAATTATCCCTTGGACAACATCAGTTCTGGGAGCTAGGACAATGAAAAAGTCAACGAGCCAATTGTTTGTTCACTTGTGTAATCTCTCGCACGTCGACACGATCCCCACGGGTGCGAGTGGTATCGAGAGTCACTCACCGTCGTGCCACGCCGACTGACCGTTTTGCCGTTTCCAATCCCCAACTCGCTTGTTTCTACTCACGCTATCATCGAGTGACAACTTCCCTCCGATTGTTTTGATCCAATATCCCGAGCAGTGCGGGAAACTGGTGCTGCCACTCAGAGAATTCCGTTCATCTTCTCAATTTGATATCCCGTTCAGTTCTCGGCACTGCGAGCCGAGCTGATGCAATAGCTGTACCCACAGTACCATTCGGTGCTTGCTAGAAGCATTTCCATTTCCTGCGGGCCCGGACTACCGCAGAAGAGATAAACCGACGCCCATAGGCTAAAATCTTCAACACACCGCACAGCACACGGTTCTCCGAGACGTTTTCCATGATAAAGAACGATTCGCGCTCAATTTCATAAGCGTAATTGACTCAGCGGGTTATCGGCCTCGGGGAGAATCCTGCACGATGGGATATAAACGTGCGAGCGAATCTAAAAACTATTCATCTCTCCAACAGCTCACAATGTCCTCAGACTCGACTCCCATTACTCCTCTCCGTATTACCATTGTTGGCGCCGGTCTTGGCGGTCTCGCTGCTGCCCTGGCCCTGCGGCAAAACGGGCACATTGTGCAGGTGTTTGAGAGGTCGGAGAACAAGACGGAGGTTGGCGCAGCGCTGGCGCTGCAGCTGAACGCCATCCGCGTCTTGGAACATTTTGGCGTCCAGGTTAAGAACTTGAAGGGTGTTTCTTTTCAGGGTGTCAGTCAACAATTCCACATCTCCGAGAGCGGGAATTCACGTCGCGTAGATCGTCGCTTTCGATCAGGTGACTGGAGAGGGAGAGGAGTTCAAATTTCCGCCGATCGAGGAGGGTAAAGGGAGTGATGCAAGTCTCAATATCTCTTCCCGGGCCGCCCTGGTCTAACGGCACCATCGGTCCTGGCTTCCATGTGAAACAGAAGTCGTTGGGTCCTGTGAAAGCAGGAGTTCAATCCCCAATGAAAGTCTCGTATTTTCAGGAGGTTTAGTGGGTATTATCACGAGGTGATCGAGTCCCACACTGTTCGGCGTTTGCCGTTCGTGCGTAAATGCATTCCTACCTTGCAGACTGCCGACGAGGTCCTGGTTCCTACGTCACACAATTCACGGACATTCTTGAGATGGACCTATGTCGGTCTCAAGGTGTTATTCCAAACGTGCCGCAAAAAAAAAAAAAAATATCTCTTCCCGTCCTGCGAGCTCTCTGACGTGTCAATGGCAGTGGTTGCTCATGTGTCATCGGACGGATATATACGAGGAACTCAAGCGCGTGACGCTCGATGCCACAAGCGATCTCCCGCCTGTGTCCTTGCGTTTCGGATGCAAAGTACTGGCTTGTTCGCCCGAAGAAGGCGAGGTGGTACTTGAGTCTGGCGAGGTCGTACAGGCGGACCTGGTGATTGGGGCAGATGGCATCCAGGTCCGGCGACCCGATCCTTTCGCGTCTCTCGACTAATTGATCTCAGTCGCTCATCCGCACGCATGTGCTTGGATATGCCCAGAACGCCTCACCGACTGGGATCGTTTGTTGTCGCGCAGTGTTCCACACACCCTCTGCAGAGAGCATCCAGCCGGGTCTAGAGTGGCTCACCACGGGTATCCGGGGCATCCGGTCTATCTCCTCGAAAGGCTTTCCCTTCCGGAGGATTCTTTGCTATCCATGCAGGAACGGAGAACTGATCAATTCAGCTCACTTCTATACGGAAACAGATGAGGAGAAGAAGGACGGTGGGTCGTGACCGATCTCCAAGTTGCACCAACGACTCATCCAGTATCTGTAATCCAGTCTCGAGCCCAGTCTCGACCCCATCGATCTCTCCAGCGGAAGTGCGCGCCAAATTCGCCGACTACCACTCCAAGTTCCACCGCCTGCTAGATCTGCCGAACCACACCGGAACCATCTTCCGCTGGCGACTGCGGACGCTCCCTGCGCTCCCGACGTGGTGCAAAGGTCGCACCGCGCTTCTGGGAGATGCCGCCCATGCGACGCTCCCGTTCCTTGGGCAGGGCGCGGCGATGGCCATCGAAGATGCGGCTGTTCTTGCCTGCCTCCTGCCCATCGGCACCACACCTGAGGACATTCCTGGTCGACTTGCGGTGTGGGAGCATGTCCGCAAGCCAAGGGCAGACTACGTGAGCAAGGCGAGTATTGAACAGATGGATATTATTGTAGCTGGTCAGCAAGCCACCACACTGAGTGAGTCGCATGTCTCCCTCTGGTCATAAATGTGCCATTACTCAATCCGCGAAAGTCAATGGTGACACGCGCCCGAAGTTGGTGGAATACAATGCTATTGCAGCTGGTCGACGGGCCTATCAGGACAATTTCACTGGCGGGCAGAAGGCCTAGATTACGAAGAGGGAGAGAATTAGCAGGTTGGACTTGATAGCAGTAGGCAAACTTTCCCTAGATCAGTGTTAACGCATCAGTATGGAAGCTCGGAGCATCGCGCTTTTTAGCGAGCGTCGGACATCACGTCCGAATGATTGACCGATGATCGGAGGTAGGCCGGCAGGACCCCGGCGACTTAACAAATGATTGTTAAGTACACCCTGACTACATTTGTCGCACACTAAGTATCACTCGTCAATAAATACTAATCTGGCCGACACTATCACGAAGGCACCTGCACATCATGACGTTTGTGATCTCAGAGATGCGAGAGATAAGATCAAGATTATGGCTGATTAAGGGCCACACCCTTCTGAGCATTTACAAGACACCTGAAACTTATTGGAGTGGGCCAAAGGACCCAGAAAATGAGAAAGTATAAAGAAGAAAATCAAATTGTCACATTTCAGTTAGTTCAGACACTCATTAGGGCTATCAGGGGTGCCCCAAGTGGTATTGCTAGTATACTTGGCTGATCAGTTGTCTTTTGTTCTTGCCCAGGCACTGGGCTGTTTCTGTCCAGTTCCACTCCAGCATGCAGTGATAAGCTGGCTATCTGACCTGCTCTGCAACACCTCTAGAAGCCTAATAATTTTGTGCTTTCAGAGACTACCCTTGTTCCTACTTGGTGCATCTGGTTGTGATGGCCAGTGTCACGTTCAGCAGGGCTTGAGGGCTCAGTGTCTAGCCAGCGTCTTTAAATAGCACCAGTGCATGAGAGGCACTTGAGTCACTGCTGTGGAACAGTTCTATCATGTCATAATTTGATCATTTTTCACATTATTCCATTGATTGATCATCTTATCTTGATGTTGGGTTATCTTATCATGGATCATGGCACCACACGGTCTGGGTTGGGGGTTCAGAGGTGTTATCTGTACAGAGGCTGTGCGGTGTGTGCTCCAGAAGGTTCTACTACAACCCATGACCAACGCTCCACACAGTACAAAGTCTTATGACCTGTTTGATGTAGATGTCAGGGGACGCCGCGCTCCTTGGGCATGAGACCATGCATGTGACCCACTGCGCCCTCTCTGCCGACCCGTGCCTGCTCACCTGTCGATCACCCAGCCTCCTCCTCCTCCTCTGATCCCCATCTCCATCCATGCCAACATCCGCCCTCTTCCTCCTTCCCCCGGCCATCTCCCTCAAATCCCCGCAAGCGGTCTAGCCAAGCCTGATTCCTTGCACCAGGGAGTGCTACTGCTGTACGCACTCCTCCCCTTTCACTTCGGCCTTCTCCCCATGGATGTGGTCTACTGCCGTACAGGCTCGTACCAGATGCTCTTGCGCTCATCCGCACCACCCCTCTTCCCAATCAGGCATTGGTCCTTGCCTCTGATGTCTCCACTGGCTGGCCCGGCACTGGCCTGGCCACTAGGCTCCTCCAGTGTGGCCTTCCACTGTTGGTGTCTCAGGAGCTAGCCATCACTGGCCCCTCTGAGCCACTCACTGTCTTATCTGGGTTTGTCATCATCTACTTGTCACCTGCCATTGTTCCATGGCAGTGATATCCCATCATCATCAGTCACTTGTCACAGCTGACTATATAGTGTGACACCTGGGTACATGGATCCTTGAACTGTTCTCTAAGGATCCCCCTCTGTGCTCAGGTGAGTAGTATACCTCCCTTGTATTTGATAGTCTCTAAGGATCCCCCTCTGTGCTCAGACTTATGTGAGGTTGTTGTGTGCTGTGTGCTCTCTTCCTTCGGGCTGGCAGGAGTTGCCCTTACAGTAGATATGACTCATGCTGGGACTGGTATAAATACTGTAGCTATTATCATGTATTCCTCAGTCTTGGAATTCATTCTTCTTGTTGACTTTGTTTCTGAGTTGATTGTCACACAATTCCAAGACTCCCCTCATACCCTCCTACCTCTTACCTCTTACCCTGCATCTCTCACTGCTACACCCGCTATATTCTCTACACCCTTATCAACCCACTCACCCCTTTATTGAATCATCTAGTCATTTTCTGCAATCACAGTGAAGGGTTCATATCAAGCAAACAGCACCAGGCCACAGGTAACGTTGAGCCCAACCCAAGCCTTATGGTAGCTACAAGGAGTGCTACAGAGACTTTTGGAAAAACGCACCTTGGGATTATTGGGCACATGAAGAGATAGGCCTGGGATCTTTTTGCTAGCCAAAGAACTCTTCCTTGAGTGCTTGTACAGCATACAAAGACACCATTTTGTACCAATTCCCATTGTTGTCTGGGAGTTCCTCTCCTCCCCCCATTGTACCATTGTCGCCTGATCTGGCGCATCAAAACCAACCGGTGATAGGCTGGCTACCAGACGCGCTCTGCACCAACTCTATAAGGGTGTATTTTTGCGCTTTTACAGAGTTTACTCTTGAACCATTTGGTGTATCATGTCGCAGATGCCAGTGTTGCGCTCAGTAGGGCTTAAGGGTCTGCTGCCCAGTCGACGACTGTGGATAGTGTTGACAATGGCAAGGCAGACAGACCACTACTGTGGAATTGGTCTTATAAGTCTACACCAGACTCGGGGCTCGTAGCAACGGACACTCGTGTCATGGCAATCCCTCAAAAGGGATACTCTTGTCACAGTGACTCCTTGGAAGGGTCATTCTCTGCAGATGGGAACTCATGCTGGAGGGCTTAGCAATGCATGACATGCTCAATATAACAATGACCACTAGACAGGACTTGGTGTTACAAGATTGAACCAATCTTGTCACGGCAACTCCCACCATTGGGTTGGACATTTCCTCGGATCATGCCACAGCAACAACTTGTCACATGCCATGTTCTACTTGATCACGGGATATTGTGGATGCATTGCGGTGACATTTCTAAGTGTCACGGCGAGTTGCGCCCATGCCCAAACACATCAAAATTGACACGGGCTAGATCCGTAAACCAAACCATGTGAGGAACGTCTGGCGTGCCTAGGGCCATACAGCTTCTTGGGGCACCCATGTTGGACTCACCTGCCAAGACATACCAGTTGGCCAATCCAGCACGTCACATTCCAAAAGTATGACGTGGTGGGTTGACCCACATCAAAAGCACCATATGGACAATGGGGCGGGGTCCTGATCAGTCAGGACCTGTCCAATTGTTCAACTTTTCATTACCATAAAAAGGAACCAATCTTAGAGAGCATAGCTACTATGCAGTTGTACAGGACTTTACTAAGCATCATTGTAGACAGTATAAGCAGCACATCGTTTCTTTGTATTAGGGAGCTTTCCCCTGGACTGTGAATCACTCTCATATCAGATTGTTTTGTACAATTTGCGTGCCGCGTGATTCCACCCTAAGAAGTTCTGCTACCCCTGCCCGGTCGCGACGAGTTGCTCCCTGAGCACTTGTAGCTACTGTGATTTGAGTTTGAGTTTTGAGATATCAGAAAGTCGGATTTGCTGCTTCTGGTTTAGTCACGGCATTTAGTGTCGTCGCCTTTGGGCTTTGTTGAGATTGTTTCCACACCTCTAGTTTGGCAGTGCATCGACTAATTGTGCTCTGGTAGTTCTGGTCAGTTGGCAGTGCGCCGACTTGAGAACTTTGGTTCCACACTTCTTGCTTGGCAGTGCGTTGACAAGTTGTGCTCGGGTTTTGGACATTGGATATTGGCTGTTAGTTGGCAGTGCGTCGACGCGGCATTTTGGTCTTACTAGTTGGCAGTGCATCGACTCAGTACTTTGGTTGTCTTAGTTGGCAGTGCGTTGACTTGATATTTTGGGCTTTGTGTTGCCATCTGGACGCTGTTGCTACAAGGGATCTTAATACTCCGTACTAAGTTCTGACTTGTGATATTGTTGGTTGTGGTTGGATTAGTGTTGGTTTTTGGCTGTATAGAAGATATTGGTTGAGACACCACTGTTTGCTATATATATATATCCTTGTCGTCAACTTTGTCTTCCGTGACTATTGATCTGCGTCTATTGAGAGTTGTGATACTGGTGCTCTGTCCACCCCAAAGTCCTGGCATCTTTCACACACTGAGAAGCTGATTACGAGGAGTGTGAACGTGTTTCTGCGCCAATATGCTGGGCTAGGGTCCCTTCTGTTTCTCGGCCGCCAATTTTCTCTGGATGGCATCTGGCACCTCTGTGCATTTGGGTGCTTCCAGAACCTTGATTTTGGCAGATTCCCTAGGTGCTTCCTCCTTTTCCGAGGATTGAGCCTCTGGAGCAGTGCTCCCCTTTTTGGTCTTTGTTGAAGTGGTTCCTTCTCCACAAGCCATAAATACATAGGAGTCCAAAAATAATTTATCCCCAGCCGCTATCCTCTGATCCTTTTTATATTGCATGTATTTTCTATTTGAAGCTATTTTCATTTGTTGTTCTTTTTCCATATTGGCAACAAGGAATTTGTGAATATTGGTGTGTAATGAGTTGGGGTGCATGTATGTATGATGAGGAATATTGTTTGTGTCTTTAATCAAAACAAATACAGAAAATTGTCCATAGTCTGGATGCTCGACCTCCTTGGCTAGGGGAGTGGAGCGCTTCAAAAACCCTTCTCACGCAGCTCCTCAGCAATCTCCTTCAGGAACTTGTTGTCCTTGTTGCTGTTCTTGATTTCTTGCAGCATCGCGGCCTGGGTAAAGAACATATGCTTCTTCCTTGGCTCTGGACAGTTCCATGCAATGTGCCCTGGCTGCTGACAGTTGTAACAGATGATATTGCGGCCGCAGGCGTTGATGCAATCAATTTCCACTGGAACCGGTTTGTTGGCAGCTGGTCAGGCCAGAGCGGGTGCAGGCACCGCTGGTGCATCCTGATGATGGAATTGGGGGGATGTTCTTGGCATGGGATTTCTGTAAGATGTCTTGCACAGCTGGTCCACTATAGGCAGACTGGTATGAGACCCTAACAGGGTGGTCAAATGGGTCATTTTTGGTACCCGAGTAGGGTCAAATACCACATGCTTTGGCAGCAACCACCCTCAATTTGTGAGGATTGAAACTGGGCCCCAATGATCAGTACTGCCTAGTAGAGGGCCTGCCGGGCTTGGATATTTATGTAGGCATAGCTAGCATCAAGGTGCTAGCCCCCTAGGGGCTCATGGCACACCCTGGGCCTACTGTTGCCCAGATATGGAAAATGGCCCAATCAGGCCAGTATTGTCCTGACGCTGGATACAGCAGCTTGGTACTGAGCAGAGGAGCATTTTTAATATGCATGTATACTGAGAACATGCTCTTGTACTGATTGGCTTAGCTGGGGCCTGCTGCAGGTCAAATGCCCAAATTCCCGGGATCATGCTAGTAGGGCCTGTGAGCAATCTATGGTAGCTGTGAATGGGTCAGAGGAGCACTGAACATTGATATACACTCCTCTCACCTGTGTTCTAAGTTATTGGTGCATGCTGCGCCTGCTGCAGGTCAAATATGGGCATTTGCCTAATTGGGCCAATATACCCCAGGGGATGGATGTTAGAGCATTAGATCAGTTGTAGGTAAGTCCTATAGTATTAGAAACTCTGTGGAATCCTGGACTGGGTCATCAGTGCTCTCAGCGCCTTCCGCAGGCCTGATATTAAAATTGGCCTGATCAGGGTATCATGGCCCATATAATGGATATTAGGGCATAAAATCAGTTGGGGATACATCCTATGGTACCAGGAACTTCCCAGAGTCCTGTTCCAGGTCATTGATGCATGCTGCACCTCCTGCAGGTCAAATATGGAAATTTGCCTGATAGGGTCGGTATAGCCCATGGGATGTGTATTGGAGTGAGAAATGCCATGGAAGGCCTCTAAGAATATTCTAAAACTCCCTGGAAGACTTCTCCAGTCATCAGTGCACCCAGTACCTTCTGCAGACCAAATGTAGAAATTTGCCCAATTAGGGTCGTATAGCCAGTATGATAGGTATTAAAGCATTACATGAGTTGTAGATACATCATATAGTATGGAAAGCTCTGTAGAATTGTGGAATGGGGCATCAGTTCTTCTAGTGCCTGCCACAAGTCAAATATGACAATTTCAGGGGAAGAAACTCAGTAATGGGTGGAACTGAAAGTCACTCTTGTAATGGAGATATTCTTGCTTCAGGAACCCAAAGCAATATGCTATTTCATTACATTGAGCCATTAAGAGATTTTCCGAACCCCAATAATGTGAAGATCCCACTCTATCTATTTTATTCAGGGGCAGTGGATTTTACATTAGTAGTGTGATAGAAACCCTCAAGGTGAATTCCACCCTCTCTTCAATGTTGAAATGAACTTCTACGGTGCTTTACACTCAGATTATAGAATCTAAGGGAAGTGAAGATAAAAAGCCCACCTCATTTTTGAGTGGTATGCCTCAACAAGATTGAGATGTACCACTAATGCAAGTTCACAAGAATGGTGACTTTGGGGTCTTCTTATGATATAGATTCTATAATCTGAGTGTAAAGCACCGTAGAAGTTCATTTCAACATTGAAGAGAGGGTGGAATTCACCTTGAGGGTTTCTATCACACTACTAATGTAAAATCCACTGCCCCTGAATAAAATAGATAGAGTGGGATCTTCACATTATTGGGGTTCGGAAAATCTCTTAATGGCTCAATGTAATGAAATAGCATATTGCTTTGGGTTCCTGAAGCAAGAATATCTCCATTACAAGAGTGACTTTCAGTTCCACCCATTACTGAGTTTCTTCCCCTGAAATTGTCATATTTGACTTGTGGCAGGCACTAGAAGAACTGATGCCCCATTCCACAATTCTACAGAGCTTTCCATACTATATGATGTATCTACAACTCATGTAATGCTTTAATACCTATCATACTGGCTATACGACCCTAATTGGGCAAATTTCTACATTTGGTCTGCAGAAGGTACTGGGTGCACTGATGACTGGAGAAGTCTTCCAGGGAGTTTTAGAATATTCTTAGAGGCCTTCCATGGCATTTCTCACTCCAATACACATCCCATGGGCTATACCGACCCTATCAGGCAAATTTCCATATTTGACCTGCAGGAGGTGCAGCATGCATCAATGACCTGGAACAGGACTCTGGGAAGTTCCTGGTACCATAGGATGTATCCCCAACTGATTTTATGCCCTAATATCCATTATATGGGCCATGATACCCTGATCAGGCCAATTTTAATATCAGGCCTGCGGAAGGCGCTGAGAGCACTGATGACCCAGTCCAGGATTCCACAGAGTTTCTAATACTATAGGACTTACCTACAACTGATCTAATGCTCTAACATCCATCCCCTGGGGTATATTGGCCCAATTAGGCAAATGCCCATATTTGACCTGCAGCAGGCGCAGCATGCACCAATAACTTAGAACACAGGTGAGAGGAGTGTATATCAATGTTCAGTGCTCCTCTGACCCATTCACAGCTACCATAGATTGCTCACAGGCCCTACTAGCATGATCCCGGGAATTTGGGCATTTGACCTGCAGCAGGCCCCAGCTAAGCCAATCAGTACAAGAGCATGTTCTCAGTATACATGCATATTAAAAATGCTCCTCTGCTCAGTACCAAGCTGCTGTATCCAGCGTCAGGACAATACTGGCCTGATTGGGCCATTTTCCATATCTGGGCAACAGTAGGCCCAGGGTGTGCCATGAGCCCCTAGGGGGCTAGCACCTTGATGCTAGCTATGCCTACATAAATATCCAAGCCCGGCAGGCCCTCTACTAGGCAGTACTGATCATTGGGGCCCAGTTTCAATCCTCACAAATTGAGGGTGGTTGCTGCCAAAGCATGTGGTATTTGACCCTACTCGGGTACCAAAAATGACCCATTTGACCACCCTGTTAGGGTCTCATACCAGTCTGCCTAGAGTGGCTGGTCGTGCAGAGCATTTGCCTCGATGTTGATGCACCAGGCCTTGAACCCCCCATAGGCCTTGGGCAAGGGAACACCGGTGTTATACAGGCGGCTGGCAATCTTGCCACTGAGTCCGCACTCAAGGAACTCAATGAAGATGTTGTCTTGGTCCCCTTTCTTGTATTCCCCCTTGTTGTTGGTGGTGGTGACCACGTTGTACCCCACGTCCACAGCCAACATTTTGGATTTAGTCTGCAAGGACTGTTTGTTCTGGCAGAGGCCCATAAGTTGAGCAGTGGCAACTTGTTCCGCATTGGAGTCCCCAAAAGCCCTCTGAAGCTCCTCCAAGAAAGTGTTTGCTGTGACTCCTGCCTTCAGCCCCTGGAAGCTATCAAAGTTATGCTGTTTCCAGTTCATCACCTATCTTGAAGCAGTGCAGCTGGTGCCTGCTTTGTTGCAAAGGTACAAAATGACAAAGAGGATTTTGGTGGAGTCCTCCAAGAATTCCAATTAATAGGCACCAATGTAGGTGGTGCACAAGTCCACAAAGCCCAGGTATTTTGATTTATTGCCATCAAAGTAGGGAGGATTAGTGGCAAGGGTGATGCAATATCCTGCCATGGTACAAGCAGGTGTGGGTGGTTGTTTGGAGAGCAATTTATTGAGGTCAGGGATCTTGTCTTCAGGAGGCAAGAGGGCAAGGTAGGAATTGGAGGGCCCCGGTGAAATGCTGAGGGCATGCTCACAGGTGAATCTACTAAGAAAGTAAACCCAAATATAAACACGTTCACACTCCTCGTAATCAGCTTCTCAGTGTGTGAAAGATGCCAGGACTTTGGGGTGGACAGAGCACCAGTATCACAACTCTCAATAGACGCAGATCAATAGTCACGGAAGACAAAGTTGACGACAAGGATATATATATATAGCAAACAGTGGTGTCTCAACCAATATCTTCTATACAGCCAAAAACCAACACTAATCCAACCACAACCAACAATATCACAAGTCAGAACTTAGTACGGAGTATTAAGATCCCTTGTAGCAACAGCGTCCAGATGGCAACACAAAGCCCAAAATATCAAGTCAACGCACTGCCAACTAAGACAACCAAAGTACTGAGTCGATGCACTGCCAACTAGTAAGACCAAAATGCCGCGTCGACGCACTGCCAACTAACAGCCAATATCCAATGTCCAAAACCCGAGCACAACTTGTCAACGCACTGCCAAGCAAGAAGTGTGGAACCAAAGTTCTCAAGTCGGCGCACTGCCAACTGACCAGAACTACCAGAGCACAATTAGTCGATGCACTGCCAAACTAGAGGTGTGGAAACAATCTCAACAAAGCCCAAAGGCGACGACACTAAATGCCGTGACTAAACCAGAAGCAGCAAATCCGACTTTCTGATATCTCAAAACTCAAACTCAAATCACAGTAGCTACAAGTGCTCAGGGAGCAACTCGTCGCGACCGGGCAGGGGTAGCAGAACTTCTTAGGGTGGAATCACGCGGCACGCAAATTGTACAAAACAATCTGATATGAGAGTGATTCACAGTCCAGGGGAAAGCTCCCTAATACAAAGAAACGATGTGCTGCTTATACTGTCTACAATGATGCTTAGTAAAGTCCTGTACAACTGCATAGTAGCTATGCTCTCTAAGATTGGTTCCTTTTTATGGTAATGAAAAGTTGAACAATTGGACAGGTCCTGACTGATCAGGACCCCGCCCCATTGTCCATATGGTGCTTTTGATGTGGGTCAACCCACCACGTCATACTTTTGGAATGTGACGTGCTGGATTGGCCAACTGGTATGTCTTGGCAGGTGAGTCCAACATGGGTGCCCCAAGAAGCTGTATGGCCCTAGGCACGCCAGACGTTCCTCACATGGTTTGGTTTACGGATCTAGCCCGTGTCAATTTTGATGTGTTTGGGCATGGGCGCAACTCGCCGTGACACTTAGAAATGTCACCGCAATGCATCCACAATATCCCGTGATCAAGTAGAACATGGCATGTGACAAGTTGTTGCTGTGGCATGATCCGAGGAAATGTCCAACCCAATGGTGGGAGTTGCCGTGACAAGATTGGTTCAATCTTGTAACACCAAGTCCTGTCTAGTGGTCATTGTTATATTGAGCATGTCATGCATTGCTAAGCCCTCCAGCATGAGTTCCCATCTGCAGAGAATGACCCTTCCAAGGAGTCACTGTGACAAGAGTATCCCTTTTGAGGGATTGCCATGACACGAGTGTCCGTTGCTACGAGCCCCGAGTCTGGTGTAGACTTATAAGACCAATTCCACAGTAGTGGTCTGTCTGCCTTGCCATTGTCAACACTATCCACAGTTGTCGACTGGGCAGCAAACCCTTAAGTCCTACTGAGCGCAACACTGGCATCTGCGATGTGACAATCAACCCAAAAACAAAGTCGAAAAGAGAAGTGAATTCGAAGACTGGAGGATACAACCAGGTAGCTACAGTATTTATACCCAAATCCAGTCTGAGTCATATCTACAACTAATGAGTCATAAGACTATGTACCGTATGGAACACTGGTCATGGGTTGTAGTAGAACCTTCCGGAGCATATGTCGCGCAGCCTCGAATCGATAGAGATAACCCCTGGAACCCCTAGCCCGGACCGTCTGATGCCGTGATCCGTGATAAGATAAGTCGTGCCAAGATAAGATGAGATCGTCGATGATAAGATGAAAAAGTGGTCGAACTATGACATTACCCCCTCTCTAGGGTCGATGTCCTCATCGACTAGGCCAATGGGCATGAAGACGTTCTCGTAGGGGTCGAAGAGTTGTCGTTCGGGATATGGGAGGCGCTCGTCCCTGGGCTTGTAACGATGAATGAGATAGTCCCAGTGTCCAGCTTTGAGCGTCGGCAGGAGGCGAATGCGTGTGTCTGGATTTGATTGTTTCCTCTGCCAGTCTCTCAGGACGTCCTCCGCGTGGGTAAGGTGACGTGATGGTTCCCAGGTGTTCTCGCTGTGCGGCCATCCCTTCCATTTGACCAAGTACTGTTTTCCTCGGCCGACTTTTCGTTCTTTCACGATTTCTTCGACTTCCCACTCCTCTGCTCCTCCAATCATCTTGGCTACGGGTCTCTTCTCTCAGCGATGGGGGGGTGGTTCATGATAAGGTGTCAATAATGACTCGTTGAACACCGGGTGTCTTCGGTCCGTGTCCGGCAAATCCAGCTTCCATGCGGCCGCTCCAACCTTCTCCAGTATCTCGTAAGGTCCCAATCTCTTGTCGCTCATCTTCTTTGATGGTCTATCCGTCTCGATATTGTCCCCTTCTATGTACACCTACATCCCAACCTTCAACTCCGGAACTTCTTTTCTTTGTTTATCGTAGTATTTTTTCATTTTTTCTTTTGCTTTTTCCAACGCTGCTTTTGCTTCGTCTTGTATTTCTTTGATTCTTTTTACAAATTCCTCCGCCGACTCGTTCCTTGATTCCATCCTTTGCTCCACTCCCTTCCATGGGTGATATCCGTGATTTGCATAGAACGGTGACATTTTGGTAGACGTGTTCATTTTGTCATTGTATGCGAACTCCGCCATTCCCAGCCACTCCGACCAATCCGTCTGATGGTAGTTGACGTAAATGCGGAGATAGTGTTCGATCTCCTGATTCATGCGTTCGGTTTGTCCATCCGTGATCGGGTGATATGCGGTCCCCGGGTTCATTTCCACGCCCAACATCCGATTCGTCTCCTTCATGAAGCCCTTGATATAACGCGAGTCCCTGTCGGTGATGATCTTGCGAGGGATCCCGTGATAACGGAAGACCCGGTCCCTTGTCAGCCGTGCTACTCCTTCGCTGCTGATGTCAGTACTAATGGGTTCGACATGGATCATTTTGGTGAAGGTGTCACACCACACATGGATTGCATCATACCCGTTACTGACCGGCAAGGGTCCGATTTGATCCATTGAGATGATTTCCCACGGCGCATTTGGAACTGCATGCGGGTGTAGAGTCCCTGTCCTCGCTCTCCTGGTCTTGGTCCGTTGGCACGCCTCGCACGTCTGGATGTATTTCCGAATTTGGTTTCCCATCCTGGGCCACCAGTAGTTCCTTTCCACCATCTCCTGCGTTCGGTTGATTCCAGCGTGTCCGGCCAAGGGTGTGTCATGGTGTAGACCGATGATCTTGTCTCGCAGTTCCTCGTCCCTTGGTACGTAGAGCTTCCCATGGTACGTGATAAGCCCCTCTTCCTTCTTCCATCCGACGAGTGACTTCTCCAAGGCCGCCTTGACGCTTCCATCAATTGATCGAATGGCCTTGATTTCATCGATTAGCTGCTGATCCTGTCCCTCGAATGTGACTTCTTGGGATCGGAAGAACTCGGGCTTCAGTAGCGTGACGTCCTTGTTGTCGTTCTTGCCCTGATCGTGATCCGCTCATCGAGACAGGAGATCCGCCTTGTGGTTGAGTGCGCCGGGTCGGTGTCGTAAGGTGAAATCAAACTCCGCCAGCTCCGTGATCCATCGTGCTTGTCGTCGATTGAGCTTCTGCGGCTTTCGGAAGTACTCGAGATTCTGATGATCAGTGAAGATCTCGAATGTTTCCGTGGCTCCCAAGAGCAGCTGCCTCCATTCATCGAGTGATAACATGATCGCGAGCATTTCCTTGTCGTAGATCTCGTAATTTCGCTCGGTTTCGGTCAATGCGTGTGAAATAAATGCGATTGGGCGCCAAATGCCGTCTTGGTTTTGGCTCAAAACTGCTCCTGTTGCCCCTTCCGAAGCATCGGCTTCCAGACGATATTGGCCAGTGTCATTTGGCAGTGCTAGGACCGCATCCTCTGCAATTCTCTTCTTCAACCCATCAAATGCTGCACGCTCATCTGCACCCCATGCCCATCCTGCCTTCCCTGTCAACCGTGTCAATGGTTTGGCAATCTCCGCATATCCCCGAACAAAGCGTCGATAGAAGTTGGTGAACCCTAGGAAGGCTTGTACTTGTTTGACGCTTTTTGGTTCTGGCCATTCCATCACGCCCTTGATCTTGACTGGGTCCATCCGCATCGAATTGTGCCCAATAATTACACCCAAATATTCGATTTCCGTGCGTTCAAACTCGCACTTTTCGGGTTTCAGGTACAGCTTGTGTTTTTGGAGCAGTTCGAGTACTCGTTTCGTGATCCGCCGATGTTCATCCAAGTTCTCTGTGAAGATCAGTATATCATCAAGATAGACTACCACGTGGCCCTCGTTGATCAGTTCTCGGAGTATGTCGTTCATCATGTTTTGGAAGGTTGCCGGGGAATTCGTGAGGCCAAAGAACATGACCAAGGGCTCATACAGCCCACGGTTTGTGCGGAACGCAGCCTTCCATTCGTCGCCCTCTTTGATCCGCACGTTGTTGTATCCCCACCGGATGTCAAGCTTTGTGAAGAACTTGGCGCCGCATAGATTATGGACCAGTTCGGAGATCAGCAGCAGCGGGTATCGATTTCGGATCGTCATCTCGTTCAACTTCCGATAATCTTGGACAGGACGTAGCGAGCCATCCTTTTTCTTGACAAAGAAGAATGCTGACGCCATGGGTGATTTTGATGGCCTGATCCGTCCACTGGCCAGGTTCTCTTGCAAGAACTCGTCGAGCTTGACCTGCTCGTTTCGCGATAAGGGGTACACCTTGCAGTCCACCGCTTTGGAGCCAGGTTTGAGTTCAATCGCATGATCCCATGCTCGTCGATCCGGTAGCCAGTCAAACGATTCCTTGGCAAATACTTTGACGAATTCCCGATATTGATCCGGAATCTTCCCTTCGGTCATTCTCTCCTTCTCCTTTTCCGCTTCTTCTGCGAATTTCTGTGCCGGCGTTTCCTTCATCCGTAAATCCACTTCCTTCCCAAAGTCGACCAACAGGATCGATTCTCCCTCCTCCAGATCCGGTTCATCCGCGTCCAGGACAATTGCGTCCATGTCGATCATTGCTTGGTGCTCCTCGTGACCCCTCATGTGACACCGCTCTGGGCATCGGCTGAATCTCATCGTCTGCTCCTGCCAATCCACCTCGGGGTTGTGTTCCATCAGCCAATCAAGACCGATGAAGATCCGGGCTTTCCCTAAGCACGTCAGAAGGAACGTGCGTGTCTCCTCATGAGGACCGATTCTCATCCTTAGGTCGACATAATGCGTGATCCGACCGCTGATGTTCTCGGTGTTGTCGGCGTTACGAGCCACAATAGGTTGTGGAAGCTCTTGGATATCCAGCTTCTCTGCCCGTGCATAGTCGGTGTCGATGCAACAGGTACTGCAGCCGCTATCGAGCAGCGCCCTGACTCCGCGTGTTTTCCCCGAGTCCAGACCCGTGATCTGGACATATACGTCCATCGAATGCCTCTTTCTTTCGGCCTGGTAATTGCGCAATTCCTGCGCTAATCTGCTGGGCTGGGGGCCCTTCTGTTTCTCGGCCGCCAATTTTCTCTGGATGGCATCTGGCACTTTGGTGCGTTTGGGTGTTTCTGGAATCTCGATTTCGGCAGATTCCTTAGGCGCTTCCTCCTTTTTCAAGGATCGAGCCTCCGGAGCAATGCTCCCCTTTTCGGTCTTTGTTGACGTGGTTTCTCCTCCACGAGCCATAAATACGTAGGAGTCCAAAAATAATTTGTCCGCAGCCGCTATCTTCTGATCCTTTTTATCTTGTAAATATTTTCTATTTAAAGCGATCTTTTCTTTACGCTCCTTTTCCATTTCGGCAACAAGAAAATCGTGAATATTTGTACGTAGTGAGTCGGGGAGCGTGTATGTATGATGAGGCATATTGTTCGTATCTTTAATTGAAACAAGTACAGAAAAACGTCCATAGTCCGGGCGCTCCACCTCCTTGGCTAGGGGAGTGGAGCGCTTCAAAAACCCTTCTCGCGCAGCTTCTCAGCGATCTCCTTGAGGAACTCGTTGTCTTTGTCCCCGTTCTCGATCTCTTCCAGCATCGTGGCCCGATTAAAGAATGTGCGCTTCTTCCTTGGCTCCGGACAGTTCCGCGCAATGTGCCCGGGCTGTTGACAGTTGTAGCAGATGATATTGCGGCTACGGGTGTGGGTGCGATCGATTTCCATCGGAACTGGTTCGTTGGCAGCGGGTCGGGCCGGAGCGGGTGCAGGCGTTGTTGGAGCAGCCTGAGGACGGAATTGGGGAGGTGGTCGTTGAGTGGGGTGCCCGTACGATGCCTTGCGCAGCTGGTCACAAAGAGCGTTCGCCTCAATGTTGACACACCAGTCCTTGAAGGCGCCATACACCTTGGGCAGGGGGACACCAGTGTTATAGAGGCGACTGGCGATCTCGCTACTGAGCCCGCGCTCGAGGAACTCGATGAGGATATTATCTTGATCCCCCTTCTTATACTCGCCCTTGTCGTCGGTGGCGGTGTCCACATTGTACCCCGCATCCGAAGCCAGCATCTCGAAGTCGGAGATATAATCCGCAAAGGATCGTTTGTTCTGGCGCAGGGCCATGAGTCGAGCGGCGGCGACTTGCTCCGCGTTAGAATCCCCGAAGGCCCTCTGAAGCTCCTCCAAGAAGGTTGCCGAGGTGACCCCAGCCTTTATCCCATTAAGGCTCTCGAAGTTGCGCTGTTTCCAGTTCATCGCCCATCTTGAGGCGGCGCAGCTTGTGCCAGCCTCGTTGCGGAGGTAGGAGAGGATGAACAGGATTTTCGTCTCATCCTGCAAGAATTCCGACCGGTATGCACCAATGTAGGTGGTGCATGAGTCCACGAAGCCCATGTACTTGGTTTTGTCCCCATCGAAGTAGGGGGGGTTGGCGGCGAGGGTGATGCGGTGATGACCTGACATGGTAGGAGCAGGTGTGATAGGTGGGGGTGAGGGTGGTTGTTCGGAGGGCAATTCGTCGAGGTCAGGAATCTCGTCTTCAGGTGGCGGGAGGGTGAGGTAGGGATCGAAGGGCTCGGGTTGGTTTTGATGCGCCAGATCGGGCGACGATGGTATGAGGGGGGGAGGAGACGGACTCCCAGATGACGATGGGAATCGGTACGAAATGGTGAATTCGTGTGCTGTACAAGCACTCGAGGATGGGTTCTTTTGCTAGCAAAAAGATCCCGGGCCTAGCTCTTCACGTGCCCGATGATCCCGAGGTGCGTTTTCCCGAAGGTCTCCGCAGCACTCCTTGTAGCTACCGTAAGGCTTGGGTCGGGCTCAACGTTACCCGTGGCCTGGTGCTGTTTGCTCGATATGAACCCTTCACTGCGATAGTGGAGGACGACTAGATGATTCGGTAGAAGGGTAAGTTGGTTGATAAGGGTTAAGAGGATATAGCGGGCGTAGCGGTGCGGGATGCAGGGTAAGAGGTATGAGGTAGGAGGGTATGAGGGCAGTCTTCGAATTATGTGACAATCAACCCAAAAACAAAGTCGAAAAGAGAAGTGAATTCGAAGACTGGAGGATACAACCAGGTAGCTACAGTATTTATACCCAAATCCAGTCTGAGTCATATCTACAACTAATGAGTCATAAGACTATGTACCGTATGGAACACTGGTCATGGGTTGTAGTAGAACCTTCCGGAGCATATGTCGCGCAGCCTCGAATCGATAGAGATAACCCCTGGAACCCCTAGCCCGGACCGTCTGATGCCGTGATCCGTGATAAGATAAGTCGTGCCAAGATAAGATGAGATCGTCGATGATAAGATGAAAAAGTGGTCGAACTATGACATGCGACATGATACACCAAATGGTTCAAGAGTAAACTCTGTAAAAGCGCAAAAATACACCCTTATAGAGTTGGTGCAGAGCACGCCTGGTAGCTAGCCTATCAGCGTATTGATTGTTCCCTCCTTCATTATCTACTAGTACCATTTATTTTCAAAGAACTGCCCTAAAATGTGTTGTGTGTGCACAAAACAGCAAGAAAGTGGCTGGACAGGGGCACGTTATGCACAGCCCTGAGGCGCTGCTGCACTGCATTAGTACAGGATCAGCCTGGTCTTCCCGATCAATCCTGATAAGATAGTATTGGTCCTGTAGGACTGGAATTGCTCTCAAATAGGACCATCTGGATCAATCACGTGTAAGCAAAACTTCAAGAATAGGACTGGGATACCAGTCCAAGTCCTACAGTTTTTGTTACTCCTCATCAAGACCTATGAAGATCTGGGCTTTTCCCAGACACATCAGGAGGGATGTACATGTTTCCACATGAGGGCCAATCTTCATTCCCAGGTTGACATAGTGTGTGATCTGGCTGCTGATGTTCTTGGTGTTGTTGGCACTACAGGCCATGATGGGTTTTGGAAGCTCCTGAATATCCAACCTTTCTGCCCATGCATAGTCAGTGTCAATGCAGTTTAAACAGGTACTGCAATGACGACTCTGCCAACAGCTGTAAGGATGGGATGGTGATTCTAGCATAGTAGTAGTAGAGTATAGGATGTAAGGTGTCACTAACAATAACCTCAGACCATGTGATGGTGTTTCTGAAACACACATCTTCAAATGCAGTGACCAAAACTTTATTTTCTCATAAGTATCTACAATGATTTGCAACAATATATGAGCACATTACAATCTAGTGCAGCTATAATACCATTGTGAATCCATTAAACGGAAACAACTGGCATTCAAATTACTTTTCCCTTGCAGCACCTCAATCACGCGCAAATCCTCCTCTTTCCCGATTTGGAACACTGCTTTCCCGATTCGGAACACCGCTTTCATTTTTCAATTCCTAGACCATCTCCTGCCATCTCAGAATCCAAGATGTTCAACAAAACTTTGCCACGTTGCATCCAATGCGGGAAAAGTCGCCGGAAAGTCGGCAAAGTCCGATATTGGTCCATAGTCCGTCCCCGGTAGTTCGGCTGGGGTGTTTACATCGGCGGGCGTGTCCATATCGCCGACGTAGAACTGGGAGGGTTCCGCGACGCCGAAACTACGCATGTCTTCTGCGACCGTCGGGTGAATCGGCGAGGATTCGCTAGTCGTGGCCGCAGATAGTTCGGTGAACCCGGTCGAATGAGGTAATGGATGGGCTACCAGATGCGTTCGTCCGCTCAGACTATCCAGGTCGGCAGGTGTAACGATGCATACTTCTGGAGAAAACATGTCCGAATTCCCGGCGATGGCTGTTTGCGCTTTTCGTTTGAGCATCATCACGGCTCCCTGGGTAGACATCAGCTCAGTGACAACACCACAAAACATGCGATGTTCGTTCTCACACTCATGGATTGTGCAAATCGACTGCTTGAAGCAGCATCCTGGAACAATTGTGACACGACCTCGAGCTCCTCCAAGGCCGATGTAGTCATCCTGGACGACGGCGCGCGGATTACCAACACACACAGGATGAGCTCCGGAAGGTGAGGACCCCCAAATGCCATAGGAGCGATAAACGACTCACCGCGGCTGAAAGCGCAGGAGACCAGGCACAACCGATACGAGCCACCGATGGTCCTTGATCTCTCCATGCCAGAGCAAGACTGCGAATGACCCGCCACGCAGAGCGATATGTTGCGATAACAGAGGGAATGTATTGGTGAGTGTCCAAGTCCCCGGGCTGGTCGTGCAGGGCCTGAGTGAAGTACGGCCGATGCAGATTCAGGAGAGCTTGTTAGACTTGAGCTGTACGGAATGCATGCAGAAAACTTAAGCCGCTTACAGCTCTCCTTGACAATTAAACACAGTAATTGGCTCATGAGCTTCGAACTTTCGACACCGGCAGGTGCGCCAAAAACCGTCTTCAGAGACGGCGGGACGTAGAAGTCGCGGATGCGGCGATCCAATGCTAGAATCGTAGCGTAAGGTTTACTATGGAGTGAAACCCCCATCACATCATGCAGAAGCAGGGAGTACTGAGAAGCCCAAGTCAAATCTGATGAGAGGTAAGGACTACTGATCCTTTCTCGGGCTCAGACGCACAGCTCATTTCCTTCTGTCCATCTTGCCCAACGACCTCATCCTGCGGATACGGACAATCGGTGAGCACTACCGACATAGTGGGCGGTCGACCCAGGAAAAAACTCTTCAAACAGTATCATCATCGAGATAATAATCAGTCGTGGGAAAGTACGCACGATCCATGTTTCCTGGACAAAGAGTTGCCAGAATAACCTGTGACGTCGCTTAGCTTCCGGGTCCCACACGTTCCACCGCTTGCTGTTTAGATCTCGGAGTTATTCAGCGAGAAGTGGGAAATGATTGATGGATATCTCACGTAAACCAATCTTCGATAAAGGGTCAGCAGGGCACAGACGGAGGTTTAGGCGCCACACACCCCGTACGCGAGTCGCACCGCCGTCCCGATATGCAGCCAGCCCTGATTAGGGCCCGTACCCTCCCAATCGCTGAGCTCCAGGTATGATGAGAGATGAAGCTGTATCGCAAGAGTGTAGGTAAACACGGAGTGTAAGGCCGCTTAGTGCTCTCACCAGGGCCTGAATAGCCGCCAATGACGCCTTTTTAAGAGGGGATATGATGCCGAGCACGGCCCGAGCCAGATGATAACACTCTCGGGCTCTGACGCTCCACGGATTCTTCTTGGTCGGGTCCAAGATGAGTGCAATAGCGAAGACACCAAAGAGCAGCGATAGATTGTGCGCGTCGCGCAAATGTTCGAAAGCTCTGAACTTGAGCATCAGCTTCAGAAGGAATAGATGCAATCGATGGATCTACCGCTCACCCTGCGCGGTACACTGTTTCCAAAACGTCGTCAATCAACTCTGTTCGAGGCAGCGAGATTGTTCTAGAAAAAGCTCGTCAGAGATGACTCCACGTCCTCTCTCATGAGGCCAAAAGCTTACAAGTAGGCGGCGTGGGCACATACATCTCACATAATTGTATCGCTTCCGACAGGGGAGGGAGATAGCCGTATATTTCACGCCCGATGTCGATGTTCGTGCCGCTCAAGTCCGACAGCGAGAATTCCACGATACGCGGCGAAAGTCTCGGGGGAGGGACAGGAGCGAGAGTGTCGGATTTCGATAGAGCGCGTAAGAGATGCTGAAGGACAATCCAGTGCTCAAGGAAGGTACCAGGAGAGAAATGCACAAACATACCTCTGAGCGTGCTGTTTGGCCCAGATAATTCGTCTCGCCATGCGGGCCGATCTCCAACATACCTGAGAAAGGATGAGAGCGAAGCCATTAAACATGGGTCACCAACGTACCGAATGCATCAACCAAGGCTTCATCTCCCTTAGAGGACATCATGGGATCTAAGCCCTCGTGGAATACACGTAAAGACGAACAGCGACCAGAGCTGGAGTCTGTCGTCGCAGAGGGGTTGGCAGGGGGTGGAAGATCAATCTTGATGTTCAGCTGGTCTTCTCGTAAAAGCGGATGTGGCTGAGTTGATACGGACTTCTGAAGCGTTTCAAGGGCGTGTTCGAGGTCGCGAATGCGGTTGCAGAGCGTCATGATGCGATTTTGCAATTCCTCCGTGTTCGCAAGGACCATGCTGAATGACATCAGGTTCGAGGTATGGACGAGGGTGGTAATGAAAGCAAGCTACCGATTTCCTTTTCCTGAGTTCTCGAGTTCGAAAAGCCGCACTCAAGGAAAGCATGATGGAGACGTACTGGAGGAGAGTTGGCCTGTAAAGCGCCGCGTCGCTGAATACCTGACATCATGCATGCACAACAATGGAGGGACTGACCATCCGGGCACAAGGATTCGCAACCTCTGGAGGTCACTCCCGTTGAGTCGCAGACCCATCACATTCTGACAGGCTCATACCGAGAAACGCATTTTCCACAGGGGACCTATCGGACGGGTTCATTGCATGTCATCTTGGACGAGATTTCCTGACCCACAGATCTATCACAACGAAGTTTCAGCCGACGACATTCAGCGCATGAGGTTGGACTGAGCGTGCGGATTAACGGTCTCGTCCGTGGCGCCATTGAAAATGTCTGCACGCACACACGTCCCGGTCTCTTCTTCGGTCGCTCCTCTTGCCCCCCGTCCATTGGTTTCAAGTCCTCTTCGAGCGCTGCGGTATGAGGTATCGGAGAAAGGATGTCAGTGACAGCGGAAGGAAGAGACCGAGACCGAATCTTGATCATCATCCGGTTACACGGCACGCAATAAATGAGCTCGGCGTTGCATTCCCGAAGCCGCGATGGCTTCTCCGCGGCTTTCGCGTGGCTCCTGCAGGCCCGGTCACGTATACTTACGTTCCTCAGCAGCCTGACCCAGATTTACTTCAAATTCTTGCGCTCTCAGCCCAATTTGTACTCCATTTTCGGAGTGACCATTCATTTTGCGCTGGACAAGTTGGTCCAGAGGGACCAGATCTTTGTCCAGATATCCACATGATCAATTTCTGGAATGATTTTGCTGAATATTCGTCTTTCTTAGCCTAGATTGGCACTCGTAGTCGGAACCGTTCAGAAGGAAAATGTCAAAATGTCATATTTGGTCCCGTTCCTTGCTATTTCCTTGCTATTTAATTCCTTTGGCTTTGGTCTCAGAGGGCTCGAGATTCTCGCCAAGGCAGTCGCTGGCAACGCCAGCAATGGAGAGACCACTTGGCCCACGCCTCGCACCGTCCATGTACGTGCTGACTCCGGCGGAAGACTCTGCGCCTCCTCACCAAATGAGCGGCTACGACTCTGCTGAGCCCGTAGGAGGGATATAGAGACGCGCGGGACGGTTGATCGAGGATATTGTCGGTGATGTCTGCGGGTTCCGGCCCATCGAAGGATGCATCAAGGTTGTCTTGGACACCGCTCGTAGACAGTTCGGGCTCAGTTCAGTGCTGTGTAACATTGGGGTGCGCCTCTGCTCTCTGTCGTGGCTTTTGAACGAACGCGAGGAAAAAAATTCCAGTTTCGTTTTCTTCCTGCGTTCCAGGCCACACCTTGTTGAGATTATGGTCGAGGTGCTTCTAGGCTGCCAAACGCCCATTCCATTCTTCATTGTTCTTGTGGGGCCATGGCCTCTCTGCCAGAATATACTATCGATCGAATCCACGCCAGCAGTCGAGGACTGGTGTGCGATTTTGGGGTCGATCGGAAGGCGATCCTGGAGTGTGGCACAGTCGGCTGACTCATGGAAGCTACGAGTAGGTTTGCCCGTTTACACTCATGTTTCATATATATACTCATATTTCGCCCCAGCTGTCCGATCGGCATCGAGCTCTTTCAGGTGGGTACCCGCACAGGGCGAGTATGTCCTTCCGCTCTATGATTGACTGGTGAAGATCCGCACTGGGGAGCAACTAGGACCGTCACTACGCTCTGATGCGCCGAGCAAGACGACAGGCACAGCTGAGAACGCAAGAATCGAATTCGAGTAGACTTTTAGTGCCATAAAAGGCGCGAGAGGGGAAAGACTCAAGGAAAACGCGATCCGCGTCGCTGACTTATGGCGGGAGGAGCGAGTTGATAGCGAGCCTGGGCGAGATATTGCGAAGCTCGTTGCATTTTGAATCAGCGAAAACTAGATAGATGCTGCTCGTGATAGATTGATTCAAAGTTGACACTAGAATACAATTTTCAAGTTGCGCCCATTCATGATATTGTTTGCCCATTCTAGCCCCAGGATGCAGTGGTTGGCTCAAGGCGTGTCAGAGCTCGACCCAGATGATTTCCCTATCTGGTGTCTCGAGCGAGTGGCAGCTCGACTGAACCTCCCACGGTACCCCCAAGTGTTCAGTCGTCTGTGGCTGGTACCGGCTGACACCAGTGATTGTCGCCCATTCAAGCCTAATCTCTCGATCTACTCATGGATTTGAGCGGCGTACTTGTGAACTTCTTTCCGGCATCGCGCGCAGCCGTGGAGCGCTATTTACGAGCGAGCGCTTAGTGATCCTGTAGAAGGGGCAGCTGAATCCGACTGCGACGGGTTCGGCGGTCGATAGCTTCGTAACTGTAACTGAGGTTCTCGTGCTTGAGATGTTGGTGAGCAAAAGGTTCCAGAATAATGATCCATGAATCATGCGGACTGCGGCGTAGTCCGGGGAACACTCGCACAAACGAGACGATTGGTACACTGAATTGACCTACTCGATGCCGATTTTCCGACTCAGTGCGATGATCGATCAACAGAAGAATATTCTTCCGCTCAAGGTTGGGCTCATGACGCCGTGTTTGCTTCCGAGACCGGAGCCGAGACACAGGCTCTCCGCTCTGGTAGAATGATGTTCCATAGTGGTCCGTCGCGTCGCAAGTAGATCCAGCTGTATCAATATCTTCTGTGTTTGTTATGATAATGACATAGATTCGGCCGGTGAGTTGCGGCAGATTTTACTTGATTGGGCGGTTTTTGATGCCATCTGGCACCGTCCACGTGCCTCAGGCCGTTAAGTAGTTTCTGCTCATTCTTGCCACCATCGGCCATCCGCCGGAATCTTGACACAGAACCGTTCTCTACAGCCTTCGAAATGACAAACATTCGCGCGCGTTGGGCGTAAGCGCTTCGTGCTCGATAGGGAAAACGGCTCCTCTAGTAGAATCCCCACAGTATAAATGCGCGACCAAAATGCACCGTAAGTAGTATCACTGAGTACTGTCACTGAGCACGATGCCCCCGGACGCCACTACTGCTGCTATCACTCCTCTCAGAATTACGATCGTTGGTGCTGGACTGGGTGGGCTCGCTGCTGCCGTGGCCCTGCGGCAGATCGGGCACGTCGTGCAGGTGTTTGAGCGGTCGGAGAACAAGACGGAGGTCGGCGCGGCGCTGGCGCTGCAGCCGAGCGCCAGGCGGGTGTTGAAGCATCTCGGAGTCCAGCAGGAAAACTTGAAAGGGGTGTTTTTACGAGGGGTGAGCAGCTAATTCATGGGTGCGAGCATGGCTTTTAACACCCGTATGCGCGCAGATGATCAGTTTCGACGTTCTGACTGGAGAGGGAAACGAGATTAGCTTCCCATCGGACGGGGAACGTGGGGAGAACCAGGCAAGTCTTCGTTCCCCTCGTACCATGCTCTCTGGCATGACGATCGCACAGTTGCTGTTGGGGTGCCACCGGACCGACATCTACGAAGAACTCAAGCGCGTCGCGCTTCATCCAGAAGCAGGCCTTCCGCCCGTGTCCATGCGATTTGGATGCAAAGTTCTGTCTTGCTCGCCGGAAGAAGGCGATGTGGTGCTTCAGTCCGGCGAGACGGTCCACGCGGATCTCGTTCTTGGGGCAGATGGAATCCAGGTGCGGCGTCGTGATCACTTGGTGTCGTCACTTGAGCCAGAATCACGGCTCGACTAATTCATCACAGTCGCTCATCCGGACGCATGTAATCGGCTACGTTCAAGATGCCCCGCCCACTGGAATCACCTGCTGTCGCTCGGTGTTCAAAGCGCCTCCAACGGACGGCAGCTTCTCAGGCTTAGAGTGGCTCACGGAGGGTGCCGTAGGCATCCGCTCTATTCCCTGGAAAGGCCTGCCTTTCCGTATGATTCTTGTCTATCCTTGCAGGAACGGAGAGCTCGTCAATTCAATACACTTTTTCACAGAAACAGCGGAGGAAAAGAACGATGGTGGGTGACAGCCCTTCCTTTCCCATACCGACGCAGGGACTGATTGCGCATCTGTATTCCAGTCTCGCACCCAGTCACGACCCCGTCGATCTCCCCAGAGGAGGTGCGCGCCAAGTTCGCCGACTACGACCCCAAATACCACCGCCTGCTCGACCTACCGGACCATACCGGCCAAATCTACCGCTGGCGGTTGCGCACGCTCCCTGCGCTCCCGACATGGTACAAAGGCCGCACTGCGATCCTCGGCGACGCAGCCCACGCGACGCTTCCGTTCTTGGCCCAGGGCGCGGCCATGGCGATCGAAGACGCGGGTGTCCTTGCGGGGTTGCTGCCTCTCGGCACCGCGCGCGAGGATGTCCCCGCACGGCTTGCGGTGTGGGAGGCCCTCCGGAAGCCGCGGGCGGAATACGTCAGCAATATGTCGATCCAGCAGGTGAATGCCATCATGGCTGGGCAACAAACCCATGCGTATGGTGCGTATGCTTCGTGTTTATTTGCGAAATGCGACGTTGAATAAACAAGGTGATACGGGCTCCAAGTTGGCCGACTACGATGCGATTGCAGCTGGACAACAGGCATATCAGGACAACTTTGCTGGGAAGCAGTAGGCCTAGTCTCGGAGAGATCGCGAGAGCTTCCTGTTCAACACAATCTCAGTACGCGCTTTGGGACATGAATGTCAATAGAGTCTTTACGAGACGCATTGATCCCTCATTTTGTGCGTGTTCTGCGGCTCAAATCATCTCGAAGCCTAACTCTGGATCCAGGTCCCTTCTCTCTAATATAATTGTATTGCACGTAGAGTCCGTTTTTGTGGTCAGCCCTTAAGTGGAGGCCGAGTGGATTTAGAAAGAATCAAGCCCTCGTCCTTCTGTTCTATTACCATAAAAGAACTTGAAAATATTTGGTGTACATATGTATGTATCACTCAGCGTAACCGTCACATCACATCAATATCACGCTTTCACGATCGACCACCATGTCAGAAACCACCGAAACCCAGCTCGTTGTCCCGGCACAGAAGAAGCAGAAGAAACTCAAGCCGGCTCGGAAGCAGGTAAAAGCTGGGGATGTCGTAAAGACGGAGGCTCCGCAGACGGGGAAGGAATACAGTACGCATTCGTGACCTTTTATCGCATGTCCAGGCATTCAGGATCACACACAGACATCTGGTACAACAAATGGGCCGGAGGAGACAGAGAAGACAGCTACTCCAAGTAAGTTAGATATTTCGCTCGGGTGGTACCCGGACGCACTTGCTGACCCACCCACCCAGCAAAGTCAAGTCTCAGACGCGTTGCAACATCAAGCGCGACCAGGGCCTCACGCGCGCAAACGTGACGGGCATGAAATACACCTGCCTGTTCTTTGCGCGAGGATGCTGTCCGTATGGCTGGGAATGCGAGTACCGCCACACGCTGCCCGACCCGGATGACTCGCTGCCGGACAGCTCCAAGGACTGCTTCGCGCGCGAGAAGTTCGCCGACTACCGCGACGACATGGGTGGTGTGGGCAGCTTCAACCGGCAGAATCGAACGCTGTATGTGGGCCGGATTAAGGAGACTGGGGTGGGGCTCGAGACGGAGGAGATCGTGCGGCGACATTTCAAGGAGTGGGGTCCTATCGCACGAGGTGCGTTCTCTCGATGCAGCGCTGCTGACGCTACTTTCCTTCATCACGCTGACTCCTTCACTCGCTTTTTCAGATGAGTCTGAGACGACATGGGCTGTCAAAGTCCTGCAGTACCGCAGCGTAGCCTTCGTGACATACACCCACGAAGTCCATGCCCAGTTCGCAAAAGAGGCCATGGCGTGCCAGTCTCTCGACAACGACGAGATCCTCAACGTGCGCTGGGCGACGGAGGACCCGAACCCTGTGCAAAAGGTCGCTGAGAAACGGCGCTTGGTGGAGATGGGACAGGAGGCTATCAAGAGCAAAGTTGACCCCCGTGTCATCGATGCCATGCGCACAATACGTGCGCTCGAAGATGGAGATGCTTTGGACGAGCACGGGTATCTGATTGAAGGCGGCGATGACCAAGAGGAAGAGGATGAAGATGATGATGGCGAGCCCCAGGCGAAACGCCCGCGACTGGAGGCTCCGCCTCCTCCTGAGGAGATCGTGCAAGCACAGGGAATCCTCAGTGCGGATACTATGGAGGGTTTGAAGTACTTTGCACAGATCAGACAGCGGAATGGCGCCACCATGTCTGCACCTGCTCGAGCGGCACCCCCGCCAACCCAAAATTTAGGTCTTGGCCTTGCGGACTACGGCAGCGATGACGACGAGTAGATATTAGCTTACCCGCCATACCTGGGATGTATGTACTTTGCAATCTTTGTAATCCACCGGGTGGTCAAAAGACAGGGAGACCTTGTGGTATGCCTCAGGCCTGGAGACGAAATATAATGATGACCGAAGTGGTCGAAGGATCTGAATGGCCTTGGCAAACACTGTCTGCATATGTATTACATTCAAGTGCTGGATCAGTCTCCACCCCCATCCTCGAGACCAAGAAGTGCAAGTCGTTCTGCCTCTGCCGCAGCATCTTCGTCCTCCTTCTCTTTGCGATATTTGTCCAAGTCCCAATCGTCTTCCGGTTCGTCGTCGTCGTCCAGAAACCATTCCGGGTTGTAGTCGAACTGCGAACAAGTCGGCGCTGGGACGGGAGTAGAGTCCCGTGGATGAAACATACCAAGTCCTTTCCACTCATTCCGGTGTTCTTGCCGGCGGCATGCTGCGACTCCTTCGCCTTACGGAGGGCCTCTTGCTCGGCATCTTTCTTGTCCATCCGCGTCTTCTTCCACTTCGCGAATGATTCGGGTGTGACTGGTGTGAGATTCGTGCCGAGTTTGTGTCGCTGTAGGTCAGGATATGTAAGAAACAAATCAGAAAGACGGAGACAGCGCTGTGTACCTCCACTTCGAGGAATTCTTCTAAACTGATGACATTGGCTTTAGCGGCCTCCTCGGCAGCTTTGCGCTGCGATTTCAGGACAAAGCCAGGGGGGAGAGCGTGACGATATTGGCACGTCTCTCCACCGTTTGGACATTCCCAAAACCAGCCGAATCTAGCGAATCCATGAGATGAGAAGAATGAAAAGCGATGGGCAAACTTTTGGTCCTCGATGGCTTGGATGAAATGTTTGCAAACGATCTGGTCACAGGTCAGTGTGCGAAAGAAAATGAGAACATAGCGTACGTCTGTCGTCGTCCTCGGGTTTCCATGCTTCGACAGAACGACCTGTGCCAACTTTTCCTGGTCCCATGTATCCATGGTATCTGCATTGCGAGTGAGTTGAGCGATGTATCTGCCACCAGCGAGCTGGAAACCGGCGCACCCTCGAGCTTCTCCTCTCGGCCGTCCTCGTACAAATTCCTCTTCTCGACCTTCCGCTCCACGTCCATGTTATGGCTGAACTTGCACTTGTTCCCCTTCTGACAGGACCCGGCCTTGTAGAACGCACAGAGCACGGTCTTGGGATCGACGCCGAAGGGAATCTTCTGCACCGGGACGGAGCCCAGCAGCGCGGCCTCTTCCTTCCGCCGCTTCTCCTCCTCCAGCTTCTCCTTCGCGCGCAGGTCCTTCTCCTTCTCCTTCGCCAACGTCTCTCGAGATTTACCCGTGATCGACGCCTGTGCCTGAAGGATGGCGACCTGCTGCTTGACCTTGGCGGATTTGTTTTTCTGTCGGGAGGAGGTGATGAGGACAAGGCTGCTGCGTGGCCGGCGTCAGACACGAACGTTTTTCAGGCCAAAGGTCTGCGCGGTTCTTGATCAGTCAGTGCCTTTCGGGGGGAGACGAGATCGCAGCGCTGGATTACCTTGTCATCTTTGACTTTGGAGGAGCTCGATTGCTGCTGCTTTTTGGGCGGCATCTCTGCTCAGATAGCGGTCAAGTCGCGATTTAGTGCGTGGATTGGCCTTGCGGCAACCGATGGAGAGATGTGATGTAACGGATGTGACGGGTGAAGTCACGGAGTCACAGGATCACAGGTGATGGGTGCTCCTCCGGAGTCCGCAATACCACCAGGTTCCAAACCCAACAAACTCAACCACACGCTGGAAGAGCAACTTGGTTTTAAGTGACAAATTAAGTGATTTTTGCGATGAGAATGCCCCTATAATCACGCGATGTAATATCTTACTACAGCATGTTACCCACCATGCCAACCAGCATCTTCGTTCCAATGCGAACATTTCTGTCGGCACCTTGCCACGGGACAGCATGGGCCCTGAGTCCCTGGATCTCGTCCCCCATCCGATTCCGGAGTTCCTCAGCCCCGGCAGGTGGGAGCATGAGGAAGGACAACTCCGAGTCTATGTGAGCTGAACGCGAGTTGAGATTTGTTGAGCCAAAGAGCGTGAGCATGGGTGGCTCGTTGGGCTCTGAAAGCCAGATCCCTGGTCCAGGTGTTAGTCGGATCGTGTCGTGGCTATGGCGTGCTCTCCACCTTTTGCGTGATAAGTCCATCCGTCCTGATGCCATTCGTTCAACTGAACGGAGGGCTGTTTCCCGGCACGTGCGACAGCGGCCATGAATCGTTGTTCCAGAAGAGTATATCCCTCAGGGATACGTCCCGATACACCTTTCGACCCGTAAAATCCATTTGCCTGTGCTCATTTAGTAGGATTTCTGACATCTCCAGGGGACAAAAACATACTAATGGAGCGGCAGCTACAATTCGACAATCGACTAGCGAACTGTCGAGAATGAGTTGCCGGTATTTTTTGTATAATCCAAAATATCCGCTGGTCAGGTCGAGGATCGGCCGGGATGCCGGCGTGTGGCTCTCCAGATGGTTGAATAATGCGGCGAGAGCATTTTCTTCATCTCGGATGTTGAATTGTCCGGCTTGCATGAGCGGGAAAAGAACGACTTTGTCGGAAACGTCGTCTTTCGCAGTATGTTCTGCGTCGTCGTTAGTGGGTTCGAGATAAGAGAGGAAGTGATCTTACGGATATACGTCTGTTGAAGGCTAGAGAGCCCTTCTTCTGCCATATCGTGGATCTGATGGGGATGAATCGACGATTCCGGCCAAATCAGGGAGTAGTCCGGTGTTTTCCTTGAATGTTCCCCGATGACTGATGACGACGCTGTCTGCAGCTTGAAGGAGAAGCTGGATACCGTCTTGATGAAGTCCAAACAAAACTTCGATAAAATCGGCTGCGAAGAGAAGTGCAGGTAACGGTCTTGCCTGTCCGTGAAGTAGGATTTGTTCAAATTAGCGCTGGGATCTCGTCAGCTTGATGTAAGTAGCACGGTTCATGCATTCTGACCCGCTGAACATCACCTCGTCATCCACACCATAAATCTTGGCGTGCCACGTTCCCCAACCTTCGTTGAATCTCGGGGGCACTAGTCGAGCGAGAATTCCTCTCAAGCTCGGACTCCTGAAGAACGATACATGAACTCTATCTGGAAATTGCTCCACGAGAGGTAAGAGTAATTTCGCCGTCGACTGAGGCTCAGGACGCGTTGACCGGTTCAGGTCGAAGAGCATCTGCACTTCCAGGTGGGGATTTCTTTGAAGGGCTTGAGCGAGAGCCATCACCTTGATGGCCGATGTTGTTGAGCAATTCAGAAGGGGAAGGCACAAGTTGGACGACGAACGATGTCAAACTCCGTTGATCCAAGGTACAATGACGAGATGAATATTCTCGATTTTGCGCGGCTGATCATGTCCTGAAAAGGTTGGGAAGCGTTCAAGTCTCTGAAATTCTTCTCCTCACAACGAGCAAAGAGTGGAATTCAATTGGCTTCGCCAAAATTCGTATGTTGTTTGGATCGACGCCGAATTTCGGGAGTTCGAGTTTCTGGACATATCCGCGTATTGTCGGGTGTATATGAGAATATGATGATGATGGGCGTGAGTATATCCGGCCCTTGCCACGAAAAACGCGTCCACAGGGCCGCAGTGAACAACGCAGCATTGACGTCAAAGGAAGACAGAGTCACAGGTGGTGACATCAGGTCAGCCTGATTTCGTGATCTTCGAGTCTCCAGCCTTCACCTTGCACCCTGGCTCGCGTTGCTATTCATGTTGGCGACCTTGCTTTTCATGAATCCAGCTCTAAGCCAACCTTACCGGAAGCGGAAATTTCATCTCCACATCTTCTAGACAACGCAATATAACCTTCCACACCCTCTATGAAGCTCTCATTCAATTCGGCACACTAGCCCGCACCCTCGCATCAATGGGCCGTGCGTAGCCAGTGGGACACGCAATCACCGCTCAGGGATAAAGCCGGAAGACGGCAGCGAAGCAGATCGCATTTGGTGAATCACAGGTCTTAAATGGTACTGACCAAGCTATCGAGTGATGACTTCGTGAGAAGGAGGGTACACCCACCACGCGTATCTACCTGGCACATGAGCTCTCCGGTTCCACTCATGGGTGACTGCAGCGACTCCGACGACCAGCTGGATGAATTTATCCATGCGTATTCGTATAGGGACGACGCGATCCTTGAGTGAGTGCTGCACTCGCGCGCCCATCACGGGGCTACTAATTGACCCCCTGATCTTCAGGTTCCCCGACGAGGACGAAGTCTCTGACTCTGCTGAGGACTCTGGCTCGGATTCGGAGCCACTATTGTACGTCTTCCTCCCGCATTGTCTGTCGGATGCACCGACTCGTCTCAGGTCAGAAGAGGTGGAGGATATCTACGACCTCTATAACACCAGCACCCGGCCCTCACCTCTTCCTCCTCCGAGCCCTCTACTCGAAGACGATGCCGGCCTTGACTCAGCTTCGACAGGCATCAACCCGATGCTCGATTGCTTAGTACCACAGGACTCCGACCAAGTGCTGTCCCCGAAACACACCCGCCGCGCCGGCCTTGTTGGTCCCCTCGCAATGACAACGCTCAGAGCAGGAGAAACCGACTCCATGGCCTGGAGGGTACCCAGTACGCCGTCCCTGAGCTCCCCCCTTCTATCAAAGTGACTGATCGCACACTAACAGTCTTGGATGACTCTTCAGAGAGCGGTGCAGAGTCTGACGGTAGCGAGGACGATGGCGAGGACGAGCGTCGCAGAGAATAGCGCGCGCGTGGAGCTGAGAAGGGTCATGCCAGGCGTCATCTGTTCTGCGACCCCGCGTTCTCGCTGTTCGTTATCGCAGATAATCGATTAAATCCCTGTTTTTCCATGTGACATGGGGCACATACATGATGCAACGTGTGTCATTCTGGGGAATATTCGCGTCTTTGAATAGGTACGACAGATTCGCGAACCTTCTTTTGCGCTTCCCTGAGCGTCTGCTCTCTCTGATTCGCTATAGTCTATCTTTTTTCACTGTGAATCGGTAAGAAGGACCGGCACAAATAGCGGATTCGGAAATTACACCCAGGTTCCGGCCCGCAAGATGAATGAGGGCTCAATTCTCAATTGCAGCGCGGCCCGAGGACGACATCTTTCAACTCAGAAACCCCGATTCACTCAGAACGAGGAGAGGTTCAGGATCGGGGTCTCAGCAAAATGCACCCTAGGGGCGGTGGTATCCAGTCAACTAACGATTCCCCCAGGAGACGATGCACATCCTGCGCTACAAGGGCCCTGAGCAGTCCTGACGAAATACCGATCCTTGCTGTGTTGGAATTCTAGCTCCACCGTGAGGACTTGGCAGGCCCTTAGTTTAGACCTTATAGAGCAAGCCTCACGGAGGACGTCTCCACGAAGCCAATGGTAGTTTGTGAGTTGACGCCTCGTGAACTTCATTTGCCATTGTCAGACACATCAGAGCATTTCATTTCAGAACAAACGTGATATCAGGGAGATACACCCTCCGCAGCCTTGCGTTTCTCTGCTGCTAGCTGGGCCTCCTTCAAGGGCTTCCGCCACCTCATCTCGGGGGCGTCCCAGAGCCCCAGCTCGTGTTTGACCTGCCGCACATCCTGTTCCCAGCGCTCTTCCCAGTAAACTTCGATCAAGCATCGTGCGCTTCCCCCACAGCGCAGCGCCCAGGGTATGTACTCTGCCACAAGACGCTGCAGCTGCGCCGGCTTGAGGCGGAGCGGACCGAAGAGCGCCGAGAGGCCTGCGAGCGGAAGCCCCAGGTTGACGAACTCGAAGTACTTGACGGCGATTTCGGCGTCGACGCTGACGGGCAGGTTGACGATGCAGTGGTACAAGTCGTGGCACTCCCGGTAGCGCTGCATGACATACGCCAGCTCCGGATCGTCGATGTAATGCACCTGTTAGAACGAGGATATAGCGGTTGGAGACGACATGCCGGGGCACAGGGGGAGAGAGAGACACGCACGGGTTCTCGTGTATCCGGAGTCACACCAGTGCGCTCGAGCCACGTAATGTATGTTCTCCCGAGGGACCCTTGAGGCATCTGCGCGAGCTTGTCCATGTCCACTGTATCAGAGTTGATTCGTGGTCGGTCTTTGAGGATGCGGCGGCCCTCGGGGCTGGAAAGCATATAGTCTCGCAGACGGGGTAGAGCAGGGCCTGCTGTTGTTTCGCCCAGAGCAGCGACCATATCTCGAGAAAGAACGCCCTGAGTTGATTGAAGAGAGTGGTCTCGTAAGACTTACCACCGCGACGCGGATTAGCAAGAGCCATGAATGCAGAGCCGACAGCCAGAACGCCGTTCTCAAACCAGTTGATGGGGATGTGTCCTTGGTACGCGGGCACCTTCGTGCTCTGCCATCGTCGTGTTCGTGGTACGATGCTGTTTTGCGGGCGGAGCACTGCAGCACGCATGCTAGGTTTGAAGATACGGGCCGCCATGGTGGTGGTAGGTAGAGACCACTAGTTTGACTGGCCGTGGAGGACTCAGGAGACAAGCAGGCTAGACGGCTCTGAGTCGGTCCAGATTGGGATGTGTGACTGTGACGGCTTGTGACTAAGCGCGTCTTGCGCTCTACCGATTCCTCCAACAAAGAGCGTCGCCAAGCTAGAGGAGCTTTGACGGCCATGCAACGACACGCGCATGGATTTTTTTTATTGTGTGCTGTCGCTGATTACCGACGGACTCAAATGCCTTGCCATAGCATTCGCCTCTGCTGCTGTGTATGAAGAGGACAATGGATAATTTCATCCTGATGAACGCGGCCACGTGTATCAAAAGAACGCCCACTCGTCGAACAATACCTGATCGCGTCATGGCTTGAATTCCAGAAATGGCAGTCAGCGACGCCTTAGATGACAATTCGTCGCTTGAGTGCAAAGCGTAGCGGGTCGCAAGGAGTATATAAGGTACATTTCTTCCCTGCACTCTCTATCTCGTACTTTCTCATTCTCTCTATAATGGCAGCTACCACACGCCGCAACTCTCTTCCCATCTTCACCGAACTGGTTTCTCATTCGATGGGACTGCAGTCGCCGACTCCGCACCAGGCAAAGCGGAACTGCATCTACTTTCCGGCAGCGGGCATCGAGAAGCGGCGCATCCCGGACACGGTCGAACTGACTTCCCGCGCTCCCGCATGCAACTCTTTCGAGGCGGCTCTCATGGGCTCGGGCGTCTACGATGTCGGCGGCAATGTGAATGTGTGCTACGACGCGCCGCGGGAGGATCTCAGTACCTGGGAGTTCGTGTCCCCGGTGGCATCGCCCATAGCCCAATCGTTCGTGGTCTCTGAGCCCGAAGGTCCGACTGCTGCGCAGGAGGTGGCGACACGCTACCGTGCTGGCCTCGAGATCGACTTGGGGCCTCCTGCACGTCCGGCCTCGGCTTACGCGTCGTCGGATGCATCGTCGACGCTTAGTGCGGAGGACGGCGACGATGTGTCGACCATCTCAAGCTTTGGATCGATCCCGTTTCCCGTCGAGAGGGACTTCAACATGCGACCGACCTTCCAGGCTTCGCGCACCAATGCCTTGCTTGATATCGTGCGTCTTCACCGTTCCTTTTCTGATCGGCCTTTCTGACCGCCGCTGCAGCGCGAAGAAGTTGCCATTGTTATGCGGCAGGGCGGACTGGGTCCTCATGACCCGGTCGTTTGTCATCGCTACGATTGCCGGGACACTCTCCCGAATATGAAGGCGTTCATCTACCATCTTCATATCCACAATCTTCATGACATGTGAGTTGGATGTCGTTCTATATCATTTCCTCTTGCTGACTCGGGGCAGGGCCTACGCCTGTGACGACTGTGGCAAGCGTTTCGAAGCCCCTCGTCTGCTGGCTCTGCACAATTGCCCCAGACACGCATCTTCTTGCCCAAGCAGTCCTGTCCGCGGTAAGCAGCCATTTCCCTCGCATCTGAACTCCCGTGTCTCATCATCTCAGCTGTTGCAGACACGATCATGCGCGTCCTCAGCCGAATCAAGTCCCACGAATGATTTTGAAATATATCATTCCAACTATCTACTCTCGCTTCCCCCCTCATTCTTCCCATATGTTATCCAACCTTATATGCATTCCATTTGTAGCGGTAGGCTTCTTCTGTCCTGTTAACATTCATCCACCAAAATCTATTGTACAATGTCTTTGTAATGTCCAATTCACCAACGATCTGTGCCAGTGAAGTCTGAATTTGTCATCGCCACTTGTCATCAAGTCACCACTTTCCCAAATTGGAAACCTCCCGTGCAACCGAGGGTCCGAGTCCGTGCTACCGACCTCGATCCCGCGCGTCATCGTTCGTGTGCACTGCAGGCTATGTACGCTACCGACTATAAAGACTGTTCGCCAACCGCAATAACAACAACAACATGAGCTCTCTTGATAACATCCGTGCCGCCAACGCCGCCTGGAAGCCTTCCTACGCCCCCGTCGCTGTCTTCGTCGGCGGGACGTCAGGCATTGGAGAAGGGATCGTCGAGGCCTTCGCCAACCACACAAATGGCAAAGCCCACATCTACATCGTCGGTCGAAACGTGTCAGCGGCGTCACAGATCTTCGCGCGCATCACACCCGCCCCTGCCTCCACTTCCCAGTCCTTCAAGCGCGAGTTCGTCGCGTGCGACCTCTCTCTCGTGGCGAACGTCAAACGTGCCGCGGGGACAATTCTCGCGTCGCATGACCGCGTCAACTTCCTGTTCATGAGCGCGGGCGCGATCTCGCTGACGGTGCAGGACTTCACAGAGGAGGGGCTGGACCGGCAGCTGTGCCAGCTGTACTACAGCAAATGGGCGTGGACGGATGCACTTCTCCCTGCGCTGCGTGCTGCGTACGCGGCAGGCGAGGATGCGCGCGTGGCTGCTATCCACACCGCCGGTCGTGGGGGCCCGGTCGACGTGCAGGACATCGGGCTGCTCAAGGCAATGAAGGGCGGGTTCAGGAAAGTGGGCTCGCTCTTATCGCAGATGGCTAGTTATCAAGATCTTATGGCCGAGGTGCGCATGGATAACTCTCGTCATTGTAGCCGGCACCCTCTGATGTGGTTTCGCAGGGCTTCGCCGAACACAATCCCGGTATCACCTTTACGCATACGTTCCCAGGGGAAGTCAACACACCGTTGCTGCGGAATTCACCGTCTGCGGTCGTCCGCGGCGTCTACTCCCTTCGCCACCTTCTCCTGCGCGGCTTCATGAGCCGCGCGATGCCGATTTCAGAGTGCGGCGAGCGGCAGCTGTATGGACTGCTCCACGTTCGTCTCCTGTTCGTTCCATTTCGGGAATGCGAGGACTGATTGGCTGATAGGCACCCCCTGGCGCGTCTCGCTTTGGTGGAGACGGTGCAGATATCGGGATGGGTGGAGTCGACGATCCGCTGTGGGGCGAAGCGCGGACTGCGTTGTGGAAGCACAGCGAAGAGGTCGTGTCACGCAGGTGAAAGATCGATACGTTGGCCGAGGTCGATTACTGTTTCGTGATGCATGAGCAATCGAGGAAGGCCTGCTGCTATGTAATCGCACTAAAATTAGTCAGAATTTTATTGAGCCGTGATTGGCATGTGTCAATCAGTGGCGATGCATGTTTCAATCGATGCGAGTGAACGCCTGATGGACCAAGAAAGGTAATTCCGTCGAACGTTCTAGGAGGTCCTAGCATAGTGTGACGCACCATGTGCGGGGAACACAGGGGATGGCTTCGATGTTGGGCGCGGGGTGCGATCGGCTCGCCGTGATAATTTTATCTTTGCTTGAGCCGCCTTGAGCCTTCTATGTCTGACTGTTCCCTCACAATCAGACCGACATCTTCGGGACAAGACCTATCGCTCATGATTATGCAGAATAAGCCGAAACGGGCCGGGAATGTGTCTCATTTGTGGTCCCTGGTTACACACGGTGGATGCGGTGTGCAGCTGCCGCGCTGCTGATGAAAGCATGTGTCAATGGTTAATCGGCGTGGGCCAGCATCTGCTAGCATCCGATAAATTGAATTCACGCATGAGTAACCGGTGAGTGACGCAAGTGGGTGCGCCGATGACGTGTCCGTGCTGACACTTTCTGGCGCGGGTCAAGTGGCAGCCGCCGGCCCGCGGATAATGTCCGCTTTTCAAGACCCACTCTGGAAGCTGACAGGCCAATATCTCCAGTGAAGAGAGTCAGCTCTTTGAGACCTCATTCACGGGAGTGAGAGCCCAGGCACGAGATCGTGGACGCGACAGAGACCGGGAATGTGGAACAATCGGAAAATCATATGCAATGATGAGTGATGGCGGAGCTGATGCCGGGTTAGGTGGCTCGGTGAGTCATCGGCTGAGCGAGTCAACGATGCGCGCGGCAAATCGGGTCTTCGGGGACTTCTGTCTTTGTTCGTCAGTCAGCAATCGCGCGATCGCATATAATACACAGCGCTTTTTCTCAGATGGACACACCGGTAACCACCACCCCCATCCCCGCCTCTCGCAGTCCTCCTTCAAGACATCCATCACCTGCAGCTCTTTGACAACGAAATGTCTGACTACTCCTCCTGGTCGCCTGTCTCCTCCTCCTCCTCCTCTGGCTCGAGCCGCAGCTCGCCAGTCCACTCGGCCTCCCTTGTGGATCCCATCTCACACTCCCCTGCTATGATGCAGCTCATCGAGACTGAGATCTCGCATTCTTTCATCGGTATGTCCTTTTTTCTATCCCTGATTCACTATCCGAGACTAACCGGTCCGCTCAGATTACATTGTCGAAAGGGTGGCAGACACCGTATACTACGCTCTGGGCCGCGATAACGCATCGTACCGCACAACCCCGGCCCGCCAGTCGAAATACGCGGCTAAATTCGCCAACTTTGTATCTACCATCGTCTCCCGTGCCGAAGTTACACCGTCGACGCTTCTTGTCGCACTTGTCTACATTGCGCGGGCACGGCCCCATCTCTCCATCGCCCTCGAGGACTGGGCATTCGAGCGTGTCTTCCTCGGCGCGCTCATCGTCGCGAGCAAGTTCACGCAGGACAGCACGCTCAAGAACGTACACTGGGCACTCTGCACCGGCGTGTTCGGAAAGGGCGACATCGGCCGGATAGAGCGCGAGTTCCTCGAAGTTCTCGACTGGGAGCTTAACGTGCGGGAGGATGAGATCGTTGCGCACTGGGGTGGTATCATGGCTGCGCTCAACGTCGTCGACACGGACATGGACATTGAGCTGGTTCCGTCGCTCTCCAAGCGCGCTCACCACCGCCATGAATCGCCAACTCGCGTTGTGCCTGAGCTCGAGGCCTCCAGCCCGACCAGCACGTGTGTCAGCCTGTCTCCCCGCACGCCGTTTACGTCCCGGCCGTCGTCGCCTGTCTATCACGATGAAGCCGAGTCTTCGCATATGGAAGTTGACGCGGATAAATCGGAACTGGAATCCCCTGCCGTCGCTGCGGGCAAGTCGCTGCCCGTTGCGTGCAAGCTCGCTACGAAGATGCGGGACATGTTCCACCCCGTGCGACATTCGCGGCCGGTCATGGTGGACTAGAGAGCCAACGGCTTCTCTGAGTGCAGACCACCGCGAACAAACCTTTCGATCCGCGCCTTGACGACGCCTTTCGACATCTAACCGACAATACTGATCTAGCTAGCCCCAGTGCCATGCCTGAAAACGCGGCGCCACTGTGCTGCTGGAGATCGATGCGATATAATCGTCTCCGAATACACTCCCAGCCGATAGATACATACTTGCCCCCACTCATTAACCTGCCACGAACGGTTGTAGATACTTGCTTCGTTACACCCACATGTAGATAACTAACTGTGTTCGAACATCTCACCCAATGCTATCCTTCTCCCAATGATCAATGTCGATTCCTGTCCGATTGCCCCGGTTTATCATCGATGAAGCTTGTGAAATTTATAAATACACCCAGCTAGTCGGAAATAGAAGCACGTGGGAATGTGCAGTCCCGACGTTGCTCCCCGGCTATCCTCGGGCCATTCGGGTCCACAGGTTCAAAAATGGACAGGAAGGAAGGGACGGATTATCCGAGCTTCGAGTTCCGCAGCTTCAAAGCTTCCAGCTGGTTGCATATTGCGAGGCCACCGTCCCTCATTCTCGACATGATGGGAAGTGGAGCTCCGGTGACATGCCGCTGCAGCCGGTAGGCGTGACTCACCTTTTTCCCAGCTATCCGCGTGCCCTCGCACTATATCCCACCGATGCAAAAACAGCTCCTCGTCAACATGAACCGCAACGGCGCCTCCACTAGTGAAATCGTGTACCTGACCAGCTTTGGCTCTCGGTAGTACATTGTAGTAGAGGACAAAAAATCGAGTTGCACTCCACAAAATTAACACGCTTGCCCAATGGCCCCATTTGCACAGCGGCCCCACCCGGCAACAGCGGCACGTCACCGGAGCTCCACTTCCCATCATGTCGAGAATGAGGGACGGTGGCCTCGCAATATGCAACCAGCTGTCAAAGCTTCAACGGCATGAAAGCCGGCAGAAGCCGATCAGACACTGCCACACATTCATCATTCACTGTTCAGTCACCGACTCGGCTTTCCCGCTTGATCATGAACCTTGACTACTCATGCTCATCCGTTGCTGTATCCGTTTCTGTTCTAATGCGCGGACAGCACCCTCGAGCACATCATTCGATCTCAGCACTAGGCATTATGCCGTGACATTAAAGCCCTTCAAACCACCCTCCGCCTGCCACTCCTCCAGGATTTTGGTGTAGCTAACGATCCCCTCTCCCCATACCGCAGATTGTGCGGCCTTGAGCTGATCGGCCATGCTTTGTGGCCGGCCGCCTCCGCCCTCGAGATTGAAGTACCCCGGCGTGCATCCCGGGACAGCCGCAAACCACGCCGCGCGTTTCACGACCTCCGCCGTCCACGCATCTTCGGCGCTCTTCTCAACTTCGATCACCGGCCTCTCGGTGCCACCGACGACGCGCTGCGCCTGGGCGATGATCGCGGCGATATGTTTTGACGTGGCATTGAGTGGGAACGTGAAGTTTGCGGTGAAGCCGAGCTGCGAGAGGCCCGGGAGGAAGAACATGTTGGGGAACCCGCTTGACGCGATCCCATGCAGCGTGCCGCAGCCCTCCTCGATCCACTTGTCGTCCATGTCCCTCCCGTTTGCGCCCGTGATGCGGCATGTGCCCCGGGAGGCGGGGCTGCCTGTACCCGCTGCGAAGGTCACCACGTATCCGGTGCTGAGAACGAGCACGTCGACGGGGTACTCGATCCCATTGGCGACCACGCCGTTCGCAGACAGCGCATCCACGCCTTTCCCGTCCGTATCGACGAGGGTGACGTTCGGGCGGTTGAACGCGGGTAGGTATTCATCGTGGAATGTCGGCCGCTTGCACCAGACGGGGTACCACGCCTTGAGCTTTGCGGCGGTTTCCGGGTCCTTTACGATCTCGTCGACACGCGCTCGGACCCGTTCAGCGCGGGGCAAATCCAAACTGTGCAGCTTCGCGATATGCTCCGGAATTTTCTCAGGCGTCACTATCCCTGGCGCACCGATGATCCCACAGTACGCGGGCATCTGGCACCACGCGTCGGATACGAGATCCGGCCCCTCCTCTGGCTCGTTGATCAATATCGCGTTGTAGTTGACCGACCGGGCGTGCTGCCATCCCTTGCCAGTCGCGATCTTGTTCTCCCATTCGTCCGGATCGGTGGGGTGTTGGTTTCGCACGTCGACGCTGGAGGGTGTGCGCTGGAACACGAAGAGTTCTTTGGCCCACTCGGCGAGCTCGGGGACCACCTGGATGGCAGTGGCACCGGTGCCGATGATCCCCACGCGCTTGTCCTTGAGCTTGTCCATAGTCGGAGATACGGGAGATCCGCCTGTGATCGAGTAGTTCCAGCGAGCAGTATGGAATATTGCACCTTTGAAGTCATCGAAACCAGGCAAGGATGGGATCTGCGGCGCGATGATGGCCCCTGCACCAAGAAACACGAACTGCGCAGACACTGAAAACGAGCGCTCCGGTTCCCCTGGTCCCCGATCCTCGCGCATTTTTACGGTCCAATGCTTCTCCTCTTCCCGCCATTCTGCGCTGTGGTAAACCGTCCTCAGCGAAGCTTGCAGCCGATAGTGCGCTGCGATGCGCTCCGCATGCTCCCTCAGCTCGTCGCCGTACGCATACTTGAATTTGGGCATGTAACCTGTCTCCTCAAGCAGTGGCATGTAGATGTAGCTCTCGACGTCGCACATCAAACCGGGATAGCGATTCCAGTACCAAGTCCCCCCGAATCCACCTGCCGCATCGACCAGGCGGATGTCCGATGCGGCGAATCCGGCCTCGATCAATCGCGCTGCCAGGATCAACCCTCCGAACCCCGCACCAAGGATGAGGAATTTGACGTCGTCCCCATCGCTGAGCACGTGCGCTGCAGCGTTGAGCGCTGCGTGGTCGACCCATGGATCGGTCTCGAGGTGTTTGTACTTGCTCGACTTCGAGAGCCGGACGAATTGCGATGTGCCATCGGGACGCAGGCGTTTGTCGCGCTCCTGAGCGTATCGATCCGCAAAGTCAGGATTGAGAAGAGTGGCCATGTGTCAATATGTACTGCAAGAAGATTTAGGGCCAGCTTTATATACTTGTACAATCATCTCGTAGATGGTCAGACGATAGCAGAGAAGGGCCACATTCTTTCTGTCATATTTGGATACCAAACTGGACCGGTAAACACAGTCCGAAGCCGAAGTGCAGACCCAAACCCTCGCACGTAATCGTATAAGCGCCTTTGTCACTGTCAGGTCCACACAGTGAAATAGGGCAGCTTCTCCTCTCTTGGCCCAAACTGGAGAGCACCGAGATCAGTCAGCTGAGGCATACACGCTTTCAGGGCACCCTCTAACGCGAGCTGCCCCGGATCTTCTGCATCATCCGGAGACATGGGCAGGTAGATGCAGACACGGTCGACAGTTCCGGCGAGCAGCGTATCCAGTTCGCCCCAGGACTGTGCTGTGAGTGTCACCTGATGGACTCTGACCATCGGGGGAAGCAGAAATTCGATGCGGGACAGATTGGATGATGCGCGAAGGATCACTCGGATGTCAGATAGCACGAGAGCCATCTCCCGCGTATCGAGCCTCAAGAGATTGAGGGTGCCCGTGTGTAGCTCGGTGCAACAGCCATCCGCCAGTGGTAGCGAGGTTGCGTCGCGCAAGTTGGCGCGCGAGAGCCTCAGCTCTTGGAGCTTAGAGCAGAGGACGCGGAGAAGGGATGTGAAGCAGGAAGGGTCGTAGAGGACGAGTGTCAGCTTATCGACGCGGAGATTCGGGGAGGCCAACGCTGCGGGAACGACCTGCTCGATGGTCCACGACGCGATGAAGGTCAGAGACCGCAGGTGGACGCGCGGAGGGTCCGACGGTGGTACCACTCCTTTCGGGATTGGTGTGTTCCAGATCCGCCCCGCGAAAGAAAGCGATCTACACCCCGCAAAGAGCGCAACCCAGTCCCACAGGCCGTCCGCGGTCTCGAAGACGAACCGCCCGTCGAAGCGCACCTGCTCTAACTGGGCCCAGGTCCCCATCTGCTTCTCGCGCGGGATGGCCGCGAACTGCGGGTGCTGGAATTTGAGCGAGCGCAGGCTCGGGAGGCGCCGTTGCATGTCTTCGGACAGGAGATCTGCCAAGCCCGCTGTGACCGACAGTCTGTGGATCGCGACGAGGCTTTGCACAAGTACCGCTGTACGCGGACTGGCGCGCACAAGCGCACAAAAGCGCACTGCGTGGTCGTCGCCGCGTAGAACTATGTGTTTGAAGAGTCCGAAGAAAAGCCGCGAGGTGTAGTCATGCCAGCTTGAGCAGACGAGACGGAGGGGGAGGTGATAGGGTCTGATCCCAGCCGTGCGCAGCCATCGCAAACGAAGATTGGATTCAGGGTATGGTGGGCCGTCTGCGTCGATCGCGTCGATAACCAAATACTGGAGTTCAAGAGGTACGATAGGTGCTTGTCCGAACATGACGAGTTTATATCACATGATGAGACTTCACGTGGGTCTCCCCGCATGTTGTATCGTCTGACAACGCCCGGCCCGGACATCACCGATATTGCACCGCCACTACTCCCAATCCATCCTTTGTGTCTCGGAACAATCCTATCTCTGCCTCATCCTGTCTCACCTCTTATCAGTGACTTTGCATCATTCACAGGTATCTTCTGACCTGCTGCGCACTCTGCCTTACAATAAGAGCACAGCTGGGGCAGTACATCCTTTGTAGTCCCTGAAGTCTCACATATGACTTGTACTCGCTGTACCAATTCAATCAATTCAACACCGGGGCCCGAATTTTTGCCCAAAAAAAATCCCAAAGAAATCTGAAAAATCAAGAAAGAATTAAATCCAGGGTCTAATTTTTGGGGTGTGACATGTGACTGTTGATTTGATTAGATTGGTACAGTATACAGTACACTGAGTAAGGTATGCACAAAACATCTTCAACAAATGTCAGGTGATGTGATGATGGGTGACAGTCACCCATCTCTGCTTTTGTTTCAGTGGTAATTTTGATGTTTATTGAGTAACAAAGGTACATGGAACTATGTCCAAGGTGTTAGGGAAGACATGTCAGCATGATGAGGTCATTGGTATTGATCCAGCGGTGTTCCGAGGGTTATCAGTCAGCAGTGTCATGCTTCTTACATCATCTACTTGTATATAGATAGTTGCTGGGGATCTCTGATCCCCAGTCTTGTTATTGACTTGGCCCCTGGGCTCCACTCCTCTTACACAAGGACCAGAATGTGTATTGACATTACAAGAATATGTAAGCAAAAAATTAGGGTGCTTTACAGATCAGCAAAATCACTAGTTCCAAAAATTGAGTCCCCAGGCATGATTGTGGATGGGATATGTCAATAATTTTAGGACTACATCTCCAAATCTTGATGTATTGTAAAATTGTTTGGAATCCAAGAATTAGATACAATATTACACACATTGGTCCTTGGGCATGACCTAAATCCCTACTAAAAGTGGTATACTGATCTACCCACTAAGGTCATCAAAAAGAGGCAAAAGTCACGAAGCATCACATGATGTTTGTTGAAGATGTTTCACGCATACCTTAGAATACACAGTACTGTGCCCTGTATAAAGGCCTATATCCTATCTCTGGGCGGGCGAGGACCTTTTCAAGTTTTTTCAAGATAGAAAACAAGAGGGAAAGAGGAGGGATTAGCAAGTTTATCAGAGTCCATAGACCTTATTACATACCTAATTTCAGTGCTCTGAGCATCTCCACCCAGCCGTTTCGCTCTTGAAAATGTGATCCCGTGTAGCCGATGGGATTTCAAGCCTGAGACCAATTTGGGCACCGTCCCGATTTGGCTTCAGGCTCCAGCCACTCATAATCAAGATGGCACGTGTCTCGTGTTCTCGACCGCGGTCCGTGTGACTTTCTGTGACATTGCTACTCTCGACACCCACTGCGACTCCCGCCGAATCCTGCTGTGTTCACGAAATGGATCCTTCAGTTTCTTGAACTCTTTCATCCACGCAGGCACGACTTTCGAAATGGGTCCATACTGTGGCACCACCTGCACCATGCTTCCTGCTCTACTTCTGCACCTTTGACACTGTGTCTCTGCGCACCTCCAACGTCACGGCTGCATCTCTGATTGGTCCCGACACACTTCCTCCTGCTTTTGCAGTGCCCTCGGGGCCTCGGTATCTGGTCGGCAATCTTACTGACCGAATTTGATGCACTCGAGTGTGCACGCAGTACAAGCAAGTACATCAAGCTTGACTGCTCGTGGCTCACGTCACCCCTCCGCCGTCTGCGTACTGAACCAACGCACTTCGTCAGGGTAGCGGTGTTGGTAGACCAGTTTGCTCTGGGCCATCGGCCATTTTCTCAGGCTCGTGTTAGCACAATTATTTACCTCGTCGATGGAGATGCCTTTTTATAATGTTATTCAGTTATTTACAAAATATGTCCCACTAAGTATTAAGCAGAATCATCATGAATTTCATTGTCATGTACATAGATGCTTCCAGATTGCTTTCTCGGAAATTCGCACTCGTTTATTTGCCGGAACATCTGGGTGGGTCGGAATACGGTTGCAGTGTTTCCGATTCGCATCCTGCGCACAACACGTGTATCAGGTCCACGTAATACATATTATGAAGCCATCAGTCGCATCAACCCGTTCCGACAGATCCCGAAGTCCTATATCCATACCGGGAATGGGATCCGCCCAGACACCAATCAAGAGCCTGTATAAATAGTATAGCAATATTGTCTGAATGATCAGAATTCTCTTGCTCTCTTTGTTGCCTGACAGGTATCAGGCCCAGTGCAAAACTGAGTGAGATCACACTTGATCAAGTGCAAAAAATCCTGAGCTTCCAAGCTCAGTTGCATTCTGATTTGCATTTTGAGCAGGCACCTCGACCATACATTTTTCTTTGCAAAGGCCTTGAAGCTCTTTTTAGCAACATACTAACCATTTATGGCTACAGAGCTCTCTTGAAAGATCTGGTCAGCTCCAAATTCAATAAGTAAGCCAACTACCAAATATCCCAGACCAAATTGCCCACCCAAACTCCCCTCTTCATGACATGTCCCACACCGGTGACCCCTTTGTGGATCTCATGCAAAGAAACCTCAAAGTCTATCAAACAGTTGCACCCATTATCAAGAGTTTGGCGCAATGTATTGCACAGAGCAAAATGACCATCCAACATCTCTGGGATTCTGGCTTGATCAACACAGAGGCTGTCAGGGGATGCCGCACTCCTTGGGCACGTGACCATGCATGTGACCCACTACACCCTCTCTGCCGACCCGTGCCTGCTCACCTGTCGATCACCCAGCCTCCTCCTCCTCCTCCAATCCTCATCTCCATCCATGCCAACATCTGCCCTCTTCCTCCTTCCCCCGGCTATCTCCCTCAAATCCCCGCAAGCGGTCTAGCCAAGCCTGATTCCTTGCACCAGGGAGTGCTACTGCTGTACGCACTCCTCCCCTTTCACTTCGGCCTTCTCCCCATGGATGTGGTCTACTGCCGTACAGGCTCGTACCAGATGCCCTTGCGCTCATCCGCACTACCCCTCTTCCCAGTTGGGCATTGGTCCTCGCCTCTGATATCTCCACTGGCCGGCCCGGCACTGGCCTGGCCACTGGGCTCCTCTAGTGTGGCCTTCCACTGTTGGTGTCTCAGGAGCTGGCCATCACTGGCCCCTCTGAGCCACTCACTATCTTATCTGGGTTTGTCATCATCTACTTGTCATCTGCCATTGTTCCATGGCAGTGATATCCCATCATCAGTCACTTGTCACAGCTAACTATATAGTGTGACACCTGGGCACATGGATCTTTGAACTGTTCTCTAAGGATCCCCCTCTGTGCTCAGGTGAGTAGTATACCTCCCTTGTATTTAATAGTCTCTAAGGATCCCTCTCTGTGCTCAGACTCATGTGAGGTTGTTGTGTGCTGTGTGCTCTCTTCCTTCGGGCTGGCAGGAGTTGCTCTTACAGAGGCACGCTCTTAGGCCCTCTGAGATGCCCTCACCCCAATCACCCTCTCTGCTACATCAACCTCAACCCCACACCCCTCAGACACCCCTTAGCATTTTGTATGACCCTGCTGCTCTTCCATGGCACCTGCAGTGAAAACGTCCGAGCCTGGATCTCTATTGTCACAGACCAACTGCACGCCATGCACATGCCCCATGCTGACTGGGCTGTCTCCCTCAGTAGGCTCTTTTGGAACGAAGTACTTTCTTGGTATCTTACCCAGAAGCTGAGCAATGGTGATCAACCACTGACATGTTTCTACTTCCTGCATGCGCTGCCACAACCTCTAGCCTTCCACATCTTAACCAGGAACCCTACAACTATGGCCAAAGTGTATGATGTGGCTCGCAAGTGGGATTGTCATCAACATGCTGGTCGTTTGTCAGTATCTAATGGAAACCAGCAGTCGGAAAGCTCACGCTCTGCTCCACACACTAGTTGTGCATTGTAAATGCTCTAATCTTGCTTGCTAGCCCTTACCCAGCAACAGCTTCTGTCTCAGCTGTAAGGGCAACTCCTGCCAGCCCAAAGGAAGAGAGCACACAGCACACAACAACCTCACATGAGTCTGAGCACAGAGAGGGATCCTTAGAGACTATTAAATACAAGGGAGGTATACTACTCACCTGAGCACAGAGGGGGATCCTTAGAGAACAGTTCAAGGATCCATGTGCCCAGGTGTCACACTATATAGTTAGCTGTGACAAGTGACTGATGATGGGATATCACTGCCATGGAACAATGGCAGATGACAAGTAGATGATGACAAACCCAGATAAGATAGTGAGTGGCTCAGAGGGGCCAGTGATGGCCAGCTCCTGAGACACCAACAGTGGAAGGCCACACTAGAGGAGCCCAGTGGCCAGGCCAGTGCCGGGCCGGCCAGTAGAGATATCAGAGGCGAGGACCAATGCCCAACTGGGAAGAGGGGTAGTGCGGATGAGCGCAAGGGCATCTGGTATGAGCCTGTACGGCAGTAGACCACATCCATGGGGAGAAGGCCGAAGTGAAAGGGGAGGAGTGCGTACAGCAGTAGCACTCCCTGGTGCAAGGAATTGGGCTTGGCTAGACTGCTTGTAGGGATTCAAAGGAGATGGCCAGGAGAAGGGGGAAGAGGGCAGACGTAGGCATGGATAGAGATGGGGATCAGAGGAGGAGAAGGCTGGGTGATCAACAGGTGAGCAGGCACAGGTTGGCAGAGAGGGCGCAGTGGGTCATGTGCATGGTCACATGTCTAAGGAGTGCAGCGTCCCTGACATCAGCTGGCACCAGGAATCTAGTACCCATGGACCTCAACAACTTTGATGTTCGCTTGCAAGCTTGTCAAAGCAGCAGAGAGCAGAGCTCAGATGCACACAAACCCAACCTGAGTACTGTCCGCTGCTTTAACTGCAACGGCTCAGGGCACTATGCATATAACCGCTGGACTCCCAACCGCTGCCAAACCAACTCTGCTCCACAATCCACCCCAGTTGTCCATTGCTTGGCAGGTCCATCAAACCGTGGCAGACCACATTGTCATAGTTCAACCACTTTTTCATCTTATTATCAACAATCTTATCTTATCTTGACACAGGTTAACTTATCATGGATCACAGCATCAGATGACTCAGGCTAGAGGTCCAGGGGATCATTTTTATTGATTCAAGGCTGGCAACATATGCTCCAGAAGGTTCTACCACAACCCATAACCAGTGTTCCATGTGGTACATAGTCTTATGACTCATTAGTTGTAGATATGACTCAGACTCAATTTGGGTATAAATACTGTAGCTACTTTGTTGTATTCTCCAGTCTTCAAATTCACTTCTCTTTTCGACTTTGTTTTTGGGTTGATTTTCACACACAAAGGACTAAAGGCCCAAACCCAGGAAGAATGAGTCATCTTGTCAAGATACCCTACCTACGCATGCTACTACCTAGACCACTGATAGAACTCTGGCTAAAGCACATTTCAGCTCTCTCCAGAACACATTCTTTCATCATGATTCAGCTACAAATGGGTCACCTGCTGCTTGTGCAACACCTACACACTATCAAATGTGCCAACTCACTAGTGTGCCTCTGCTGCCACTGCAAGGACAAAACCATACACCATTACCTTCTACACTGTCCAGCACATGCCAATACCTGAGGGAAGTTGTTACAGTGCACAGGCTGCCATGCACAGAACCTCAAAAAACTTATATCTTGACCCAACCTCACCCGCCACCTGCTGTGTTTTGTTGCCCAAACCAGCTGACTCAAATTGACCTTTGACAAAATAGAGGACCTACTAGCACCAACCCTGCAGCAGAAGCAGACAACCCCCCAGCTGGCCCCTGCCTGGACAAGACGCAGCACCTATCAGGCTGCCAGACAACAGACATGAGCAAACAGAATTGGTTTTGTAATTATATATGCACACTACTGATACACTATAGCTGTGACAATCAACCCAAAAATAAAGTCGAAAAGAGAAGTGAATTCAAAGACTGGAGAATACAACTAAGTAGCTACAGTATTTATACCCAAATCCAGTCTGAGTCATATCTACAACTAATGAGTCATAAGGCTATGTACTGCATGGAGCACTGGTCATGGGTTGTAGTAGAACCTTCCGGGGCATATGTCGCGCAGCCTTGAATTGATAAGGGTAACCCCTGGAACCCCTGGCCTGGGCCGTCTGATGCCGTGATCCATGATAAGATAACCCGTGCCGAGGTAAGATAAGATCGTCAAAGATAAGATGAAAAAGTGGCCGAACTATGACATTACCCCCTCTCTAGGGTCGATGTCCTCATCGACTAGGTCAATGGGCGTGAAGACGTTCTTGTAAGGGTCAAAGAGTTGTCGTTGGGGATATGGGAGGCGTTCGTCTTTGGGTTTGTAGCGATGGATGAGATAATCCCAGTGTCCGGCTTCGAGCGTTGGCAGGAGGCGAATGCGTGTGTCTGGGTTGGATTGTTTCCTCTGCCAGTCTCTCAGGACCTTCTTTGCATGGGTAAGATGATGTGATGGTTCCCAGGTATTTTCGCTATGTGGCCATCCCTTCCATTTGACCAAGTATTGCTTTCCTCGGCCGACTTTTCGTTTCTTCACAATTTCTTCAACTTCCCACTCTTCTGCTCCTCCGATGATCTTGGCTACGGGTCTCTTCTCTCGGCGATGGGGGGGTGGTTTGTGATAGGATGTCAACAGTGACTCGCTGAACACTGGGTGTCTTCAGTCCGTGTCCGCCAAATCCAGCTTCCATGCGGCTGCTCCAACCTTCTCCAGTATCTCGTATGGTCCCAATCTCTTGTCGCTCATCTTCTTTGATGGTCTGTCCATCTTGATATTTTCCCCCTCTATGTACACCTTCATCCCAACCTTCAACTCCGGAACTTCTTTTCTTTGTTTATCATAGTATTTTCTCATTTTTTCTTTTGCTTTTTCCAATGCTGCTTTTGCTTCATCTTGTATTTCTTTGATTCTTTTTACAAACTCTTCTGCCGACTCGTTTCTCGACTCCATCCATTGCTCCACTCCCTTCCATGGGTGATATCCGTGATTTGCGTAGAATGGTGATATTTTGGTAGATGTGTTCATTTTATTGTTATATGTGAATTCTGCCATTCCCAGCCACTCCGACCAGTCTGTCTGATGGTAATTGACGTAGATGCGGAGATAGTGCTCGATCTCCTGATTCATGCATTCTGTCTGCCCATCCGTGATTGGGTGATAGGCAGTCCCCGGATTCATTTCCACGCCCAACATCTGATTCGTTTCCTTCATGAAGCCCTTGATGTATCGTGAGTCCCTATCGGTGATGATCTTGCAAGGGATCCCGTGATAGCGGAAGACTTGGTCCCTGGTTAACCGTGCCACTCCTTTGCTGCTGATGTCAGTACTAATTGGTTTGACATGGATCATTTTGGTGAGGGTGTCACACCACACATGAATTGCGTCATACCTGTTACTGACCGGCAAGGGTCCAATTTGATCCATGGAGATGATTTCCCATGGCGCGTTTGGAACTGCATGCGGGGGCAGAGTCCCTGTCCTTGCTCTTCTGGTCTTGGTCCGTTGGCACGCCTCGCACGTCTGGATGTATTTCTGAATTTGGTTTCCCATCCTTGGCCACCAGTAGTTCCTTTCCACCATCTCCTGCGTTTGGTTGATCCCAGCGTGTCCGACCAAAGGGGTGTCGTGGTGTAGTCCAATGATCTTGTCCCGCAACTCCTCGTCTCTTGGTACATAGAGCTTCCCATGATACGTGATAAGCCCCTCTTCCTTTTTCCATCTGACAAGTGACTTCTCCAAGGCCGCCTTGACGCTTCCATCAATCGATCAAATGGCCTTGATTTCATCGATTAGCTGCTGATCCTGCCCTTTGAATGTGACTTCTTGTGCTTGGAAGAACTCAGGCTTTAGTAGCGTGACGTCCTTGTTGTCGTTCTTGCCCTGATCGTGATCCGCTCGTCGAGACAGGAGATCCGCCTTGCGGTTGAGTGCGCCAGGTCAATGTCGTAAGGTGAAATCAAACTCCGCTAACTCCGTGATCCATTGTGCTTGCCGTCAATTGAGCTTCTGCGGCTTCCGGAAGTACTCAAGATTCTGATGATCAGTGAAGATCTCAAATGTTTCCATGGCTCCCAGTAGTAGCTGCCTCCATTCGTCCAATGATAGCATGATTGCAAGCATTTCCTTGTTGTAGATCTCGTAATTTCGCTTGGTTTCTGTCAATGCGTGTGAAATAAATGCGATTGGGTGCCAAATGCCATCTTGGTTTTGGCTCAAAACGGATCCTGTTGCCCCTTCCAAAGCATCGGCTTCCAGACAATATTGGCCGGCGTCATTCGGCAGTGCTAGGACCACATCCTCTGCGATTCTCTTCTTCAATCCATCGAATGCCGCATGTTCATCCATACCCCATAACCATCCTGCCTTCCCCGTCAGCCGTGTCAATGGCTTGGCAACCTCCGCATATCCCCAGACAAAGCGTCAATAGAAGTTGGTGAACCCTAGGAAGGCTTGCACTTGTTTGATGCTCTTTGGTTCTGGCCATTCCATCACGCCCTTGATCTTGACTGGGTCCATCCGCATCAAATTGTGTCCAATAATTACACCCAAATATTCGATTTCCGTGCGTTTGAACTTGCAATTTTCGGGTTTCAGGTACAGCTTGTGTTTTTGGAGCAGTTCGAGTACTCGTTTTGTGATCCGCCGATGTTCGTCCAAGTTCTCTGTGAAGATTAGTATATCATCAAGATAAACTACCATGTGACCCTCGTTGATCAGTTCTTGGAGTATGTTGTTCATCATGTTTTGGAAGGTTGCCGGGGAGTTTGTGAGTCCAAAGAACATGACCAAGGGCTCGTACAGTCCGCGGTTTGTGCGGAACACAGCCTTCCACTTGTCGCTCTCTTTGATCCGTATGTTGTTGTATCCCCACCGGATGTCGAGCTTGGTGAAGAACTTTGCACCGCATACATTATGGACCAGTTCGGAGATCAGCGGTAGCAGGTATCAATTGCGGATTGTCATCTCATTCAGCTTCCAATAATCTTGGACAGGATGTAGCGAACCATCCTTCTTTTTGACAAAGAAGAATGCTGATGCCATGGGTGATTTTGATGGCCTGATCCGTCCGCTGGCCAGGTTCTCTTGTAAGAACTCGTTGAGTTTGACCTGTTCGTTTCATGATAACAGGTACACCTTGCAGTCCACTGCTGTGGAATCAGGTTTGAGCTCAATTGCATGATCCCATGCCTGTCAGTCTGGTATCGAGTCAAACAATTCCTTGGCAAATACTTTGACGAACTCCCGATATTGATCGAGAATCTTTCCCTCGGTCATTCTCTCCTTCTCCTTTTCCGCTTCTTCGAATTTCTGCGCCGGCGTTTCCTTAAGCCGTAGATCCACCTCCTTTCCAAAGTCAACCAACAGGATTGATTCTCCCTCTTCCAGATCCTGTGCACCTGTGTCCAGGTTGATTGCATCCATGTCGATCATCACTTGATGCTCCTTGTGACCCCTCATGTGACACCGCTCTGGGCATCGACTGAATCTCATGGTCTGCTCCTGCCAATCCACCTCAGGGTTGTGTTCCGTCAGCCAATCCAGACCGATGAAGATCCGAGCTTTTCCTAGACACATTAGAAGGAACGTGCGTGTCTCCACATGAGGACTGATCCTCATCCTTAGGTCGACGTAATGCGTGATCCGGCCACTGATGTTCTCGGTGTTGTCGGCGTTACGAGCCACTATGGGTTGGGGAAGTTCTTGAATATCCAGTTTTTCTGCTCATGCGTAGTCGGTGTCAATGCAGCAGGTACTGCAGCCACTATCAAGCAGCGCCTTGACTCCGCGCGTTTTTCCTGAGTCTAGGCCCGTGATCTGGACATATACGTCCATCGAATGTCTCTTTCTTTTGGCCTGGTAACTGCGCAATTCCTGCGCCAATCTGCTGGGCTGGGGGGCCTTCTGTTTCTCGGCCGCCGATTTCCTCTGGACAGCATCTGGCACCCTTGTGCGTTTGGGTGCTTCTGGAACCTTGCTTTTGGCAGATCCCTTGGGCGCTTCCTCCTTTTTCAAGGATTGAGCCTCCGGAGCAATGCTCCCCTTTTCGGTCTTTGTTGACGTGGTTCCTTCTCCATGAGCCATAAATACGTAGAAGTCCAAAATTAATTTATCTGCAGTCTTCTGATCCTTTTTACTCTCTAAATACTCTCTGTTTAAAGCTATTTTTCTTTGGCGTTCCTTTTCCATATCGGCAATGAGAAAATCGTGAATATTGGTACGTAGTGAGTCCAAGATTGTGTATGTATGTGCAGAATCGTTCATGTCTTTAATCGAAACAAGTACAGAAAATCATCCATAGTCCGGACGCTCCACCTCCTTGGCTAGAGGAGTGGAGTGCTTCAAAAACCCTTCTCGTGCAGCTTCTCGGCGATCTCCTTGAGGAACTTGTTGTCCTTGTCCCCGTTCTCGATCTCTTCAAGCATTGTGGCTCTGTTGAAGAATGTGCGCTTCTTCCTTGGTTCTGGACAGTTCTGCGTGATGTGTCCGGGTTGCTGACAGTTGTAGCAAATGATATTGCGGCCGCAGGCGTGGGTGCGATCAATTTCCATTGGAACCAGTTTGTTGGCAGCAGGTCGGGTCGGAGCAGGTGTGGGTGCAGCTGGTGCCGCCTGGGGACGGAACTGGGGAGGCGGTCGTGGTGTGGAGTGCCCATGCAACACTTTGCGCAGCTGATCACGCAGAGTGTTTGCCTCAATGTTGACACACCAGTCCTTGAAGGCTCCATACGCCTTGGGCAAGGGGACACCCGTGTTGTAGAGGCAGCTTGCAATCTCGCTGCTCAGTCCACGCTCAAGGAACTTGATGAGGATGTTCTCCTGATCCCCCTTCTTGTACTTGCCCTTACTGTCGGTGGAGGTGACCACGTTGTACCCCGCGTCCGCAGCTAGCATCTCAAAGTCGGAGATATAATCCGCAAAGGATTGTCTATTCTGGCACAGAGCCATGAGTCAAGCGGCGGCAACTTGCTCCGCGTTGGAGTCCCCAAAGGCCCTCTGCAGTTCCTCCAAGAAGGTCGCCGAGGTGACCCCAGCCTTTATTCCATTAAGGCTCTCAAAGTTGCGCTGCTTCCAGTTCATCACCCATCTCGAGGCGGCGCAGCTTGTGCCAGCCTCGTTGTGGAGGTAGGAGAGGATGAAGAGGATTTTGGTTTCATCCAGCGAGAATTCTGACCGGTATGCACCAATGTAGGTGGTGCACGAGTCCACGAAGCCCATGTATTTGGTCTTGTCCCCATCGAAATAGGGAGGGTTGGCGGCGAGGGTGATGCAGTGGTGTCCTGACATGGTACGAGCAGGCGTGGTAGGTGGGGGCAAGGGTGGTTGTTCAGAGGGTAACTCGTCAAGGTCGGGGATCTTGTCTTCAGGCGGCGGAAGGGTGAGGTAGGGATTAAAGGGCCCTGGTTGGTTTTGATACGCCAGATCAGGCGACAATGGTAGGATGGGAGGAGGAGACGGACTCCCAGACGACGATGGGAATCGGAACAAAATGGTGGATTTGTGTGCTGTACAAGCACTCGAGGGAGGGTTCTTTTGCTAGCAAAAAGATCCCGGGCCTAGCTCTTCATGTGCCCAATGATCCCGAGGTGCGTTGATAGGCTGGCTACCAGACGCGCTCTGCACCAACTCTGTAAGGGCGTATTTTTGCGCTTTTTACAGAGTTTACTCTCGAACCACTCGGTGTATCGTGTCGCGGATGACAGTGTTGCGCTCAGTAGGACTTAAGGGTCTACTGCCCAGTCGACGACTGTGGATAGTGTCGACAATAGCAAGGCAGTCAGACCACTACTGTGGAAGTGGTCTTATGAGTCTATACCAGGCTCAGGGCCATTAGTGACAAACACTTGGACCGCGACCATTCCCCAAAAAGGGATCTGTCGTTGCGTCGACTTCTCAAAAAGGGTCATTCTCTACAGATGGATACTTGGGCTGAAGGGCTGAGCAATGTACGACGTTCTCAATAATACAACTACTACTGGACAGGACTTGGCGTTACGAGATCTAAACCATCTTGTCGCGGCAACTCCCGGTTTTGAATTGGACGTTTCCTCAGATCGTGCTACGGCGACGACTTGTCACATGTCAGGATCCATTCGATCACGGGACATTGTGGACGCGTCGCGGTGACACTTCCAAGTGTCACGGCGAGTCGCGCCCATACCCAAACACACTAAAATCGACACGGCTAGATCCGTGAACCAAGCCATGTGGGGGACGACTGGCGTGCCTAGGGCCATACGGCTTCTTGGGGCGCCCACGTTGGTCTCACTTGCCAAGACATACCCGTCGGCCAATCCAACACGTTGTATTCCAAAAGTATGACGCGGCGAGTTGGCCCACATCAAAAGTATCATATGGACAATGGGGCGGGGTCCTGATCACTCAGGACCTGTCCGATCGTCCAACTTTTCAATTACTCTAAAAGAAAACTGATCTTAGATAGCGTAGCTACTATGCAGTTGTACAGGACTTTACTAAGCATCGTCGTAGACAGTATAAGTAGCACGTCGTTTCTTTGTATTAGAAAGCTTTCCCCTGGACTGTGAATCACTCTCATTTCAGATTGTTTTGTACAATTTGCGTGCCGCGTGATTCCACCCTAAGAAGTTCTGCTACCCCTGCCCGGTCGCGACGAGTTGCTCCCTGAGCACTTGTAGCTACTGTGATTTGAGTTTGAGTTGAGATATCAGAAAGTCGGATTCGCCGCATCTGGTATTGTCGCGGCATTTAGTGTCGTCGCCTTTGGGCTTTGTTGAGATTGTTCCACACCTCTAGCTTGGCAGTGCGTCGACTAGTTGTGCTCGGGTTGTTTTGGTCAGTTGGCAGTGCGCCGACTTGAGAACTTTGGTTCCACACTTCTTGCTTGGCAGTGCGTCGACAAGTTGTGCTCGGGTTTTGGACATCAGATATTGGTTGTTAGTTGGCAGTGCGTCGACTCAGTACTTTTGGTTGTGTCAGTTGGCAGTGCGTCGACTTGACATCTTGGTTTACTAGTTGGCAGTGCGTCGACTCAGTATATTGGTTGTATCGGTTGGCAGTGCGTCGACTTGATATTTGGTTGTATCAGTTGGCAGTGCGTCGACTTGATATTTGGGCTTTGCGTCACCATCTAGACGCTGTCGCTACAAGGGATCTTAATACTCCGTATTAAGTTCTGACTTGTTATATTGTTGGTTGTGGATTGGATTAGTGTTGGTTGTGTTCGTATAGAAGATATTGGTTGAGACACCATTGTTTACTATATATAAATTCTTGTCGTCGACTTCGTCTTCCGCGACTATTGGATCTGCGTCTATTGAGAGTTGTGATACTGGTGTTCTGTCCACCCCGAAGCCCTTGCATCTTTCACACACTGAGAAGCTGATTACGAGGAGTGTGAACGTGTTTATATTTGGGTTTACTTTCATAGTAGATTCACTTGTGAGCACGCCCTCAGCATTTCAGTGTTTTCCCAAAGGTCTCCGCAGCACTCCTTGTAGCTACCGTAAGGCTTGGGTCGGGCTCAACATTACCTGTGGCCTGGTGCTGTTTGCTCGATATGAACCCTTCACTGTGATCGCAGAGAACGACTAGATGATTTGGTAAAAGGGTAAGTGGGGTGATAAGGGTGAAGAGGATATAGTGGGTGTAGTGGTGCGGGATGCAGGGTAGGAGGTAAGAGGTACGAGGGTATGAGGGGAGTCTTCGAATTATGTGACAATCAACCCAAAAATAAAGTCGAAAAGAGAAGTGAATTTGAAGACTGGAGAATACAACCAAGTAGCTACAGTATTTATACCCAAATCCAGTCTGAGTCATATCTACAACTAATGAGTCATAAGGCTATGTACCGCATGGAGCACTGGTCATGAGTTGTAGTAGAACCTTCCAGAGCATATGTCGCGCAGCCTTGAATTGATAAAGATAATCCCTGGAACCCCTAGCCCGGGCCGTCTGATGCCGTGATCCGTGATAAGATAAGTCATGCTGAGATAAGATAAGATGGTCAATGATAAGATGAAAAAGTGGCCGAACTATGACAATAGCACGGCCCTGGCCAGCAGCACACAACCAGCTGCACCTGACATTGGATAGACAAAGCTCTGCAAAAGAAAACCAACCCAAGCAGCATGCACAACATGCAATACATAAATAGTGTACAAAGGATTCCCACTATATCTTCAGGGACAAAAGGGAATAAAGAGGAAATTAATAATAATAAGAAAAAAGATATACTGAGCAACGCACCCATCTCATGGCCTCTTTCATTGATACTTAAGTCTCTTCAAGGTCACCCAAGTCGTAGGTCAAGGCACATACAAGCTTGCTCTTCCAACTAGCCTCTCTTGCCTCCACCCTGTTTTCTCTGTGGTCAAGCTCTAGTTGGCCAAAGATAACCTATTCCCCACATGCCCACATCTTGAAGAACCACCCCCTGTCTTGGCACAAGGCAAAGGAGAGGAGTGGGAAGTAGAGGAGATCCTGCATACAGAGATACGCTACCAGAGTGTCTGCTTCTGAGTATGGTGGAAGAGCTACAATCCCTCTCACAATCAGTGGGTCAAGCACTCAGATGTCTTTGCTGATGACAAAGTGGTAGCATTTTATTGCAGGTACCCTGGGAAACTACACATCATTGCAACAGCTGTGTTCAACTCATTGCCTTTCTGGAACTTATCAACCCCCAATTGTGCCTTGTGTTGAGGCACCACAATCAAGAAGGGGGATGATGTCAGGTTGAAAGGCAAGGTGTTGAGCTTCATGGTAGAAGATAGGAGGAAACCAGTGAGGCAAAAGGGCTTGGAGAGAAGCCGATGAGGTGTCAGAGAAACCTCTGCTTTCATCCAATTATCATGGGATCTTGCATGTAACCACACATGTGCTATCTGTCAAGTGTCACGTGCTTTGGTCTGGACTCCCCTGCTGAGCATGGCTATGTGACCCTCAGGCCCAGGCCTTTATTGTTCCAATGAGCTGGTGTAAGGGCAACCTCGAGGCCCGATCTCAGAGTCCTGACAAGTGAGAGTCCAAAGCGTCAGATAAAGGGAACGACTAATACAGGAGACTTGGCAAACCTGACAAGGGAGAGTCCAAAGAGAAACCAAGTTGGGGACTCTCCTTGTCAGGGCCCACTATATATAGCCTACAGAACAATGGATGACCAATCACAATGGAAGCACCAGACAATGGGGGCAGGGAACAATGAGGGGCCGGATCGGGGAGAACAATGGGAGCCGGACCGTTGGGACAATGGGGGTCCGGGCTGGAGTGTCATGTGGACACGCTTGGCAGGGGAGTCCGGACCGAAGCATGTGATGCCTGACAGATGGCACGTGCACGGTCACATGCAAGATCCCATGATGATCAGACAAAAGCAGGGGTTCCCCTGACAGTTGGTGATAGGCTGGCTACCAGATGTGCTCTGCACCAGCTCTATAAGGGCGTATTTTTGCACTTTTACAGAGTTTACTCTTGAACCACTTGGTGTATCATGTTGTGGGTGCCAGTGTCGTGTTCAGTAGGACTTAAGGGTTTGCTGCCCAGTTAATAACTGTAGATGGTGTCAACAATGGCAAGGCAGTCAGACCACTACTGTGGAATTGGTCTTATAAGTCTATACCAGACTCAGGGCTAGTACATAGTGGCAAACACTTGTGTTGCGGCAATTTCTCAAAAGGGATAATCTTGTTGCGGGAACTCCTTGAAAGGGTCACTCTCTGCAGATGGAAACTCATGTCAAAGGGCTTAGCAATGTGTGACGTACTCAATAAAATGACTACCACTAGGATGGACTTGATATTACAAGATTGGGAACAATCTTGTTGCGGCAACCCTCAGTTTTGGGTTGGACGTTCTCTCTTGGATTACGCTATGGTGACAACTTGTCATAGGCCATGTTCCAACTCAATCACAGAATACTGTGGACACATTGCAGTGACACTTCTAAGGGTCACAACAAGTCACCCTACACCCAAACACACCAAAAGCAATATGGACTAGATCCGTGAGCCAAACCATGTGAGCAATGCTTGGTGTGCCTAGGACCATACAGCTTCTTGGGGCACACACATTGGACTCACTTGCCAAGACATACCAGTTGGCCAATCCAACACTTTGTGTTTCAAAAGTATGACACGGTGGGTTATTCTACATCAAAAGCACTATATGGACAAGGGGGTGGGGTCCTGATCAGTCAGGACCTGTCCAATTGTTCAACTTTCAATTACTATAAAAAGCAAGTGATCTCAGATAGCATAGCTACTATGCAGCTGTACAGGACTTTACTAAGCACCAGCATAGACAGTATAAGTAGTGTGATGTTTCTTTATATTATGGAGCTTTTCCCCAGACTGTGAATAATACCTATATCAGGTTGTTTTCCACAATTTGCGTGTCGCGTGATTCCTCCCTAAGAAGTTCTGTTGGTGTCACCCCTGCCTGGTTGCGACAAGTTGCTCCCTGAGCACTTGTAGCTACTGTGATTTGAGTTTGACTTTAAGTTGAGATATCAGAAGTCAGATCCACCGCTTCTGGTTTCGTCACAACCCTTTGTGTTGCTACTTTGGAAATTATTGAGATCGTTCCACACCTCTAGTTTGGCAGTGCGTTGACTAGTTGTGCTTAGATAATTTTGATCAGTTAGCAGTGCATTGACTTGAGAACTTTGGTTCCACACTTCTTGCTTGGCGGTGCATCGGCAAGTTATGCTCAGGTTTTGGACTTTGGATTTGGCTGTTAGTTGGCAGTGCGTCAATGCGGAATTTTGATTGTACTAGTTGGCAGTGCGTTGACTCAGTATTTTCAATTTTGGTTCTTTGTGTCACCATTTAGACGCTGTTGCTACAAGGGATCTTGATACTTTGTATTAAGTTCTGACTTGTGATATTTGTTGGTTGTGATTGGATTAGTGTTGATTTTGGTTGTATAGAAGACATTGGTTGAGACACCATTTCTTGCTATATGAATTCTTGCATGTTGACTCTGTCTTCTACGACTATTTGATTCTGTGTTTGATTTGAGAAAATAGATTCTTGGTGTTCTGTCTACCCCAAAAGCTCTTGCATCTTTCACACACACTGAGAAGCTGATCACAAGGAGTGTGAACATGTTTATATTTGGGTTTACTTTCACAGTAGATTCACTTGTGAGCACACCTCCAACATTTCACTGGCTCTTTATTGTTCTCCCTGATCCGGCTCCTTATTGTTTTCTGGCCTATTGTTCGAGTGCTTCCTATTGTTCCAATCATCTCCATTGTTCTGTAGGCTATATATAGTGGGCTCTGACAAGGAGAGTCCCTGACACGGTTTTTGTTTGGACTCTCCCTTGTCAGGACTCTGAGATTGGGCCTTGAGGTTGCCTTTACATGGCTGAGGGAAACAGTACTTGGTCAAATGGAAGAGATGGCCGCATAGCAAAACACATGGGAACCATCACATTGTCCCACCCATGCAAACATTTATTGCTACAGACCCAAAAACAAGCAGCTTCTCTACCCATGACAACAACTCTTCAACTCCTATGACAATGTCTTTACACCTATTGGCTCAGTTGATGAGGACATTGACTAGAGAGGATAATGTTATGATTCAATCATTTTTCAACGATTTCTTTTCTGGTTATCTTATCTTGACATAGGGGTCATCTTATCACAGTTCACAGCATTACACAGTCTGGATTAAGTGCTCAGGGATTATCTATATAAGATTCAAGGCTGCGTAACATATACTCCAGAAAGTTCTACCACAACCTATGACCAATGCTCTACATAGTACATAGTCTCATGATTCACTAGTTGTAGATATGACTCAGGCTGGACTTTGGTATAAATACTGTAGCTATTGTGTTGTATTCCCCACTCTTGGAATTCACTCTTCTTTTTGACTCTTATTTTTGGGTTGATTATCATATAGAGTCTACAGCAGAATGCATTCAGAACTGGTCAGATGTATATAAAATCTGCTCACAGTGCCAACTAATTCCCTAGCATCCTTTAGGATAAAAAGGAACAACAGTTCACCAAACCTTTGTCTCCACTGGTATGATCCATCACTATGTTGAATATGTGGAAAATCAATCTCTTGTCTTGTAAAAGAATTGATAATCAGCAGCAGAGTATGTGCTAATCCACTGGACTACAAGCAGTCAGAAATTCTGCTTAGCCATACTAGAAAACCTACCTTTAGAGCCTGTGTGAATACAGGCTGACTGTATATGCTAGGCTTGAAAAGCCTGAGCTGTTGCAGAATCTCCACTACCTCCTTCATGGACTCATCAGGATGCAGTGACATAGGATCCTGAGACAGGCAGAAATCCCTAGCAAGGCTAGCTCTCCACTGCAAAAAGAGATCTTGAAAGCTACACTCTGTGTTGTGCAAAGCAGGCTCCACAGCAGCCAGGGCACTCAGCACAGCATCACCCATGTCAGTGTTCTCAGCATCCTGGTTGAAGTGTCATAGTTTGACCACTTTTTCATCTTATCATCGACCACCTTATCTTATCTTGGCACGGATTATCTTATCACAGATCACAGTATCAGACAGTCCAGACTAGGGGTTCCAGGGATTATCTTTATTGATTCGAGGCTGCACAACATATGCTCCGGAAGGTTCTACTACAACCCATAACCAGTGCTCCATGCAGTACATAGCCTTATGACTCATTAGTTGTAGATATGACTCAGACTAGATTTGGGTATAAATACTGTAGCTACTTGGTTGTATTCTCCAGTCTTCAAATTGACTTCTCTTTTCGACATTATTTCTTGTTGATTGTCACATAAAGACACTATCCACAGAGATCTCAGGTTCCACATAGTTCTGTACAGATCAGCAGTCTGAGTATGCACTTGGTTTTAAGCAGTAACAAACCTTGACTGCATAGACCTGGGTTTGAAGCAGTAAATCGAGTGCTATGGACTCTGATTCCATTGCTTGAAACAGATCTTGAAACCCATTCTGTAGGTTTTGTGAAGTAAGCTCCACAGCAGCTAGAGCACTCAACATACCTGCCAATCAAGTTATCAAAAAGCTGGTAGTGCATTTACCAGAGATGTCTCACAAGACTAGAGTGTAGAGCAAGCAAGAGAGCAGAAGAGAGCAGCCAGAGAAGTCAAAACAAGTAGAAATAGAAGAACCAAAGAGCCAGAGAGAAAACAGAGAGCACCACAAGAAAAAGCAGAAAATTTGAGTCAGAAAAGTATATATTATGATTTGTGGTATATCACAAACCTGTAACATAGATCCATATTCATGATAGTTGATAATAGATAGGATCAACTGATGAAGAGTTAATTAGTTGATGATCCACAAAGATGATAGGTGCACATCACTCACATGACTAAGTCAGATGACTTAATAGACCTATGCAGTCAAGTGACAAGAAGATAAGATAAGTGAAGCAGATAAGCAGTAGATCAGCTGACCAGAGGAAGCTGCAAAGGAGCAAGACAGTAGAAGCAACTGTAGTGGTCAAAAGCAAGAAGGGGATCAGCAAGATTTGATGAGGCCAGTCTTATATATGTTTGAGAGGTGGCAGTGCATGGTCACATGATCAGGCACATGTGATCTTATCTTCAATTTCCCCTGTCCGTTCCTTCACACTTAAACTTGTTGGTGGGCCCAGATAACTTGACTTGTGGCCTCCAGTATCCTCTGCAATCATCTGGACCACCACCGCCAGCTCAATCATGAAAAAGAGACACTCACCTTGAGCATATGCAAACCAGGCTGCAGACAAATACATTTCTCATCCGGATGATCTCCTCCACAACAAATCCTTTCCATTGCTGAGGCTCCAGCCCTGGAGCCAGCGACGGGAAGTAGTTGCTCTGGACTGGCGCGTTGTCAAGCTGCACCGCGCAGCCCAGCGGGCGGTCCGCTCCCAAACCGTTTTCCGATGGCAGAAGGCAGGTGATTACAGTCACGTTCGTGCTGCTGCTGAACGTGTAGAAGTCGTACTCCAGGAACGGCCCCGCGCCAGCGGTGAAGTTGTTCTCGTTGCTGAGTCGCGGGAAGGGCGTCACGCCCGAGAGCGTCTTGCGGAGCCCGGGGAGCGTGCGCCGGACCATACCACTGACGGAGTTGCTCCGCGTTGCGCGCTGCGCCTCAAACGATACGGCACCCCCTGCTCCGACGAACCCTGCAGCGAATGAGCATATGTGTCTGCGTTTAAGTCACGAATTCAGCTCTTCGCACCTTTGAAACCGGCACTTGGCGTCGTCTTGTTCGCGACGATAAACGCCTGCACTAGATTCCGTGGTGAGCCGAATGCATTCACGGTCAGCACCTTGTTGTCCGGTCCGAACGCGGTGAAGTTGAGAACCGCCGTACTCAGGCCCTCGTCCAGCTTCGTCCAATCTACACGCGCAAAGATCTGCACTTCCTGATTCGACGACGGAGAAATCGAGCCGTGGCTGGGACTCAGCCTCCGTCAGGTAACGTTGCTGACAACAGTGAACATGAAGGGTGTGGGTACCCCCGCGCCAATGTCAATGTAACGATCGGAAATCGGGTCAAATTGGTCGATGAAGAGGGACCTGTGATCACATGAGCCGTCGTCTTTGTTTTGAGATCCTCAGTTGACACTCACGGTACCTCATCGGCCCGGGTGTCGCCTGTTTGTTCTTCTGCACTCGCGAGATTAGTGGCATCGAGTTCGTCATGGGCTGCTGCCAATATGCGGATCCGATATCTGATGCATTGAGATCATCGACACTGGCGCAAACAACAAAGAACGACGGCTTACGCGTCTCATCCATCATATGCTCCCATTTGCTGCCTAGCAGCGCGTGGTAGCGCGTCTCCAGATTAAAGTCATTCTCGAACAGCGTCTCGACCTCGTCCGCGAGCTGATTCGTGCTCAGCCGCGCTTGGCTCGTGTGCAGCACGGCCAGCCTTGATTATCATCGTCCCGAGGTTCGCACTCGCCAGCACCGTGTGGTGCACGGTCTCGTAGTACGCCGGCTGCGCGGCCGACTGAAGTTTGTCGCAGACAGGTGGACGCGCTGACGAGCTCAGACCATGCCGCGAGCATCGTTTCTGCTCTGCTGGTAGTCAGCACTCAAGCTCGCTCGGTAAGTCCATCACGCACTCTCGATACGCAATCAAACTGTACATCGTCGCGTTGAGCAGCTCAGGTTTGCACCGCGCATTGAATCACGTCACATTCGCCACGATCCCCGCTACCGCATCCGCGTCACGTTCCGACAGATCGAATTCGCGCTGTGCCTAGCCAACCACGAAGTCGTCGAGGTTGTCCGGGTTCCAGAGGCTGGCGTCACAGCCATATGCGAGGAAAAACTCTGTCTCTCGTTCTGAGGGCTTGAGATCTCCAACGTTGAGGACCCAGATTTGGGTCGCTTGGCGGTCGACGGCGATAGACATTTGTTCGTAGATCTTGGAGATTTGGGAGCTCTGCAGAGAATGAGCAAGCACCCGGGACGCAGGAGACAAATCATCACACTCACCGCTATCCACTCAGTCCAGTCAGCATGGTCTGAGACCCTAATAGGGTACCAAAAGTGGTCATTTTTTAGCCTTAAGAGGGTCCAAGACCACTCAGTGGTCTCAGACCATTCACCTTTTTGGGCACAACCACCCATCCCAATGCAGTAGCACCCCCTATTTTGACTGTTGAAAAGGGTGGTCTCAACCATTTGTTGGCCTGTGGTTGCACCCACCTCAGGTCAATTGATGGTCCTCACTGCATATGGTTGCAACCACCCTGTGATCATGCATTTGTGATTGCTCCAATTAGCCTTGTGGGCTGCTTGGATGGGCTGTTCAGCTTGTAGATGAGTACAATGGGGGTGCATCCAGCCCATCCCAAGAGGAGGATGCTGTCTCCGGCCCCAGGGCCGGCCGTAGGCCGGGGGAAAAAAAATTCTTGAATGCTCCAATTAGCCTTGCAGGCTGCTTGGATGGGCTGTTCAGCTTGTAGATGCATACAATGGGGGTGCACTCAGCCCATCCTGAAAGGGGGATGCACTATCCAGCCCCAGGGCCGGCCGTAGGCCGGGGGAAAAAAAAATTCCCAGATGCTCCAATTAGCCTTGCAGGTTGCTTGTATGGGCTGTTCAGCTTGTAGACAAGTACAATGGGGGTGCACCAAGATCATACTGAGTGGAGGGTGCTGTATCTGGCCCCACAGCTAGCTGTAGGCCAGAAAAGAAAATCACCCTTTGCTTGCTCAAGTGGGTGGTTGCAACCACCACAGGGGCTGGATGTGGTCAGAACCATCCTGTTCTCATGCATTTTTGAATGCTCTGTTTACCCTTTTAGGCTGCCTGTATGGGTGTTTCAGCTTGTATACAAGAACCTTGAGGGTGCATTCAGTGTATGCGCAAGAGCAAATGCTATATTTGAGCCCACAGCCGGCAATAAGCCAGGAAAGAAATAATTTATGAATGCTCCAATTACCCTTGTTGGCTGCTTGTATGCGTGTTTCACCTCGTATAGAAGTACACTCAGAATTGCTCATTTTTGGCACATTCTGGGAAACTTGGCCAGGATTGAATATCAATATGGGGTATTGTCTAAAAAGGAAATGTTGATTTCTCATCACGTTCTATACTAGCATCAGTCACATACTTCACTGTCAAGTGGAATAGCACAGCTTTTGATTGCACATCAATTTTTGATGATGCTAATGATGTAACACAAATTTATAATCAGTTCACCAGTTACATGTCACAAAAGCCCTGACGAGGAAGAAATACAATAATTTGTCACAGGTCACAAGTCAAGGTGACAATTTCATTTTTTGGTTCCTCAGATTGGGTCTGCATCTTGGCTGGTCATTAGTATTGGGTGTTTCTAGAGTTTCAGGGCAGGATTTTACTACCTGGCAATTCTTTTGTCACAGATCACAGACCTAGCTGACAGATTGACAAATCAGTGCCAGATGTCACTTGTCACAGGGGGTGGCAAACTGATTATAACGTTACAGTAAATCCTAATCTCATCTTAAATGTTAGACCCTGATTGACATCATCTGCTTACTCAATTTATGCTCATGTTGTTGGTTCTCTCTTAGCCATTCAGGAGACATTCTTCTATGTAATCACTTACATTTGTGCTCTTCCAAGCCATTGCACTGTTGTACAATGCCTCCATACTCTAATTCTTTCATTGATATCCTACATAGCTTTCAATGGCAGCACATGTTTCTTTAGGCATATCCCTCTTCCTTTCTAACACTGTGTGCTTCTCTAGCAATGCACTGCTGTCTTATATCACATAGTAGAGCCAGTGATTAAAGGAACAGAAAAAGCAGTGGAAGCAAGGGTAACAGGTAGAAAGGAAAGCCACTCTTGTAATACAGATATTGTTGCTTCAGTCACCCTAAGCAAAGTGCTAGTCCATTACAGTAAGCTATTTGGGAATTTTAGAGGACTCATTGCTCTGAAAATCTTGCTCTATCTATTTTATTCAGGTGCAACTGATTTGGCATTAGCAATGTAAGAGGAACTGTGTAAGTGAGTTTCAAGCTCTTCTCAATGTTGAAATGGACTTCTATGGGGTTTCACACTCAGAATATGGATTCCAAGGCAAGGGAAGGTAAAAGGCCTGTATGATTTTTGAGGGGCATAGCTTAACAAGTCAGAGATGTACCACTATTGCAAGTTCAAGTAATTTCTGGGTCTTGGGTTTTCTTTGGAGTGTCGATCATCCTTGGAGTGAGAACAAGACCCAGAAATTACTTGAACTTGCAATAGTGGTACATCTCTGACTTGTTAAGCTATGCCCCTCAAAAATCATACAGGCCTTTTACCTTCCCTTGCCTTGGAATCCATATTCTGAGTGTGAAACCCCATAGAAGTCCATTTCAACATTGAGAAGAGCTTGAAACTCACTTACACAGTTCCTCTTACATTGCTAATGCCAAATCAGTTGCACCTGAATAAAATAGATAGAGCAAGATTTTCAGAGCAATGAGTCCTCTAAAATTCCCAAATAGCTTACTGTAATGGACTAGCACTTTGCTTAGGGTGACTGAAGCAACAATATCTGTATTACAAGAGTGGCTTTCCTTTCTACCTGTTACCCTTGCTTCCACTGCTTTTTCTGTTCCTTTAATCACTGGCTCTACTATGTGATATAAGACAGCAGTGCATTGCTAGAGAAGCACACAGTGTTAGAAAGGAAGAGGGATATGCCTAAAGAAACATGTGCTGCCATTGAAAGCTATGTAGGATATCAATGAAAGAATTAGAGTATGGAGGCATTGTACAACAGTGCAATGGCTTGGAAGAGCACAAATGTAAGTGATTACATAGAAGAATGTCTCCTGAATGGCTAAGAGAGAACCAACAACATGAGCATAAATTGAGTAAGCAGATGATGTCAATCAGGGTCTAACATTTAAGATGAGATTAGGATTTACTGTAACGTTATAATCAGTTTGCCACCCCCTGTGACAAGTGACATCTGGCACTGATTTGTCAATCTGTCAGCTAGGTCTGTGATCTGTGACAAAAGAATTGCCAGGTAGTAAAATCCTGCCCTGAAACTCTAGAAACACCCAATACTAATGACCAGCCAAGATGCAGACCCAATCTGAGGAACCAAAAAATGAAATTGTCACCTTGACTTGTGACCTGTGACAAATTATTGTATTTCTTCCTCGTCAGGGCTTTTGTGACATGTAACTGGTGAACTGATTATAAATTTGTGTTACATCATTAGCATCATCAAAAATTGATGTGCAATCAAAAGCTGTGCTATTCCACTTGACAGTGAAGTATGTGACTGATGCTAGTATAGAACGTGATGAGAAATCAACATTTCCTTTTTAGACAATACCCCATATTGATATTCAATCCTGGCCAAGTTTCCCAGAATGTGCCAAAAATGAGCAATTCTGAGTGTACTTCTATACGAGGTGAAACACGCATACAAGCAGCCAACAAGGGTAATTGGAGCATTCATAAATTATTTCTTTCCTGGCTTATTGCCGGCTGTGGGCTCAAATATAGCATTTGCTCTTGCGCATACACTGAATGCACCCTCAAGGTTCTTGTATACAAGCTGAAACACCCATACAGGCAGCCTAAAAGGGTAAACAGAGCATTCAAAAATGCATGAGAACAGGATGGTTCTGACCACATCCAGCCCCTGTGGTGGTTGCAACCACCCACTTGAGCAAGCAAAGGGTGATTTTCTTTTCTGGCCTACAGCTAGCTGTGGGGCCAGATACAGCACCCTCCACTCAGTATGATCTTGGTGCACCCCCATTGTACTTGTCTACAAGCTGAACAGCCCATACAAGCAACCTGCAAGGCTAATTGGAGCATCTGGGAATTTTTTTTTCCCCGGCCTACGGCCGGCCCTGGGGCTGGATAGTGCATCCCCCTTTCAGGATGGGCTGAGTGCACCCCCATTGTATGCATCTACAAGCTGAACAGCCCATCCAAGCAGCCTGCAAGGCTAATTGGAGCATTCAAGAATTTTTTTTCCCCCGGCCTACGGCCGGCCCTGGGGCCGGAGACAGCATCCTCCTCTTGGGATGGGCTGGATGCACCCCCATTGTACTCATCTACAAGCTGAACAGCCCATCCAAGCAGCCCACAAGGCTAATTGGAGCAATCACAAATGCATGATCACAGGGTGGTTGCAACCATATGCAGTGAGGACCATCAATTGACCTGAGGTGGGTGCAACCACAGGCCAACAAATGGTTGAGACCACCCTTTTCAACAGTCAAAATAGGGGGTGCTACTGCATTGGGATGGGTGGTTGTGCCCAAAAAGGTGAATGGTCTGAGACCACTGAGTGGTCTTGGACCCTCTTAAGGCTAAAAAATGACCACTTTTGGTACCCTCTTAGGCTCAAAAACCATCTGACTATAGTGATCCACTTGTAGTCCCGTGGGTCTTCGACCTGGTGCTATGAGATGGATAGAAGGTGGCAGTAACTTCGCTTATATGGTCGATCTACAAAGGTTGAAGAGAGACATCAATGGGATGCATCGACAAACTCACATGATAGTAAACACCTGCCCCACCAGTTCCGTTTCGTTCTGAAGGAAGCGGGTATCGCCGCACATTTCCCCAGCTTCAGAAATCAGCCATATAGTTTACCAGTCAATATAGCCACTCAGTTATCGTCGGTCCAGAGAATAGTGATATAGTCCGGCACCTGAAGTCCTTGGTCATGATATCCTTCGACCTCTCTGTCTATAAAAGCGCGTCAAATTCCAAGCACACTGCCTCCGAGATTGACATACACATAGCCCAGACTTGCGGGATACTCTCGATCGTGTTGTTCAGGGTGTCAGTCAGGATCTACTTCTAGTCAGCGTATATCTTCTCCAGAAGGTCCACGGGCCAGAGCCAACGATAGGCTCTGTTGTTCAGTGAGAACGATGAATGGGAGGGGATTCAGAGCAGGAACACACCATCCCCATTGCCCCTCATTCCGACTGTCCACATGTTCTCGAACGGGGCTGCGCGTTTGGCGCCAGCGACCCAGAAGTCGTGAATGGCAGCCGCACTCACGCCGATTGCACGCTTGCTTCAGTCTGCATCGGAACACGTCAATGGAACTCGCTTGTAGTCCCACGGACCATTCCCAAACAGCCCCCATTCGACAGGAATCGAGCGCATCATCGGCTCCTCGTGGCTTGTACCCATCACGATCCCATAATAGTCCGCCGTGAACTGATTGAGAGGGTCGTCAACGCCGAACGCGCTCATTGAGCTAGAGGAAGAAGTGGTCAGCTGCAGCAGATGGGATAGACGGTAAGTAGGGTGTCCTACCAGGTCATATGTGGTTTGCCTTCAAGCGCAGTAGCAGCTCAAAGCTGAACGGACATTGAGTCACTGGTAGGCTGAGGCGAGAGTTCTAGCCCAATCATGAACTCACAGCTGGCCGTAAAAGAACCGATTGAACGGTGAGTTGGTCAATGCGATCCCAGTCCCATTAGCCGTGAACTTGGCCGCCGCCCAGTTCTGCGGGGCGGGCTGTTCGTCGTTCAGGAATATGTCACGATACTTGACGGTCGGCGATCCATGGAAGCAGCCGCTGGGCTCGACGAACAGCGAGGTGCCCCGCGTCATGGGCACGTCAGCCCACCAGTACCACGGTGAGACGCCTGTGGGCTTGGGCCGCAATCCCGCACACCGGCAAATTTGTCACATCGCACCGATTTGCTCCGAGTGGTCGTATAAAGCGAAGATCGTGCCTCGCTTGTCGGCTCCGATGATGCACCCCGAGGGGACCATGAACACCTGCGACAAGAATGCCTCCCACCGGTTTTCGATCTCCGACACGTCGATCTTGGTTGCGTTCACGATCTGGGCTATCAGTGACGATTTGCCTAGCGTACCAATGATGATAGGCAGATGTCATGCGAAGGGTGTGCTGCGGTTCCGTTGGAGACTTCAGGTCTGACACCAGTGACACGCTGGATATCGTCTGCGAAGTCCTGCGTGGTGCGCTGGACGCCGGGCCACTCGTCCGCAGAGAGCATTAGCGGCGCGGCCTTCCCGTTGCTCACGACACTGAATACGGTTTTCGACGGCTGGAAGACGACGCAACTGCGCTGCCCGATGGCGTGGACGGTAGAAAGCGCTGGCGCAAAGAGCAGGAGGACAACGGAGAGAAGCATCTCGTCCCGTCGTTCGGTCATCGCGTGCACTTTTTGATTCTAACGAGAACACAGGTCAAGTGGAGGGTCAGCGGCGAAATGTCGATGGTAGCGGGCCGGGGATTTCGATGTAGAAAAATGTTATAAGTTATAGATATGATGGTCCGTGACAGTCTGTTCGTACAAATAACTCTGGAGTGGCATTGGTTGATTTGGCTTGGCGGACCCACGCGCCGAATCACGCAGACGCTTCGACCAGCTTGAGCAGGCTTCGCTCTGGCACCTGCTCCCCGGCAAAGCGTTCTGAAAGCATCTGTAGTGTACCCTCCAGCCGCACACCCTCGTTGTCCTCGTCGTAGCTGTCCTCCAAGAACTCGCGTGCCGAGGGCCCTCCATCCTCACTCAAGCGAATAGCGCCCTCGTTCGAGAGTGTCTTCAATCTGTTCGTGGTTTTTCAGTGACTGGGTGCCGAACAAAACGAAGAGAATGTCTGTGCGCGTACTGATGAGAGATGACTGAGCGCAGGCTAGAGGCATACAGGCTTGAAAGGCACTCTCTAACGCGAGCTGCCCCGGATCTTCTGCGTCATCCGGAGAGATGGGCAGGTAGATGCAGACACGGTCGACAGTTCCGGCGAGCAGCGTATCCAGTTCGCCCCAGGACTGTGCTGTGAGTGTCACCTGATGGACTCTGACCATCGGGGGAAGCAGAAATTGGATGCGGGACAGATTGGATGATGCGCGAAGGATCACTCGGATGTCAGATAGCACGAGAGCCATCTCCTGGGTATCGAGCCTCAAGAGATTGAGAGTGCCCGTGTGTAGCTCGGTGCAGCAGCCATCCGCCAGTGGTAGCGGGGTTGCGTCGCGGAAGTTGGCGCGCGAGAGCCTCGGCTCTTGGAGCTTAGAGCAGAGGACGCGGAGAAGGGATGTGAAGCAGGAAGGGTCGTAGAGGACGAGTGTCAGCTTATCGACGCGGAGATTCGGGGAGGCCAACGCTGCGGGAACGACCTGCTCGATGGTCCACGACGCGATGAAGGTCAGAGACCGCAGGTGGACGCGCGGAGGGTCCGACGGTGGTACCACTCCTTTCGGGATTGGTGTGTTCCAGATCCGCCCCGCGAAAGAAAGCGATCTACACCCCGCAAAGAGCGCAACCCAGTCCCACAGGCCATCCGCGGTCTCGAAGACGAACCGCCCGTCGAAGCGCACCTGCTCTAACTGGGCCCAGGTCCCCATCTGCTTCTCGCGCGGGATGGCCGAGAACTGCGGGTGCTGGAATTTGAGCGAGCGCAGGCTCGGGAGGCGCCGTTGCATGTCCTCGGACAGGAGATCTGCCAAGCCCGCTGTGACCGACAGTCTGTGGATCGCGACGAGGCTTTGCACAAGTATCGCCGCACGCGGACTGGCGCGCACAAGCGCACAAAAGCGCACTGCGTGGTCGTCGCCGCGTAGAACGATGTGTTTGAAGAGTCCGAAGAAAAGCCGCGAGGTGTAGTCATGCCAGCTTGAGCAGACGAGACGGAGGGGAAGGTGATAGGGTCGGATCCCAGCCGTGCGCAGCCATCGCAAACGAAGATTGGGTTCAGGGTATGTTGGGCCGTCTGCGTCGATCGCGTCAATGATCAGATACTGCAGTTCAAGCGGTATGGTAGGTGCTATAGTCCGGACATGACGGGTCCATGTCACATGATTGCTTGTAGACCCCACGTGGCTTGCCCTTTTTTGAATCCACATTCGTATTCCGCAACAAGTGAAATAACTACTAAGACGCGGTGCCCGAAGGCAGCATGTAGGGGAGGATGGACCGGTATCTTTGGCCGTTTTGAGTGATCATGTTCTTCGTCTGCGTTAGGTTATATCGAGGTGTTGTGAGGGGGCTTCGAGCGCAGCATAGATCACGGTCAGGAACATGGAGGCATGGCCAGTGCCGGGCTAGGGCTGAAGTCGTCAATGTGTCACGAATTGATTTCAAGGACGATACTTGGAGCTGTCATACTAGGATGACACACTGAAACGGTGCCATAGTCCGTGGCCAAACTGCAGGCGTGAACACGCGCAAACGTATGAATAGATTCAATAGTGTTTGGTCCGCAAATGAAAGCTAGTTAGCTCATCTTCTCCTTGCTCAAATTGGAGAGCACCGATATCAGCCAGCCGAGGCATACACGCTGTGAGACGACTGTCTAATCCGGCCTGCCGCCAACCTCGTGCAGAATGCGGGTCCGGAAGCAGTCTGATGAAGACATGGTCAACAGTTCCCGCGAGAAGTGTATCCATCTCGCCCCAGGCCTGTGTCACCAGTGTCACTTGGTCAGGGGCCACTGGGGGAAGCCGAAAGTGGATGCGGGATAGGTTGGGTGATGCGCGAAGGATCACTTGAGCGTCGAGCAGCGCGAGAGCCACCTCCTGCGAGCTGTGGATCTCGAGATGAAGGGTGGCCGAGTGTAGCTCCGGGCAGCTGTCGTCCGCTAGTTTTAAACGGGGGACGTCGCTGTGGCTGCGGCGCGTGAGCAATAGCTCTTGCAGCTTTGGAGAGACGATGTGGAGAAGTGGTGGGTGGTAGGAAAATTCGGAAAGAATCACCGCCAGTTTATCGACGCGAAGATGTGGAGAGGCCAATGCTGGAGGGAGCCACCAGATGCTGTCACTACACCCATCGAAGATGAGAGATCGCACATGAACGCGTGGAGGGTCCGGTGGAGGTGCCACTTCTCTCGTGATCGGTGTCTCGCAGATATTTCCGACAAAGGAAAGAGAGCCACACCCGGCAAAGAGCGCGACCCAGTCCCACAGACCGTCCGCGGTCTCGAAGCCGTAGTCCCCGTAGAAGTGCACCGAGTCTACCTGAGTCCAAGTGCCGAGCCGCTTGTCGCACGGGATGGCCATGAACTCCGGATACTGAAATCTGATCGACCGCAGATTTGAGAGCCGCTCTTGCATGTCCTCTGAGAATAGATCCGCCAACACCTTAGCGACGGACAAGCGCTTCACGACGAGACTCTGCACGCGGATACCGGCGCGCGGACTCATGCGCACGAGAGTGCAGAAGCGTGCTGCATGGCTGTCGTTGCGCAGAGTTATGTCCTTGAAGAGTCTGAGGAGAGTCTGCGAGGTGTAGTCGTGCCAGCTCAAGCAGACGAGACGGAGGGAGAGGACGTCGGGTCGGATTCCGGCCATGAGCAGCCGTTGGAAAGGGACATTAGTCAAGCGGTATGTCGAGCTGGTCGCGTGGACAGCATTGATGACCAAATACTGTAGTTCAAGAGGTAGAGTTGGTGCAAGGCCAGACATGACCAGTCGATGGTCACATGTTTTGTTGTGGCTTTGACAGGTCGCTGGGAGCGAAGCGAGTGTGACATATTGGCCAAATCGATCACTGTGACCACTACCATGTATATGTCTCCCAGGCATTGACAGTCAAGAGACGTCCTCAGCAATATATAAGTAAGAGCTCCCACAGCTCCCACAACGCTCTTGTTGCTCGCAATCCGGAACGCCGTACCTCCTGGACGCAGTCTGCGCAGAACCCCACCCTGCCCCACATCGAGGAGCTGTTTCACCGAGTCCTTCCTCGATGACCTTCTCCTGCCCGCTGTCGACGCTTCCTTGCCACCGCCAAGCAATCTGATGATGGATGCGCTGCAGGACAGCGCCAGTCGCCCGACCACAGCGAACGGAATGGCGCTCCCACAAGTGGTTCGACCGGATAAACAATGCTAGACGCGTTATGCCAGATACGACCGCCGAACGAACGTCTCCTCGGCCACCATGCGCATTGTGTACTCTGCAGGCCAGATCATCTTCCCAACGGCGCTGAGCGACTCGGCGCTCGAGTCATGCGAAGCGACGGATACTCGGCGGTCGTGTTTACAGCGGTGGATCCTCGCTCCCATGCGGGCCTCCAGCGGAGACCCCGAGCTGCTCATACTGCCCGGCGATGGGGCGACATTCCGCACAGCCGTGTCCCGGCAGTATACATGAAAACGACTGAGAGCGCTCTTACGCGCAGGACACTTCCCGATTCGAGCGGTCCCTTCTCTGGGCCGAGAAGCTCCACAGGACGAACAGCGAGGCAACCCTCTTCCCGTACGATTTGTGGTGGATGGCTTGGCGTACTCAAGCCACCACAGGGACGGCGCGGTCCCGGCACTGGCGGAGCACGGTGTGGCGCTGAGGGTGGCCATAATTCGTGTGGTGGAAGCGCAGTGGGAGACGCGGGTGCGCAGTGGGCGGGATGCGGGCCGCTTCGACAAGACGCTCGCGATCTGCGATGTTTCGGCCCTCGATGAGGCATCTGGGCTCCCGCTTCTTGTAAAGAGGCCTTGCAGCACATCTCGCCCGCAGCCCGCGCTCATCTTGCTCCCCGCGCATTTGTCCGACGTGCTTTCGGCCATTGGCTGCGACGTTTTGCGGATCGTATTCTCGACCCTGTCGAGAGAGCCGACCGTCGATGCGCTGGTGCAGCGGAGCGAGGTTGCGATGCTGGCCGGATTCTTGCCGGCGACGCTGAAGGTTTTCATGGGTGATGATTAGGAAAAGGATGCGGTTGATATCGCCAAGGAGGATGGACTTGCACACAAGCAACTAGAGTCCACTGACCGTTCTAAAAAGGGCTCTAGCGCTAGGAAGTTTCTTCAGTCTAGAGGTCGTTAGCTTGATGATCAGAAGACTTAAAGCAGAAGATTCGCAGTGAGCAGAACATTCCGTGTGATACCTGAGCGTTAATCTATCTACACTGTCCGTAGTCGTACGATCCTAGCGTGAAAATTTTTGAATTTCTTTATCATGCAATCACAATGAGGGAAAATGCGAGGATGAAACAAGCCAACAAAACAATTATGTATCAATCAGCGGCTACCGTCAACTCCTGCGACCGTGATTCCGGTCATTGCGACTGTTATAGGACCACCAGTCTTGGTTCCGATCCTTGCTCGACGGCGGCTGGTGCCTGCTGGAATCTCATGGATGGGCAAACGATAAATAACAACGAAGAGCCACATTCTCTCTGTCATACTGGAATATCATACTGCACTGAAAACACAGGCCGAAGCCGAACGGTAGAAGCAATTAAACGTATTAGCAGCTTTGCCATTGTCAGGTCGTCCACATGTCGAAATAGGATACCTCTTCTCTTGACCAAAAGTTGAGAGCACCAAGATCAGCCAGCTGAGGCATGCACGCTTGTAGGGCGCGCAATAATCCGAGCTGTCCCGGATCATCTGCGTAGCCCGGGGGTTTGGTGATGCAGAAAGTGACATCGCCGACGGTCCCAGCGAGAAGTGAATCCAGCCCGCCCCAGGCTTGTGTGATGAGCGTCACCTGGTCAGCGGCCACTGGGGGAAGCCGAAATTTGATCTGGGATAGGTTGGGTGATGCGCGGAGGATCACTCGTACATCAGACAGGACGAGAGCCATCAGCCGCGCACTGGGCTTCAGGAGAGAAAAGGTGGCCGAATGTAGCTCGGGGCAGCTGCCGTCCGCCAGTTTTAGAGGGATGGCGACGTAGTGGCTGTAGCGCAAGAGCCACAGTTCTTGGAGCTTCGAAGGGAGAACGCGGAGAAGGGGTGTGTAGCAGGAAGGGTCGTAGATGAACAATGTCAACTGATCAACGCGGAAATTAGGGGAGGCCAACGCTGCGGGAATGACCGGCTCGATGGTGCCCGGCGCGTTGAAGACCAGAGACCGCAGGTGGACACACGGAGGGTCTGACGGTGGCGCCACTTCTTTCGGGATTGGTGTGTTCTTGATATGCCCCCCGAAAGAAAGCGATCCACACCCCGCAAAGAGCGCAACCCAGTCCCACAGGCCATCCACGGTCTCGAAGACTAACCGACCGTCCAAGTGCACCTGCTCTACCTGGGCCCAGTTGCCCATCCGCTTGTCGCGCGGGATGGCCGCAAACTGCGGGTGCTGGAATTTGAGAAAGCGCAGGTTCGGAAGGCGTTGTTGCATGTCCTCGGACAGGAGTTCCGCCAGGCCTGCCGTGACCGACAGTGCTTTATCGACTGAGAGAGTTTGCACGAGTATCGCCGCACGCGGACTGGCACGCACAAGCGCACAAAAGCGCACTGCGTGGTCGGTATCGCGCAGAACTATGTGCTTGAAGGGTCTGAAGAAGAGCTGCGAGGTGTAGTCATGCCAGCTCGAGCAGACGAGACGGAGGGGGAGGTCATGGGATCGGATCTCCGCCGTGTGGAAGAAAGAATTGAATCCGATGTATATCGCGCCATCTTTGTGGAATGCATCGATGACCAGATACTGCAGCTCAAGAGGTATGGTAGGTGCTAGTGCAGACATGACGAGTCTGTGGTAATGTTCGAGGTAGAACGGTAGAATCACTACCTAGTACAGTGGTAGAAAAATGTGGTCACGCGTTCTGACACTATGTTTGGTAGTGCTGACAGGTGGCTGTGAGCTGAAGCGAGTTCAGCAGGGATCACCGAGGAGCTTTTCACCCAGTCATTTCTCGATGGCCTTCTCTTGCCCGCTGTTGACGCTTTCTCGCCGCCGCCGAGCAACCCGATGATGGATATGCTGCAGGAACACGCCGATCGCCCGACCACACCGAACGGCGCTCCCGCATACAGCTTCACTGGTGAGGCGCACTGGACCCATTCCACCAGCTCACACAGCGCGTGCGCTACGCGAAGACGGCGGGTTTGCTGGACCGGGTATGGGTTGGCCTGGTTGGGGACTCGAGTGCTCACGCTGCGGCTCATCTGGAACCTGCGCAGCATCCACGATGAGGAAGGGAAGAAAGAGCCTTTTCACGGATGACTCGTGAGTCGGACCTGCTACTGCCTCTGGCGGTTTCCGCGCAGGTCAACAATGTGAACATGATCGAGCGGCTGTTCGGTTCTCCAACATGCAGTCTGACCGGGCGGTGGCGTCTGACACGGTGTGGCAAGCGACATATGACGCAGTGAGTCAGGCCACGTGCTTGGCCAACGGCTTACGATTTTCCACAGATTGCGTTTTGGAATCCGTCGAGCGGGACGACCGTCGACGTGCTGCGATGCTAGCCAGGTTCTCGCCAGCGATTCTCATGGTGTTCATGTGTGATCATGGGGAACAGGATGCGGTTGATGTCGCCGAGGAGGATGGATGGATGATGTTGCAGAAAAGTGAGTTCATTCCACTGAGCATTATGAGAAAGGCTCTAGCGTTGGTCAGTTTCTCCGGCCTCAAAGTCGTTGGCTGAGCAAGCAAAACATGTACGTTGATACTCGGTCACCGACGTCAAACTCATCAAACGACTGGGTATCTTACGCTCCCAATATCTTGCGGCATGTTACGTGATGCATCCGACGACTGAGAAGTGCGACATTATCAAGATCGAAGTTGACATTCACCTCATTGGCCAGGTCAAAGCGTAGAAGCTGGATGGCAAGTATGGCCGCCCCGAATCATCTGTTCTCCAGCTGACGCATTTCTTTCCAGGCACCTCAGTTCCAGGGATTCATTGAGTCCATTGTTGCATCAAGTTGGCGCTCAACTCTACGGCCGAGGCAGCTGTTCTGAGAAAGGACGAAGCCTTCAAGGAAGCAGCAGGGGACGACAATGGGATCAACAGTCCTACATCGGTCAGCGCGTTGCAAGGCAAGGCTCGATAGGCCAAATGCGACTGCGAAACCATCTGCAGTCTTGACCTGCCCGACCTGCCTTGACGTATTTTCTCTACCTCGTTATCTTGCATCCACAAATATTGTATTCATGCCAGTGATAATATCATGCCTGAGCTCAGGCCAGAGTTCCGAAAATATGCAAAATTCGTAGATAAACGTGATGGAATACTCGTAGATAGTTATCCATGTCCTTCTCGTTTACCTGACTTGCTGTTCTTCTTGCTCAAGGATTCGGCAAGTCTTCTCCGCTCTGGCTGGGTTACCCTGCGGCTGCTTCTTTGAGAGGCGGATCGTAGATCTTTCAGATCTAGAAGGATGCTTGCCAGGTGTCTGGCTGGGTTGCCCTGCGGTTGCTTCTTGCACTGAGAGGCGGATCGTTGATCTTTCAGATCTAGAAGGATGGTTCCCACGTGTTTCGCCACAGGTTCGGGGAACTTATCGGGAAGCAGAACCGAGATCTCTGTGACCGTCAGGATCACGGATTCCCGCCATGATTCCATCAATAGATGCGCCTTTCCAGGCGATTCTCCGATTCATGTCCCCGAGTTTCAGAGAAGACTTCTAAGCCGTTGCTTATTTCTCGCCATGAATTACACTTCGCGTGTTCTGCAGATCTTCATAATTGCAATAATGGGCTTCTTGCACCGACGGATTCATCGTTTGCCTATCGACTATGATTTCTGCGCACTCTTTTGAGGACTGCAGACCTTGCTGGAAGATGAACGATGCTAGTGTAGAGAAAGTTCCGTATGCGCAACAAGTTAAGTCTCAATCGAAGTGGACGATGTGTCATGCAGGTCTCTGTTGCCAAGAATTAGTAAACTTCTATTTGAATGGTGCTAGCGTCGACAAAGAATCCAAGGGATGGTCGCAGATATATCAGCGCCCGTGCGGATTCGTCTCATCTGACGTCTTTCAATCCGAGTACACGCCTTCCCCATACCTATGACCAGCACATTGCGCGCGCACGACCTCGAACGGGATCCACTCCTCACAGTCCCGACAATACTTGACTTGAGCGGCCAGAACAATCCGTTCAATGTCTCTCTGACGCGGGGTCTCGTCGCCAAGACGCTTGCGGCTTAGAAAAACGACGCGGTGGGCTACGGGGATTTGTTTTCCACCAAACGATTTCGTGCGCTTGTCCTTCGGCGGCGGGACTGAAACGGTGAGGTGGTATATGCACCCCCGAGTGATAGAGAGGACTAAGGCGTCGCGGATGAGCGCAGGGGTCAGATGATTTTCACAAAATGACGCGTCGGCGAGAATGGAGGTCGGGATGTCGAAGGTCCCGATGAGATACTGTTCGAAGGGGCGCATCCTAGAGGCTGGAAACGATAGAGGTGAGTAAACTGCGTGTGACTGGAACGATGGCTTCAAGGAACTCTCACTCCATCGGAAAGAAACGTCGACAGAGTAAGCTAGCTGATGGAGACACATCCCACCCTCGACGGAGAACTCGAGCAGCTGGCCGCTATCATCCGCCAGCACCATCCGAGAGGACGCAGTGATGCCGTCTTTGGCTCGGGCATAGAACTCTTTGAGATCGTTCAGCAGTGGTACACGCTCCAGATACGCAACACATGACGACTTGGGGCTCGCCTTGTCCGAGAATGAGGACATGGCTGGGACCAGCCGGGGGGAGGTGTCGAAGATCTCGGAAAGCATGGCGGCTGAAGACGAGAAGGGAACAGGCGCATTTTGAAATTCCATTTAATCCCGTAAAATACTCTCCAACCGCAGGGTCATTTGAACCCCATCAGATATGAGGGAAAGAACGATTGAACTCTTAAAAAAATGATGATGAATGTAACATTGACAAGCGTGGTGCAACCAACTTCACGTGCCACGAGATCGGTTAATAGTAGCCTCGGTGGATGCAGTGTGAAGCCGAATCTAATGCAGAAGCACATTGTTTTCTCGGAGCGCCGGACATAGGCCGCCTGTAGTCCATTTTCGAAGGCACCGCGGGAGACCGCGGAGTAGCCTAAAACATGATGTATGTCGAGATCACGTAGAGATAAAGATGAGGATGAATAGGGATCACATGCTTCCCCGCCGGCGATTTTGAAATTTCAACTTCTTTTGCACACGAAGCCGTACCAAAGGAGGACACGAGCTGCAAAATCTAGCACACTCTCCGTCTAGACCGCCCGCAAGCCGAGATAGGAGCACCAGCTCCCCTGCTCTGAGATGGAAATAAATCTGCCCGCACAAGAGGCAGGTCCAGGACAAATGACCGACGCCGTCAAATAGTTGGAACAATGGAACCCACAGTTTTGACAGGGCCAATGTGCTCCCAGACGGAGCCCCAGGCACGAGTTGATAGTAGGAGCTGAGCTGCCTGATTGAGACGTCACGAATCCCGAAGCCTCGAGGAATACCACACTTGTGAAAAGTCTACTTGAGGCAGATTGGGAAGTGTCTGACCAGGAAGGTTACAGCCCTTTCGGAAAAGGTTGGCCGGAACAGTTTTTCGCTAACGACTTGTAAAATTTGATGAAATGATATGATGGACCATATATAGACTTAGCTCCGGATATCCATCCGCTTAAGCTTAGGGGGAATTCTGCACCTTCCAGTTTTTGCACTGGTAACAACATTCTATTGCATGTTGGTGTATCAGTGAGGACCTAGAATCAAGAGAGATCTGACTGCTGGAACTGCGCTACCTTTGGAGGAAGCGTGCGGAAATCAGAGCGGAGTTTGTGTCGATGCGGGCAAATTTAGAGGCAAATGTGTTGTGAGGGTATTGTCATCGGAAAAGCCGGATGTGGTGGCTCTTGAAGGTAGGTGTATGGTATCTCATATGCTGAAAGAGGAGATCTGTTGAATTAACTAGGGTTTTCCGACATGAACAGCTTAAAAATGGGTATGCGAGGATTCTGGTTCCGGAGCTAAGTCTATATATGGTCCATCATATCATTTCATCAAATTTTACAAGTCGTTGGCGAAAAACTGTTCCGGTCAACCTTTTCCGAAAGGGCTGTAAGCGCGTTTAGCGGCCGAGATACCCGACGAGCGTCTGGAAGCTAGTGCGACCTAGCCGACAGGAAATCAAGTGATCCTGATAGCTTTGGCTTCGCCTTGTCCCGGCGTTCTAACGCCGTGACAGCAACACGATCCGATAACCCAACTCGAACGTGGGACCTACGTAAAGCATTCGATTCCGGCACTCCTCGGGGAACACAGAACGCCCCTCACTGGATTGATGGATCCTTGCAGGTCATTGTTTGTTTCCGAATCCTCCGGGTCGTCAAGCTGACGCTCAAGTGCTGGTACAAGTGCTGTTGTTCGCGATATGAGCACACAGTGTAATCCGCTGGCCACATACAGTTACTGGTGCTCCCTCATGTCCGTCATCTACTCCTTCCCGCTACAAATGCCTCGACTGACATCCAGCATGTTTACCAGGCGCATTAGCCGCCATGGGACGATTGTCACCCAAACCCCCGGCGCTGCGGTTCTCCTGCGCTGGCTGGGAGTGGTACAGCACGACCAGCAGCTCGAGGCGCTCATCGTCTTGGTGTACAATGTGGCACCCGTCGTGCTTGCGGTCGCCACCGGTTCAATTGACCACGGAAGAGCGACGTCGGGTTGACTGGAGCGCTGTGTTGAGTCGGTGGTGCTCCAGGTCGACGCCAAAAGCGATTGCAATGGCGGGCACGCGGTCCGGACTGTGGACGAGCGCGTCATGCGCCCGTGTCTCGAAGCAGTGCAAGGATATCGGGCATGGGCGCCGGCGGGAGGCCGAACGGTAGGCGTAAACATACACAGCAAATGCATCAACAGCTTCGCCAGTGCCAGGTCTACACAAGAAAGCCAAAAGGCTTGTCTTCTCTTGGCCCGAAATGGAGAGTACCGAGATGAGTTAGCTGAGGTATATACGCTGTCAGAACGCTTTCTAATCCGGGCTGCCACAAATCTCCTGCATGATCTGGAGAGTGAACCGATTTGATGAAGACACGATCGACAGTCCCTGTGAGGAGTGTATCCAGTTTGCCCGATGCCCGTTCCAGCAGTGACAACAGGCAGGGGCTCGGCTGAGCGATGAGAAATCGGATGCGAGATAGGTTGGGTGATGCGCGAAGGATCACTCGGATATCGGACAGCGCGAGAGGCACCTCTTGCGAACTAAGGATCTCGAGATGGAGGGTGAACGTATGCAGCTCGGTGCAGCAGTCATCCGCCAGTTCTAGAGGGGTGGCGTCCCAGTGGTCGGAGCGCGAGAGCAATAGCTCTTGGAGCTTTGGAGAGAGGAGGTGCAGAAGGGGTGCATAGTCGGAAAATGCATAGAGGACCAGTGCTAGCTTATCAACGTGGAGATGTGGGGAGGTCAACGCTGCGGGGAAGCCACCAAATGACGGAGCTCCATCCATCGAAGGTAAGAGAATGCAGGTGAACGCGTGGAGGGTCCGGTGGAGGTGCTACTTTTCTTGGGGTTGGTATCTTCCGGAGACTCCCGGCAAAGGCAAAGGACGGAGAGCCACACCCCGCAAAGAGCGCGACCCAGTCCCACAGGCCATCCGCCGTCTCGAAGTCGTAGTCCCCGTAGAAAGACACCGCTTCTACTTGAGTCCAAGTGCCCAGCCGCTTGTCACGCGGGATGGAAATAAACTCCGGATGCTGAAATCCGATCGACCGCAGGTTCGGGAGCCACTCTTGCATGTCCTCCGACAGTAGATCCGTCAACACCTCAGTGACAGACAGACGGTTCACGACGAGACTCTCCACACGGATACCCGCGCGCGGACTCGTGCAAACGAGAGTGCAGAAGCATGCTGCATGGCGGGTATCGCGCAGAGTTATGTGCTTGAAGAGTCCGAGGAGAGTCTGCGAGGTGTAGTCATGCCAGCTCGAGCAGACGAGACGGAAGGAGAGGTCATAGGATCGGACATTGGATTCAGGGGATGTCGCGCCGTCTGCGTGGAACGCGTCGATGATCAGATACTGCAGTTTAAGAGGTATGATAAGTGCTAAGCTTACTCGTACTAGTAGTAGTAGTAGTAGTAGTGCAGACAGCCGAGTCTATGGTCACATGTTCTGGCACGTTGCTTGGTCATGTGAATAGGTGGCTGTGAGTGAACAGCTACCACGGCGCTCTCGTCGCTCGCCATCCGGCACGCATCCCGTGTCTCCTTGACGCAGTCAGCGCACTCCACTCTGCCCTACATCGAGGAGCTCTTCCCAACGGCGCTGAGCAACTTGACGGTCAAGTCACCCGAAGCGACGAATATCCTGCAATCGCGCTATCAGCGGGCCAGCGGCGGATCCCCACGCCTCTGCGCGCCATTAGCGACAATCGCGGCGATGGGGTGACATCCGATACAGCCGTGTCCCATCAGTGTGCATGAAGAATCAACAGGAGCGCTTTCACGTGTAGGATGCTGCCCGGTTTGAGCAGTACCTCCTTTCGACCGAGAAGCGGCACAGGGTGACCCTCTCCCCTCACGAGCTCGTGGTGGATGTCTTAGCGCTCTCGAGCGACCACAAGGTCGCCGTGATTCCGGCACTGGCCTAGCGCCGCGCTGAGGGTGGCCATGATCCGTGTGGTGGAAGCGCAGTGGGAGACGCCGGTGCGCAGTCTGCGGGTCACGACCCGCTTCGACAAGACGCTTGCGATCTGCGATGTCTCGGCCTCGATGGGATCGCTTGGTATGCACTTCGGCAAATTGGTCATGTCCCACATCCCGCCCGCAGTCGCGCTCTCCCTGCACGCCGCCCAGTTGTCCGACGGACGACGCGATTGAAGCAGTGTATTTGGCCATGGCTCACGATTTTCTGCAGATCGCATCCTGGACTGTGTCGAGCGGGGCCACTGTCGACGCGCTGGCGCAGCGGAGCGAAGTTGCGATGATGACTAGGTTCTTTCCCGTGATGCTCAAGGTGCTTATGGGTGATGATGAGGAAACGGACGTGGTTGATGTTGTTGTGGAGGATGGATGTGCACACAAGTAACTTGAATCTACTGTTTTGCAAAGGGTTCTGATGTTGGAGATTTTCTCCGGTCTGGAGGTCGTTAACTTGATGATCAGAAGCTGTGCAGTGAGCCGCCCTTACTCCCGATCCCTGCTCGGTGGTGGCTAGTGCTGCCGGGCCTTGCCGGATTCTCATGGCTGAGTAGACGGGTGGATAACAAAGAAGAGCCACATTCTTTCTGTCATTACTGGGATACCGACTGAACCGACAACACAGACCGAAGCCAAACCGAAGGCGCGAACGCTCGCACATGAACGTATCAGCAGCTTTCCCTTTGTCAGGCCCGCACTTTGAAATAGGACCACTTCTCTTCACTTGGCTTGAATTGGAGAGCACCGAGATCAGTCAGCTGAGGCATGCGCGCTTGTAGGGCACTCTCTAATCCGAGCTGCCCCGGATTTTCTGCGTGACGCGGGGGTCTAATGACGTAGATAATAACATGGCCGACATTTCCAGCGAGCAATCTATCCAGTTCGCCCCAGGCCTGTGCCATGAGTGTCACCCGATTGGCATTGGCCATCTGGGGAAGCAGAAATCGGAGGCGGGATAGGTTGGGTGACGCACGAAGGATCACTCGGATCTCAGACAGCACGAGAGGCATCTCCTGCGCACTGAGGTCAACGAGATGAAGGGTGACCGTGTGTAGCTCGGGGCAGCATCCATCCGCCAGTTTGAGAGGGGTCGTGTCGCGCAAGTTGGCGCGTGAGAGCGACAGCTCTTGGAGCTTCGAGGAGAGGCCGCGGAGAAGGGATGTGTAGCAGGATGGGTCGCAGATGACCAGCGTCAGCTTATCGACACGGAGATTTGAGGAGGCCAACGCTGCGGGAATAGCGGGCTCCCTGATGTTTGATGTATCGAAGGTCAGAGACCGCAGGTGGACGCGTGGAGGGTCCGACGGGGGTACGACTCCTTCCCGGATGGCTTTGTTCCTGATAGACCCCCCGAAGAAAAGAGAGCTGCACCCTGCAAAGAGCGCAACCCAATCCCACAAGCCATCCGCTGTCTCGAAGCCATAATCCGCGTCGAAGTGCACCTCTTCTACCTGAGTCCAGGTGCCCAGCCGCTTGTCGCGCGGGATGGCCGCGAACTGCGGGTACTGGAATGAGATCTTACGCAGCTTCGGGAGCCGCTCTTGTATGTCCTCCGACAGTAGATCCGTCAACACCTCAGTGACGGACAGGTGGATCGCGTTGAGACTCTGCACGTGGATACCCGCGCGTGAACTCGTGCGCACGAGAGTGCAGAAGCGTGCTGCATGGCGGGTGTCGCGCAGATTGATGTGCTTGAAGAGTTCGGAGAAAAGCTGCGAGATGTAGTCATGCCAGCTCGAGCAGACGAGACGGAGGGGGAGGTCATCGGGTCGGATTCCGGCCCTGTGCAGCTCTTGGAAACGGCCATCGATCCAGGGGTATGTCGTGCTGTTGGCGTGGACAGCATTGATGACCAGACACTGCAGTTCAAGCGGTATGATAGGTGCTAGTCCAGACATGAAGAGTTACATTGTAATTTTGTAATCGCAGATTGCACACGCTGGCTTACCCCCTATTTCGGAGTTTGAATTCGGCTGATTGGGTCTCGGGTTTGCGACTCGCGCACGGACTTGGCTTGTGCCCGACTTTGAATGTCAGCTTTGTGATCTGTTTTGTCGCGGCCGAGACTTGACACCGACAGACATGCTGGCCCTCACGCTCATGAGCTCATTGGAACCTGGTCATCGTAGTGTCAAGATTCGAAAGAGAGGTCACATAAGTATGTACTCGAATATCTATGTGCGGACATTTGGGTCCATCTGAGTATATCATGTGCAATCAACTCGTGGAGCAAACAATAACAGAGAAGAGCCATCCTACTCGTACTCAAACTGGAGAGCACCGAGATCGGTAAGCCGAGGCATGCACGCTTTCAGGGCACTCTCGCATTCGAGCTGTCGCAGATCTCCTGGGTCTCTGAAGGGGTAAAGAAATCTGATGCAAACATTGTAGACCGTTCCAGCAAGGACAGTATCCAGAATGCTCCAGGCCCATGCCGTCTGTGACAATGTGGGGTGGGTGATGGGCTCACAAAAGGTAAATCGGATGCGGGATAGGTTGGGTGATGCGCTCAGGATCGCTCGAATGCCGGACAGGGCGAGAGGCAAAAATCTACTCGAGGCAGATTGGGGAGTCTCTGACCAAGGAGGTTAAGCGCGTTTAGTGGCCAAGATACCCGTCGAGCCCAGCCGACAGGAAATGATGTGATCCCAACAGCTTTGGCTTCGCTTTTGCCCGCCGTTCTGACGCTGTGACAGCAACACGATCCGATAACCTGCATCGAATAGTAAGGAATGCCCGCCCAACTCGAACGGGGGACCTACAGAAAGCATTCGATTCGAGCTCTCGTCGTCGAGCGCATAATACTCTTCAATAGATTGATGGATCGTTGCACGTCCTTGTTTACTTCCGAATCCTCACGGCCGTCAAGTCGCCGCTAAAGTGCTGGTCCAAGTGCTCTTGTTCTCAATGCCAATACACGGTGCAGTCAGCTAGCTGCATAGAATTACAAGTGCACCCCGGCCGCATGGCTGCCGGCGCTAGGCCGAACTGCAGTTGCCAACGCACACAGCGAGTGCATCAACGGCTTGGCCAGCGTCAGTTCCACACAAGATGGCCAGATGGCCGGAATTATCTTGGCTCAAAATGGAGAGCACCGAGATCGGTCAGCTGAGGCATACACGTAGTCAGAACATTTTGCAATCCAGGCCGCCACGAAACTTCTGCATAGTCGGAGTAAATCGGTCTGATGCAGACACGGTCGACAGTTCCAGCGAGTAGCGTATCCAGTTCACCCCAGGCCTGTGCCACGAGTGTCACCCGATCGACGGTGGCCATGTCGGGAAGTGTAAATAGGATGCGGGATAGATTGGGTGATGCGCGAAGGATCACTCGGATGTCAGATAGCATGAGAGTCATCTCCTGCGCACTGAGGTTCACGAGACGGAGGGTGACCGTGTGTAGCTCGGGGGAGCAGCCATCCGCTATTTTTAGAGGAATTGCGTCGAGGAAGTTGGCGCGCGAGAGCCGCAGCTCTTGGAGCTTTGGGGCGAGGACGTGGAGGAGAGTTGTGTAGCAGGACGCGTCGTAGATGAGCAGTGTCAGCTTATCGACGCGGAGATTTGGGGAGGCCAACGCTGCGGGAAAGGTCGGCCTCATGATGCTGGACACATCGAAGATCAGAGACCGCAGGTGGACACGTGGAGGGTCCGACGGCGATACCACTCCCATTGGGATCGGGGCCTTGCACAGCATCCCGACGAAAGTAAGAGAGCCACACTCCGCAAAGAGCGCAACCCAGTCCCACAGGCCATCCACGGTCTCGATAACATAGTCCCCGTCGAAATGCACCTTTTTTACCTGAGTCCAGGTGCCCAGCCGCTGGTCGCGCGGGATTGCCGTGTACCGCAGGTCGTAGAAGAATAGCCAATGCAGGTTCGGGAGCCGCTCTTGCATGTCCTCCGACAGCAAATCCGACGACACCGCAGTGACGGAAAGGTGGGACGCAACGATACTTTTCACACGGATACCGGCGCGCGGACTCGTGCGCACGAGACTGCAAAAGCGTGCTGCTTGGCTGTCGTTGCGCAGAATTATGCCTTCGAAGAGTCCGAGGAGAGTCTGCGAGGTGTAGTCATGCCAGCTCGAGCAGACGAGACGAAGGGGGAGGTCACAGGATCGGATCACAGCGGTGGGGGAATGGGGATTGGATTCGGGGGATGTCGCACCGTCTGCGTGGAACGCGTCGATGATCAAATACTGCAGTTCGAGGGGTAGAGTCGGTGCTAGTCCAGACATGACCAGTCTATGGTCACATGTTCTGGAACGTTGCTTCGTCATGTCGATAGATGGCTGTGATCGAAGCAGAATCGATCATTGTGGTTAAACTTACTGAAACACGTCTCCCAAGCATTCGCAGTCAAGAGATGCCCTGGGTGATCTATAAGAACAACCACAGCTACCACAGCGCTCTCGTCGCTCGCCATTCGGAATCCCTCCCGTGTCTCCTGGACGCAGTCTGCGCACCCATTCTGCCCCACATCGAGCAGCTCTCCACCGAGTTCTTTCTGGATGGCTTTCTGCCGGCCGCGGTTGACACCTCCTCACCGCCGTCGAGCAGCGCGATGATCGCTGCGCTGCAGGACCACGCCAATCGTCCGACCACAGCGAACGGAATGGCGCTCCCACAAGTGGCTCGACTGGATCGGCGATGCTGGATGCGTCCAACCAGATACGACCGCCCCGCGAGCATCTCCCCGGCCATCATGTGCATCGTCTACTCCGCAGGTCAGACGATCTTCCCAACGGCGCTGAGCAACTCGACGCTCAAGTCACGCGAAGCGACGAATATCCGACTGCGATCGTGCTGCCAGCGGTGGATCCTCCCGAGTCTGCGCGCCAATAGCGACAATCGCGGCGATGGGGTGACATCCGATACAGCCGTGTCCCAGCAGTGTGCATGAAGAACCAACAGGAGCGCGTTTACGCTCAGGACGGCCCACTTCAAGCAGTACCTCCTCTCGGCCGAGAAGCGGCGTAGGACAATCAGTGGGGTGACCCCCTTTTCCTTCGAGCTCGTGGTGGATCTTTTGGCGCTCTCGAGCGACCACAAGGACGGTGTAATTCCGGCACTGGGGGAGCACAACGCGGCGCTGAGTGTGGCCATGATCCGTGTGGTAGACGCGCAGTGGGAGACGCAGGTGCGCACTCTGCGGGTCACGGCCCGCTTCGACAAGACGCTTGCGATCTGCGATGTCTCGGCCTCGATGGAGTCGCTTGGTACGCGCTTCAGCAAATAGGCCGTGCAGTACATCTCGCCCGCATTCGCGCTGTCCCTGCTCCCCGCCCAGTTGTCCGACATACGACGCGTTTGAGGCAGCGTACTCAGGCTCGGCCTTTGGATACTATGCTCGCTCACCAGCCTCAAATATCAGGTTCGGATCCTGCAGGTTTTCGGACCCACCTTCTATAGATTTGGATACCACGTTTTGAAGATCGTATTCTGGACTTTTTGTCGAGGGAGCCGACGTCGATGCGCTGGCGCAATGGAGCGAAGTTGCGATGATGACTGGGTTCTCGCCAGTAATGCTCGAGGTGTTTGTGGGTGATGATGAAGAAAAGAACGCGGTTGATGTCGTCGAGGAGGATGGATGTGCACACAAGCAACTGGAATCCACTGACTGTTCTGAAAAAGGCTCTGGCGCTGGAGAGTGTCGCCGGTCTGAAGGTCCCTGGCTCAATAATCAAGAGATGCACAGTGAGCAGAACATTCCGTGTGATACCAGGGCGATAATTTACATTGTCCGCAGTGGTACTGACCAGCATGAGAATTGATGAATTGTCTTTATCATACAATCACAATGTAGAAAAATGCGGGGACGACACAAGCCAACAAACACACAACATCAGCAGCCCCAGTTCCTACGATCGTGATCTCGTTACTGTAACCGCGACTGTCATGGGACCGCCAGTCTTGGTCCCGATCCCTGCTCGATGGCGGCCGGCGCTGCCGGACCCTGCCGGAACTCATGGATGGGCAGACGAAAACAAAGAAGAGCCACATTTTTTCTGTCATACTGGGATACTGTAATCGTACTGAACCGCTAACACAGGCCGAAGCCGGACTGCAGGGGCGAACGCTCGCACGTCAACGTATCAGGAGTCTTCTCACGGTCCGATCCTCCAGGCATTGAAAAGGGCCGGCTGCTCTTTTCTCGTCTTAAATTGGAGAGCACTGAGATTAGTTAGCTGAGGCATGCACGCTTTTAGGGCACTCTCTAAACTGAGCTCCGGAGAGCTGTTGAAGTAGATGTAGACACGGTCAACGGTTCCGGCGAGTAGTGTATCCAGTTCGCTCCAGGCCTGTGCCACGAGTGTTACGTGATCGGCGGTGGGCATCAGGGGAAGCACAAGTTGGATGCGGGATAGAATGGGTGATGCGCAAAGGATTGCTCGGACGTCAGACAGCACGAGAGCCATCACCTGCGCACTGAACTTCAGGAAATAAAGGTTGAGCGTGTGTAGCTCGGTGCAGTAGTCATTGGCCAGGTTTAGAGGGACGACGACGCCGCCGCGGTGGAAGCGCATGAGCGACAGCTCATAGAGCTTGGAGGAGAGGACGCGGAGAAGGGGTGTGTAGCAGGACTGGTCGTAGATAATCAATCCCAGCTTATCGACACGGAGGTTTGGAGAGGCCAACGCTGCGGCAACGACCGAATCCCTGGTACTGAAGATCAAAGACCGCAGGTGGACACGCGGAGGGTCCGGCGGAAGTACCAGTTCTTTCAGAAGGGGTGTGTTCTCGATCGACCCCGCGAAGTGAATGGATCTGCACGCCGCAAAGTGCGCAACCCAGTCCCACAAGCCGTCCGTGGTCTCGATGCCGAGCCCCCCATCGAAGGACACCTGCTCTAGCTGGGCCCAGGTCCCCATCCGCTTCTCGCGCGGGATGGCCGCAAACTGCACACCCTTGAATCGAACCCAGCGCAGGTTCGGAAGGCGCTGTTCTATGTCCTCAGACAGGAGTTCCGCAATGCCTGCTGTGACCGACAGTCTATCGATCGCGGCGAGACTTTGCACAAGTGCCGCCGCACGCGAACTCGCGCGCACCAGCGCACAGAAGCGCACTACGTGGTCGGTTTTGCGTAGAACTACGTGTTTGAGGAGTGCGAAGAAAAGCCGCGAGGTGTAGTCGTGCCAGCTCGAGCAGACGAGACGGAGGGGGAGGTCAGAGGATTGGATCCCAGAGATGGGGACAGGGCGATTGAATTTGGAGGACGCCAAGCTGTCTGCGTGGAACGCGTCGATGATCAGATACTGCAGTTCAAGAGGTATGGTAGGTGCTAGTCCAGACATGACGAGTCTATGTCACACTGTGATGTTGTCATGGCAGATTTCACACGCTGGCTTGTCTCAGGGGCTTATCCCCCATTTCCAAGTTTGAATTTGGCTGATTGGGTCTTGGCTTGTGCGGCTCGCCGCTCGCGCACGGACTTGGCTTATGCCACATTTTGAATGTCAGCTTTCTCGTCGCGCTTGCTGCAGACCTCGGTGTGTGATCTGTTCTGTCGAGGCTTGACACCGAAAAAGATACTGACCCTCACGCTCATGATCTCATTGGAACCTGGTCATCGTAGTGTCAAGATTCGAAAGAGAGGTCACATAAGTATATAGTCGAATATCTATGTGGGGAGATTTGGGTCCATCTGAGTATATCATGTGCAATCAACTCGTGGAGCAAACAATAACAGAGAAGAGCCCCATCCTACTCGTACTCAAATTGGAGAGCACCGAGATCGGTAAGCTGAGGCATGTACGCTTTCAGGGCACTCTCGCATTCGAGCTGTCGCAGATCTCCTGGGTCTCTGAAGGGGTAAAGAAATCTGATGCAAACATTGTAGACCGTTCCAGCGAGGACAGTATCCAGAATGCTCCAGGCCCATGCCGTCTGTGACAATGTGGGGTGGGTGATGGGCTCACAAAAGGTAAATCGGATGCGGGATAGGTTGGGTGATGCGCGAAGGATCGCTCGAATGTCGGACAGCGCGAGAGGCATCTCCTCCGAGATAGGGATCACACGAGCGAGGGTGAACGTATGCAGCTCGGTGCAGCAGCCATCCCCCAGTTCTAGAGGGGTTTCGTGAGGGACCATACGGAAAAGATCCAGATCTTGGAGTTTTGGAGAGAGGATGCGTAGAAGGGGCAGATAATGGGACAATTCGCGGATGATCAGTTCCAGCCGATCAACGCGGAGATGTGGGGAGGCTAACGCTGCGGGGATCCACGAAACCCTAGAGCTCAGTGAAAAGAAGCGCAGACATTGCAGGTGAACGCGCGGAGGGTCCAGTGGAGTTGCCACTCTTCTTGAGGGCGGTCTCTTCTGGCAAATATGGCCAAAGGAAAGACAGCCGCACCCCGCAAAGAGCGCAACCCAGTCCCACAGGCCATCCACGGTCTTGAAGACACAATCCTCGTTGAAGGACACCGTTGCTACCTGAGTCCAAGTGCCCAGCCGCTTGTCACGCGGGATGGCTGAGAACTGCAGGTTTTGGAAGGAGATCTTGCGCAGGTTCGGGAGCCGCTCTTGCATGTCCTCCGACAGTAGATCCATCAACACCTCATTGAAGGACGGGTGGATCCCTGCGAGATTCTGCACGCGGACTTCGAGATTGTCCACGCGGACCGTGAGATTCTGCACGCGGATACCCGCGCGTGGACTGGTGCGCACGAGAGTGCAGAAGCGTGCTGCATGGCGGGTGTCCCGCAGATTTATGTCCTTGAAGAGTCCGAGGACAGCCTGCGAGGTGTGGTCGTGCCAGCTCGAGCAGACGAGACGGAAGTAGAAGGTCATCGGGTCGGACACCGGCCATGCGCAGCCGTTGGAAGCGGAAATTGAGCGCAGGGTATGTCGTGCTGTCGAGTTGGAGAGAATCGATGATCAAATACTGTAGTTCAAGAGAAAACATAGTGGCCAGCCCAGAGATGAGCAGTCAATGGTCACATCATCTGTCACGCCTCTGATGGGCGGTGGCTGTGAACGACTCGGAAGCGTTGGCGGGGTGATGGATCCCAGAGCCAGTCGATCTCTCTCGTTATGTAAGTACTTCTTAGTACTTACCAGTACTTATCTTCAGCGCCGCAGCGGAACCGCCAGCGTCCATCAGTCACTCGAAATCAAGAGATGTGTTCGGCAGTACATATCTACGAGCAGCCGCACTCGCACCTGCGCTCTCCTCGCTCGCCATGTGGAACGCCCCCTAGTCTCATTCACGAAGTCAGTGAAGAGCCCCACTCTGCTCCACATCGAGCAGCTTTTCAACGATTACATCCTCGATGACCTCTACCCACCCGCTGTCGAGTCTTCTTCGTCGCGGCCGCCCAGCGATCCGATGACGGCGGGGCCATTCCAATTGCAGGACCACAGCGAACGGCACTCCCGCATATATTTCCACCGAATAAGGGACACTGGACGCGCTCTAACAGCTCACGTAGCGTGTAGGCTTCGCGAAGACGGCGGGCTTGCTTGACCGGGTATGGGTTGGGCACTCGAGGTCTCGAACTTCCGCCTTCTCGTCAAGCCTGTGCGCGTCAAAGCAGAGAAGAGCGAATTCCGACAATCGTATGGCTACTGGAAGGACCTGCTCAACACACTGGTGCTGATGACGGTGGATGAGCGGGAGTTACCCCCGACAGTGGCGTCCGTACGAACTGGCTGATACAGAGCACCGGGACACAGGCCAGGAGCTTCGCGTCAATAGAACCCGCATGAAATCGGTGCCGCCAACAACGAGGGAGTCGTAACCCAACTGGCCCGGACGTCAAGTACTGGGCGTTGTATGTTGCCGTAGCGCGGCTATTTGCGGAGCGGCTAGTGGAGGATACGCGTCTGCACCCAGCTGCAAAATTTGGGGAGGACAACAAGGAGAAGCGCAGACTGCTGCGCCAGATTTCTCTGGCGGGCAAGTCGGCCCCAACGCCCCGCCATTCGCATGACTGACGCACGAGCAGACGGCTATCATGCGTCTCGTTCACTCCGCCGGCCAGATGATCTTTCCTACGGCGCAACGCAGCTGGGCGCTTGCGACAGACGTCCTGCGCTCGGACTACCAGCGGCGGATCATTGCGCCTCTGCGCGCTACCAGCTGCTACCCCGAGCCGCTCGTGTCAGCTCCGCGATAGGGCGACATCCGATACAGTCCTGTAAAGAACAACCAGGAGCGCCTCTGCACGCAGGATGCTGCCCGGTTCGAGCAGCACCTCCTTTCAACATGCCATGCACTTCGTGGGACATGATCACCGATTTCTATGCCGTGTCCATGGACCTGCTGCCTCTGGCGGACTGCGCCTAGGTCAACAAAGCGGACATGATCCAGCGGCTGATTGGTTCTCGCATATGCAGTTTGACCCAGCGGTGGCGTCGGACACGGTAATTGCAGACGACGTGCGACGCAGTCGAGGTCGCGTGCTTGGCCGCTGGCTACGATTTCTTGCAGATTGCGTTTTGGAATCTGTCGAGCGGGACGACCGTCGACGTGCTCGTGCAGCCCAGCGCGGTTGCGATGCTGGCCAGGTTTTCGTTGGCGATTCTCATAGTGTCCATGTGTGATGATGGGGGACCGGATGCGGTTGAAGTCGTCGAGAGGATGGATGGACGGGGGAGATGCAGAAAAGTTAAAAGGCTCTGGCGCAGGAGGGTTTCTCCGGTCCGAAAGTCATCGTCTGAACAAACAAAACATGTACGGTGATACTCAGTCACTAGCGTACCAACTCATTAAACGTCTGCATATCTTACACCCGCAATTCACAGAAACTGCGAGCACATTATAAAAAACTAAAACAACCAATATGTATCAGCAGCTACCGCCAATTGCGATCGCGGTCCCGGTAGTCGCGACTGTCATAGGACCGCCGGTCCTGCTCCCGATCCCTGCTCGATGGCGGCGGCGGCGGCGGCGGCTGCCTGGCCCTGCCAGAATCGTGCGCATATGGCGCGTGCGGCGTCGACAGGGCCGTGTACTTGTGCTCATGCTCGGGCCTGTCCCACCGCTCTCTGCCGCTGGCGGGGGACCAAGGCGGGTGGCTCGACCCCGGCTCGACCTTGATCCTGCGCGGCCCGGTGCCCGACATAAGGTTCGCCTCCAGCGCCGCGGCGACGGTGTTGGCACTCTGCTGCTGCGACGAGGGGGGGAGTGCGCCTTCTGGTCGTCTTGGCAGCGCGAGGGACGGCGGCGGCGGTCGTGGCGGGTGGCTAGCGCTCGTATTGGCCGTTGCCGCTGATGTAGCCGAAGCCGAAGCCGAAGCCGAAGCTGAAGCTGAAGCCGCAGTTGCCTGCGCGCGGATCTTCTCCTTCGCTTGCCGTATGACATCGACGACAGACGGCGCCGCGACGGCGGACGGAGGCGTCATCGACATCGGCGGCGTCATCGGTGACTTCGTCGTCTTGGCCGCTCGCTTTTTCGGAGCTGAGGGCTTTTGCGCGGGGACGTAGTCGGCGTCAGAATCTTCCGCTGCCTCTTCGGCATCGCTTTCGAGCGGCCTGGCTGCTTTGCGTTTGGAGCCCAGTGCCGTCTTGCCCGCGCCCTGCAGCACGGAATCTTGGGCCGACAGCTCCCCGTGACCCAGTGCTGGTCCCTGGTACGACTCGATAAATTTGCGCATAGTCCCGTATACCGCGTTGTTGTTCCGGATGTCGCTATGCTTCGAACGCACATCTGCGCGCATGGCGGTGACCGCGGCCCCCAGATTGGCCAACGTCAGCGCGTCTTTGGTGCGGAAGATGAGGATGCCGATCGTGATGAACTCGATGGGGGACACCTTATTGAGCACGCCGAGTCTCACCAACGCCTCGTACACCTTGAATGTGTTTTCGATGTCCACCCGGAACGGCTTGGCTAGCGGAGCCTCCTGCGAAAGCCACTTCTCCATCTGCGGCATGCTTGAGGCCTTGGGAGACGCCGCGATGCAGTGGAACATCTGCGCCAGACAGCGGTAGTCGGAGCCGCGGCTGCGGTCCCACTCGAAGGACGCGCGGCACATACTCGAGTCTTCGTTGTTGAGGAAGTTCTCCTGAATTTCGCGAAGAAAGTCGGCTCGCGGAGAGGTCAGTACGCGTAGTTTTTCAGCTGGTGTAAGCGCAACACCCAGTTGCACGCGCTACAGAACACGTTGTCAGAGGACCTTTCCACGCGCTGCATGCCGGAGACACGAACCTTGAATATCTCTCTCTCGTCTTCAGGCGTCAGATCCGTGTACTCGACGCACACGATCGCCTTGTTCTGAAACATCTTTTTGTATCTCTCGGGCAGCAACTTCTTGGCCATCCTCATCTTGTACGCGGGGTTGTCGATGTACCATATCTTGTCACCTGTCAGGCTGAACGCGCGTGAGATTGGCGCGAAGATGCTAAAGACAGAAGTGTTGCTCACGGGTCTTTGTCTGTGAGCGTGTGGCATGCAGATCAGTATTCTGCGGCGTGTGGAAAACGCGCGGCGACCTACGTGGGATCTGAAGCCGAGTGAGCCGCACAAAGAGTATCCGTACCGATTCTCACGCACCATACCGTCCATGAACCTCGAAGACGCAAGAAATTAGTCGCCCCCGATACCAGAACCACGCGAATACGCACAGCAGTATAGAAGTCAGCCGCTGCTTCCCGTCGATGCACACCCGCTTCTCCGCACCCTCGTCGTCCTGCTGCACAGCTGAAAAAGCCTCAGAGCTGCGTCGCAATGCATGATAGAAGCCGTGGGCGCGGGCGCGTACCGAATATGATTGGTGGGATGTAGAAGTTGCGGAAGATGGAGTCGATGAGGCTGATTTGCTTCGCGGCGGGCCAGACGACCTCTGAGCAAGTGGGACTAAGTCAGAGACGCGGAGAACGCACGACGGGGTTGACAGACCGCGCTGGTATTCGGGTTCGAGCTCGATGTCCGAGTCGTGCATCTGCTCTACCGATGCGGGGCGCTCGTAAGTAGGTGCTACTGCTGTTGCTGACACGGAAGGATGGAGAGGAATACGCACTGTGTAGAGCCTCAGTCGTGTAAGTCGTCGCGCGCGGAGCCTTCAGTGCGTGCCGAATCTGGTATCCGCCCGCTGCGGCTGCTTTGCCCTTCCCCTTCGCGCTCTTGCGACGCTTCGGTCCGTCTTCATATTCGTCCGAATCGGTGAGGTCGGAGAGTTCATCGTAGTCGTCTACGTCCATGGATCGTGGTTGAGGAAATTCGAGGGACTCGGGTGAATGTTTGTGGGGGACGGAAGAACAAAGATGGATTAAGTAATCGTCGTGGAACATCAAAATTTTAGCCAAGGATATGATTATCGATAAGAATGTAATGAGTGCGATAGATAAATATGCATCCCTTTCTTTCTGAGCACGACGGACAAGTCCGGTAGGCGAAAAAGGCATGTTCGTGAACCACCCATCATCTCACTATACATCACCAGCGTCGCTTTCATCGTCATCCGACACTACCTTTTCAATAGTTTCGGTCAGGGGCGAAAATCTTATCACAAACGGCGGATCACTCACTACCACGCGCGAGCGGCGCTTACCCAGGTGCGGCTTAGCGTAGTTTGCGTTTTTGACGCGGCTCCGAGTACGAGGTCCGCAAATCGCAATGTGGCTAACCTTGTTTTCGTCGTCATCGAAATCAGATTCCGAGTCCGGGATACCGAGATTCAGGCGCTAGAAGACAGATTCGATTAGGGCGAGAAAGCAGCAAGAGGGTTCGAATCACTTGTCTGGTCTGATTCCGAGTAACTCTCGGAGGAAGCCAGCTGACGTTCTTCATGCCGCGGTTAGTAGAGAGCGCACATCGTCTCTGGTCGAAGCTTGCGCACCTCGATGATCGATGAAGATTTCTGACTGGAAGTCTCCCCAGAGTCGCTCTGGCTATCATCTTGGTACTCCGACTCTTCGCCCTCGGTTTCGTTCGCGTCATCTGGAACCACGTCCGCTTCCTCCCAATCAGCCGCTGGATGCGCGAACCGCTGGTCATGCCAGTTATCAGACCGTGAAGGCGGGAAGGCGGCGCTTCCCACCTCCGATTCCGACCCTCCACTATCCTCAATCTCGGTGAGATCTGACTCCAGCTCCGCCTCTGACTCCAGTTCAGAGCCGTCGGACGCTGATCCGGTACGTGGAGGCTGCGCTGGCGGTCAGTCAAAGCGTATAAGACGGCTGTTGGAGCACGGAGCGACCTGGAATTCGAGTGTCTGGACTCGCTTGCGAAGAAGCAAGATCTCGAGTTGCAAGCTGGCAGTCCTCTGCTCACGGGATCAGTTTTTTTTCAACTAAGGGAAGAGAGAAAACAGTGTCGAAAGCCTCACATCAATCAAATTGTCTCGCTCCTTGCAATGCATCCGCGTCAGCTACCGCACATATGAGGAATGTTAAGTGGAAGCTAGACTCGCCCGTTCAATGATCTGCAATCTAGCTGTAAGATGGCGTGGATCCGGCAGTGATTGGGTAATCTATGAACGCCGTCCGTCAGAGCCTATGCATCGATACACGTCACCACCGACCGTTGCGATTAGAGCAAGATTGTGCAAGTCCTCAAAAGTATCCCCGGGTACCACTTCTAACTGACCAGCAGCCATCACGGGAGGCATCGGCACCGCCGAGAGCGTCCCTCTTCCTCCCCCTTCACCGGTCTGGAACGCAGTCGACTCCTTGATGTCCGTCGATGGTGGAAGAGTGCAAGCAGAGATCTTCTTAAAAAAAGGTAGCGCCCTCCTGTTCCCCCGACCGTGCCCCGCACGGCCAGCGTCCTCCCGCTGACCTCCGCGAGGATTATTCTGGCTATCGACGCGCTTGCGCTTCCATTCCCGGTCGCCGCGGGTCCGCACGTCTGGTTTCGCCGGCAGGGGATGCTCAAGGCTCGGAGAGCCCCCAAGTGGCTCCTACAAAACACCCGTGAGTCTATGACGGCCGCCCGGGAGAGCATGCTTCCAGTGTTGTTACCTCAGCTTGGGAGTTGACACGGCTGGTGGCCTGCAGCAGCGTGGTCGGGTGCGACATGGGATGAAGAGGACGGAGGAACAAGAAAAGGATGGTGAATGACTGCCAGAGGGCCGCGGTTTATGAAGGAGAACGTGTCTTTGTTGCATATTTGGGGATATAAAGGGGTCCTGGATGAAGCTTTAGAGCGCAATGCAGCAGGAGCTCGTGCGACCACAAAGGCAGGTATGACGATGACGCTGGCGAGGGAGGCGTGTCACGCATTGTGAGCAGTCAGGACCCTTTCCATTCAGCCTGGCAGAGAAGCCGAGAAAGATGCCCAATTGAGATCAGTGCCCGGCATTTCAGTGGGAAATTCGTAAGTAGTAGGCATTGATGTTGGAGGACTGGAGACGCGTCCTCCGCGATGTGACCGTCACGTCAGAGTACCCCGCCGCGTCATAGCGCGTTATCCTGTCCATGGCTGTCCCGCTGATCGCATCTTATTAGGCGGTGGGACAACGACGTGCGCTTCGCCCCGGAAAACATTAGATCAGCCTTGGGCTACCTCCCTTCGTAAGCCGACAGGCTCGCAACTGGTCTACTACTGCAATCTGAAGTCTCCTTGATTTCTCGACTTACGCAGCTGGGTACCCCCCCACACAACGGTCGGGAGATCCGTCCACAGTTTCTCGAGGGGATGTGGCTATATAAGCGATCGAGCGAATGGGGAGTCCAAGTCCTCTCCCGTAAATGTTGCATCGATGGGGCTCCGGGCGAGAAAGCTGTACGATAATGAGCTGGACGGGCCCCGCGACCGTGGCTGATCTTTCGGAGCCATCGATAGGCAACTTAATATTAGGAGCTCGCGGTGCTAAGAAATTACTTCTCCCTAGATGAAGTGCCGTTCGGATAGACGAGGCGCGTAAAAACTGCTGCCTTCCAATAGAAGAGAGATAGGGTGAACAGCAATAGATCCTAGATTAGAACCAGTCCCTGGCGATCTTGGATTGCCGACTTCTGGGCCTGATCCACAAACTCATAGGGCGCACAAGCAATAGCAAGCAAAACGGCTCAATCTGGAACTTCCCTGAACCGCACGACTCACTGGGGATATGCTTGCGGGTATCAAGTACTACAGTATAGGCCGATCAGACTTACATGTGCTAATCAGCATAGGTAAATTACCGTGAATCACCCCATCCGTATGTGGTCCAGGGTCCAAAATTGACATACAAAATTAGCTGGTAAAAGAGATTTCGGAGTTGACTCGGGCAGATATTGAGAAATAAACAATCGGAGAGGATGCAATATTTGGGTAGGACCTCTGTGTAATGGGTCACGCTCAACAAGTCATGGATGTGCAGGCCCAGGAAGCCCAATAATATCCCAATTTCAGCTGGACCTGATTCGGACTGGACCCAATTCAGACTGGTCATTCCAGCACCCAGACATAGCTCAAGGCTACAAAATATTTTGGAGCGTCTGACCAACTCTGATATGTTTATGACTTCCTCCAAATTCTGGACCTTTCTGGTAAAAAATATTGTGCAAATAGCAAAACTGATACAGTCTAGGCGCTCGGCGGATGAGCTCTGCTCCGCCCTGGATCCTGCGCTAATTAACATGGTACATTACGGTTAGATATATCCCCGGCCTAAGGCTGGGTATTTTATATAGACGTCAATTAGAACCAGGAGACCTATTACACATAATCAAATGGTCACAACATTTCTCATCATAAGCACGATGACATTGACTGCTACTTTCGGCAACTCGACGTCAAAGAAGGGCTAGCTTCGTGCCAGTTCGACCGGGCTCTGAGGTTTCCCATCCGTTGGAGAACTTGCTGACAGTGATGGACTCCGCTGGAAGATCCTGGATTTGACATCGGCATTGTACGCGCAAGCCAGCCGCCGCAGGATAATCTTGGCCCCATCTTCACATCTGGCCACCTGGCCTCACTTCCCAGCCCCGCGCTAGAATGAAAACCAGATAAAAAGGATGCATCTCTTGCCCTATTCTCTGTCAGTCTCCCGTCGCCTACCCTCCTTCCAGCAAAATGTCGTTTTGGGAGCCCCCTCCTCAGCCTGCGACCAAGCTCGGTGTCTATCGCACTCTCTCGGCCCACGCCGGGGTGCATGTCTCACCTCTGCAGCTGGGCGGAATGAGCATCGGCGACAAGTGGGAGAAGCTGGGGATGGGATCGATGGACAAGGAGTCTAGCTTCAAGCTTCTCGACGCCTACTTCGACGCGGGCGGAAACTTTATCGACACTGCGAACAACTAGTACGGCGACCGTGCTGTTTATCTTCGCTCAGTCTCTGAAGCCTCTTGCAGCCAGGATGAGACTTCGGAAATGTTCATCGGCGAATGGGCAGAGAAGCGCGATATCCGCGATCAGCTGGTCATTGCTACCAAGGTACGCGCGCGCGCATTGGAGTCTCTAAAACGATGATACTGACTCGTCCTCAGTACACCTATGGGTTCAAATTGCGGCAGGAAAAGTACGCTCAGAAAGTCAACTACCTCGGCAACAACATCAAGTCCATGAACATCAGCGTCGACGCCAGTCTCAAGAAGCTCCGCACGAACTACATCGACATCCTGTACGTGCACTGGTGGGACTGGGACACCAGCATCGAGGAGGTCATGGACGGATTGCACAACCTCGTCGTGCAGGGCAAGGTCCTCTACCTCGGCGTCTCGGACACTCCCGCGTGGGTCGTCGCGCAGGCCAACCAGCACGCCCGCGAGCAGGGCAAGTCCCAGTTCGTGATCTACCAGGGCGCGTGGAATGTGATGGCCCGTTCTTTTGAGCGCGAGATCATCCCTATGGCTCGTTCATACGGTACGTGTGCTTGTACTTGACCTCCTGAGCCTTGTGTGCTTACTTCTGCGTGCAAGGCATGGCTCTGGCTCCGTGGAATGTTTTGGCCGGAGGCAAGCTGCGCACGGATGCCGAAGAGGAGGCGCGGCGGGCTTCGGGCGAGAAGGGCCGCATGCTCTTTGGATCCAATTGGGAGCGGAATGAGGATGAAAAGAAGATGTCTGCTGCCTTGGAGAAGGTGGCTGGTGAAGTCGGTGCCAAGCATATTACCTCTGGTACTTACGTTCCTTCTTCCTCTCTGCGCTTCGGCTGATTTCATGCCTTTCTACAGTGGCGATCGCCTACTTGATGCAAAAAGTGCCCTACGTCTTCCCCATCATCGGCGGCCGCAAAGTCGAGCACTTGATGGCCAATATCGAAGCCCTCGACCTGGTCTTGACTCAAGAACAGATCGCCTATCTTGAGAGCATTCTGCCATTCGACCCTGGATTCCCTAGTGCCATGATTGTACACTTCCATCGTTCACTCTAGACTATCATCGTTGACGAGTTTTTGCAGGGCAATGGACTCAAGCACAGCTATCTCATGACATATGTTGCTCATTTCGATAAGTTACCCACCCCTCAAGCAATTCGCCCCAAGAAGGAGTAGATTTTCTGAGAATCAATGTATACAAAAGTTACCGTGTTCTTGTTAAATGATCAATGTACATCATGCAATGACTACTTGTCTTCTCAAGTGATCTCTAAGCAATCTTCCGCCCGCATAGTTGTGCGAGTTTCCACATCTCTCTAGTCTTGCGGCCCCCTACGCATTGCCGGAACTGTATGTTCTATGTGTAGCCCTGGACACGGAAATCACAAGTGAAATGTCCCATCGAACGTTCATCAAATAGTGTTAATTCGGCTGAGGAGGGGTCAAGCAGAAGTTTACAGACTACTCAGCGATTTTTGTTGCTTAACGCTACGCACTCGCTAGTCGTTCCCGGTTCATATATGCACAGATGACCGTACGATTCGATTCTTATCTTTCTGCACAGATACATTCAGTTCCTCAGCTCGAGCAGCTGCACTGGAATCCTAGCATCTTCTTCTCTCCAAAACCGCAGAACCGTCGTTCCTCCGTCTCCTCTGCGCTCAATTCCTCAACCGAGTCTTCCGCTCCCCACGTCTGGAACGGATTCGACGCCATCTGAGCAGCCCCCGCATCAGCCGCGAACACAAACACGGGTACAGAGAGAAGATAGACTGACATGCATGACCTTGGCGAGCATCTGCTTTCCGCGCACAGGGTCCTTCTCGACGACGGCGATCACCTCCTCGAGGACCCACTGCCGCAGGACAAAGCGCGGGTTGGCGTTGCGAGCTGCGGCTTGACGATCCCCTGCCCCCCAGGCATCAGCCTCTCGCTCGACACGCTCGGAATAGACGTCAAGCCAGTCGCGCAAGGCTTTCGATCCGGCGGCTTGATCTACCAGTTGCATGTCGGGCGCTTGTGCCTGCAGCCTTTCCACCAGTCGGTCTTTCTCGTCACTTGACATCCCGGGCGAGAATCCGCACAACGTCCGGAACGTTCCATGGAAGTCGAGCTTCTGGTCGGCCATCAGGTCGAGTAGAGGCCGGACGATCTTCGCTTCATCTGTGGATTCTGCAGTGCGGAGAGCGAGTCGCTGCGTTTGATGTCATTAGCCGGTCCCGCAGTGAGTGGGTGAAGCCGCGCGCACCTTCCTCATGAGTTCGGCGTAGGAAGCCGCCATCTCGCTTTGCGTGACCCGCTCGATTTCGTCTTTCAAAGCATCCAATCCGCTAGTCTTCCAGGCTGCGATGTCTCCGCCCTCAGCCCAGCCGGCCTCGACCGCATGTCCCAGAGACAGCTCGGCTCCAATGAGCGGGGCAAGCGCCGTGTGCAATGCTCGCAGAGCAAACAGGATGTTCGTGGGTTGGGACTGTGGCACACCGCGTTCAGTTCTGCGCCGCTTCACGCGGACGAACGACATACCCGATACGCATAGCGACCCTCCTCATCGGTGTGGTTGCAGATGTGGTAGGGATCAAATACGTCCATGAACGCAAAAGGTCCGTAGTCGATCGTCAGGCCCATGATCGATACACTGTAAAGGATCTGTACAAGTAAGTAGCGCGAAAAGGGAGAAAAACGCACTTGTCAGTGTTGATCACCCCATGCATGAATCCGTAGGCTTGCCACCCAGCCACCATCAGTGCGTTTCGTCTCGCAGCCTCAAGGACCAGCGCTTGTCCCCACGGCTTCCCAACGTCCAGACCGAGCACATTCTTGGCTACCCACTCGCCGAGGATGCGCAGACCGTCCCAGTGAGCGACCTGCTGGCCACCGCCGAAGAGGAACGTGTTTTGGGGCGGCGAGAAGGCCTCGAAACAACCGATCCGCACGAACGACGGCGCAAGGCGCGTGAGAACGCACGCTTTCTCGAGCTTCTCTCGAGCGACGCTCACATCGGGGAGCGAGACGAGAGACAGTGCACGGGTCGTGGGAATCCCCAGAGCTTGCATAGCTGCGCAAAGGTTGAGTTACGAGACAAGGGACGCAGATGAAAAGCCGAACCTTCCGAGCCCAGATATTCACGAATACTAGAGCGCGTCACGGCAAGCCCGTCAGCGGAGCGTGAGAAGGGTGTCCTCCCGGAACCTTTGAGCTGCAGCTCATACGTCAGCACTGGATCCGAAGGATGGGGAGTGACGACTATGCGCATCAGTTCTCCAGAGGCCGATAGCATATGCGGACACTACACACGGATCGAGGTAGCACGACCATCTCCCAGCTGCCCCGCCCAGCTCCCAAACTGGTGTCCACTGTATCGCATGGACCAAGGGGCGAATGTGTCGGACATGAGCACCGCGCGGCCGCTGCAAACGTCCACGAGATCCTCACGCGCGGCCACCGCTTCCGGTAAGCCGTCCTCCGGTTCCTCTGCAGGCTCGGTGCCTGCGAGCCCAGGGGCGCCGAGATGCGCGAACGCGTCCCCAACTTCCAAGTGCGGAACGCAATCTCTCAAGGCCGTTTCGGAGATGCCAAGCAGGCGCGCGGGTCCGGCGGCCTGCACCTGCGGAACATGCTTGGTGAGAGGCGCGTTGGGCACGATCGGCGGCTGTGCGACGGATGCTTCGCGCGCGGCGAGCCAGTTCTCGATGTATGACCCCGACGCGTCATCGTTGTCGCTGCCATCGGGTGAGGGCGGCTCGATGTCGTACGGGAAGGACGTCGGCAGTGGGATGACGTAGGAGAAGTGGGATTCCGGGGCGAGCAGGCCTGCGGGGCATCGGTGATCTGAGGTGGAGGGAGGATTGTTCCTACGCACGGGCACGACGGGATAGACTCTTCTGGTTGGAGCTGCGGAACGCAGAGACAGTAGGGGTGAGACGGTCGGGTGTGAGGTTCTGAGTCAGTAGCTGGGACGGGGCGGCCAGTGGCAAGGCCGAAATCGAGTATCTCATGGTCTGGAAGTGTTGGGCAAGTCGTGCCATCATGACATATGCATCATAGTGGCTGCGCAGTGATAGACTATGTTCTGTGTGTCATGCTCAAGTTGACAGCACAGGTATCAGAGTCATTGAGAATCAAATTCGAGCATATGTCCATAAATTTCGCCGGTAGATACTACAACTGCTCTGCTTTTTGTTGTTTTCATCTGTGATACGGACGGATATGCGCCCGCTGAGTCCGGTCTCTGATAAGTATGCAGATGCAGCCAGTGACTCCGATTATTGAAATCGTGTAATTTATCTCACGGGAACATTCTCGAAGGAATGTAACCTGTCCGAGCCCCATTCTGTCACTCGGTTTCCTTCGGTCCCGGGCTGGCTTTAGCATGACTAGCATCGGAATTTTGAGACTCAAGGGTGGCAACTTGCAAACAATTTTTAGACCTGGAACGGGTTCTTTGATATAATGAATCAGGACAACTTGTGGCAGGGGCGGCGAGATGGAGTCTCAACAGCTCCAACTGTCGTGTCTTCATCGGACTAGTCACGGAGGGGCAATGAGGCTGCGGGAGCTTGGCGTTTACTGAGGCTGCGCACAGCCAGGGTACCTAGACGGATAAGGAGAACTATTCACCCAAAAATGAGCATGAGAGTATGCCCCTGAGATGTAGTTCCATGGGACAAGACGTCTAACAGCAGCATTGCCCCAAACGCTGTGGCCCGCCCCGTGCGTTCGATCGCGCTTACGCGGGAAGTCATTAAGATCAATCTGATTGGCTTGTGATAAGCCCACAAGCGCCTACTCGAGCCGCTCGGACGACAGATGATCTGACAGAACAAAGTTCCCGCCGCGCTAAAATTGGCAAGGTAATCTGAGACAAGGCCGAGATCTGCCTATGTGGTGCGGAAGATCAGCGTTTGGAGTATACTTCGGAGTTTTTGGGGATCATCCAAGTTCAACGATCATGGAAATCGCTGGTAGTCAACTCGGGCTTATGACCCAGGTTGCGCCACAGATGAGGTGCTGTATATCTCAGGGATGATGCAATCCATGAGTGCAGAACGACGAACACTCGATCAGTCGCTACGGGAGTGAATCTCGGACAGCTCATCCAGGGCTGGGCAGCCTCAAGAGCGCTTGTGTGCATGCTGTGTTGGCGCGATCGAGATCACGCTAATTGTTTGGGCGATCACCCGAAAAAGGAAGGAGCCCCATATCGAGCCTTTTGTCTCTACCCCCGTGTGCCTGCGCGTATTGTCTTGCTCCGTTCAGGGATGCACCTTATTTCCACGCATCCACGAAGAAGGCTGTCGAGGACGTACATCGAAACAAAAGCAATGAACGCCCTTGGTGTGGAGAACAAAAGGCGTGGAAGTAGGCGCCCCGTGACGTGGATTGCTTTTTTGTTTCCTAACTCGATCAACGGCCAATATTGGATACCGCTCAACAAAAGGGCGTTTGCTATATAACCCCTGCGCTATGGCCCCACTCAATTGTCGCTCACTGACTCGCCGATCTTCGATCTTCAACGGCTACTCCTCTCCGAGCAACTTCTGTCCGCCATGACCGCCTACTACCCCCAGCCCGCTGCCGCGAACTACTTCTCTCCGCCCTCGCACGCTTCTCTTCGTCAACGGGGACTTCGCATGTGCGACCAATGCGGTGCAGCTGAGTCACCCGCTGTATCGAAGTTCAGACTGTGTGGCGGATGCGTATGTTCAAGCCTTCGGTCTCCATAGCTTTTCACTCATTGTATCTCTCTTCTTCTTCTCCAGATGGTCACCCAATACTGTGTACGTTCAATCACCCTACCTCACGACATCCATGCTCATATCCTTCCTCAGTCCCAAGCATGCCAAAAGGTTCACTGGCCAGCACACAAAGCTATTTGCCAGCACACGGTCGAGCAGGTCACTGCTGCAAAGCAGGGCTCCGGATTCAGCGGGGACCACATCACCAAGAGCCTGCGCAAGTTCACATCCTCGCACTGCGCTCTCCTGGGATGGGCCGGCTTTCAGGCCCTGCAGCTCAAACGCGTTCCCGCCAACATCCGGAAGAACGCATTGTTGATTGAGCTTGAACCGACATCTGATCCTGATTGCAACCGTCGGTGCGTCTATCCACATCTCAGCCACCTCATGCTGCAGCGCTGACGCCCTCCTCCAGATTCACCGTTGTGGGCACACACGTGGTTCCGCGGACCTTTATCTGCGACCCGCTGGTCATCGGCGACATTCAGCGCCGCGAGCAACGGTGTCGGCAGGCCGGCGGGATCGGCACTGCGGTCATCATCATCCAGTGCGGATCATATAGCCAAGTGATGCCTGTCGAGGTCGACCCGCCGGCCAAGATCAGCTGGGACGTGCGAGACGACTGGGCCGAGGTCCTGTACCACTTTGTCGAGACCGGCCGCACGGACTTCCAGCCCATATCGACGACTGCGCAGGGCATCTACTATGGATGAGCCTCGCTTCGCTTTCCTCCCCTTTTTTCGAATTCTCTTTTTCGCCCCCTCACATGACACGCACCCGGCGATCTGTATCTCTAGCGCACAGCACATCCTATCTATGTCCTCTCTACTCGCATTTGCCTCCATTGATACCTCATTCGCTGTCCCTTTGCTATCCACAAGTTAGATAACAATCACAATCGACTCTTTGCAATCCAAATCTTACAAGTTATGTACTATCATTAGCACGAGTTTCCTTTTCGAGAAAAGCAGCCAGGCTGAGGCTGACTCAGCATTTCTCCGCTTCACTGGAACCACCATCGTTGCACCGCTCGTCTCCCTTCAACTAACAAGTAGATCCAAGCTAGACACGCATGTCAGTCGCAGCACGACGCAGACCTGAGACCTCCGCCCCCGGGCACGGCTCGCGCACGATGACGATCACGGGCACCCCGAGCGGCGAGCACGAGCACGACGACGACGATGCCGGCGGCGGCGCGGATGAAGCATCGGGGTCTGGGGTCGCGGGGGTGCTGCATCTGCGCGGGGGTCCGCCGCGCCGCCGGCAGCGGGTGGCGTGGGGCGAGGACGTTGTGGACAACGAGGGGTGCGGACGCAAGTCGTCGAAGAGTGCGTCAAGTGTACGCCGTCCTCTGTGATCCCGAGGCTGATTTGTATGTCTGCGCGCAGTCTGTTGCATCTACCACAAGCCGCGCAAGTTCGACGAGTCGTCCTCGGACGACGATCACTCGGATTCGGATTCGGCGGACTCGGACTCGTCGTATGAGACGCGCATGCGTGCACGGCGGGCGAGGCAGTATCACCGGCATCCGCACGACCACGACCACAACCACAACCACGATCATGACCATGACCACGGCGCAAGTGGTTCGCCCATGCACGGGCACGGTGTGGGCGCGGTGACGGAGCTCGAGCCACCGCCGGAGCCGAATGCATATGAGCGGCAGCCCGCGAAGGGGAAGGGCAAAAGGAAGGCGGGTGCGTGGTTTCACTCTGCTTGGTCTACGGCGTTCGATTGACTTTCTTATATGGACAGTGTGAAGGGGAATCTTTCAGATCTAAGATGGCCAACTCTTCGCGGTGCCCAGCTACAGCATCGCTCTGTGGAAATTGGGATTATGGGAAGCCTGCCAAAATCAGCTGAAAGATGGTATTTCGGCAGCATATAGCTCTCGTGGCTTGGTGTATGGGCATTTCCTTGTTGATCTAATAATACATACAAACTCCACCTGTGCCCATCCCTTGCCATAGTGGATACACATGACTTGAACATTGACTATTCCAACCTTTCTGATGTATCATGCTCCCAATATTTTGTTTGCAAAGTTTACTGCAGCCTCTTGTTTGATTCTGGTGCCTGGATGTCTCTTTTCCTTGCATCAGTGACAGATGATACGTCAGGGTGATTGTTATAGGTGGCCAAAGTCAAGGATGCATCAGACAAACAAACAAACACAAACTGCAAATCTCTCTTGCTTCCTACCACCACCATCTTCACAATGTCTGGAAAGAACTCTCTTGCTGTCTGGAAGATCAAGGCATGTCTCTTGAATATCAGCTGGATAATTGGATAGCTGATACCTTGTGCAGGCTGCTGCTTCTGCTCAGACCATGGTATGTTTCACAAATATCACTTTTCAGATGCCAAAACTGATATTTCTGACTTAGAATTCTACTTCTGCCTCGGTATGTATGAGCAATATCAATTTCCAATTTTGAAAATTAATATCCTGGCTCAGAACACTGCTTGTGCCATGGTATGAGTGACCAATATCAGTTTCCAGATTTGAAATTTGATATTCTGCATAAGAATACTTTGGCTGCTCATGCCAAGGTTTGTCTCACCAATATCAATTTCCAAATTTCCAAATTGATATCCTGTCTTAGGACACTGGTGCTGCCCAGGACATGGTATGTCTCACTAATATCAATTTCTGGAATTAAAAATTGATATTCTGGCTCAGGATACTACTCAGGATATGGTATGTCTTGCCAATACCAATTTCAGATTCCAGAAAGTGATATTCTGGCTCAGGATACTGCCCAGGACATGGTGTGTGCAACAAATATCACTTTTGAGATTTGAAATTTGATATTCTACGTAAGAATACTTTGGCTGCTCAAGCCAAGGTTTGTCTCACCAATATCAATTTCCAAAATTTGAAATTGATACTCTGTTTTAGGATACTGGTGCTGCTGCTGCCCAGGACATGGTATGTCTTACCAATATCAATTTCCAAAATTCAAAATTGATTGCGAGCGAAGCGAGCAATCATCCACTAAAGCGCTGTCAGTTTGCACTAAACAAGTACAAATTTTGAGAACGAAATTGATGGCACTCGAGGGAGTGGCACACTCCCTCAAATTCATTCAAATCTTCGTATTATGCATTGCTGCTTCACCTGAACATGCTTTAGTACTCTCTGAACTCCCTGTAAAGTTCTTACAGTAATTCATGCTAATTCAAGCACGCTCGAGCGCATTTATGCCAGAACGCGAAGAACTCGATGCTGGCTGTTCAGATGACTCCCATTCTTGCTGAGATTTGTTCCAGACGTTAATGGATACGGATAGTAGCGGTATCTTCATAGATGAAGCATTCAATACCCTGGGACTGTATGCTACCGGCGCGTCTCGATCCCAAAGCGCGTTCGAGGAACGATCACGTGCCTGTCATGACACGACCAAATCCAGCGAACGATGTCCAATTGCCTCGAACAGACAATGCTCCACCTCTGCCACTTGCACTCATGCCTGATACAATTCCCCTCATTCGGCGCATTACCCTCCGTGGTCCCAGCATCAGCACCAATATAATCTGTCCCCACTGCACCTGTGTCGTTCAGCGCACCTATCACCAATTTGACCCGATCCGCAATAGCTGTCGTCTCTGTTTATTGGAACGGGCTGAAAGAGATGGAAACAGACGGGCATTTCGCGTCCTCCGAGACGAGACCAATGGCCCGATGCCTCCTCCGGTCCCTCAGAAAGCATGCGGGCTCTGCCAGGAGGCTTTTCCCGTCGCATCCTACAACAATGTCGGTGGTCCCCCGCACAGACGATGTCGCTCTTGCCGGAAAAAAGAGCGCTGCACAGCCTGCAAGAAAATCAAGAAACATTCGAAGTTCCAGAAGCCAAACGGAAATGGTCTTCATCGCACATGCAAGCCGTGTCGCGACAAAGCCATGGAGCGCGGAATCCGAAGACGAGCCCAGGCAGAGGCTTTGGGATTGCGCTACTGCTATCACGGAGCGCATCAGGTCACCACAGATGCATGCACAGAGGGTGGCAGGGTCTATGCTAGTTGCAATGAATGTCGAGCCCGTGCACGGGAGAAGGCCCAGGAGACCGCCGCCCGTCAATCGAGGCATCGACCTGATGTTGATGATGGAGAAGGCGCTATCGGCGATGACAGAGACGAAGGGATTCAAGTGCTGGATGAGTTTGATCAGTTCTTTGGAGACGGATCAGATATGAACATCGACCTCCCAGAAGACGCAGCCCTGGATTCGAAGGCTGAGTCTGCCGTTCGAGAGTTCAGAGAAGCCCTGGATGGTATTAAGCTCCAGTACTGCCCATGCTGTCGAGAAGAGGGCTTCGATATCCATTTGACCGCTCAGGAAATCTGTGCAAGATGCACCGCGGATACAAATGAGGTCAAACGTTGGTCTGACGCAAACAACTGTAATCCAAGTGAGTCTCATCAATGCGATCTGGATTATCTCACTCATACCCTCTCAGTGCCAAGTTCCCGTGTTCCTCCCTGTCTTCAGAACTTGACCGACATGGAGGAAATGCTCATTGCACGAACCAAGACCATCATGCAAGTTCGATGGACGAAAGGCCGCCAGCTCTCGTACAAAGACCACATCATCAATTTCCCCCAGAACATCGAAAATGTGGCTGCTAAATTGCCTCGACTCCCTGAGGATATAGATATTGTCATCATCCGCAGAGAAGGCGTCGATCTATCCCAGCATGTTGATTATGTTGTCCGACGAGATAAAGTTCGCGACGCCCTCGAATACAAGATTGCACATGACCCTGACTACGCAAACTTGGGCGCACCGGATGAAGCCACCCTGTCACAGTTGCCACTGAATGGCAGTGTGGTAAACCGACTTTCTGTATGCCGGGAAGGTCGGCAGGATGGACAAGCAGCAATGCCTGCGGGTCCTGTTCAGGCAGCGGCTGTTTCGGGCGACAATGATGAAGAGGGAGAATCAGCAACGACTGTGGGTGGTGTCTTAAATCTGGGCAACCCAGTGCGAGAGGAGGTTACCGAAATTCGTGACGGAGCCAATCGAGCCATATCTGGTCCCCGCTACGAACAGACTGTGGTCAGTATCAACGGTTAATCGAATCTAATCCATGACACTGACGTTTCCCCAAGATTACTGCGCCTACTGTTGATGCTAATCCCATATCCGAATACACGCCAGGCTATATGACGCGCGCATTCCCTACCCTGTTTCCCGATGGTACTGGAGACTTCTTCGCACCCCGTCAACGCAAAATCGAACTAGGAGAATATTTCAAGCACCTACTGCGTTTTGAAGGGGGAAGATTTGCTCGACATCGAAGATTCCCGTGGTTCGCATTCAACACCCTTCAGCGACACAGGGTTAAAAGCCAGGCCAAGATCTTTGTGAAACAGAATCATGATGCCGGCCGCATGACCTCCGAAGAGTTGAAGGCCTTACTGGAGGAAGGAGATCAATCAATTGCTCGAAAGATGATTCGTTATGGGACCAAGCTCCGTGGCACCCGAGCATTCTGGCATTCTCGCCGCAATGAGCTCACGGACATGATCAGAGTGAAAGGCTCACCCCACCTCTTCTTTACACTCAGCGCTGCGGACCTGCAGTGGCCGGATCTGCATCACCATATGCCCAAAGAAACGGACGCACCTGCGGGAAATCCAGCAGCGGAATGACGTCAGCGGAGATTGGCACTGGAGAAAAATCCGCATCTCGCTGCATCCTACCTGGATGAACGTGTTCAGCTGTTCATGAAACATGTCATGGGCAAGATTTTCGATATATCGGATTTCTGGTACCGGTATGAGTGGCAGGAGCGCGGCAGTGGTCATGTCCATGGCTTCCTGTGGCTCAAGAACGCACCTAGACCCGAAGATATCAATTGGGATCTCTTGAAACAAGTTGACTCACCAGTTTCCGAAGATCAGCAGCAGAAAATGACGGAGTTCAAGAGTTTCTGGGACCGAATCGTCTCTGCATTCAATCCTGTCCTGAGACAAGACCCAAACGCACCTCTTCTGGGAGGCAACCCGTGCAGTAAACTGACGGAGGGAATGATCAACACAAACGAGGAGTTGGCGGATCTTCTTAATTGGGTTCAACGACACAGCAAATGCGTTGCCGGGTACTGTCAGGTGAAGAGAAAAGTCCCTGGTCAGGAGGAGCCTCAGATTTGCTGTCGCTTTGATTATCCTATGCCTTGCCACCCTGACTGTGCGGTCATTGGTCGCGATAGCAAGAGTCGATTGCGATTCGAGCCTCGCAGGAATGACCCCCTGCTCAACAACTACAATCGCGCAATGTTGATGGCTTGGAGAGCGAACATTGACCTCAAGCCGGTTCTCAGTAAAGACGCTGCAATTAAGTTAGTGTTTCGCTCCGGGTGCTCCAGAACTTAGACTGACCTTTCTTTTCAGTTACATTGCAAAATATGCCAGCAAGTCGGAGCAACAAGCTCCCGCTTTTCCCGAGATGCTCGATGGCGTTGTAAAGCTCATGAACAGCGGTGCAACAGCTCAATTGGCCTGCCAGAAACTGCTCAACAAGATGTTGGGTGAACGCAGCTACTCTGCTCAAGAGACGGCGCACCTGTTGCTTGGCATTCCGTTAGTTCGAACCTCTGTGGCATTCCAGACTCTGTACATCGGAGAGGAGGGTGATATGCGAGAGCTGGATGAAGGTGAAGAAGCCCCCGAGGAGGCGGAAGAGCCTCAAGAGGGTGGCCGCCGAGTAACAAGTGATTCATGGATTCAAAGGTAGCGTGCTCTTTCATGGTCAAAGGGCATTGTATTGAAAGACTTTGAGATACATGAAACGCTCCGTGGGAATGGACAGTCTGTCCCTTCAAGAAGTCTTCGAGAACTATTCGTGGCGCAACAATGAGTGGAGAAAGCGCCGGAAACAGAATGTTATTCTACGGACCTTTCCACGCTATTCCCCAAATCCGGACAGCGATGTATATCCCAAGTACTGCCGGACCAAGATCCTGCTTCACCATCCCTTCCGATCCCTCGACGAACTCCAGAACCCTCCAAACGAGGAGAATGTCGACGGGGAATTGTCGTGGCCTGAACTCTGGGCACAATGTCGCGCGGCAGGCCATACACATCGCACGGACTCGCTCCGTGACTGGGGCGACGAGAACAGAGTGACCGAAGATGATGATGACGACGAAGAAATCAACCCCGATGTCGATGAGGTGCGGGAAGAAGACTGGCAGATATTTGCGCGTGATTTCCCCGGCGCCCATCTCCCCCAATTTGATGCAAATGATCTTGGATCCCGTCCAATTGATGCTGCCTTGATGCCCGAAGCAGGACGCGGTCGCTGGCACGAGGTTGAACAAATGCTGTCTTACATTGACACGAACAGACGAGAATACGGTGGACAGTCCGACGAGAGCACAATCCGTGCGATCAATATCGATACATTGGCTGAGGAACAACGCAACATCTTTGATAAGATAATGGGGCAATATTCTCTCGAACTACTCGGAGGAGAGAGGTCTCAAGCGCTGTTGAACATTGACGGCACGGCCGGATGTGGCAAGACATATCTGATACATGCGATCTGTCAAGAGCTCCGGCGGCTAGCAGCGGAACATGACCAGCCAGATCCAATACGCGTCTTGGCACCGTCGGGTGTAGCTGCCTTCAATATCCGTGGACGTACAATCCACTCTGCTCTTGGCCTCCCAGTCAATTCGAACTTTGTGCCCTTGACCGGGACGCGACTTGCCACCCTTCAGGAACAGTGGAGAGGAGCTCATTTCGTGATCATCGACGAGAAGTCAATGCTGGGCCTGCGGACTCTCTCTCAGATCGACTCTCGACTTCGTCAGATACTCCCGCACCGGTCGAACAATGTCTTTGGTGGCCTAAATCTCGCTTTGGTCGGTGACTTCGCCCAACTCCCCCCTGTCGGCGATCGCCCTCTCTATGCGCCACCTTCAACAGATGTGAGCGACAGCGGCTCTATGAGCCGGGATGGAAGTCGCCTCTATCAAATGTTCACTGAGAGCTATAGACTCCGAGTGGTGCATCGTCAACAGGGCGATTCCCCCGAGCAAACAGCCTTCCGAAATCTCCTTCACCATGCCTCGAAAGGAAGTCTGAGTGTTGCTGAATGGGAGACGCTGCAAACAAGATGTTTCTCGAATCTGAATGAGGCGGAGAAAGCATCTTTCCAGGACTCCCTTTGTCTATTCACCACGCGCGAAGATGTCAATGCCATC